AGCACTGAATCTGGAATAGACCAGTAGCATGTCACTCAAGGGTGGGGAGTGGTTATGACTCAGTGCTAGGCACACACTTTGCTGATGTCTTTCATTTATAATTCTGAATATCAGCCTTTTTATTCACTGACAAGTTTTCAGCTTGTTTTATCAACTCTGTGTGGTAATTTAACAATCAAGATGCCATCAATAAAAAAAGGAAAGTCAAATTTGTAATTTTCTCAAGTTATGGAACATGGTGTGGAGGATGATGCTGCTCTTCTGAAACCGTACACAGGTCATAGTACTAAACAACATAGACAGGTATCTTAATCTTAACTAAAAATATATATTGTACGTTTTAGGATGTTTTCTAAAGATTTGTGTAATTTTCTATCCACATTTTAGAAAAACAATAACTAAAAAAGACAAAAATCTGTGTTATGTAAAAATGACAAAGTCCTTTAAGGATGCATATTTCCTGTGTAGCTGTCTATTAAAAATGAACTCACCATCTTGCCTTCAGAGCATGTCAACTAATGTGTGCTCATCTCTCGTTTAGTTCCTGTTTTCCAATTATGTAAAGCAATGGCAACTATCTTTTAGTTTTATTAGCTAAAGGAGATGTCATGTGACATTACTAAGATTTAATTGTATTGGTTAAATATAATAAGTGTTTTTAAAAATGGAATTTTCTAATACTGCGTAATAATTCATATACTTAAATTACACCCTAAAAGTATGTACTTTTTTGTAAAGGAAAAATATATACTTTTGAGTGTGTGACAAAAGAGTATGCAAGCTTTGGGACACACTACTTCTTAATTAATAGATTGTCATGTTGCTTAGTCATGAGCCCTGTCAATCATTCACACATCATCCACATTTCTTTCACATTTATTTTATACCTTATTGGAGAAGCAGCAGCAGGTTAATCTGCCATTTAGGATTTTTTCATGCAGAGAAATCTCCTCAGGTCTTTGCCGGATAATTCTGCATTCAGATGTTAATGTCCAAACACATCTTTTATAAGTTCAGTGTTGTTGTTGCAGATGAAATGTAACACGGAAAATGCAATTTAAATATTTTACAGTTGGGTAGATATTAATAAACAGTCATACAAACATCTTTACCAAAGCCTCTCTACTTGATGGTTTATCTCGCGCGTCCATCGTGTTTGTGGTTTATTTACACTTTTTACCCGCATTTGTAGTTCTAATCGAATTCACGTCCAACGTGCAATGTATTGTGGGCAATATCAGCAGTTAGAGTATTGACGATTCTACACTTCAAACTTTTACCAGAAATAGTAAACAATCCTGGAACCTCTTTTCAACATACTAGAATTTGCAACATACTAGTTCTAATTTCAATTACTAATTAGGACGGATAGTATGTGAATTGAGACGCAGCATTAGTGTCATTTATAGATGATAGATGTCCTATAGAAGGTTAGGGAAAGACCACCTGTGACATAGCTTGCCAAGAGTTAGATGTGATTCAAAAACTGGATCTGATGATGAGTGACTATCACTAAGATTGGTGGAGTGCTTAGTGTCATTCATGATGTTAAAAAATATGTGAGATTTTTTTGGGCCCATGGATAAGATGGAAGAGCGCATTAGCATTGTTGAAGATGCGGTTAACTCAGAAAAGAGCAAGTTGGAAGGAGCAGCATGTCGCTTAAATTGCTAAAAAGAGTTTTGCTAATTTTAATGATGTTGCATAACTAGATAAGAGAGCTGCGTAATATCATTGCGCCTGCTGCAGTCATGGTATGGTAGCAAAGTTCCTTGATTATTACGCTAGAGGGAAAGTGAATTGGCCAAAAAAATAGCAACTTTTTATTTTCTCTTAATCATAGTACATGATGTATCTACTGAAGAGTCAAGCCTTAAATAGGAAATTATCAAAACTGTTGTTTTTTTTTTTTTTTAAGCAAGATGCTAATTGTCTAATCTAATTCAGTGATTTATATTAAACTAAAAGTTCTCCTGACAGACCCAGAGATCTTCTCGAATGTATATAAAAGTGGAAAACTTAACTGTGTAAAATTTAATTTCCCAATAAAAAACAACAAAAAAAGAGTTGTTTCTTTAAACCTTGTGAAAGTCACTAGTGTTTGTGTATCTGAACTTTTCATCTATGGTGTTTTTAGAAACGTCTTCTACAGCCCTCTGTTGGAAAAGTCCAGTAAGACGGTTATGAGTCTCTTTAACTGACTGTAGATGCTGGGTTTGCAGCTGTCCTTGGGGCGACACTTGAGCCTGTCATTTAGAGACACGACACCATTGCAAAAGCTCATCAGGCTGGACAGAAATGGATCAGCATTATAAATCATCCACAAGCCTGACAATTAATCCCTCCAAAATAATCCCCCTGGACTCAGCCGAACCTCACTTTGCCCTCTGATAGAGACCCTGCCCACATCCATGCACACTTACTGTAACTCTTATATTTGATTAAGCTTATTAAATTTGGCAACATATTTCACAACTGGCTTGTTTAAATTTTTTGTTTTTATAATATGTTTAAAGTTATTCTTCACAAAGGAATTGTCATTTGCTTATCTTTATATCATGTTTTAATAATTTTAATTAAATCTCTTAAGCTCATCAAGGCCGCACTTATTTTTATCAGACATGCAGTTTGATTTTCCAATGTTATTTGCATTTTGGTGGAACGGTGGCTCAGTGGTTAGCGCTGTCACAAAAAGGTCACTGGTTCGAGTCCCGGCTGGACCAGTTGGCATTTCTGTGTGGAGTTTGCATGTTTTCTCTGTGTTTGTGTGGGTTTCCTCCAGGTGTTCAGGTTTCCCCCACAATCCAAAGACATGCGCTATAGGTGAATTGAATTAATTAAATTGGCCGGAGTTTGAGTGTGTGTCAATATGAGAGTGAATGAGCATTTCCCAGTACTGGCTTGTAGGGCATCCGCTGCGTAAAGCATATCCTAGTTAAGTTGGTGGTTGCTTTGGCTATGGTGACCCTTGATGAATAAAGGTACTAAGCTGAAGGAAAATGAATGAATGAATGTATTTGCATTTTGAAAAACACTTTTCTATGTGAATATATTTTATAACGTAATTTATTCCTGATTCATAGTGGAATTTCACAATGAGCTTTAGTGGCACATAATCCTTCAGAATTCTTACTGTTATACTGATTTGTTGCTCAAGAAACATTTCTAATTATTATCATCAGTGTTGACTACAGTAATGCTGCTTTTTTTTTTTTTTTTGTGGAAAATACTTGTATTTTTAAAGAACATCCAAAACTGATGGTTGCTTTTATAATGCACTCATGTTTTCTAAAATAAATGTAGTTATTTTTGAACATCAATAAAGGGCCATTAAACTCCCCTCTTACGGTTCAAGTATATCTCAGAATTAAAAAAAAAAAGCATCATAATGGGCATTAAGCGCAGCGACCACAGGGAGGAGTGTGCATGGCCAGCAGAGCACGGGAGAACGAGGGGAGTGAACAACTGTTGTCAGTTGGTTCAAAAAAATGAGACAAACCGTGAGGAGATGCATGATTTTATAGTTTACAAAGTTAAAATGCAAAGAAATAAACAGTAAGTAATTTAATGCCCTGCAACATTTGTTATTCGTAATTTTGTATACACATAACCACAATTTGTTATATCATTAGAAAGATAATCATGTTTATATAAATACTATAAATAAGGAGGACTTCTCTCCTCCTGAATCCCCGGGTCTGAATGCAGACACAATGGATAGCAGTGCAGCAGGTCTCTTGCCCTGTCTATTTCAACCATTAACCCTGCTGGTAATCCGGAGGATTTTAAACATAGGCAAACACAGCTTCACAGATATAGGCAATGTGTCTAAATGGTAACAAAGTCAACTGATAAAAGACAAGTCCGCCATTCCTCAATTCTCACACAGCTCTCCTGACAAAAATGCTTGCTGCACACCAACAGCTTTTCTGTACCCGCCCCTGACAGCATTGCTGGGAAAACCATGCAACAAACTCTGTGGATCATAAAAAACAAACAGCACATACGACTCTTCATGAACAGCTAAATACTGTGAGCCATACGCTGAGTCCGCAAAGGGAAAGCATGTGCTCTCATGAATAATTAAGAAGCAGGGTTTTGTTATAGGATAAGAAAACTCAGCTATGAATAATAATGAAAACCGACGCATCATCACTCCACTAGCAGATTTGCGCTACGTCCCCGATTTGGATCCTGCTCAAAAATTATTTTAAATTCGGAAAATAAAATTAGCTGACAAAAGCTCAATTATCCAGTTTTCCAACATTGCCTTAACTGATGCATAACACACAAATCTAAAAAAAAAAAAGTACTCCAGGGAGTCTTGGACCTTTAATAATAGACTCTTTTCACAAGACTGTTATGACACATTTGGCGTTCATCATAATCTTAAATCTTTAAAAGTTTTTAATATTTAAATTTTTTTTAAATGTATGAACATTTAAATGTGTTTATGAATGTATTATATCATCTTTGCATCAAATTATAAAAACTAAATTACTGCTTATGCGAGGCGTTTCTAATGCAGTCTCTATGGGGCTGAGAGTAAATTTGAAGTTATTCTCTCCTCTAGCTGTCGTCATCAGTCTCACACATTTTTTTTCCTTTTTCTCAGCGTTTTGATAACACCATTGTGGAGTTTTCATTTTATTATTTCAGCAAATAGGATTGTAAAAAAAATGTTTGTTGTATTTCCCATTCACTGCACTCTAAATGTACCCAGCTTTGATGCCTACTTTTACTGAGAAACCTGGAAATGTGAAAAGGGTCTATTAATTATTATAACAAAGCAACATAACAGCATTACTTTTTACTACTGATGTTTTTGCAGTATTACATCTATCTAAATATTTATCAAAAATGTCCTAAATCATTAGAAATATTTGCATAGAAATATTTATGCTTTTCTCTTGCTTTAATCCAGAACAAATCTTTTGTTTTCTTTTGCATGATTTGCCTTTAAAGTATTTAAACATTTATTTTTATTTTTATTTTTTTAGCTGAGGGAGTCCTTTAAAGATCTTAAAAAGAAGTTCAACAATCTGAAATTCAACTACATGAAGAAAAACGAAAAGTCAAGAAACTTCAAGGCGGTAAAAAATCAGATCCAGCAAATTGAGATATACATTGAAAAGCTACAGGTAATGAAACATATTAAATTATAAGTGTCTGTTGATTTTTTTTGTGTGACAAATCTTAGTTAATTATACACGCTGATACCTCAGGAAATGTCTTCCTCTGTCAATGTTTTGACAATCTATTTCTAAAATGTTTTAGCTTTTAAAGAAGAAGCTGCAGGCCTTCACTCTGAAAATGTCCAGCAGCAGTGAGAGACATTTAATTGGCAACAGCCTCAGAGAGATTGAGGATGCCTTAAATGAGCTGCAGAGACAGGTGGGCGACTTTGACAGGGCAGTGGAGGAGTACAAACAAAACCTGGACATGAATGTCAAGCTCCAGCAGGCTTTAGAGGAGGTGGGGTTCACCAGGAACACATAATTAGATAATACCAGCTACTAAAACAATTCAGCAGCAATTTGACACTCATTTTATAATCATGCTGTGGATTGTGTTTACTCATTTATTGCATTTAGCTTCCAATTTCGTTTTCTGCTTTCCTTTCATTGTTAATGCTGCTAAGAAAACAACATGATTATGACTTGCTTTCGCTTATGTATGACTTCAGAACAGCTATAAATAGTCTCTGAAAATAGTCTCTCCTCTCACCTTTCATTTTAAATGCAGTATCAGTTCTGGTGCGACGAGGCAAGCTCCACAATTGTGCGTGTGGGTAAATATTCCTCCCAGTGTAAGACTAAGGAAGCGGTCAGCTGTCTCTACAAACAGTTTGAAAAATTTGTGTGGCCCACAATCCCACAGCAAGAGGAGAGAATTAGCCAGATCACAGAGCTGGCAGTGCAGCTGCATGGTGAGAAACTGACAATACAATCTGATTGATTCTCTTTACCATTTCAATGAGGACAGTATATAATAATGGTCAACCCTTACTTTAATGTACAGTTCACACCATTAACAAACAATGAACTAAGTTTTTTAACTCAAACTACTAATTAGCTGCTTATTGGGCTATAACTAGGATAAGAAGTGGGTTGAATTAGGGAATTTAAATAAGATCAAGTGCTCATGTACAGTTAATAGGCAGGTAATAAGTCAGTTTTAAATGGTGTGAATTGATACAGTACTTAAATTAAAGTGTAAGAAAGCCAAGAGTATTTTTAAGTAGTTGTTTTGAACCCTCATTCGTCATTATGTTCCTCTGGTCATTTCAAAACCCAGTAAACAAGAATTACATGCTCACTGAAAAAAGTGATGCATATTCATATTTGTGGATGTTTTCAAAACAGTGGGACAATATGATTATTCCAGTTTAACAGCTAAATTAGAATATATTATATTATATTATGATAAATACAAAAATCCTTCATAGTTTGTTTTATATGTTGTTTATTTTGTTTATGCAGGTGCTGAGGAAGGAAAGAAATACATGGAGAAAACAATCAACAAGCACCATGAAATTGTTGAATCAATAAAAGAGCTGTCAAATGGACTTCTTGACCTTGAAGCCAAACTTGAGGTGAAAACATGCAATTTAATTTATTTGCCCTTTAAGAGATTTTGTACAGTTCCAAAACTATATAAAAAATATACTTGACATAACTTTTGATGGACTTTTTCTATAGTTGGAGACCTTGAAACAGCCTTTAACACCTGAAGACAACAAAAAACGAGACACTATTGATACGGTAAACACCAATAACACTTTGACAATTGCAATCATGCTATATTTATATTGTTCTACATTTTTAAAATTTTATGATTACAAGTAAAGTGGAAATTATATTCAAGACATCGTTCCACACTTCTATAAATTATTTGTTATCATGATTAATTTGTATTAAAATCTTATGAGATCTTTAAAAATTTAATATAAATTCACAGTCAATGAATCTTCAGAGTCACTAATTCACCATCATCATTAGAGCTAGTATTTGAATGATTCTCTGGTATATTGTTTGAAGGGATGACAAAACGGGTGATTTTGCTCCCAAGAATATAAAACAGATTGGCTATAAGGCTCATTCTCAATTCTATTTTTGTACCCTTACCTCGTTACCCTTGAAACAGAGTTTGAAAGGGAAGGGCTTCAAAATTTAACCCTAAGAAATGGGACAGCACCCGAACACGTCATCATGTCATCGCGATCTCTTCCTTCATATCAGATCAGACGATCTGCGACTGCTGTAGTTACTCCAGTTATGTTATTTTTTTGGTATTTATTTTCAGGAAATCACTGAAGGCAACAAATATCATGTTATCATGACGATATGATGTAGCTATAAGATCGTAACTGTATCGTGTATTTACACCGGAGCCATATTAATCTATGTAATCATGAAAACAACAATAACATTAGACTTTTCTGACAGGGTGTTTGAGTGTCAGATGTGAAAGTATGTTGTGGGACTGCTATACAGGAGTTATTATTAGGAACTATAGATAGGTTTTTAGCGTGTTCTTTTGAGGGGTAGGGGGAAGGGGAATATCATACGGCTATCAGCCAATCAGATTCGAGAAACAGACAAAACTGTTGTGTGTGTGTTTGTGTGTGTATAAAGTATATACTGTATATTATGTGTATATGTATTGTGTATATATAATACTTTTTTTGTTTTTCAATTGTAGTTAAGATAAACTTAAACTATTGAAAATAAATTGTTTATTTAAATTTATTTAAAATTTTAATAGTTTACTAAAACAATTTTGTGGTTTTGTGAACTACAATAACCTTGATTCCCTGACAGATAAATTACACTTCCATACTCCAATGTTAAATTTAATGTAGCATTGACAAATCACAAGACAAAATAAAAAAAAACTGTAAAAAGTTTGTTGAGGATACAACTTATTAAAAATAGGTTTAAATCATTATTCAAGAAATTTTCATTTGAAATTTTTTGCAAAAATGCATTATGAATCTACCATGCATGTCTGAAAAATGACCCAGATTCAAACCTTGATTCTAATTCTTTCTTTCTTTCCTTTTTGTTACCACTTCAGCCTGAACAAAAGGAGAGTGGACATACCCCTGAGATGACAGGTCCACACTGCACTAAAGAGATGCCCGATGGCAAGAGTCCAGAAACCAAGAAACCTCAACTCCGCAAAACACGGAGCCAAGATCTGCCAGACAAACATCATACAGAGCATCAGAAAGTGTTGTCAGAGACTAGATCTTACACACAGGAAGCCTATTCCAAGACCAGCAAAGTGGAGACCATCACCAGCAAATCTACCATAGAGAAAAGAGAGGAAATGCACACATCTTTCTCTCACTCCCACACCATTAATGTGAGCCGTTCCCCTGTGCAGCGAGAGAAGAGGAGTCACTCTCTCATGCTAACAAAGAGAGACTCGCAAGAAACTCCTCCACCACCACCACCTCCTCCTCCTCCTCCACGAGATCCAGGTCTTTCTCGCCCCAGCATCATAAACATACAGAAAGAGTTACAGAGTATGGAAAAACCTTGCCCTGTTCAGAAGACCAGCTCTGAGGACAAGTATCAGGCCTGTAATAGAAATCCCCCTTTACATTCATATTCCAAGGTGAGCCTGCTTTGACATTAGAGGCATTCTGTGAAACTGATCCCTTGTTAAATATTTTTAATTAAGAATGTAAACATACTAGGGCTGCACAATATATTGTAAAATTATTCAGCTAATGTCAAAATTAAATTTTAGTTAATGCATTTACTAACATTTATTGCAGTTTTTTCTCATGTTAGTTAATGTTGGTTAATAAAAATAGTTACTTATTGTTAGTTCATGTTAAGTCATGGTGCATTAACCAATATTAACAGGCATGAACTTAGAATTGCTGTACAACAGGGGTGGCCAATCCTGTTCCTGGAGAGCTACCTTCCTGCAGATTTCAGTTGCTACCCATATCAAACACACCTGAACCAATTAATTAGGACCTGAACACCATGGCTGCGTCCGAAACCGCATACTTCCATGCTATATAGTACGCTAAAATCAGTATGTGAGGCGAGTAGTATGTCCGAATTCATAGAATCCCAAAATCAGTATGCGAGAAGTACCCGGATGACTTACTACTTCCAGCAAGATTCTAGAGTGCGCATCCTATGCATGCTGCGCTATCCCATGATGCCCCGCGAGCAAATTTATGAATGGGAGTAAAGCGACGCAATTGACGCAGGTACGTCACGTGACCATGACAAAATGGTGGATGTAGTACGTCCGAATTCCATTCACTAGCTGCATCCCAAATGGCACACTATACACTATGCACTCATGCACTATGTACTTATGCACTTACACACTCAACAGGAAAGTATTCGTATGTAGTGGTGTCCCAAATGGCACACTAATGTTTTTTTACTAAGCGGAAATTCCAACCGTTTCCCTGATGACGTTTGACGGTTGCCAAATCAGTGAAATAAACAACCGAATTATCAAATAATACCTGCCGTGAGTATTGTCGCATTCACCATCGGGAGGCGCTATAATCACTCTTGTAGGAGAATTTTGCTTTCACCATCCAAAATAAATAAAGCTATTCAACATGTGCGTCCGATAGCTCCGCCCCTTCCGCAACGTAAGCAAACCTGCGGTCATTGAGTGTGTGAAGTGTCCATTCCACACTTCATTTTAGCAGCTGAATGAGTGCATCATCCGGGTAATTAAAGTGCACTCATTATTTTTAGAGTTTTCAGTGTGAACACACTACTTACACTATTTATACTACAAAATGGCGTAGAATAGTGCATAAGTATGCGATTTGGGACGCAGCTATACTTTTCACGTTCATACTGTATAGAACATACTTTTCTAATGGCCGAGTAGTACGTTTAAATTCAAATGCAGTACCTACTGAGTAGTAGGTGGTTTCGGACGCAGCCCATGTAATAATTACAGGCAGGTGTGTTAAATATGGGTTGCAACTGAAATCTGCAGGAAGGTGGCTCTCCACGAACAGAATTGGCCACCCCTGCTGTACAAGTATTGTTCATGTTAGTAAGTACATTAACGGAATTGTCAAGTGTGATCAGTTACGCTTATTTCTATGATAGCGTATTAAATTTTAATAATTTAATTATTATTTACAAGTTAAATTCATTTTATGTGCCAAACATTTGTGTCTTGCATGCATAGGTTTTCCAAATTTGATCAATCAGTTGTCACCTTATCTTTATATATGCCTCTCCAGTAGGTGTGTTTTTAGGTAGAACAGGCCCAAAGTGAACCTGGCGCCTCAAATCAGAGAGCTGAACATAAATACTAACGGTCGGAGCAGAAACGAGAGGAAAATAACAACAGCCAATAAAACAGTCATTCATAATGTTTTAAAATTTCTGCACCTTGACATTGTTATTTTAGCCTTAAATAGAATTAATTTATCAGAAATATTTCTCTATTATCTGTTCTCAAAATGATCATTACATAAATTAATAATTTTAAAATATAGCTATTAAAATAGCATTTCCCCCTGTAAATATTATATCATAGGAAATATCATCACAACAAACTACAAAAATATTGCAGATTTTCCCAGTATTGTGCAGCTCTAAATCATTCAAATTACAGTTATTTCATCTTCATTTACAAGCAGCGGGGTATTGACAGCTTTTGTATATTTCTGTCCGTTCGCATCCCGTCCCTTTGTGCCCCCTGGCGGCATGGTTGCAAACTGCTGTTACACCTAAAAACGTTTTACTTTGTCCTGCGGCAGTTTCACACACGGTGGTAGGGGTGATTTTGATCTGTCACTCACTGTACATAAATTTAGGGCTTTATGTTAACATCAGCTAACCTGCCAAATGTGGGTAGATTTCAGTGGGTTTGTATGTAAGACAGCCATGCCTACTAGCCACTTTGGCTGGTTGAAAATAATTATTAAATTGTTAGTGCTGGCTAGTCATTAAAGATAAGAATTATAGTTTATGATTGTTTCAATATGTCTAACTCTCCATTTATGTAAAGTTAACTGGTGATCTGGCCTGGACAGACTATTGTGCATAGTTTAAGTCTGTTGAGTGTGCTCTTCAGCAGCATTGTTTTGCCATTGTGTTCACGTGCTCAACAGAAATGACTTTTATAGGGGGGAAATTAAATACATTTAATTAAAAATTTTATTAATTTTACATAATGAACTTATTACAACTGTCAATTAAAATGAAATCTTGGTTTTATTTTGAGGTAAGTTATGTATTGGAGTTTTACATACAGAATACATACACACATTCATACATATATACATACATTGGTGAATAGTTTGAATTTAAAGGGGAAATTAGTTGTTTTTCTTTCATTTATTTGCTATTTTTCACCCCTCTAGATTTCTTCTGCTCATCATTCTGTAGAAGAAGACTTTTTACCACATGGAACACCAGAGCCAGCAGCTACTTCAGGAAGTCTACACGAGGGTGACTTCCATCCTGACCATCTCACAGAGGAATCATTCTCCAATGACGAATACGAATGCACTTCTCCAGATGACATCTCTCTGCCTCCTTTATCCGAGACCCCAGAATCCAACATTATCCAGTCCGAAAATGACTTTGATGATGGTTATTGTGTGAGCTCGCACAGCCATCGCATAAACCAATATAGCCACCAGTCCCAATCCCATCATGGTGAAACCCTGCACCAGAGACAGCAGGATTGGATGTCAAGCCAGGCTGAAGGTTACCCATCACCAACTGCTGTCATGGGGACCAAATTTAGATCAGAATCGTCCTCCTTTGTTCAAAGCCCTCTCACTGTCCCTGCTCCTAATCTTGTTTCAAACACCATCTCCACTATTTTAAAGAACAAATCTGCCAACCCACCGCCATGCAGTGTCACTGAAACTCATTACTCAGTGCATGAGAGTCATACCGAGACACAAAAGTGTGTGCATGATTCCAGTTTGGGTCAGTCCAACGCCGTTCGGGCCAATAACACGCATGCAACCCCCACCCCATTAACAACAGAGTCAGATCTCTGCAAGCCCACAGCCATCCGAGAGGAAATCAAGCGGGCGTCTTCCAAAAAGGTTATGGGCAAACTAGAAAGCAACCCAGGCCCAAACTTCTCCAAACCTTTGTCTAATGCCACAGTAATGGAGGGCTCTCCGGTGACCCTGGAGGTGGAAGTCACTGGATTCCCTGAGCCTACATTAACCTGGTGGGTAGCTTATAACAAACTTGACCTATAAATGTAAACATTCTTTGCTAATCGACCATTGCGCCCCAAGTCTAGGGGAAAACAACATGGGCATAATAAACAAAAAAGATGGTGGATGGTGGATTTCCCAAACAAAAACAAAAAACTTATACAAAGGCTCCCCTTTGGTCGACAACCAAATGCAGACACTCAGTTGAGTGTAACTGAACAGATTTATCATAGAAAAAGAAAAGTAGCCATTTAAATGAGCATCTCTTTAGAGTGACCACAGGCCAAAATGACAAACAAAAGAATCTGCAAAGTAAATGATCTAAATAACCTAAAAACTCTTTAAAGAAAAATAGAGGAAGCTTATCTTCCTCCCTAAACATAAACAAAGTCAAAAGTAATCAAATTAATAGGCAGGTCACCCCATACAAGCTCAAACTCTCATTGCATGGACATTTGTACAAGACTAAAGTTTGGTCGTTGGCTGGAGGAGTAGGAAAATCCAGGAGCTCTCCTTTCCCAGCAACCATTGCACCACAAATGAGCTCCTAGAACTTTGCCGAAAGTTCCCCTTTATAGATCTCTGCAATCAGCAGCCAATCAGAGCCTAGATCACATTAACATGGGAGCCTATGGGATAACACAAAAACAGCACATGAAAAACAACACAAGCAATGCTCAACAAAAAATAAATAAATAAACTTTAGCAATCACATCAACAGTGAGGCTTGCTATTCATAATATAATATAATATAATATAATATAATATAATATAATATAATATAATATAATATAATATAATATAATATATTTTGTGCATAACAGTTTAAGATTTTGGGGTCATTGAAAATGTGTATTTATTTGTATTTTAATAGAAATTTTGAAATAAATGATTTTATCCAGCAGATTGGTTTAAATTAGTGTGATGGAAAAGGATAATTTATAATCCAACAAAATATTTATATTTGAAAATAAACATTTATTTTCAATTCTTCTAATTTCTTGGCATCAAATAGTAATGTCACAGTGTGTGCAAGATAAAAATTTAGATATTTTAACATTTATAATCAAATAAAATATCATCCAGAATGATGACTGCATTGGAATGGAGCAGTGACTGCTAAAGCCTCATTATAGGAAATACATTTTAAACATTAAAAATAATTAAATGTATTAAAATCCATAGATATTTTCTATTTGTATAGCTTTTCTACTTTACTATAATTTTAATGAGATAAATGTTCTTTATTTATATTGTGTATACATTTACAGTTGAATTATTGCCCTGCTGTATATTTTTCCCTGATTTCTGTTTATTGGAATGATTTTTTTTTCAAAACATTTCTAAACAGTTTTAATAACTCATCTCTAATTATTTTAGCGTTACCATGATGACAGTAAATAACATTTTACTACATATTTTTCAAGACACTTCTATACAGCTTAAAGTGACATTTAAAAGCTTAACTAGGTTATTTCGACAAGTTGGGGTAATTAGGAAAATCATTGTGTAATAGTGGTTTGTTCTGTAGACACTCTAAAAAAATAGCTTGAGGGCTAATAAATTTTACCTTAAAAGTTTTTTTTTTTTTTTTTTTTTTATGAAAAACTGCTTTTATTTTAGCTGAAATTAAAGAAATAAGACTTTCTCCACAAGAAGAAAAAAAAAAAAAAAAAAAAAAACGTTATAGGAAATACTGTGGAAAATTCCCGGCCCTGATTAACATAATTTGGGAAATATTTGAAAAAAAAAAATTACAGGAGGGCTAATAATTCTGACTTTAACTGTATGTATACATATATGTGTATGTATATACATCTAAATTGGTGGAAAATCCTCATTATACAAACCATTGATCGACACTGCAGTTTTTAAAGACTAATTTCACAGGATTGTTGATGTAGATAAACACACATTTTTGTCTGTGCATGAAGGCAGAGTTGTTGAAAAAATGCAGTATTTCATTTTAATTGTCCATTGTTTTTTCCACTGTCATGCATAGATTCCATTTATACTAACTTCTTCATCCACATTTCCTTTAGCTAACCTTTCCATTGTATTTAACCTCAATAAGACTTTCTACTTTAACATTTCCTCTAATGTCTCTCTTCCATTGTGTGTGTGTATTAATGTGTGCTTATTTTGCTGTGGTGTGATTGTGTGACATAATAATCCACTCTTTGTTTAGGTTCAAGAACGGACACAAACTGGCCAATGATGAGCATATAGAACTGTCCCATAAAGAAGGCAAGCATGCGTTGTTCATTCACAGCTCTGCAGTGAGAGACTCTGGCCAATATGTGGTTACTGCCTCAAACTCAGCCGGCACAGTGTCGTCCAGCTCCATGCTGCAGGTCAAAGGTAACGGCACTGACCTTGATGTACTCAAACTGGACTGGCACACCTGCTTTGGCACACTTTGCTTCTTCTTGTGGCTTCTCTATCTGCTGTTACTATAATGGACACTGTCATTAGCAAAAACACATGGATGTTGGACTCCACATCACAACCGCTAATGTGCACACAATTAACTGTGTGTGGTGGCTGCACAAAGTAATCGAGCACATGGGTAGCTGATATAAATATATATATTTTTTTTTCTTTGTTGTTGTTCGTTTTCTTCATCTAAAACTATGCTGGCAGTTTAGTAAGTATAATCTGGTTGTAATGCATGCAGCTCTTATGATATTGTTTGACTACATTGAATATCTGTAGGTAAAAAAATTAAATTGCCATACTGTAAGAGCATGCAGTGCATTATTGTAGTTAAAATGGTGCTTTGATAAGGTGATCAGTCACAGGACCTAAATATACACTTTACCTTATACATTCATATACATTTTAACCACAAAACATTGTTGTTGAGTGTTTTTTATTGACATACTTCATCAACTACCCATTGATTTGTTCATAAACACTGAAATCACTGTAACAATGTTTTGCAATAATTGACGTAGTTAATGAATACAAGTTATTCTGTTTTTCCTATTATATTATGCAAGTAGCAACTGATCTGCATGTAGTTCCCTTTGTGATGGTAATGAAGCCATGGAATGCTCTCCAGTTATTTATAGTTGCAGTTATGAAATAACATGTTCAGCATTTTACTATTAAATCCTTTATTTTTAAAGAGTTTCTGCTTTAATAGTATTCATTTGAACAAATTCACTTCTGTTTTATTAAAAATAATGTTGAGGAAAAGTTCACCTAAAAATGAAATTGTGTCCATCTTCAAGTACTTCCAATCCTTTTGAGTTTCATTTTTATGTTAAACAAAAGAAGATATTGAAAATAAAGCTGAACGAAAACTATCAACATTTATAGTATGTAATAGACTCTGTGATAGTCAGTGGTTACCGATTTTCATCAAAGTATTCTTTCCACAAAATAGCCTATGAAGAAACTCAAACAGGTATGACAGAGTTTATTTTTTGAGTGAACTGTCCCTTCATCATCATTTATTCACTCATCTATGCAAATGTTTAATTTTCCGTTAAAGATTCTTTTGGAAGACTTTTTTGAAGGCTTAAACAGTAAAAATTGGATCTCTAACACAAGTCTCCATATACTTTGGTTGTGAACAAATAAATACATTTAGAGGCATTTCTTCAATCACCAACTTTTGTTCTCAACTAAAGCTGGGATAGCACAATGTAAATTTCTGATGATCCACCCCTTTACCATTTTTTGTGTCAACAATATGTTGTTTGGTTAGATCATATTGAGCTTGACTAAATGAATAAATATAAATGCTAAATCTCAGACTGAACTGAAATCTGCTGATTGTAAATGTTGTTTGAGTTTAGATCAGCTTGTTGTCATATTTGAGAAAAAAATATGTGTATTTTCCTGGTGGAATTTGCCCCTACAAGATGTGTACGCCATTGTCAAAAAGGGATGGTCGTGGTCAACATCACAGGTAGACAGTGTGGTTTAAACAATGCTTAGTTTGTACAAATACGACCAGAGAGTGGGGGGGTTGGTTGTTTCGGGGGTGAGTTTCTGAATAACACTGTTGAGGGCCGGGTTAGTAAGCTAACTGTACTGTGGTGTTTGTAACTGAAATATTTAAATGTGTGTGTATATATATATATTTTATTATTTTTATTATTTTTTTTAATTGGGTAAAGAGGAAAACACTGTTATACAATAACTTGCCTAATTAATCTAACTTTCATAAAATATCCTAGTAAAGCCTTTCAGTTGCACTTTAAGCTGAATAGTATCTGTCAAAATTACTAGAATAATATTATTTACTGTCATCATTGTACACTCAGAAAAAAAGGGTACAATGTTGTATCTTAGAAGGTACAAACCCTTGTCACTGGGGCAGTAACTTTTTATGGAACAAAATTGTACCTAAAGACAACGAAACAAATTTGTACCATTGCAGTTTTTTAAGGTCATGATTTGTGACATGGGAAAATGAAATGTACCTTTGGTTTTTAAAACATGCAGATACAATATTGTACCTTCATCAAAGGTACAAATCTGATCCATGAGGGCACTATGTGACAAGACACTTTGTACCTTAACAGTGTCAAATGAGTTTCTTCAAATTAAAGGCGTTTTGCTTTATTCAAAATGCGTCAATTTATTTTCAGTAAACAAAAACATCAAATACATTTTTAAACAATGTTTTTAAAAAAAGTTTCTTTTTGTGTAAATGCACCTTTTCCATTTACAGTAAAGAATAAAAAATACTTTAACACAAATAAAAATATCTATTTTTTCCTAAACATTTCACAACACTTTTCACAAAAATGTAACAAACACATTTTCCCATGTACAATATAAAACTTTTTTCTCTCCAATTTTCACACAATACCTTTGTAATCACTTAAAAGTTTATTTAATTTACTTAATTTAAAATAGAATTATGCAAAAGTATTGTAACGAGATATGCACAATGTTTGATTAGCTTTACAATACTAAAATGTCTGCATGAACACTTTGCATATGTAGGCCTTTTGCCAGCTCACGTGCGTATGTAAAAAAGCAAACGCCAAAAGGTGCAGATATCAATAATGAAACTGTATTTTTCAAAAAATCCTTTCCAAATGTTTACTAAAAATGCCTAAAATATTTAGTTTACAATAGCTATAGTTTTGTTTTACTAGTTGTTTTGTATTATAGAATGTAACATTATGTTTATGAGTTTCTTTAAACATGTTTTTAAATGATGATTCACTTTAATATGGAAATTATTCATAAAATCATCAATATGCCTTTCCAGCAGTGGTGGAAAGAGTACTGAAAAATCATACTCAAGTAAAAGTACCATTACTTGCCTTAAAATGTAAATAGAGTAAAAGTATCTGTTGTAAATATTACTCAAAGTATCAGTAAAAAAGTAACCCTTTTAAAAGTACTCAAGAGTAGTGAGTTTTACGCTGTGAAAAGCTGATGCATATTTACATGTAATCTGTGGATGTGTGTATACGTAACATTCTGTAGTGCATTTAGTTATTGCCCAGCAGGTACACAACATTATAAGATGTTATGTTAGGTTAGATTTAGTTTGTGATGTCAAGTAACCAAAATCCAACGATGAGCCAACATCTTAAACCAACGTCCTACTGATGTAAAATACTGACATTTATTCATCAGGTATGGCAACCAAAATCCAAACGTGTGATACACATTGTGGTAACTACAACACAACGTCAAGCTGTAACATCATTAGAAATTGATATTTGGTGGTTTCGGTTGGACATTGGTCTGACGTTAAGTTCTGACGTCAACATGATTTTCATATTCAAACAAAATGCAATGTCCCCGTGACGTTAGGGTAGAATGTCAATTTGACGTCATGTTGATGTCTTGTGCTTGCTGGCTGTTATCATACAGTAAACATCTGTCATCTTCTCATCAGTGACCTGCATCTAAACAGTCTCTGGGTCAATGCGTGCAAAGATTCTGGACATCTTCTTGGACACTTTTAATGCTTCCAAACAGTTTGCTGCATTTATAAAGCACCCATGTCTTGAGGTAGTTCATTATGATGCGATTTACCTTCTATGTGCAATCTGATTGGTCAGGAATCACAGGACTGAACTTTCTAATCCCCTTAAAAAAAAAAAAAAAGTAGTGACTGCAGGTTGAAGGAAAGTAGTGGAGTAAAAGTACAGATACAGCACAAAAAAATGTACTCAAGAGAGAGTATAAGTACACTTTTTTAAAACTACTCAATAAATTACATTTCCTGAGAAAAAATACTCAATTACAGTCATTTGAGTATTTCTAATTAGTTACTTTACACCACTGCTTTCCAGTCATATTAATTTTCATAGATATTTGTAATAAAGAACGAGTTTTGTATCATAAAAGATACAGAACCGTATAAGAAGAGGTTTTTTCTGTACCTTATAAAGTACAACTTTTACAAAGCTACAAAACTGTTTCTGAAGGAACATTATTTGTACCCCCGTGTACCTTTTTTTCTGAGAGTGTAACGATAAAATAATCTAGATTTTCTATTAGAAATTAATTATTAAAACTATAGTGATTAAAAGGTGGTATCTCTTTTAAACATCATTTGGGATAATCTAAAAGACTTAACAATTTTACAGGAGAGCTGATAATCTTGGCTTTAACTGTTCATTACTGTGCACCGGCTACGCAGTTTTAGTGGCCATTCATATCAGCTGTTTTTTATTGCTCAATGATTTCAGTTCAGTCCGAGTCAGAGTGATCATTATATGGACATTATACCATTGCAAAAATACATTATGTACAGATATTGTTTCATACAGACACTTGTTAACAAGCATGTTGTAGTCAGTATGATATCTTCAACATATATGTACTCATGGTTGTAAGTCTGTAATTTGACCTGAGGTATGTACTGTACCTTCACCCACCCAAATATTACCATCACATAGACACATCCTGTTTAACTTCAATGCATGCATGTTTGCTGTTACGTGTTATAAGATTTCTTTTTGATCTGAATTTCTATATTTTCTGACATTTGCAAGTGATCTAATACTAGTATTTGTTACTATATATATGTTTATTATTGCCAAGAAATATTACTTAAATACTTCATTTAACATCCTATACAACCCTTACCCTCCTAGATGCTTTAAATATGTTTGGTTTTTATTCTTGACTTGAGAAGGAACATGTTACAGGGATATATTTATAATTTTGTTTTTTTTATAACATTTTGGACACTCCATTGAGATCAAGATGAGCTCTCAAAAGTTTTGGTCTGATTTGCTTGAGGAGCAAAATAATGATTATACCCATAAGGAGAACATTAGCATACAGATGACATGCTAAAAGCCCTAAAACCTAAAAACTTTATTTCATGGTTGTGTTAAAGTTCTCTGCTGAAGGAAAGTACGGGTGACTATTAGTCACTGGTATGTTACTGTTATCACACAGCATAACTTGTGTCTCTCAAGTTACATCTTTGCTTTCCTGCTATGTCGCCCTACTGAGAAGGTGTCTGGGTGTCATTCCTCACCCGATCTGCATTCAGATACAGCTGTCTCACAGATCTAAAGGTCCTACACTTTTAACATCTCCTCAAGTGCTCTTTACTTACTGCTTTTTACAAGAATAACCAACCCACCCCCACCCTCAGCTGACAAAGTCCAGATTTTGACCCCTATATGAGCTCATTTATCCCATTTTTGACTGTATGCTATCATAAATTGAGAAAATTATAAATAGAAAACAAATTACAAATTATTTTTTATTATTCAACTGGCCAAATTTCAAATTTTGACTGAGGAAAGATAAATAAGCTGGCAAGATTATATTTGCCCATAGGCATCATATTTTATTTTAAAAACAATTTTTACCAAACTGCTTTTTTTTTTTTAAATAATAATTAATAATAATAATTTTTTTTTTAAATTTTTTTTTCAAATTCCTAATTATCTTTTTTTTTATTTAAAATGCTAATCTCATAACAATATTTATAAAACTGGATTAACTTAGTTTAAATCCAAATGTGTAAATAAATACTAGTAAATACTACAAAATTGTAAGTAAGTAAATATTACAAAATTGTAGGAAACATTTTTGGTGTGTTAAAACCATCCGATCACCATCCGACAACCGGATCCAGCAAAGATTAGTCCTTAAAATATCACTAAAATGCATAAATGAATTGAAAAATGAGGTGAGGAGCTGCAAAAAAGGTCCACTTTTTCTGAAAAAAGAGCCATGCCTTTCAATAGGCTGGCTACAGGCCTGAGTAAACAATAATGGAGGCTTAATGAGGCACATATTGACAACTCTATTTGAACTCTGAAAGCATTGTCAGCCACTTTTTTTGTGATGTTAATGCATTAATTTCTGCTTTATTTATTCAGTGCAGTTATAATGTAAACTGATTTCCTCAGGTTGTAGGAACAGTCCACACTTCCTCTCCAGAGTGGATGGGCAAAATGTACTGGTGGAAGAAGACCTCAGCTCACACTGTACTTATCCTCAAGTGCTCTGCCTGAAAGATTCTAAGGTTGCAGCATGTGACAAAAGCCCAGTGAGTCAAATGGTGTAAACTTAAATAAATGCAGTATATAATCTAAGAGCACTAGTTATAATCATTGTTTGATGTTGTTGCACTGTTTATTAAACACAATAAAATATTTAACTTTAACCTGTAGCTGTAATAAAAGAAGCTTTTTACATTTTTAAAAACCACATTAAAGTCAATAGTATTACCCCTTAAGAAATATATTGTTTTTCAATTGGCAAATTGTTATGCAACGAATGTCCTGATTACCCTAACTTGCCTAGGTAACCTAATTAGGCATTAAGCATTTAATTTGCACTTTGAGCTGAATACATCTTGGAAAATATCTAGTAAAATATTTTGTGCTTTTTTGTTGCGTTTTTTTTGGCTAAGATAAAATAAATCTGTTATTAGAAATTAGGTATTAAAACTATTATTTTTAGTCAGCGCAGTACCTTAGTAGTTAGCGCGCCGGGTGCAGTAGCACGTCAGGGCGTCCCGAGGTTGATTCCCGGCTCGAGGACATGTCCCAACCCCCCTCTCTCTTCCACTTTGCTTCTTGTCTAATGAAGGCCAAAAAATAAATATTAAAAGGAAAACTTTTATGTTTATAAATGTGTTGAAAGAAAATTCCCTCCATTAAACAGAACTTGGGGAAAATAATATTAATTCTGGGCCTTTAAATAAGAGGGCTAATAATCGTACTACAAATATATTACATGCAGTTAAAAAAACAAACATGTATACACAATATGTGCATTATAAGTAGCTAATTTAATTGTAAGTACATAGAAGTTAAGGCCACTTGATATACAGTTAAAGTCAGAATTATTAGCCCCCCTGTTTATTTTTTCCCCAATTTCTGTTTAATGAAGAGAAGATTTTTCAACACTTCTAGTTATAATAGTTTTAATAATTCATTTCTAAGAACTTTTTCTTTTATCTTTGCCATGATGACACTTAATACTATTTCACTAGATATTTTTCAAGATACTTGTATACAGCTTAAAGTGACATTTAAAGGCTTAATTATGTTAATTGGGTTAACTAGGCAGGTTAGGGTAATTAGCCAAGTTATTGTGTAATGATGGTTTGTTCTTTAGACTATCAAATAGCTTAAATTGGCTAATAATTTTGACCTTAAGATGTGTTTTTTTTTTTATTTTTTTATTAAAAACTGCTTTTAACCTAGGCGAAATAAAACAAATAAGACTTTCTTCAGACGAAAAAATATTATCAGACATGCTGTGAAAATGTCCTTGCTTTGTTAAACATCATTTGGGAAATATTTAAAAAAGAAAAAAAATTCAAAGCAGAGCTAATAATTCTGACTTCAGCTGTAAACAGTATGACCAAAATTTAGTCTTTAAGAAGATTTAGTTTTAATTAACGGATGAACAAAGGTCTTTGACCTTTAAAATGTAATATTAAAAACATTTTACTTTGAATAAAAAAAGTGAAATTATTTTGTGCTTTTTCTGTTAATCATGACACTTTTGACTGAAAATTGTGTTATGTTTCATATATTGCAGAGTCTGAAGCAAAATTATCCATCACTTTCCTCCACAAGATGTGTTGATGTATCAGATATTGGAGCCTCTATCTGTCCAGTGAATCTGGAGAAAGTTGAAAGTTCTAACAAGGTGGTTATTTGAGGCATACCAAAAAAAAAAAAAAAAAAAAATTGAAAAACAGTAATAATAATAATAATCATAATAATATTATTTTATCTATATTTTTTATCAGAAGCCAACATAAAGACGACTGCTTATGGAGCATATAAGAAGCATCTGGAAACTCATCATCACTCCTGAATCCTTGCATTCACAGGCACAAGAATAAAAAGTTCACATAACCACATTCTGAATAATAATAATAATAATGATAATAATAAACAGGTAAAAGAACAGCAGCTTGATTATTGTTCAGTGCTTCTTGCTGAAAACTTACAAAGATGAAATTCCCTTATGTGTATATATACTGCATGTAATAAATGGTGACAAAAGAATATTCAAAAGATTTAAGCATTAGCGTGCAAGTTTTTGGTGATCTTTGTGATTTTATAGTTACCACTGTATCACATTTTGTCCTGAAATTGTTGTCCAATAAAAGTTAACACTTGCAGGCCCTACTCTGTGCTATCAGTAGTCTGGCATTCCACTTCTGCATGTCATTGCCTATCTTTAACATAGTCTCCTCACTTAAATTTACTTTGTCACCATGATGGCAACTTTTGAAAATATTTTTTTATTTTCGAGTTTTAATAGACATATATATATATATATATATATATATAACAGAAAGAAAGAAATACTGATGTGTAAATACTGACAGTGATCTAGACTGTTTATCTCATCTTAGTAAGAAAGACTGCCTTTCTCCCCAATTTGGTTCTTCACTTATTGAGGCTCAGCATGCAGTTGATCAATTGACCATGTTATCAGATATACATCCAGTGATGATTTCTCCTTTAATGAGTGGCATTTTCCTGTTTCTTGATGTGTGGGGGTTTTCAGCCACCCTGTGATAATGAGTCCTCTGCGTTATGTTAAGTAAAGTGGGTGACAGGTGTGAGCTTGCATAAAATGGCTACTACCTCCCATGATGCCTCATGGGGGGATGGCCAATGGGGCATGGCAATGTGGTGATGATGCTGAGTACCTAGGGGTATATAAAGTAAAACCACCATGTTAACAGTTCTGAGCAGTTGGAGCATTCCCAGCCTTGCCTCGGGTGTAGGGATTGCAAGGGAAAAAGCAAAACTACACGGCTAAGACCCTGTGTAGTTTTGTTTTTTGGGATATTTCGAGGCTCAACGGTTCTCACACTGTGTTTTCTGAAATCATATCTGGATAAGGACTTTGTTTCAGAAGACCAAACCCTTTTGGGCTTCGTCCCTCCAGTTCAAGGCACTCTTGTGGATACAAGTAAGTACACTTTGTGCTCTTGTACCCGTGTGCCAGTGTATTGCTTTCTAACTATGCTGTGTTGTGTGATTCTAACAAATAAAGAGAGTGGCAATGTAAAAGCGATGTTTGGTTTTAGAGTTTTACCAAGTGAAAGGACTGAAGCTGAAGACTTGAATATTCAATTAATTTATTTTGAGGCAACACATTTGATTTTAAAGGTTACTAAATGGTGCAGTGATTTCAGAAAAGCCAAGAATAGCCCGTGATAGCATTAGAGTGGTGACCCAGCAGGGCCATGATGTCTTTTTAAGGGAATCGGCAGCAGAGATATCAGTTGCACCTCCAGCTATGTGCCACATGGTGACTGTCAATCAAACAAGGGACAGGCTATTTTTAGAGGATGCCTTTTGTGAAGCTAGGTTTGGTTCACTTTGTAAATTGATTTTCGTCAAATGATTTCTGGAATTTTTTGATAGTTTTGCTTGGCAAATCTTATGTCAGTTATTTGCAGATTGTTGTACTAGAAGCAGAATTGGTGCTATGCAAAAACCATTCACAAGGTGTTTTAACTGATTTTGGGGACTGATTAATACCGATTATATTTATTATCATTATAATTAGCAAGTTATTCTGGTTTGAATATCTACTAATTAAATAAAAAACTGCTGATCTCACATAAAGTGCAAACAAAACCGTGGTATGTATATAACACAGTATGCTTTGTTGTGGTTGTGCATTTCAGAAAAATGCAAAGATTTCTCAATTTGTGCTTTATAAATTTTACTGTAAATTAAAAATAGTATAACAAATTTCCTGAAGCATATCCCAAGCTTGCTTACTAACATACTTCTTATTCGAAAACAGAACTTATCATGAAGGAAATTATACATATTTTTATACCAGAGTTTTGTTCAGTCGGTGTTGTACAATCTATTTTAGGTAAAGGTCATCAGTTCCTGTCAGCCATTTTTATTTCTAATTATAAACTAGGTCTATTCCTTACGTTCTGTTGCTTTAGAAAATCAAGATTTGTTCAGCATACTGTAAGTCCAGAGTGTTTGAACCTTACATGTTAATTTTAAATGACCTTGCTGTATGCATATATACCGTTGAAGTCAGAATTATTAGCCCCCCTGAATTATTAGCCCTTCTGTTTATTTTTGCTCCAGTTTCTGTTTAACAAAAAGTAGATTTTTTTTTCATCACATTTCTAAACATAATAGTTTTAATAACTCATTTCTAATAACTGATTTATTTTATCTTTGCCATGATGAAAGTAAATAATATTTTTCAAGACACTTCTATACAGCTTAAAGTGACATTTAAAGGCTTAACTAGTTTAATTAGGTTATCGAGGCAGGTTAGGGTAATTAGGCAAGTTATTGTATAACGATGGTTTGTTCTGTAGACTATCATATATATATATATATATATATATATATATATATATATATATATATATATATATATATATATATTTAAATGCCTTAAAATGTTTTTTATTTTTTATTTATTTATTTTTTTAATTAAGAACTGCTTTTATTAGCCAAAATACAGCAAATACGACTTTCTCCAGAAGAAAAAATATTATCAGACATACTGTGAAAATTTCCTTGCTCTGTTCAACATAATTTGGGAAATATTTAAAAAGAAAAAAAAATCAAATGGGGGCTAATAATTCTGACTTCAACTGTATGTGTGTATATATATATATATATATATATATATATATATATACACACACACACACACACACACACACACACACACACACTTTCAGTATTGCTTGGTAGAGGACTACTTGTTTAATTATTCTCTGATAAAACACAATTTGAATTAAGATCTGAAAGGCAATAGTTTGTGTTTAGTTTTATGGAATTATGAGAGATAAGGTTTGACAGTATAGGCCTGTATGACTATTATAAACTGCAGAGCTATTCTAAATTATTCGTCATGCCAGAAAAAGAGCTCACCGCACCAGTTGTTACTGTCATGTCCCATGAGCTGTCAGTTGATACGAGGCCCAAATGTCTGGCCTAACACCCAGCTGAGCCGTTGAATCTCAAGTGACATCCTTCTTCCAGGTTGTCTGGGATCACTCAAATGATCAATTTGTTTTGAAGCAGCTGAATTTACTGTTTATTATTATTGTTTTGTTGGCATTTTATTCTTTGTTTTAGCTGAGATTGATGCTCTAATTTTATTTTATGTGTTTTTAGGGTGCCTTCCACCATGACAACACAGGCACCAACATTTACACAGCCGCTTCAGAGCGTTGTGGCACTTGAGGGTAGTGCTGCAACGTTCGAAGCTCAAGTTAGTGGTAAGAACATTTCTCTGTCATGTTATTGCTACAACTTAGAAATATGATTGATATATGCTAAAACAAGCACTTGAGTGTGCAACATGGAAATGTTTGTACTTACATAAATCTGTAGACTGTTTATATGACTTGGTTTTGGTGGGTTTATGTCAATCATAAGTTTGATAGGATTTTAGGAACACTGTCACCCACAAACTGTATCATTTTTTGACATTAGACTATTTAAAAAAAAATCTCAATAAAATACAGTTTTAAGATATTTTCAATCAAAGTTAAAGTTAAGCTAAATGTTCTAGCAAATAGAATGCATTATATGTCGGAAACAAGTAAATTATATATGTTATTATGCAATTGTTAAGCATCATGCTATTTTAAATGCTGTATTACTGCCATTAAGGCATGTTTAGGTTAGGATTCAAGTATTTTTGAATGTACAGCATCTCTTTTTATAAACCAAGGAGACATTTTTAAATAGTATTTGTATTTGTCAAATCTCAGATTAAGTATTTTATAGTGTAATAACATAAACCATTACCAACAGGTAATCCAGTTCCAGAGGTGAGCTGGTTTCGTGATGGCCAGGTTCTTACTGCTGCCGCTCTGCCCGGCGCTCAGATCTCGTTCAGCGATGGCCGCGCTGTTCTGATGATCCCCGCCGTGACAGCCGCACACAGTGGAAGATTTTCTGTCAGAGCCACCAATGGTGCTGGACAAGCCACTAGCACTGCTGAACTGCTGGTTACAGGTAACAACACAGTTTGTGTCTCAGTTTAAGCTGTTGTCATCAAAATAGTATTAATAATAATGATGTTTACCCTAACTGATCTTCCAATCAAAATCCAAATACCTAAATATCTGCTGTGCCTGCATAATGACTGAAATTATAACTGAATTAATATGTTGGAATTATCAAAACATGAGTCACAAATTCTACTATATGCTGGCACCCTTGAGTAAAGCTACAGTAAGCAAAACGGTGGATTAACTACTCAGCTCATAAAGTTAGCAACTGTTGCTTGTTATAGAAGGTGGTCAAGATCTCCAGTGATAATATTTAATGACACATGCTATCATTGCTTGGAGAATTTATGGAAAGGAATTTATTCAGAGCCAAGAGTTGGGGCCATGCCATAAACAAGTGCATGCACCTTTAAAGTTTTAAGCAACATTTATTAACCACTAACAGTTAAATAGGCCAGTTTTGTGGTAAAGTGACTTAAAAGTACACCTGTTCTATTTCTTATATAGTTCATATATCAGGCTTCTAAAGTTTAGAACATTTGTTTTGAAATGATTTGCATATATTAAGCGTATTACCAGGCAGAGGGAAATACGATATCTTCAATTTTATTTTCTATCAATTTAAAAATAGTTAAGTCTTTTACTGTAATTTGTTACCCTCAGTTTATCAGCTGTACAAATTTTTAAATTGTTTCCTCTGTTTAATAAAGTCTGCCTTTGTATTAATAAACTGTACACAAGTTCCAACCTGTGCTCTCTAGTTTGTAAACATATTTATTACCTTAAATATTTTCAATCTGTCCACATATTAAAATAAAAAAGTAGCTTATTTCATGTTCTGTGAAATTAGTAACCAATTAGTTAATTGCTAATGTCAGGTTTTCAGCATTTTTTCACATTTTTTAAAATTTATTTACCAATGTAAATTTATTTATGTACCAATAGATAAAATAAAAAGTCAAAAAGAATTATAAATGTGAATCGGTTTGTTTTGCTTGGAATTTGTCAAATGATTGATAGTGCTTTATAGTTAACTGTAATAGGCTGACCAAAATTAGTAGGCCAATGCATCTAGGCTACCGTTCATATTTCTAGGCTACCTGATCTATTGCATCTGCCAGAGCCATGGCCCCAAACTCAAAGTTAAAAGAAAACTGCAGAATGTAACATAACATTAATAACATTACTCTCTTTTTTTAAATGATTGTTAATACAAATACAATGCAAAGTTGAAATGTAAACAATATTTGTACAGAATATATAGGCTTGGGGGTTCAGGTGGTTCGAAAGACCCACCCTTCACTGACAAAGGTCCAGAATTTGTCCTATGCAAAAGCTCGATTGTCCCATTTCGACTGCTATGCCATAATAAATTGTGAAAATAACCCAGTGAAGAAGGCTTTGTCTGTCGCTTCAGTGTGACTGAGGAAAACGGAATACGTGCTGGCCAGTTTGTTATTTAAATTAATTTTATTTAAATGACAATATAGTAGGTTTTAATTTAGAACTTTAACAAATTCCTATTTGTTTAATGATATATCATGTAATCAATTTGTATTTAAAAAAGAAGTATTGCTCTCATTTTTCTTCATTCTAAATCTTTAAGAAATGCTTTTGGTACATCAAAAAGTTTGGTTATGATGATCAACCAACCCGCTATTCCAGCAAATAAATGTGCTTAAAATGTCACTAAAATGCAACTTATTAAAACTTTCTAATTAAATAGAAAATGATGCAAGTAACTGCAAAAAGATCCTCTTTTTAAGAAAAAAAGAACCACCTCTTTCACCAGGCAGCCTACAGGCCTGATTTACAAAATATAAATACATTCATAGTAGAAAAAGGTACAAACAGAGAGTAAGAAAAAAACTTGAGGGTAAGATGTTAAAGATTTAATTACAGTAGGTTATACAAATTAAAGTCGTTACAAAACTGCATAGTTCTGCTTGCTTTCTTATTTTAAGATAATGAAATTGTATTTAAATAATGAAATAATAAAATTCTAAAATAAAATAAACAAATTAAATAGTAATAATATCATATAATATAATATAATATAATATAATTTAGTTTAGTTTAATTTAATATAATATAATGTACATTTGTCAAAGGAGACAGATTCGTCAAAAAAAAAAAAAAAAACTTTAAAAGTACTGTACTCATTTATGGCAACGTCCGTGTGGTTATGATGACTCGTGAATGATATGGAAAAAAGAATGTGGTTGTGTCAACAGTCAAACTTATTAGCGCCCCCTTATGTTCATTGAAAATGCTTTACCCAACCAAACAGTCAGAAAATGATGAATTTCATTTTCAACGAAGCGCGTTGTCTGAACGGTTTCAGTTTGTCAGGACTGGACGTTGTGTCGGCAAAATGTAGGTGTACTGTTATCACTTGTCACATTACATATCATAAGTCACAAAATGTTTTGTTTATAACTTTATGGACTAACGTTATAAGTTGGTTGGTTTGGGTGCCAAAAACAAATCAGCTAACATTAGTTTAGCGAGACAGCAGCTTGTTCTGAAATGATAGCTTACACTGACTGAGCCTTTTTGTTTGTTTGTTTGTTTGTTTACTATATTCACGTCGTGTAATTGTGTTTATTTTGTAAACCATTTTTACATAGTAAAAAAAAAATCCATTTAAATGTACAAAGCTTTTACTGGATTGTATTTTCTTTAACGTTACTACTAGGCTACTAAAATGGCTTTATGTAGTTCAGCCACCAATAAACTTCCAGTGAGAGGTTTATTTTTTGACCATTTTCGATTTCTTGAGGTTTCTTTTACAGCATTGATAATGTAATTTAATAAAAATATAATCCTTTAAATAGACACAAGCATTTATTTAGTTGTTCATTTAGTTTAGTTGCAAGGGTCGCCAGGAGCAGCAGGTAGCGAAGATCATTGATTTTAAAAATCAGATCTGCAGCGAGTTTATAATGGTGTAACAGAGCACCTGAGCTGGCCTATGCAAAATCAAAAGTCCTTGTTTCTGAAATTTCAGATATGCTGACTGAAAATGTTCTTGATTCATATGTCTAAACATATATTCATAAATTAATGCATTTACTGAAATTCAGCTATATTGGTTTTACTAACTTGTGTGTATCTGATTTGTACACAGTTGCATTTCCTTTGCTGTTATTTACTCTTGCTAACAGAATGTGTGATACTGATCAGTGTTTTAAAGATTATAATTTAGTATTTAATGTAAAATATTTAATGTTGATATTTTTATTACATTTTAATTTTATTAATGTGTATTTTGTATATAATTTCAGCCGAAACTGCACCACCAAATTTTATTCAGAGACTACAAAGTTTGACTGTGAGACAAGGGAGCCAAGTGAGACTGGATGTTCGAGTTACAGGAATCCCTGCACCTGTGGTGAAGTTCTACAGAGAGGGAGCCGAGATTCAGAGCTCCGCTGACTTTCAGATTGTTCAAGATGGAGACCTTTACAGTTTGTTGATTGCCGAGGCCTTCCCAGAGGATTCTGGAACCTATTCTGTCAGTGCTTCTAACAGCAGCGGACGTGCAACTTCAACTGCTGAGTTGCTTGTTCAGGGTAAGAATTTTTTTTTTCACATTTTCACATTATTTTTAATAAGTGACTTAACATGCATTTCATTGGTTCACAGGTGAGGAAGAAGCCGTACCTGCAAAAAAGTCTAAAACTATAATTTCAGCCTCTCAGATATCACAAACTCGTCAGACTCGGGTGGAGAAGGTGAGTATCAGTTGCAACAGTGAACGAGCCTTCACAACTCTCTTGAGAGTATCACAGTAAAGTCTCATTTACCTCTATGATCATTGTGTTAATTGCTTTTTTTTTATTCTGACAGAGAGTGGAAGCTCGTTTTGAGGCCACTGCCACAATGCAAATGCAGGTTGAAAGTGGAGTTGTTACAGAACATCTGGCACATAAGACTCCACCTCGTGTGCCTCCTAAGCCAACCTCAAAATCTCCACCTTCACAACTGACTAAAGTTTCAACTGCTCGCCAACAGTCTCCCTCTCCTGTGAGGCATGTTAAGGGCCCGACACCCACTCCTGTCAGGTAACGTGTCTGAAGTTTTCTGAATCACATCACATCTTTTGACAATTAATATAGTACATTTCACTGGGCTTGAATACTTATGTTAATTTAATGGAAGCATTAAAGGGATATTTTCAAAATAATAAACTTGAAGTGATACACCTTTTTGGTCATAATTGCTAACAAAATAAAATAAATGTTGTTTTGGAATAAAAATTGCCACTATTTTTGTTTGTTAACATGCATTGCTATTATTGATGTAAACATTTAATCCCTGCAAGTTTCTATTTTCTTTTTTCTTGGTTGTCTAAAATAAAAATCTGAAAAAGATGTATATTGTAGAGCTGTTTATATTAATTAATAATTAATAATAATTCCTGACATTAATATAGCATTTTTTATGGACACTCAAAATGCTTTACACATTGGGGAATCTCCTCATTCACCACCATTATTATTTCTAAATGTCTTCCATTTGCATTTCTATGAAACTTTTGACAAGTGCGATCACAACAAATATTCAACAGATATTAATTTTCCACTAAAATGTTTAAAATATTTCTTCAAAAGGCAAATTAATCTAGTAATAAAGCAATTTTTAACGAATGAGTCCCAAAAAAAAAAAAAAAAATCAAATTCATGAAATATGTGGGGTATTACGGTGGTGCGTGGGTAGTGCAATCACCACACAGCAAGAAGGTCACTGGTTCGAGCCCCGGCTGGGCCAGTTCAATTCAATTCAATTCAATTGTTTATTGTCATGTGCACAGTAAGGAAACACGTTTCCCTGTACAATGAGATTCTTACTTTGCTGTCCACAGTGAAGTCATACACACAACATACACATCATACACGACATACACATAAACACACATATATACACAGAAGTGACTGAAGTATAATTATAAAATGTAAGTATATAAATATCCATGAAAGTAAACAATATATAAATCTGATTTTGGAGTAATGAAACAGATTTAAACAATGTATAGTGGTTCTTAAATTGTGCTTATTATGCAAAAAGTGCCTAGTGCAATTGGCTTATGTGCAAAAAAAAAAAAAAGTTGGCATTTCTGTGTGGAGCTTGCATGTTCTCCATGTGTTCACATGGGTTTTCTCTGGGTGCTTCAAAGACATGCGCTATAGGTGAATTGGGTAAGCTAAATTGTTCTTAGTGTATGAGGGCATACTCACACTATGTACAGTTGCCTTGAACCAGGCCGAAGCACGCTTGTCCCCCCTCCCGTCTCCTCTTGATGGCCCGCACTCAAATTGCATTCGGGCCTGGGCATGCTTACATCATCGATGATGCGCTGTTCAGTAAGCCCTCTCTTTCAGCGCAGAGGAGATTTCTCTAGTTATATTGTTTTAGTCGTTTGATATGCAGTAACATATAGTTAAATATTTCGCTGAACAGATCAGCCACTTTTGATGCTCATAAACAATCATAAAGTCCTCGTGCTGCAGGAATTAGTAGGTTTGCTAAAGGTGCAGCTGTCGTGCAGTGAGGCGTCTTTAATAATCTACAACAGTTTGCATTTCTTGAACAGTAAGAATGAATATTAAATCCATATCCATATTAAGTTCCTTAAAAGTTCTTTCTTGTCTTCAGTTTCGGGCTCAGGCGCGCTTTGCACTCACACTACAAGCGTACCACGCCAAAGCCCAAGTGAACCACGCTGTGGCACACCTCTTCCAACCAGGCCAGGGCCGGCCAAGTGTACCGTGCCTGAGCCCTAGTGCGCCCTCATATGCTAGATAAGTTGGCGGTTCATTCCACTGTGGTGACCCCTGATTAATAAAGGGACTAAGCCAAAAGGAAATTGAATGAATTAATAATAACCTTGTAAAAAAAACTTGTCAGTACCTCTAGTAAATTATTATTTATAAGTGGTCTGTTCAGAATAGTAGGAGAACCGTGATCTCCATTTTAAACATTTTCACTATCTAGAATAATTCAGCTCTATTCATATTATTTGCCAATCGAAAAGCCTGTTGTGTTGTTTGCCCCCTTATGGTCACTACTAATGCTAATAAAAAGTCTAGAAAGTCTTATGTGTTTTATTTCGGCTAGAGTAGATCAGGTTAATAAAAAACATTTTAAGGTCAATATTATTAGCCTTGTCACTTTTTTCTGATAGTCTACAGAACAAACCACTGTTTTACAAATAATCTGCCTAATTACCCCAACTTGCCTAGTTAACTTAATTAACTCTTTAAATGCTCTTTAAGCTGAACACTAGTATCTTGAAAAATATCTAGTAAAATATTCTGTACTGTCATCATAGATAAAATAACTCTTTATTTTCATTTTCATTGAAAAAACCTTCATACATTATATACAGTACTGCCTGAGTTCTTACAAAGAAATATACCATCAAAATTCTTTTGGTGAATTTAACTTACTACAAAAAGGAACGCAAAACCCTACCACCCACCCCACCCATTTAACATTGATCAAAATGTTAGTGGAAGGTTCATAAAAATAAAAGGCATACATGCATAACATTTACAATCATATATGGATCTGGCTGGGACAAAAATTTAAAATTGAGGCAAGGTGTACATGGACAATGAAACCAAAAGAGACATTATAAAACAATTATAAGATAATTATGAAATAAATAATGTCAGTCTATCTGCAAAAATTAATATGAATGGTTCCCAAATCTTGTTAAAAATGGACAATTTTTCATTTAGTATGAATCTCAGTTCTTCTAGGAATCATAGATAAAATAAATCAGTTATTAAAAATCAGTTATTAAAACCATTATGTTTAGAAATGTAATGAAAAAATCTTTCCGTTAAACAGAAATTGGGGGGAAAATTATACAGGGAGGCTAATAATTGTGTCTTTAACTGTAAATATTCATAAGGTTGTGTGTTCATGTTTTAATAACATAACATAACATGCTTTTTTCTTCTAATTTCAGAGCTGTGTCTCCATCTACAAGATTGTCTGTTTCCCCAATCAGACCTGTCAAGTCCCCTGTGATGACCCGCAAACAGGTCACGCCGTCCTCTGAGGTCTTGCCCCCATGGAAGCAGGCAGGGTATGTTTCAGAGGCCAGCTACACCCAAATGATTGCTGGAACAACACAAGTCCAGACCTCCACCCAGGTCCAAATGGAGCAGCGTTGGGAGGGATCGGTTGCAGGTGTCAAAGAGGTAAAGCATTTCCCATTAGGCAAAACAGTTTTCATTTTTTGCATGTTACAGATGTCTCTCCACAGGATTCTATCTTACAAACTGTTTGTTTCTCAGTGAAATTGTATGTCCTGTTAAGTTTGACAACATCTTGCAACCTCAATTCTACTTGCATGTATAAAGGAGCAGCAAAACACGGATGAGAAAAGTGTTGCTGTTGCCACTGTAGTGGCGGCAGTGGACCATGCTCGTAGTCGTGGACCACTCAGCGACTATGTAGAACAGCCCAGTGTTGAAACCGGCATAACTGCAGTACACATTACATCTCAAAATGAGCAGGTAGTTTGGTAGTGCTGTGGTCGTCACCCATCCAAACTTCATACTCCTATTTACCCCAACTGACTCCACATAGATTTTTAATAGCCAACCATAACAACTTTTACTCGCAATTTTCCCCCAACCCATTACTTTATTCTTGAACATAAACTTATTTTTCTTTATTAAGCAACAATTTAGAGGTTTCTTTCCACATGTTCATAGATATCATGTCAGGGAATCCAGGAGAAATCTGTGACAACTCAAACTTTGACAACTCATAAAATCAGTATTGATGTTTCAACCACTAGTGAGAGATCCTTGGAAAAGATCGAAGCAACTGCAGAGGTAGAGTCTAGGATAATAAATTATACTTGGCCACAATAATAATTTTTTTTCTATGCACTTTTGTTAAAGAGCACCTTCTGTTTTTGTGTTTAAGGGCAACATTTAAAAGGCTGCATATATTCAGCTATGGATAGTTTGAAAAATGTAATAAAGTTTGATTGAACTTAAAAAATCTGCAACTTCATTGCCTTTCTAACCATTTTTAGTTGTTAATAAAATGTTAATAAAAAATTAGGGCTGTATGGTATTGGAAAAATTCCCAGAGATGGGTTTTTTTAACTTGCTGGATAAGTTGGCGGTTCATTCCGCTGTGGCGACACCGGATTAATAAAGGGACTAAGCCGACAAGAAAATGAATGAATGAATGATATTGGAAAAATCTGACATTGCAATATTTGTTTTTCTGCAAAATATAATGCGATATGAATACAATTTAATTTTGCAATGAAATCATTAAAGGGCACCTATTTTAACCGATTATCAAGATTTAAGATAAGTCTTTTGTGTCTCCAGAATGTGTCTGTAAAGTTTCAGCTCAAAATACCCATCAGATTATTTATTATACCTTTCAGAATATTGGATATTTCTGAACACAATATAGCTGTTTTTGTAGCCTGTGCCTTTGATGCTAGTTTTCCCTGCCTACTGCTCCCATGTTCCTGTCAGAGTGTGCCTCAATCTCTGCCTCGGCTGCTTTTAGATAAAAAGAACAGTGACAGACATGAAGCAAGCAGATCTCATGTAACGTTTGTGAGAAATACTATTGTAAGAACTTTCCCAATGATTATTTGATGTATTTATTGTGGAGTTAATTCAAGCCTTTCTGCGACCATGAATCACACAATGTTGTTACAATGTCATTGCACATAGCTGCGTCCCAAATGACACACTATGCACTTTTGCACAATGTACTTATGCACTTACACACTCAACAGCATAGGATATGTATAGTGTCATCCCAAATGAACGAGCTGAACATATCTTTTAAGCCCAGTTGCTTTGCGCATATCCTGTCTTGGTGATATGATTATACGCACTACTACGGGGACATGTTAATACGCGGCTGTTAATCAATTTGGTGGGCAGGGAAACCCCATTTCTACATCACGTTGTGGTGGACCTCAAAACGGGAGGGATTTGGATCCTATTTTAACATCAGGAAATAAAAAAGAGACTTATTAGCCCCTTTCACACATAGAGACCTTTCCGGAAAATTGCCGGCAATTTTCCGGAAAAGTTGTATGTGTGAACAGGTCCTTTTTGAAAATACCGGTAAATTCGTTCTGGCTATTTTCCGGAAAGAGAAGTTGTAACATTACCGGCAATTTGTCGGAATGCTGCGCTGTGTGAATGCAGAAGGAAGATTACCGTAATGAGCGCGTGCACGTGTAGAACGTGCTGACGTGAGACGTCTGCTTTAGCCAATCACAACAGTCAGACGCATTTACGTCCGCGCAATTTGTGAGAATAAAAACCTTTGAATATTTTTCCAGACACATTTAGCTGCTAGAAGTTAGTCAGATCACGTTTATATGTTCTTCTTTATGCCAACTGTGTAAATAATCATGGATGAGATGCATATGTTTGTTTACTTTTAAGCTTCAGCCTGCGAGCGCCTGCACACGCACATATTATGAACATCTCGACATGCGAAAGTGATCCTGCGAAAGTTGTTCACAATATTGATCATCCACAGAGTTTGTAATTTAGTCAAATGTTTACAGATACAAGCGCAGCCGTTTAAAGCTCATTTGTGGTGAATGATGTCCGAATTTACCGGTATTTTGGAATGGATGTGTGAATGCTCTTTTCCGAAAAATTTCCGTAACGTCCTCGCCTGTGTGAACAGCGCTTTTTTGAATATACCGGTAAAGTCGTTCCGGAAATTTTCCAGATATTTACCGGTATCACTGTGTGAAAGGGGCTATTGTCTTTATATCACCCCAATATAACTGTGGACACACTATACCTACACACAGTTCTATCCAAACAGCTTACAAAAGAGGATTTTCATCATAGGTGTTTTAATTAGGATTGATTGGGTGATTTCTAAGGGTGTAATTTAAATATAAAAAAAATAATAATAAAATAAAAAATAATTGCAAACAAAAAAATGTTCCAATAGAGCAACAAAAATAGTAAATAGTATGGTTCTCCGTAGAGTCAAACCGTATTCAGGTACAGAAATTGAATAATTTAATGGAAAATAATACTGTTTAGTCTTTATTGATTTCATTCAGTAAAATAGTTCTTCATTAAAGTCTTAAATGTACTTTTTTTGTGCTGAATGATTTAAACTTTCTGGAAATGCCTTTAAAACACTTGCAAATTAAACTTTCACTCTGTTATAGTCATACTTTGAGATGACTCCACAAATGTCACATATTCTCAACAGTTGTGCTGATCAACTATGATCACAACTCAAAATTGCAGATCCTGCGATGAGGCTTGCGGACACACATATTGCGATACCAATGCTGAAACGACATATTGTGCAGCCCTACTAAAAATCTAACAGTAGACTTAGATTAATATGAATATGTAAGCTTTTTCGTTTAATGGATCTTAAATGCAAGCCATTTAAATGTCTTCCTTAAATAAATAGATAATCTCTTATTCAACATTTTCAACAAACTAAACATTAGTAGATAACTTCACTGGGTGGTGTATTTTCCAGCGATTGCTCCACGTTTGTTGTTGTTTTCATTAACAGTATTCAAGCTCTGTATTTTTATATGCAAATGGCTCATGTATGCACATGTTGTCGATATTGATCAGTGATTACTCTTGCCAGGGTGATGGGAAAAAAGCAGAGGCTGTGGCCACTGTGCTTGCTGCTGTTGATCATGCACGTATACGAAAGCCCATGCATGTTGAAGGGCCTCAGATGGAAGAAGAGACTGATGTAAGACATCAAGAAATGCTTGCAACTAAGCAACAGGTCACAAGTAAAAAGGAGCTGTTGCTAATTCCCCCTGAAATGACAACTACTTCTACTGAGAAGACTGTGCATGTCACCCAGGTTAGAAGCATTAAAAAAAAAAAAAAAAAAGTGAAACGTGAAAGCTTTTTTGTTATTTGTAGTAAATCTGCATTTAAATACTCCACTTTGATTTGTAATAGATTCAAAGAGCTACTGAGGTAAGCTCCAAGGTGGAGACTGACCTTGCACCATCACCAGTTCCACATTTCACAGTATCAAAAGTTACTGTACCAAAACCAGACCATAGCTATGAGGTAAGATTTGGTGATTACATGCAAGCAGTGAAATCCTCTATCTCTAAGATATCTGTTTTCAGATTATTAATGAAGAGGTTGCTTAATCATATAACATTAACAAATGTGTATGAAACAAATACATCTAAAATCTAATTTAAGCTGTTTTCCTGCTTGCCTGAAACACGTTTTAAGAATTCGATAGTACACTACCTGACAAAAGTCTTGACGTTGATCCCACTTGTAAGAGCAACAAATAATAACTTGACTTCTAGTTGATCATTTGGAAAAGTGGCTGAAGGTAGCAGAAGAAACAAATTCTGCAGAAGACCTATTGGAACCAGCATTAACCCAAGATTCTCACAGAAATTAGTCAAGTTTGGTAAAAAGGAAAAGGAAACAACATGGTTTGGGGTTACATTTAATATGGGGGCCTGCGAGAGATCTGCAGAGTGGATGGCAACATCAACAGACTAAGACATTTGTCAAGACATTTGTGCTGCCTATTACATTACAAAGCACAGGAGAGGGCAAATTCTTCAGCAGGATAGCGCTCCTTCTCATACTTCGGCCTCCACATCAAAGTTCCTGAAAGCAAAGAAGGTCAAGGTGCTCCTGGATTGGCCAGCCCAGTCACCAGACATACATATTATTGAGCGTGCCTGGGTTAAGATGGAGGAGGAGGCATTGAAAATTAATCCAAAGAATCTTGATGAACTCTGGGTGTCCTGCAAGTATGCTTTCTTTGCCATTCCAGATGACTTTATTACTAAGGTATATAAGTCATTTCAGAGATGTATGGATGCAGTCCTCCAAGCTCATGGGAGTCATACACAATATTAATTATTTTTCCACTGCTCCATGACTTTATATTCCATTCTTTACATTATGTCTGTTACGTGACAATACTTTTGTCTAAGCAAAGTCAGACCTTACTGAAATAATAAACCTTACTGAAATAATACCTAATGAAATAATTAAAAATGAAGGCATGATCATATTTTATTTTGGTAAAATAAGCGTAAATAGAGGACTTTGCCTTTCATATAAGCCACTTCTGATACCAAATGATCAACTAGAAGACAAGTTATTATTTTTAGATCCTAAAACAGAATAGGTGAGAAGACTTTGTCAGGTAGTGTAGATCTATTTGTAGTGAGTTCCAAAAATATGAGACCACTATGAAAATCTGAAATATACATAAGTTGATCAAAGTTAAAAAAAAAAAAATTCTCGGAAAATGAAGAAATAATAATTTGCATGGTTTTCATACTTAAACATGCAAATATTTGTCATTTCATTGAAATGCAGAGTATTAAAGTACTAACTTTAAGTGAATATGATTGTCGTGTTAACACCGCTAAATTCATTATTGCAAAAGAATGACATAAGTACAATAGAACACAAAATACTTTAATCTTTTGTATCAAGTCACAAAATGCAAAATATATGTATTTTCATTAGTGGTCTCAGAATTGTGGTGCCACTTATTAATGTGTTAGATCTTATTTCAATATTTTATCACCCTCCTTTAACAACTGCTGCCTCTCCAGACCAATCTAAAAATAAAAACCCACCCTCAATACCTCATATTTCAGCTTCACAGTAACATTCAACGTATCGTCTATCCATTAGTTTTTTCATCACCCTTTTGTCAACCCATCAGTATATAAACCATTGAGTATACAAGTTTTCTGAAATTGCTAACCAATTAATTTTCTCCACCTTCCTTCTAATAGTTTCCTGACCATTCCTCTCTGTGTGGCTAAACAAATGTGAAACTGTTGTTTGTATTTGATGGTAATGCTGCTCTTCTTGGGTTGGTCAGGTTTCAAGGGCAGGTTCTGCTATTGCCACACTTCAAAAAGAGTTATCCACAACAACTGCTTCTCAAAAGATCATCAAGCCTGTAAAGCCTCCATCACATAAGATTGTGGAGACTCATGTGACCCCAGAGCCGACCCCATCTCCTTTTAGAGACACTACAGAGAGATATCAGACTCATTTTGACACAGAGTTGCACAGAAAGATAGGCATTTCATATGCTGGTGAAGAGTGGGACACAAAGGTTTGTGGTCTAACATGTTTCCCTCTAGCAAAGCTAACATCTGCCTAAATATCATCAAGATAGTCTTCATTACGTTGAGTTTTTTTTGTTTGTTTTGTGGTTGGATTATGACGTGCAAAAAACTCCTCAAAGCTAACCATTCTCCTTACAGATCTCACCTGAAATACTGTGGCTTTTTCTCCCATCACTTTCTTCTAATCTTTATCTTTTTTCCCCACATGCTCTGTACTTTTTAACATCATTTGTTTCTTTTCGCTAACAAACAAAAAGTATAGTAGTCACTTTGTAAGGAAAATGTTTTTTTTCCCTTTGCAGGTTCCTGAGACTGCAGCAATCCCTTCAGCTGTCAAAGAGCCTGTTGTGCCCCCTACACTGATAGCAGTAAGTGCTTTGTTAGATTTTTTTGTGGGTCACACTTTACAATAAGGTTCATTAGTTAATGTTAATAAATGCATTTACTAACATGAACAAACAATGAGCAATACATTTACTACAGTATTTGTTCATGTTAGTTAACGTTAGTTAATGAAAATACAGTAGTTCATTGTTAGTTCATGCTAACTCATGGTGCATTAACTAATGTTAACAAGCATGGACTTGGATGTTAGTAATGCATTTGTAAATGTTCAATTATTATTACAGTTTTTCTCAGTCGCTTTGATGCATTTCTCACAACACTATTTACATTTGCACAACAGGTAATGCATTTCTCAAAACAATTAGTCATTTGTGCACATCCTAGTAGCAGTTTCTCATTCTTTTCAACAAATTGCGAATGCTTTTGGACATGCATCAATTGCTTTCCTACAACTCTCTGCTGTTTATAACATTATCATGTGCTTATGTCATGTCAATCAAAATGAACTAAACTTGTAAATGCTGAATAGTCATTCCATATAAAACTAACAGTCCTCATTTCATTACTTGAGTCATTACATACAAAAATGTTGAACTAGTTGTCAAAATCTGTCAAGCAAATTTTATAAAACAAATTTAAATCTTTATTTTCCTGAAAATGTCTTTAAAATTGAACAATTTGATGAATGATTTACAGACCTGTGTATGTTGTAGGCTCAGTTCCAATGTGTACTGCAATATTGTTTACAGTTGTGCACTGCTCTACCTAAAGTGAGTTTATGTTTGTTGTGAATAAGGGTGTGTTTATTATTTTGCACAATGCTGGGAATAAATTCGGAATGCATAGAGCAAATGCAGTAAAAATGTGAAACATACATATTCAGTGTCTTGTACTCAGATAACTCACTCAATGCAGTGATGTCTAACTCTACTGTAGTTTTCAAATGGCTGTCCGAATAGTATACAGTGCTGTCTTGAGCATTGAAAAATGTAGAGAGTAAACGTCATAATGAAAACATGACTAAGCCATTTGACTATCTCGTTCATTAACAATGGTGTCAGGTCTTTTCATTTTGATGGCATTGACACTTTGATTGACATGAATACTTGCAGCTAGGTTTTGCAGTTTGTACTAATTGTTTTGAGAAATGCATTAACTTTTGTGCAAAAATGCACTAGTGTTGTGAGAAACACAGCAAAGCGGCTGAGAAAAACTGTAATAAATGCTGTACATTTGTTTTTCATGATTTGTTCATGTTAGTAAATGCATTAACTAATGAACCTTATTGTAAAGTGTTACCTTTTTGTCTAAGAATTTAGTTATTTGTTAAATAAATTGACAAATTAAAAAAATCTGTCTTATTCATTAGGGTTTGAAGAATGTGACTGTCACAGAGGGAGAGTCTGTCACTCTGGAATGCCAGATTTCAGGTCACCCCACTCCAGCAATTATGTGGTTCAGAGAAGATTACAGAATCGAGAACTCCATTGACTTCCAGATCACTTATGAAAAAAGTTATGCACGCTTGATGATTCGTGAGGCCTTTGCTGAAGATAGTGGCCGCTTCACTTGCACTGCTACCAGTGAGGCTGGAACTATCAGCACCTCCTGCTACCTGCTCGTTAAAGGTAAAACCTAAAATAATTTTATGTGGAATAATCAAATCCTGTTTATTCATTTTGGGGTGTACAACAATGTAATATAGCAATAATGGGTAGCTATAAAAAAACAACATATATTTTCTGTATTAAATAAGGATTTCACTGAACCCAATTTGGAATTTATTGTTTTTAATGTTCAAACAGACATTACATTGAATTAATTTACCCTTAATTCGATTTATGCTAATCGCATAGTATGCTGTAAGTTTTTTTTTTACTTTGAAAATAGACATTTAAATAAAATAGGCAGGATATTGTCAGAAAATAAAGCTCAATGCCCAAAAATGTCATCTTTTTTACAGTATCTGAAGAGATTGAGAGCAGAGAGGAGATTACTGTCCAGGAGAAACAGTAAGTTACAAGGTCAAGAGGACCTTAACAAGTAAAAACATAAAACCGAAAGGTACATATTAAAATATGCTGTAATTAATTGTGTGTGTGTGTGTGTGTGTGTGTGTTTTAAACAAGGACTGTCGTTGAAGCCAAAGACGAGACCATGTCTGAAATAAGTTCAGTCTCCGTGGACACTGGAGCACCTGCTGCTCCTTTCTTTGTGAAGAAGCCAGTGGTTCAGAAGTTGGTTGAGGGAGGGAGTGTTGTCTTTGTGTGCCAGATAGGTGGAAGCCCTAAGCCTCATATTTATTGGAAGAAGAGTGGAGTTCCACTCACTACTGGATACAGGTACAGATTAAAAAAAAAAGTTTTACATCTAGTTGGTCAATGCACTCTGAAACAGAAAGCTCATACTTTCCTTGTGAATTAACAGATATAGAGTTAGCCACAACAAGGACACTGGTGAATGCAAGCTGGAAATTTCTATGACATTTGCTGATGATGCTGGAGAATACACAATCTTTGCCAAAAACCAACACGGAGAGACATCTGCTTCCACAAGTCTCCTTGAAGAAGGTTGGTTGGGGTTTTTAATAAACCCACAAGTTTATTAAATTCACAAGTCACAAGTTTAAAACATATGAACAGAAAAATCAACATTTCATGATGCTTTTACAGAGGAGTTTGAAGCCTATATGAAGAAACAGGATGTGACATATGTAACAGAGGTGACAGCAATGGTGCAAGAGCCCAAAGTGGCAGATGTGCCTCCTGTAGTTGTAAGTGAATATGAAAAAGAGCTCATACAGAGGAGGATGGCTCAGCAAACACAAATGATGCAGACCTTCATCTCAGAGACGGTATGAATTTAAATGGAAACACTGATTTAAAAAATTGTATGTAATGAGAAAACATAATACTATGCACTTATATAAATGTATTTTTTTTTCAGGAGTTTCAAATATCTGCAATTGAAAGGAAAATTATCCAAGAAATTGAAATCCGCATCCTTAAAATTACTTACCAAGAGCTGGTGATTGAGGACGGAGAGGAGATGGTCATAAATGTTGCTGAGCATGAGGCCGTTGCATCTTCATTTAGCACTCCTGTGAAAAGCTACAGAATTCTTGAAGGAATGGGTGTTACTTTCCATTGCAAAATGGGAGGAAAACCATTACCAAAGGTAATAATGCTAAATCAATTAAAAACAGTATTCGCACAGCAGCACAATGTATGCTAGTAATTATGCATGTTTTGTGATAAATAGATTGCCTGGTACAAAGACGGCAAGCGTATAAAGCATGGAGGACGCTACCAGATGGAGGTTTTACAAGATGGTAGAGCCAGTCTGCGTCTGCCTGTGGTGCTGCCAGAAGATGAGGGCATCTATACTGCATTTGCCAGTAATATGAAGGGTAATGCTGTCAGTTCTGGAAAACTCTATGTGGAGTCCACTGCTGCTGCTCAGCCTTACTATCCTCAGGCTGAAGCTGTGAGGAGAGTCCAGTGAGTTTTCTTCACCTTACCAAGCTTCATCTCTATATTTGTAATTCTATGACTATAAAATGTTTAAGGTAATATTCCACACCTATGTTGACACTTTTAGGTCCACATCTCCAATGTCTGCTCGCTCAGCCAGCTACTCCCCTGGACGTTCTCCTGCTCGCTCTGTTAGCCGATCTCCTGCACGTAGACTTGATGACACGGACGAGAGTCAACTGGAAAGGCTTTATAAGCCTGTTTTTGTACAAAAGCCCTCTTCCTTCAGGTGTTCTGAAGGACAGACAGCAAGGTTTGACTTAAAAGTAGTTGGAAGACCTATGCCCGACACTTTCTGGTTCCACAGTGGTAAGTGTGTTTCAGAGCTGTTCCACCATTCCAAAATTTAGGATTTGATATTTGTGCTTAATTTATGGTTGATATCTTTATAGTGCTGAAAAGAATTAATCTCTTTTAAATTTTCTATTTAAGGACAACAAGTGGTAAATGACTACACTCACAAGATTGTGGTGAAAGAGGATGGAACTCAGTCAATGATTGTCGTTCCTGCCATGCCTCAGGACTCTGGAGAGTGGACAGTTGTTGCTCAGAACAGAGCTGGAAAGACAACTGTTTCTATGACTCTCACTGTTGAAGGTAACCTTCTGTTGTTTTTCTGAAAATATTAACAGCTACGCTTGGTTGTGTTGCAGATTGTATAAACTCATGTATTTTACATTACAGCAAAAGAGAATTTAGTTCGACCTCAGTTCATTGAAAAACTGAAGAATATCAGTGTTAAAGAAGGAAGTCTGGTTGAGTTGGCAGTAAAAGCCATTGGAAACCCCCTGCCTGACATTGTCTGGCTAAAAAACAGTGACATCATCTCTCCTCATAAATATCCTCACATCAAGTAAGTGACTTGCTTTACAAATTGTTGTGTAATAACAGTTTTATGGCACAAAGCAATGTTTTATGCAAAATTTGTTCTGCAGAATTGAGGGCGCCAAGGGACAGGCACATTTTCAGATTCCTCAAACTTCTGGCTCTGATAGTGCATGGTACACAGCCACAGCTATAAACAAAGCTGGCAGAGATACTACTCGCTGTAGAGTCAATGTGGAGGTAGAATACACTGAACCTGTACCAGAGAGAAGACTTATCATCCCCAAAGGGACATATAAGGCTAAGGATGTTGCACCACCAGAGATTGAACCACTGCATCTTCGCTATGGTCAGGAGCAGTGGGAAGAGGGTGACCTCTATGACAAAGAAAAGCAACAGAAGCCACACTTTAAAAAGAAACTTACTTCAGTCCGGATGAAGCGGTTTGGACCTGTGCACTTTGAATGCAGACTTACCCCTATTGGTGACCCTACAATGGTTGTTGAATGGCTCCATGATGGCAAACCACTCGAAGCTGCTAACAGACTTCGGATGATCAATGAGTTTGGCTATTGCAGTCTTGATTATGAAGTTGCTTATTCCAGAGATAGTGGTGTCATTACTTGCAGAGCTACAAACAAGTTTGGTGCCGACCAAACCTCTGCCACACTAATTGTGAAGGATGAGAAGAGTCTGGTAGAGGACAGTCAATTACCAGAAGGAAGAAAGGTACAAAGAATGGATGAAATGGAGAGAATTGCCCATGAGGGTGGACCCTCTGGAGTAACTGGGGATGACATGTCTGAGAAGTCCAAGCCAGAGATTGTCTTACTCCCTGAACCAATAAGAGTATTTGAAGGCGAGACAGCCAAATATCGATGCAGAGTGACTGGTTACCCCACTCCCAAAGTTAATTGGTACCTTAATGGTCTGCTCATTCGAAAGAGCAAACGATTCAGACTACACTATGATGGCATTCACTATTTGGAAATTACTGACTGTAAGTCCTATGATTCTGGAGATGTCAGAGTATTGGCTGAGAACCCAGAGGGTACAGCTGAGCATACTGTCAAGCTGGAAATTCAACAAAAGGAAGATTTCAGGACAATCTTGCGCCGTGCTCCTGAGCTGAAGGCTCCAGAGGCACCTGGCCCTGAACCGGGCAGAGTATCCTTTGATGTTGTAAAGGTAGATAAACCCACAGATGCTTCTCAAGCAAAAGAAGTTGTCCGACTGAGGAAAGCTGAGAGAGTGGTTCATGAAAGGTCTACAGAAGAAACAGAAGAGCTGCGAAGCAAATTTAAGCGCAGGACTGAAGAGGGCTATTATGAAGCCATATCTTCTGTTGAATTGAAGTCTCGCAGGAAAGATGAGTCTTATGAAGGAATGCTAAAAAAGAGAAAGGAAGAACTTCTGCACTGGACCAAAGAGGTCTCTGAGGCAGAAAAGAAGAAAGAGGAAGAGGAACGCAAACTTACCATTCCTACAATCAGACCCGAGAAAGTTGCACTCTCTCCTAGCATGGAGGCTCCGAAGATCTTGGAAAGAATTCAGAGCCAGACAGTTGCTCTTGCTGATGAAGTACGCTTTCGATGTAGGGTAATTGGTAAACCAGATCCAGAGTGCCAGTGGTTTAAAAATGGCATTTTACTTGAGAAGTCAGATCGGGTTTATTGGTATTGGCCTGAAGATCATGTCTGTGAATTAGTAATCAGAGATGTCTTAGCTGAAGACTCTGCCAGTATCATGGTCAAAGCCATTAACATTGCCGGTGAGGCCTCAAGCCATGCCTTCTTGTTGGTGCAAGGTAAGTATTGTTATGTTTAAATCAGTCTTACGCTAATGATCAATATTACTTCATCTAATGAATTCTGTCTTGCTTTTTGCAGCCAAGCAAGTTGTATCTTTTACCCAAACACTGGAGGATGCCTATGCTAAAGAGAAAGACACAATGGTAACCTTTGAATGTGAGACAAATGAGCCATTTGTCAAGGTTAAATGGATGAAGAACAATGCTGAAATCTTTTCTGGAGACAAATACAGGATGCACTCAGACAGAAAAGTTCACTTTCTGTCTGTGCTGATAATCAACATGCAAGATGATGCAGAGTACAGCTGTGCTGTAGTTGATGATGACCACATAAGAACCACTGCCAGACTTTATGTTGAAGGTCAGCTTACACTTATTCTCATTTGTTGCTTTTTATTAAAATTTTTTAAAGTCATCTCTGAATGTCTTTTTCACATGTGCTGTCTGATTTGTCACACAGGTGCACCACTGGAAATTGTTAAAAATCTTGAGAGCGTTGAAGTACCCGAGACATATTCTGGAGAGTTTGAGTGTGAACTTTCCCGGGAAGATGCTGAAGGCACCTGGTATTTTGAGAATAAAGAAATCACTCCAAGTCTAAAATATGTTGTATCCTCTCGTCGTGGCAGACACACCCTGTCTGTAAAAGATGTCAGGAAGGAAGACCAAGGAAAGTACACTTTTAAAGTGGGAGACCTGAAGACAAGTGCCACACTAAAGATGAAATGTAAGTGGAATTTGAAAAATAGTTAATATATGAAGAACAGATTTGGAGTGATAGAATTGTATGTAATTATTTGTATTATTTATTCTGTATTCAGTACGCCCCGTAACTCTGATGCAAGGACTCTCTGATCTGACAATTTGTGAGGGTGATATTGCCCAGTTGGAGGTGCGATTCTCTCAGGAAAATGTGGAAGGAACATGGATGAAAAATGGCCTACCAATCTCTGCCTCAGACAGAGTTCACATTGTCATTGATAAACTTGTCCACAAACTTCTAGTTGAAAATGTCAATAAGGATGATGCTGGAATCTACTCATTTGTTGTTCCTATTCAAGACATTTCTACGTCTGGAAAACTGACTGTGCAATGTAAGCTGGCTTTTGATGCTGATGCATAGGCTTTGAAAGCTCAAATGCATTAAGAAAATGCTTATATTTAACTTTTTCCCCTTCTCTTTACAGCAATTGAAATAATTTCTCATCTAAAGGACGTTCATTCTATCGAGGGTACAAAGGCAGTGCTAGAAGCTAAAATCTCTGCCTCTGATGTTGCTGCTGTTAAATGGTACCAAAATGACAAGCTTCTTGTGGCTAGTGAGAGAATCCAGATGGTTGCTAAAGGGACCAAACAGAGACTGGTCCTGAACAGGTCCTTTGGTTCTGATGAAGGACAGTATAAGATGGCTGTGGGCAGAGTTGAAACCACTTGTAACCTGACAGTTGAGAGTGAGTTTTTTAAAAATATATATATAAATGAAACCAAATTGCACATCATACTGAACAATGAGAACCCTTTGTTAACAAACATATTTTTCATACAGAGGTCAGCATCATCAAGCACATGGAGGACTGTGTGTGCACAGAAACTCAGAATGTCACATTTGAAGTTGAATTATCACACACTGGTATAGACGCTTATTGGACCTTCAAGAATCAGCCTCTCAAGGCTGGCCCCAAATACAAAATTGAGTCCAAAGGAAAGCACTACAGTCTGACCATCATCAATGCCATGAAGGATGAAGAGGGCTTGTATGCATTTGCAGCAGGAGAAAAGATTTCCAGTGCAAAACTAACTGTGTCAGGTATGAGTTTTAGCATTTGCGCAAATATGTGTTTAGTTGATAAACAGATACTGCCTAATGCTTGCAATTTTTGTACACTAGGTGGTGCTATAAACAGACCACTCCATGATGTGACTGTAGCAGAATCCCAAACTGCTGTTATGGAGTGTGAGGTTGCTAATCCTACATCTGAAGGCAAGTGGCTTAAGGATGGCCACTCTGTTGACTTCAGTGATATTGTCAGGAGTGAGGATATAGATGCTGTCCGTCGACTTATTTTTGTTATCACAAGACCTCAGGATATTGGAGAGTACACATACCAAGTGGCAAATTCCAAGACATCTGCCAACCTAAGAGTTGAAGGTACTTGTACTGCCATGTTTTGAATAGTTATGTCCTTTTCAACATTTATTATTTGCAACTGATTACAACTGTGTCTTTCACAGCTGTGAAGATCAAGAAGACACTCAAGAACCAAACAGTCACAGAAACTCAAGAGGCAGTGTTTAGTCTTGAACTCACTCATTTAGATGTGAAAGGATCCCAGTGGATCAAGAATGGAGTAGAAATTGAACCTAGTGACAAATATGAGATTACAGTAGATGGATTAGTTCACACTTTAAAGATCAAGAACTGCAACTCTCAAGATGAATCAGTTTATGGATTCAAACTGGGAAAACTGTCTGCTAATGCCAGACTGAATGTCGAAAGTAAGTGTAATATTTGGCAAAATCAAAAATAGCTTTTTCTTAAAGCAGCATATATAAGCATATCCTTATATTTTATTTAAATCTTTTCCAGCCATCAAGATTGTGAAAAAGCCAAAAGATGTGACTTCCCTGGTAAATGGAACCGCCTCTTTTGAGCTGAGCTTATCTCATGATGACATACCAGTTAAATGGATGTTCAAAAACCAAGAGCTGAAACCTAGTGCTAATGTTCAGATAATGTCTGAAAGGAAAGCACATAAGTTGGTTATTCAGAATGTTGAAGAAAGCAATGATGGAGAATACACAGCCGTTGTTGGACATTTACAATGCAGTGCATATTTGCATGTTGAATGTAAGTATGAATGTAAAGATTTAACTAATCAAACTTGTTTATTGCCTACCACACTGCTGACTCTATATCATGACTGTTTCAGCTTTGAGAGTCACAAAACCCCTAAAGAACCTTGAGGTTCCAGAGACCCATGTGGCCACATTTGAGTGTGAAGTTTCACACTTCAATGTTCCGTCCACCTGGCTGAAAAATGGAGTTGAGATCGAGATGAGTGAGAAGTTCAGAATTGTGGTGCAGGGCAAACTTCATCAGCTGAAGATCATGAATACCAGCAGAGATGATTCTGCAGAATACACCTTTGTGTGTGGAAATGACAAAGTCTCAGCCACCTTGACAGTCAGCCGTAAGTTCATTTTTATTTGATTTTTTAATGCAAAATTGTTTACCTGGATATGCTTTTATTAAAACTTAAATAATAACAACAATGGTAAAAAAAGGTAAACATGATTTAAAAATATGAATTCAGCACATGTTTCTTCCTTCTCTTCCAGCTGTGCTGATTACATCTATGCTCAAAGACCTGAATGCACAAGAAAAGGACACCATCACATTTGAGGTGACCGTCAACTATGAAGGCATCACTTACAAATGGCTGAAGAATGGAGTAGAAATAAGATCCAGTGATAGATGTCAAACTCGCACTAAACAGCTCTCTCACTCCCTCACCATTCGGAATGTTCACTTTGGGGATGTTGGAGACTACAAATTTGTGGCTGGATCTGCTGAAACAGCAGCAAAATTGTTTGTTGAAGGTAACACTAGCTTTTTTATGAAATTATTATTCTTATTTTTTTATGGGTAATTTGGTTGATTCTGATCAAGTTGTTTTATTATGATCAATTTAAGCTCGAGTCATTGAGTTCACCAAGCACATCAAGGACATTAAAGTCACTGAGAAGAAAAAGGCTGTTTTTGAATGCGAACTCTCTGAGCCTAATGTCCAAGTAACATGGATGAAAGATGGTCAGGAGCTTGAATTATCTGAGAGGTATATAACGGTTTTCCATATTAATCAAAATTTTGCTCTTTGACTTTAGTATATTAAAAGTAGCATCCTGATGGATACATAATCTTCACGTTTTAGGTACAAGGTCTCCACAGAGAGACACGTGCATCGTCTCATGATCCAAACTGTGCGCATGTCTGATGCTGGTGAATACTCTGTGGTTGCTGGATCCAGTGTATCAAAGGCCAACCTCACAGTTGAGGGCAAGGATGTGCGCATCAGTGAGCCTGCAGAGAAAGAAATTACTGTAAGTATAAAGCTGTATTAGATATTTAAAATAATGCCCAACAGTAGTATTAGTCATTAGGGATTAATTAATTTCCATTTTAAATCACAATTTTAATGCAGGTTCTTGAGAAACAGAGAAGTACATTTGAATTCGAAGTCAATGAGGATGACATTGAAGGTCGTTGGCTAAGAAATGGAGTGGAGATCCAGTTTTCTGTTGATCAGCGCTTTAACTATGCCATTATTAGAAAAATCCATCGCTTGACAATCACAGAAACGTACAGAAGTGATGCAGGAGAATACACATTCATTGCTGGAAAGAACCGGAGTATTGTGACCCTGCATGTGAACAGTAAGTTTGATCTTGGAAGGTTTAGTGCAAACTGTTAATATGTTAATACTAACTTTTCTACGGTATGTTATTTATTTGCACTTACATTAAATGAAATTAACAACTTTATAAAAGACATTCATTAAAATAAATATATTCTATTAGATATTTTAAAGCCCTAACATGTTTTGTAGATGCTTTCATGGTGTCGTCTTGTATGGGATATACATTTGTTGTTTACAACTTATTCTCATACAACATTATTGCATTGTTTAGTCCCTGAGCCTCCTCAGATCATCAGGCACATGCAGCCCCTGTCTGTTGAAGCTGGCAAACCTGCACGCTTCTCTGTGGAGGTGACTGGAATTCCTCAGCCTCAAGTGTCTTGGTATAAGAACTCCCAGGCCCTGTCCTCTGGATTCAAGTGCAAGTTCCTGAGGGAGGGAAATGAGCATACATTGCTGCTCATCGAAGTCTTCCCAGAAGATGCAGCTCAGTATAACTGTGAAGCTAAGAATGACTATGGAGTTGCCACAAGCTCAGCTTCACTAAATGTTGAAGGTAAAGAAAATCAAAAAAAAAAAAAAAATCACATTAATAATTATTTGTAAATGTTTTAATTATACTCGTCTTTTAATCCTCAGTTCCAGAAGTTGTTTCCCCTGACACTGGAGCACCACTGTCACCTCCCGTGGTCTTAACACCAATACAAAATACTTCTGCCAATGAAGGACAATCTGCTAGATTCCAGTGCAGAGTCTCAGGAGAAGGTAAAGTCAAAAACTAATAACCAAAACCTTTCTGCCTATTTTCCATGTCAACAACTGTTTTATAAGTTAGTTCTTCAGAGGCTCCAGATCAATTGCTCTTGTAAACTGTATATAGGTGACCTTTATTTCTGTAGTCCTATATACAGTTAAAATAAAGCAGTTTCACATAGATCCACAGAAAATGTTTAGTAAAAACTATTGGAAACTGGCTATGGAAACAAATTCATATATATATATATATATTTTTAAAACAGCGTTATTATGTGTGCTTTCATCATGATTTTCTTCATTTGTAAGTCACTTTGGATTGCTAAATGGATGAATGTAGCTGTTACAAAAGATGGTAGTGCCATCTCTATCCTTACTTTTATTAAGGTTTGATCACAACTGATGTTCTCAGTTAATGCGTTCATATCAATACAAAGATGTTTGATCAAATTATTTTGTTTTCAGGTGAGACAAAAGAAATGGTCTAGTATTGCAATAATAAACTGTAAATTTATTATTTTTATTTTTTGTATTTCAGCTACATTAATTTGATCTAATAGTCGCTTGCAGAGCTCATGTATGCTGGTCCATATTACAGAATTTTTATTTACTGATATTATTATTTTTCTGATTAACTCCTATATAGATCTGACAATAACATGGTATTGCAAAGACAAGGAAATCAAGCAGTCAGACATATTTAGAGTGTCTCAGTTTGATGAAAACTGTCAGCTGGAGATCACCAGAGTTTATCCTGAGGATGAGGGCGAGTACACATGTGTGGCCCGTAACTCGGCTGGAATGGTCTCATGTTCTGCTCTACTGAAAGTTGACGGTGAGTTTAATTTTTTGTCTTTTTCTTTTTTTCTTTAAATTTTTCTAGGTTTTAGTGATCATTTTTATTTATTAATATCAATTAAATTATTGTTATTTGTTTGTCTTGGTATTTGGCGGTAACTCAGTTAATTAGGGATGTCAAAGCTATCATAATGTTTTATAAAAGACATTCAGAATAATCTGCATGAACATAATGTCAGTTACTGAGTCATTAGTATGCATATGATAATTTCCATTTCATCACTCATAGAAACATTAATGCAGAAAATGGATTTTTACACATGCATTTTACATGTCTGGTATAATTACTGATTTCCAATCCACATTTCCTGTGCATTGTGTTGCAGTTTGCTTGTGTCAATAAGATCAGTTAAATGGATAACACTTTACAAAATACATGAGTAAACAATGAACAATACATTTATTACAGTATTTATTTATAACATTAATTAGAGTCATCAAATAGAGTTGCTGTACATTAATTATTGCAAATAGAGTTGTTGTAGAGTTGTTCATTGTTAGGTCATGTTAACTTAAGTGCATTATTGTGTTAGTAAATCATTAACTGTAGTTAATTAATTCGGTGTTGTTCATCGTTGACTAACATTAACTATGTGTCCCGTATTGTAAAATGTTACCATGAAATGCAAATATTGTGCATCAGGAAAGTATTCATAGAGCTTCTCTTTTTCCACATTTTTTAAGTTACAGCCTTGTTCCAAAATGGATTAAATTTATTTATTTTCTCAAAATTCTACACACAATCCCCCATAGTGACAATGCAATTTTTTTTGTGAAAGTTTTGCAAATTTATTTAAAAATAAAAAATCTGATGAATTACATATACATATGTATTTACAGCTTTTGCTCAATAGCTTTAGTAGCAACTACAGCCTCAAGTGTTTTAGAATATGAAGCCAAAAGTACCTTTTAAGCTCTAACAGGTTGGATGAGAAGCGACAGTGTACAGCCATTTTCAGATCTCTTCAGAGATGTTCAATAGGATTTAGGTCTGGGCTCTGGCTGGGCATTCACTAAGTAGTTGTGAACCCACTCCAGTGATATTTTGACTGTGTGCTTTGAGTCATTGTCCTGCTAGAAGATGAACCGTCGCCCCAGTCTGAGGTCAAGAGCACTCTGAAGCAGGGTTTCATTTAGGATGTCTCTGTACACTGCTGCATTAATCCTTCCCACTATCCTGACTAGTCTTCCAGTTCCTGCTGCTGAAAAACCTCCCCACAGCATGATGCTGCCAACACCATGCTTCACTGTAGCGATGGTATTAGCCTGGTGATGAGCGGTGCATGATTTTCTCCAAATGTAACACCTGGCATTCACTCCAAAGAGTTTAATTTTAGTCTCATCAGACCAGAGAAAGTTTTGTTTCTTTTGGCAAATTCCAGGCAGAGAGTGGCTTCCGTCTGGCCACTCTACCACACAGGCCTGATTGGTGGTTTGCTGCACAGATGGTTGTCCTTCTGTAAGGTTCTCTTCTCTCCACAGAAGAACACTAGAGCTCAGTGATCGATCAGTGATCATGGTGTTATTGATCACCTCCTTGATTAAGTCCTTTCTCCTCCGATCACTCAGCCTAGATGGTTGGCCAGCTCTAGGAAGAGTTTTGGTGGTTCAGTTTCCACTTATGGATGATGGAGGCCACTGTGCTCATTGGAACTTTCATAGCAGCAGAAATTTTTCTTTAACCTTCCCCAGCCTTGTGCTTCGAGATGATCCTGTCTCTGAGGTCTACAGACAATTCCTTTGTCTTCATGCTTGGTTTTGACCTTATATAGACAGGTATATGCCTTTTTAAATTGTGTCCAATCAACTGAATTTACCACAGGTGAACTACAATTAAGCTGCTGAAATATCTCAAGAATGATCAGTGGTAACAGAATGTACCTGAGCCTAATTTAGAGCTTCACGGCAAAGGTTGTGAATACTTGGGTACATGTGATTTTTCTTTTTTTTTCTTCTTTTTTTCTTTTAATTTTTTATAATTTTACAACAATTTAAAAAATATATTTTTTCACTTTGTCATTATGGGGTATTGTTTCTAGAATTTTGAGGAAATAAATTAATTTAATCCATTTTGAAATTAGGCTGTAACATAAAAATATCGAAAAAGTAAAGTGCTTCGAACACTTTTCGAATGCACTATAAATTAGTATTTACATTAACTGGTAATAGGTGTAATTTAATCACATTTAAAAAGCTGTGATTGACAGCCCTACTGTTACTTTAGAACTATTGTGCAAACAAAGTTTCATACAAGAAAACAAAGTTTAATGTTCAATAAAGTATATGTTTACTAATTAGTTGAGGAAAAATCAATACTTCCTTTTCAGGAGAAACAGAAGTTATGGATTATTCTTCCAAGTTTCCACCGCAAGCAACATCTAGTCCTCTCACAAGCATTAAGACCATTCAGAAGGATGCCATTGGCCAGAAACCCAGTTTTTTTCAACCTATTATGAGTTCTGTAGTGGCTCATGGAGAAGTGGCTAGATTCCATGCTTGTGTGTCTGGCATACCCAAACCAGAGATTAGTTGGTTCCATAACCAGCAGCCTATAAAGCCTACAAAAAACGTTGTCTATCATTTTGACGAGATGACAAACACTGCTACGCTAATCATAGTTGATACTTTCTCTGAGCATGCTGGGCAGTACACTTGCAAAGCAGTCAATATCAGAGGAGAGGCAGCTTGCTCAGCCAATCTTGCTGTAACTGAAGAAGGTAATTAAGATCAAAGTAGTTTATGGTTTTTCGATTAACAGATCACAAATAATTCACGTCATATTCTTTTTAAGCTTCACAATCAAAATCTGATGAATATCCTGATCACCTTTACTAACTTCACTTCAAAAGAAACCTTTTAAGTTTTGCCGCAGTTGTATCACAAAGTGATGTCTAGGTGTCAGGTGCATGCTTTCATTTTCAAATGCAACTCTCATGTTTCGCCTCGTTTTAAGAATTTTAGATTGGTTTCCCTAGAATTTTGTCCTTGCTGGATTGTTGCTAAAGTATTCTTTTTTTGTATTTTCATGATATTTGTGAAACTTCAGTTTATTCATATGAATTTTTTTTTTATAGTTACAAGAGTACGAGAGGAGATTGAAGCAAAAATTGAGGAAGAGGTCAAAGGTAGGATGATTTTACAGTATTTATTTATTTTTTAATAATGATAAAACTCTTGACTTTAACATTTCTAAGCATATTGTATTGCATGAAACAAATCCTCTTTAATGGGAACAACTTTTACATTGTACTGTTGGACATGTGTATGATTGAAATAAAATGTTTTGTATAGCAAGCAATTTGATTGGGAGAAATGCTTGCTGTGAAGCACTTTTGCAAAGTTTTGCATCTATCTATTCCCCTTGAAAAGCATGAAGGATTTGGTGGTACTTGGTTGTTTCTAGAAATAAAAGGTGCAGGATGTTTGTCCTTTAAAAGTTCCAGACAACAGGAAATTACATTTTAAAAGATATGGAATTAGCCACATCTTTTAATTGTTTCTTATGTTTCTTGCATCTGGAACACCTTCCTGCAAATATTTCTTAGACTGGCTTGCAGATAGCGGTATGTGATTAATGTTGTTTGCTTTTTAAAATAACATGGTTATATATGTAAACTGTATTAGTTCGAATAAACGCCTTCTCAAAAAAATTCTAGAGCTGTTTTAATGACCACATTCTTGTTTTTATCAATAGAGAGTGACTTTTCTCTATATGTATGAAAGATTTTCGTCATTCTAAGGATTAGAAAGGGCGTTTATTCATCATTCTGCAAGTCAGGTAAGGAATATTTTAGGATATACATCTACAAAGTTAAACATCCAAGAGACTCTTTTGCGAACCAGATCAGTATTATTGGGATACATATTAATGCTTTGAAAAGAAATTTATGCTTTGAAGAACTGTCCACAGAAGAAGGAACAAAACATCAAGCGATTTTCGTGTCAGAATCTATAATAAAGACTCAAGGGTTGCGTTTATTCGAACAAATATGGTGAGTGAATTTGTTTTTTTATGGCTTTGTGACTTGATGCATGCTTTTAATATATCTATTAATATTCTATTTGAAATATAATTAAGTCTCTTTAGCAAACTGGGCATTTTGTTGAAATTTGTCTCCCTTTTTTCCAGAGTTGTTTTATAATGAAGGAGCTGAAGGCACAGAAAGTGGAGGACCGCAGTGTGGTGCATTTTCAGATCCAGAAGAAAGTTTAGATCAAGGTCTTGTAGCCCCATCTGAAAACATCAAACCCTCCTTCACCAAAAAGTTAAAATTTCAGTCTGTTGTGGAAGGTGACACTGCAGCCTTTAAGTGCAGGCTTATTGCAATGCCACCTCCAACAATATTGTGGTTTCATAATAACAGGCAGATACAAAAGGAGCACTATCGTAAAATATATACAGTTAGTAAAATGCATATGCACGCAACCAGTTTAACAATTGAAGGAATTAAGGAAAAAGATTCAGGTAGTTACAAAGTCATGGCCATTAACACTGAAGGATCTGCTGAGACCACAGCATCACTTCTTGTTTCACTGAGGGAAGAGCAAGATGTTACTTATTTTAGCCATTCTAGATCTTCAAGCAAAGCCCACTCAAGCTCAGATTCATTAGCTGATTCTACAAAAGAGAGGAAATTTAGAGTTGATCTAAGATGTGTCGGCTCTCCTTTTGATAAAACAGGTAAAGGGCAAACCAAGGGGCGTCATAGATCAAAAAGCACTCTATACCGCACAATGTATTTTAGAACCTCATCTCCATCAAGAACACCAGAAAAAGATATGAAGTTTGAGACCGCATCTGAACGTGCACGCTCACCTACTCCTATGTATGAGAGATATGAGAGGTTCAGTGATCGGTACAGTGACATATATTGCGACAGATTCACAGGACGTGACCGATATAGTGATAGGTTTAGTGATAAATTCAGTGACCGCTGTAGTGATAGGTACAGCGACAGATTTAGTGACACAGAAAGCCTACATGGAGAAGTTAAAGCAAAACTCAGCCTCTTGCAAAAGGCTGTCAAAAAGAAAAAGAGACTTTCTATATCTACAATGTCTTCATCTGAGTTTGAAGTAGAATCAGTTACAAGTGAGCCTTGTTACACTGATTATGTTGAGAGACTGCGAGTCAAGCCTTCTACATTGCCTGAAATTCAACACGTTATTCGCCCTGGTGAGCAAACTGAAAGTGGTAGAGATTCAGCAGATTATCAGAGCCGACTGGAGAGAATTACTGGAATTGGCTCCCAGTCAACAGAACGAAAAGTCAGGCACTCCTTTGAACCTCAATCAAGATCTAGAACACTACGAATGATGAAGGGTGAACTTCCCGCTGCAGAAACTTTAAGGAAAGACATTCAGGTTGATATTTCTGATGCAAGAATAGACCAAAGTATCACATCTAAAGGGGATTCAGAAAAGGAAATAGAATATGACGTTTTAGTGTGCAAAGATGAAGCTAGTCTTAATCAGTGGGATGAAGAGGCACAGACCAAGGCCAAAGAACCATTTGTGTTGCAATGGTTGGAAGCAGGAGAAGCTTCAAAACAAGCAAGCAATGCAAAAGAGAAAAGTGTGTCACACGAGGAGTCGCAAGAAAAAGAGTCTTTAAGAACCAAGGCAGTGAAGCCAATGAAAGAAATATTTTTTGGTGATGAAGGTAAAACAGTCCCTGTGCATAAATTAGAGCAGAGAGCTATATCTGTGGAAAATATCCTTGAGAAAAACCTGGAGAGTGAGTGCTTAGAAAGTGAAGATCAGTTTTTAGCCAAACGCATTCAGCAATGGCAACAGGATGTCCAGTGGGATGAAGAAGCACAGACCAAAGCAAAGGAACAATTTGTGTTGTCTTCAAAAACAAGGGCTGTGCAGTTACAGGAGGAACAATCACTTGCTGATAATGGTCTACAACATGACCACCATAAAAAGGCTGCTGTACATGAACTGGAAAAGAGATCTGTGGAGAATATACTTGAGAAAAACTTGAAGAGTGATCGCTTGGAGAGTGATGATCAGTTATTATCTCAACATGTTCAAAAATGTCAACAAGATGTTCAGGTTGATCAGGCTGAATCTTTTGCTCAAAAAGCCTCTTATTCTCATGAATCTTTTGGAAAAGTTCAGAAAGATGAAGGAGTGGCTTTCAAAGCTCAAAAGGAACCCACATTCACAAAGACTTCAAGATCTCCATATAAAGAAAGACGTTCACGTGAACGGTCAAGTGAGAGTGAATTACATTTATCACGAGAAAGAATAAATGAACTAAAAAGTGAGAGTGACCATGTCAGTGAAAAAGAGGCATTGGCCCAACGTATAATGAAATGGCAACAAGATGTTTTGACTGAGCAAGGACAGGCCATTGAACTCGATCCTGAATGGGGTGGTGTTACTGAGAATCCTTTAGAAAGTACAGCATATAAAGATGTTGAGTTGGGTATGCAAAGGGAATCAATACAGAGAACGGCAAAGGAGAGGTTCTTTAGTGATGTTTCACCTCAGTCCGATTTAGCCGATAGGTCCAAAATGCACAAGCAAATTATTTCTGAAGCTGACAGTGAGAAGTTACGGACTGAAAGTGATTATTTTGTTAGTGAGGAGGAGGCTCTTGCAAAGCGCATTAAAAATTGGCAACAAGACATTCCAATTGAGCAAGAAGAAAGTGAATTGGAATCAAACTGGGCCATTGCAGAGCAGTTGCAAGCTTCTGTTGTAACACCAGAGACAACACCTGAGACAAAATCTACAGTTTTATCAACAGAAAACATTCATTCATATTCAAATCCTGAAGGGTCTATGGATGATAAAATCAATACAGAGGTTTCTGGAGGTCTTAGAAAGCAATATTTGTCCCACGAGGATGTAAATCCACAGCTTCACGGTGATGTAAAAGATGTGGCAATGTCTAGACAGGAACATGGTGTAACAGAGCAACAGAAAACCCTCCCAAAGCAACAAATCCCCAGTGTTGTTCCAAAAGCAGGGAAAATATCTTCAAGTGTAGTAAAACCAGGAGCACCTGCCTTTGTGGTGACATTAATGCCCGAAGTTGTGGTAAAGAGAGGAGAGATGACTGAACTAAACTGTCAATTTCAGGGAGATCCACAGCCATCTGTTTCATGGCTTAAAGATGGACATTTGATAATGAGAGACCCTGATTTTGACGTTCGTACCAAAGCAAATTCATCAACATTGACCATTTATTATCCCACCATTGACCACCAAGGTGTGTTGACTTGTAATATTGCAAATAAACATGGAAAAGCTAGTACATGTTGCAGCTTTAAAGTAACTGAAGATGTACCTTCAGTGACAGAGATTGGATCTCCCCAAGAAGTTAAAGTAACAAGTGTGCCTGTATTCACTGAAGAAGAATTAATAGAGGAAGAAATTAAGTCCCTAATGACACCTGTGATTGATAGCAAATACACATTGCAGGTACCTCAGGCAGTCATACACATGCCACAAACTTCAGGCTCATTTATTCACACATCACCAGTTGAGATCAGAATAACTGCTCCCACTCCAGTGCTAGATATTCTTGATGATGCTAAATGCACATATAGACCTGTTGAACAAACCTCAGAATCTCCCATTGATGATGCTGATCCTCAAACTGTAAAGCACAAGTTTACATTTTCTTTTGAAAATGGTTGTGAGCCTCCTCAGATTGTTAGAGAGCTACAGAACATTAGTTCATCAGAGGGTCAGACTGCTATTCTTGAGTGCATCATAACAGGCCATCCAACACCTGAAGCCACCTGGTTCCATGATGATGTTTGCCTTGATCTTAATTCCAGGAAATATAGATTTGAGGTACAAGACAAAAGTTACAGACTTTACATTTACAGTTTCACATGTCATGATGCTGGAATATATAGGTGTGTTGCTTCTAACAAACTTGGGCACATTGAAAGTGTTTCAGATGTGTCTTTTGATTCTGCAACTTTAGACTCTGGATTTTCATCCATTGCAATGTCAGATGTGGAAAGCCAATCAAAATCTCTTGGATTGTCTTTAGAAAAGTCCAGTGTTACAACAAAGCCTTTATCAAGTTCTTTCATGGCATCAGATATTGTAGTTGCAAGTGAGGATGTTGAATATGATCATTCAGTGACACCTGCTGAATTTCAAGATATTAGCAAAATCCATGAACCCCATATTCCACACACAGATGCTTCTAAACCTAAACGCATTAAGAGACCAGATTTAGACATGCCTGTGATAACAGGGTGCGGCTTGCAATCATCGGCAGCAGAGGTTAAAGTATCAAGATTAAAACAAGCATTTGAAGCACCAGAAACATTTGTACATGAGCCCGTTGAGCCAACAGCAAAATCAAATGATGGGTCCTCTTTCCCTGTTGAAGATATTCCAGAGTTTGCTTTTGAGCCTGAACAATATGAAAAAGAACAAACAATTTCAATTTTGTCTCAAGAGGATGGGAAAGATCCCACTTTGACTACTGCTAAAACCTTCCCTCAACCAGATTTTACAGAGGCTGCTCTGGAGAGCACAGAATACACTTCAGAAGAAAAGTCAGAGTTGAGAGTGCCTTCTATAGAATCTAAATTATTTGACTCACAACATTTTGTGTCCTTGGCGAATGTTAAAGAGGTTCAGCAGTCGCCTACATTAGTGAGGCCTCAGGCTATATTACCAGTAAAAATTAACCCGAAAGACAGTTCTGTTAGTCCAAAAACAGTTTTGGGTAGCGCTGCTGAGCAAAGAGATACAGAGGATGAGATATGGGCTAGGCAAAGTGACATTTCTGATCAAAAAGCTGCCATGGTAGAAACCAAGGTACAGTTGGTTGAAACAAACAAGCCAGTGAAAATGGGAGTTGTTAGTGATCATAGAATAGAAGCTGAGGACATAGCACAAGATCACGACAGTCCAGTTGCTATAAAGCATGATAAGATGGAGGCTTCAGATAAAGCAAAACCAGTTAGTATAAAACCAAGAATTGAAGTTGACCGAATTTCAGATTACGCTTTGTCAGAACATCCACCGCAGAGGCAGCAAACACAACAGAAAAAGTCTGCTAGGATTGGGGCAAAACTTGTAGAAGAAGAAGTAACATTTAGTGCTGTTTATGACTATTATAACCTACCAACGGATTGGGGTAGACCTTTGTCACCAGAATCAGAAATGTCTATTGAAGTAGGTAGCACATTCAGTGAGGAGATGGTGGAAATAGAACGTTTCTATACACCGGCTTCGTCCACAGAAATTTCCCAAATTCAGAAGTCCCCATCATCCTTTCATACACCCTCTGAGACTCCAGGTGGTGTCATGACACCTCCTGAGTATCCATTTTCTCCTGTGGAACATAAGAGACATGCAGCTAGCTCTAGTGATAGTTTTTATTCACCAGCTAAGTTTCTCAGTTCTCCAGATGATGAGGGTATTGAAACAACCCCCCCTGTGTTTACTATTGATGAAGGTATGATTCTTCCAGAGGGACGTGGTTCACTAGGTTTGGGGACACTTCAGGAAAAGGTTCAGGGAATACCTCCAGCATTCCTTAAGCCACTTACCAAAAGAAGAGTTTTTGAAGGTGATACCTTACAGTTCTGTGCTGAAGTATTTGGACTTCCCACTCCCGAAGTAAAATGGTTTAGAAACAAAACTGAGCTTGAGGCAGGTGGAAGGACTAGAATTGAAAGGGATGGTGATAACATTGCACTGGAAATCAGGAATGTCACAAAAGTTGATCAAGGGGAATATATCTGTGAGGCTTTTAATTATGTTGGTGAGGCAAAAAGCGTTGCTTTGGTTGTTGTTATATCTCAGGAAGCAAGGCAAATGCTGCCCCCTCCAGCTGTTACCCATCAGCATGTAATCGAGTTTGATGTAGAGGAAGATGAGGATCCATCAAGATCTCCATCTCCTCAAGAGATCTTGTTGGAGGTTGAGTTAGATGAAAATGAGGTGAAAGAGTTTGAGAAACAAGTAAAAATTGTCACCATTCCAGAGTATACAGCGGATAATAAAAGTATGATCATTTCTCTTGATGTTCTGCCAAGCATGTTTGAGGAAGGAGCTGTGGATTTTATTACTCAAGAAAGTGATGATTTAAAAATAGCTTTTGAATTAACAGAAATGCCACCACGTTTCATAAATCCTATTTATGACATTGAAACTCCTGAAAGCACAAGTGTAATGTTTGAATGTTCTTTAATGGGTATTCCCTCACCAATAGTATCATGGTATAAAGGTAATATGAAGATTCCTTTGGATAAGAAAAAATATATATGTAGTTCAGATGGTGATAATCATTTCCTGAAGATTCTTAAAGCCAACACACATGACAGTGGCATATATACCTGCAGAGCCATTAATGTTGTTGGTGAAACGCTTTGCAGGGCCTCACTTATGGTTATGAATCCACAGTCATTCTCTGGTAAGACAAGAGGAAGAGAACTAACTGCAGTTTCTCTGGGCAGTGCAAAGGTTCAGCCTCAGAAATTTGACTTGGTTGTTGGGAATTCATCGTTCGATGGAGAACAGACATCAGAGATAGAACTTGAATTTGAGTTTCAGCAGGAATCAGATGAGTCTCAGAAAGCTGTCAGACTGGTTGCTGTTACCGATAATGAGACAAGTGAACAGGGAGAAAAATATGTTAGTATTAATTTTGACGTTTTTGCAGAACCCTCGAAAGATGACAAAATCGAATTCAAAGGCAAATCAACAAACACATGTAGCTTTCATTTTCAGGTGACTGAAATCCCCCCAAAATGTATAATCCCTCTACAAAATGTCACTGCAGCTGTAGGTACTCCTGTGATGCTTCAGTGTTTAGTGAGCGGTAAACCAAATCCTACTGCAGAGTGGTACAAAGATGGTGCTCCAGTAAACAATTCAAGATATATTATCCAAGAAAAAGCATCAGGACATTTTAATCTGCTTATAACAAATGTAACTCAAAGTGATGCTGGTGAATTCAAATGTATTATACAAAACAAAGCTGGTTGCACTGAAACAACTTCACTGCTAAAGGTTTTTTAATTTGACAGCAGCTTAAACATGCAGTTTATGAAACAATGACAGACAGGTTTGTTCTTTTGTTTACTTTGAATCGATATAGTACATTATTTTTCTATGTATTACAGTTGTAAATTATTGTGAAATTGTGTATAGAAATTTATTCAGTCTGTGTTGTTGAATCAAAATATTAATTTAAGTGTATGTGACATTACAGAACAAAGAGAGAAGTCATGATATTAAAACATATTTATGGAATTTAAGAAACTTGAAAATGTTGGCTTGAAATCTACCCTGGGCTTGCATTATTATTTAATAGTTTAAATTATTAAAAACTGTGCTTGAAAACATTGAACTGTTGCTAGAAGTAAATGTAACAAATTTCATTACAAAATGTGTCAGTTCTAAAAAAACAAACAAAAAAATCCTTGTACACCACCACAATATCAGTTTTTGTTTTTGTTTCAGTAAAATAGGGATCAGTAGTTTTCATCAGCAGTAAAAAAAGATTATAAAAATATTTAAATACTAAGATTAGATTTTGTTTGAAAAGTATAGATTTTTCTTGCCCAAGTTCATATTTAAAGGATTAGTAAAGCAGCGGCGTGTTAATTAACATTTGTGTTGTATAGTTTGATCTTGTTTTTCTAAATTAGTGGAAAGTGGGTTAAAGATTTAATAGGTTGTAAATAAAAGTGAAAATTAAATATTTTAGATTAAAGGACAATGTGATGATTGTCTTTGTTTGATGTATTCTCAATTTTCTTGTTTATTTTGGGATAAAATTGTAGGTCAGTTAGTCAAACCTTTAGGTATAGAAAAAAAATGAACTAAGCATTAACTGAATGAGTGTGCTTTAAATTGATCTTGAATGTAACTGTGTTTTACTGTTTTGTTGTAATTTTGTGTATATGAAAAAATAAATAAAATTCTAAATCAAACTGTTTACTCTTGTTCTGACATTATTTCTTAATCTAAGGGGCATTGTTATGTCCGCTTCTTGATTAGTACTGACTGATTATCATGTTTATCTTTCTTGTAGTTTATGAGACATTTTGGAGAAATCTTTAATCCCATTATTTTTATACAGAATTTTCTAGTTTGACTGTGAAGACCGAAGAAGAGGAAGAAACCTACAGCACATCACTGCATTTGCCTGAAAAATCAAAAACACTTGAACTTAAGCCAGAGCAAAAACGTTTTTCTAGTTCTTTGGAAAGAAAAAGAGAGAAACCAGTATTTGAGTCAAAGCTTACACCTGCTGAAGTTACTATTGGAGAGTCGGTTAGGTTTACTGTCACAGTATCTGGTTTTCCAAAGCCAAAGGTTCAGTGGTTTCACAATGGAAAGGCTATCACTTCATCATCAATTTATACGTTTGTAGAGGAGAGAGATGAATACTCTTTAATAATAACAAAAGTCAAGAAAGATTATGAAGGAGAGTATTCTTGTACTGCAAGTAATAGATTTGGCCAGACTACCTGCAAGACAATATTAAAGGTAGAACTGAGTCAGTTATCAGCAGCAGAAAAGTGGGTGGAAAAAATGTTCAAAATACCAGGACAACCTCCATGCTTTACTACACAAATCCAACCTGTTCAGTGTGTGGAAGGTAGCGAGGTAAAATTTCTGTATAAAGTTACTGGTACACCATTTCCTGATGTTCAGTGGTTTAAGGGCAATTCTCAAATTAAGTCAAGCCAGACCTGTTCTGTTGTGTGCAATCCAGATGGCTCTGGCTTCCTTATTATGAGTAATATTCAACAGAGAGACAGTGGACTCTACACATGCAAGGCTGTCAATCCTTTTGGGGAGGCAAGCTGCAGTGCTGAGTTGATTGTATTCCACAAACAAGTCTCTGTGTTTCATAAACAACAATTAGTTCAAGAACAAAAAAGTTACAAGGTGTCGATGAAAGAGGAAGCCACCGAATCTCGTTTGTATAGTGTTAGCCTGCCTGGACAGGCAGGCGCTAGTTTGCAGGGAGACCATCAGGTAATTTACACCATTGGTACTGAAGACAGGCAAATGGTTGAGAGTGAGCAGGTTGATACACTGCACGACTTGGATGTTTCCATTGCAACCGTGCACAAAGAGCAGGTGACTCATCAAGCTGCTTTGCTGCAGTCTCATGAAGTGCAGGAGAGAGTAATATCAGCTCAAGTTCGCCCAGAACCAGTGGTAGCAACTCCTTTGAGACAGCTCCAAATGGCCACTATGACCTCCGCAGTTCAAGAAAGCCAAGGCTTCACAGAACAGCACTTTGAACGAATCAAAAGTCCTGAGGTTACAGAGATACAAATTGCCAAAGAGCACCCATCGCAAGTAATGTCTGCCTTAACTGAGAGTGTAACTCCATTAACGATTGTCAAAGCAGAGCCATTATCCACTTTAGAAACAGAAAAGATTAAGGCATCTCCTGAGCCCAAGTATCCAATATCAAGTCACCAAGTTGAGACAAAGCTCCCAATTGTTAAAGAACATTCAGAGGTTATACCCCATACTCAGCAAGAAAAGGGTTATCAAGTTAAAGAGGGAGTTAAAATTCTTTACAGTGCAGTTTCATCAGAGAAACAACAGTTTACAGAGGGTCACTCTAAAGAACTATCAACAGAAGAACCAACTTTTCAGACATCGGTGAAAAAAGAACAACACAAACCGGTTGTACTTTCAGTTAATGAGACAACTCAGACCTTATCTAAGGAAGAGAGCTTATCAGTGCAGAAACCAGGTGTTGAGACTGCATCTCAAGTGAAAGACAGTGTCTTTAAATCAGCTCTTGTTGCTGAGGAAAAGCATCAGCTCCAAGCTGATCAGTCAAGTTTGATTCCAGGTTTAGACAGTGCAATTTCAGTGCAACCCCTAAGAGAAGAAGAACAAGTTCAACATTTGCAAGTTATCACAGATCAAGGTATTCTTCCAGCTGAAGGAAGGTTTAGCAGTGAGAACCCAAGCCCAGAGAAAGCAGATGCTCAAAAAAGTCCTCTACTTAAGCATACAGTGTCAGTGGATTTACAGCAGACAGTGACATGTGAGGAGTCCTCAGAGTTTTCAGGACAAGTAACAGAGCTTTCTATTCAGCCTGGTAAGGCAGCGCCTGCCCCTTTGCATCTTCAGGCAGTTCATTCAGAAAATTTGTTGACGAAAGAAGGGATAATCTCAATGGAAAAGCCAGATGAACAGACTGCAGTACAGAAGCAAGAAAAAGCTCGGCATCATGCTGCTAGCACTGAGGAGAAAATAGAGCATACTGCAGATTATTGCAAAGATCTCGCTGTGTCTGTTACAGGTGTGCAGTCTGAAATCAGAAAAGAGCCCAAACCTGAAAGTATTCTTCAAGTCATTTCAACACCAGTGCCCTTGCCGAAGGAAAGTCCTTTTGTAAGCGATGTTAAACAGCAGCGTGCCCTAGTTCAGAAAGAAGACCACTGGAATATTGTACATGTGCCATCTGTGTCTGAGAGTCAGGATATAGAAGAGGGACACTCAGAGACCATAGAGTCAATTGAGAAATTTGTATCTAATATCAAAGTTGAACCAAAAATACCATCTGAATTAATTTATGTAGAAGAAAAGGCTATCTCAACAGAGAGTAGCATTGCCCTTGAGGCCACCGAACAAGACTTTGCACTTCAAATTCAGGAAGGTCAGTCTGTTAGGCAGTCAGTGTTAATGGAGGAAAAACGTGTTATTAAAGGTGAGCTTTCTCAGGATATTACAAAGTCTGAAACAACCACAGCAGTTGTCAGTGAGCAGAAAATGGGTACGCTTTTAGTGTCAGAGTCAAGAGAGAGCCAGAGTTTACCCAAGGAGCTCACTTTTGTCGTTTCTCCCCCTAAATCACATTCACTAGACATTAAGCACCAGTTAAAAAGTACACTTGCAACTGCAGTCGCTCTTGACCAGCCATTGATCCTGGCCGATTTTGTGGAGAGTTTGGGAGTTGTAGAAATTCATGAGGTAAAAGTAAGGAAAGAACCCAAATATCTCATGTTCACTTATCTTATTACAAGTGCAAGTGCTCCACTTGAAATTACAATTGCATTTGAAGGCGAGTATCCTCAGACTGCTGATCTCAGAAGTGAACTTCAAGCTGCTTTTTACTCTATTGTCTATCGAGAGCAGAACGTTCTGACCTCAGAGCAGCCAGGCACATTACAAATTGATAGACCCCAAAGACTACAGGTCACAAAGGCTTCTACAAAAGAAATGCTTTCACCTGTGGTGGAAATGGTTAGGCTCTCAGAAAATGTGGAGCCTTTCACATCTCCAACGTCTCAGTCAGCAACTGTGAAAACTGAAGCCAAAACATCTTTTCAATCTGTGACTGCTAAAGAGCAAGCTTTTGTGCAAGAGTCAATTCATATAGCAAGTGAATCAAAAATTGAGATTCAACAGTCCATTCAAGTTGAGCAACAGGAAACCAGATCTGTGACAGTAAAAAGTGCTACAAGTATGACAAGTGAGCTTGTTTTAGGACCTCTTCCAATTGAACGGTCCACTGAAATTGCCTTTCAGAAAGAGGAAAAGGAGGAATACATAACTGAAGCATTAATGGAATTAGAGAAAGAAGATAAAGAGGGATACCCAGTTTTTGAAAACTCTTTGGAGGATATTAAAACAGAGGAGCATTCAGAAGCTAAGTTTTCATTGATTATCCGATACGTAAAGAAAGTAAATTGGCTCTTTAATGGAAAATGTATTAAATCTGGCAAAGAGTTCAAGTGTTCTAAAGAACATGACACTTACACACTAGTAATCACCAAGGTAATGAAGGATCATGAAGGAGAATATACCTGTGAGGCTGTAGGTGAAGCTGGCAAGACCTCTACATCGTCCCACCTCACTGTGATCCCAAGAGGTTGGAATTATGGGAATATTTTGTCATCCCATCCCACATGACTAACTCTGTTCATAGCTAAAATAGAAATGCTTCATTAGACACGCATTCTCAAGATCTCCACAAATATCAGCAGTGTTGGGTAAAGTTACTTTTAAAATAAATATACTGCAACACAGTCTTAAGCCTTAATCTTTATGAAGTCTTAATCTTTAAGAAAAACATGATGTACGTGCACATTATCTAAAAGTAAATCATTTAATTATTTAAAAATTTTAAAAAATTATGACTAAAGATTGTATTATAAAGTAACTTTTCTCATCACTGTCTATCATTTGAATATATCTTCATGTTTTTCTCTTTGTGAATTTTGTCACCATTTTCACATTTCTGAAATGTTAGCATGTCTTCACATTCTTTACACCAACTCTTAACCTGCTGGATTATTCAGTTTCATTTCAACATTTGTCATCTTATTCACTCTTGCAGAGTTTCACTTTTCATTTTGTTCATCACTGAGAATTGTTTATGAAATCAGTTATTGTTTGGTATCATCAGTCACCAAGAACCTCATTCTTGATCTTGTCTCTATATGCATGCTGGGATGTCAAGTCATTATTTCACTTCATTCAGTGTTTTTCTCTCTCATAGCGAGATCACCATCACTCTTCAACGTCACTCCTGAAATATTTTTCTTTACCCACTCTTTCAACCACAAAAATTGGCACTTTCTGAAAACACAATGGCTATAAAAATTAATGGTTACAATGGATAAATTTAACCTGCTAAACTTCATGCTAAATATTTTTGTAAGACATTTCAGGTGTTTGAAAGTGCCAATCAGTGGTTTCTGCTTTTCATACTCATGCTCATTGCTTGTCAGTAAACATGTTAAAAATAATGTACTAACTTATTTTTTTTATCTGTGTGCACTATTCAGTGCCACCCGTTTTTAGGCAGAGAATTCAGAATCTGGAGGTGAATGTTGGCAGTTCTGCAAAGTTCGAATGTGAGATTGAGGAGGCTCCTGGTGTGACCTTCAAGTGGTTCAAATCGGGTACTGAGCTCAGGCACAGTGAAAAATGCAGAATTATAAGCCGACACCACACATCATCGCTGGAGATCTTTAGCCCAGCAGTCGCTGACAGTGGAGAATATACCTGCAAAGCTTCTAACCGCCATGGAAGTGATAGCTGCTCTGCTAAACTAACTGTGACAGGTAAGAAAAATATACATTTCTTATTGGCTGTTGGACTTCTTGAAATATTCAAATCTGGGGTTGATCTGATTTTTGTGTGATACTCTTTTGACTAAGTTATTGATATCTTCTTACTGGTATGTTCTTTTTGTAGAGCTTTTCCCACCAGAATTTGTATCAAAGCCTGATTCGATGACTTTATTTGTTGGCAAGCAGGCAAAATTTCAATGTGTTATTTCTGGTTCTGAGCCAATGAATGTTGTCTGGCATAAAGACAATATTGCCATTTCACTTGATGACCACTACAAAGAGTCTTCTGACAAGAACCGGTATTTTCTTGAAATTTTGAATCTACAGCACAGTGATCAAGGCACATACCTTTGCAAAGCTTCCAATAGTGTTGGTACAGCAACATGCTGCACTGAACTGAGGGTTGTAGATAAACCCAGCTTTGTGAAGAGCTTTGAGTCTACCACTGTTGCTGTGGGAAACCCACTACGTCTTGAGTGTCAGGTAGATGAGGACACTGGTGTTTCCATCATTTGGATGAGAGATGGCAAGAAACTCCATACTACAATGGATTGTAAACTAGCATTTGAGGAGAAAATAGCCTGTCTTGATATTCAGAAGTCCAAACTCAAAGATACAGGCACATATACCTGCACTGCTGCCAATGAAGCAGGAAGCAGCAGTTGCTCTTCTAGTGTGACAGTACAAGGTAAGACTCTGAAATTAATACCCTTGGTAAATGCAGTATTTGAAACAAATCTGTTTGACAGGGTATTAATTTTTTGTCTGTGTGAGCAGATTTGTATTTATTTTGCTGAGACAGAGATGACAAATCTTAAGCATCAGCTGATGCTGCTCTTGATTGTCATATAAAGCATTATAGCTTTTAGAAGTTGTTTATTTCTTAACTTGTATTTTTCTTGCAAACATATCAAATTATCTTTTCCGTTACATTTTAATCATTAGAACCTCCAGTCTTTGTTAAAAGACTAGAGCCTAAGATCTTATGGAAGCAAGGAATGTCATCGCGTCTGTCATGCACTGTCAAGGGATCACCAGAACTCCACGTGACCTGGTTTTTAAATGACAAGCCACTAAACTCTTCAGAAAAACACAAGATCACCTTCAAAACCAATCAAGCCACTCTTGAAATTATTGACTTGTCTGAGTCTGACAGTGGAAATTACACTTGTGAAGTGATGAATGAGGCTGGCTGTGAAAGCTGCAGCTCTCAAGTGACAGTAAAAGGTAACACACAAGACTCTTCCAATCTTTCTTGTTGATCATTGTATTTAAATGGAGAGATCAGCTTCAATCTTGTTGCTTTTATTGTTCTTAGAACCACCTGCCTTTAAAAAGGAGCTGCGGTTGGTGGAAGTAGTCAAAGGGTGCACAGCCCATCTTGAATGTGAAATGACAGGCACTGCTCCTTTTGAAATAACCTGGTTTAAAGATAAAAACCCAGTATCATCTGACACAAAGTACAATATTGTCTCAAAGGAGACAGCAGCCTATTTGGAAATCAAAACATTTGAAAGTGCAGATGTTGGAGATTACCAGTGCTGCATTTCCAATGATGTTGGTAAAATAACTACAAAAGCGGTGGCCAAACTGAAAGGTTAGTACAGTCAGTGATTACTAAACAAATCATTTAGCTGTTGCTGTCACTATTTTATTTAATGTGAAAATGAATATGCATTTTTTTTCATGCAGACCCACCATCCTTTGTAAAGAAAGTTGAGAACACTACTGCGGTTTTAGGCAGTGCTGTAAAACTGCAAGGGACTATTAAGGGTTCTGCTCCTATCACAGTTCAGTGGTTTAAAGATACAGAGATAGTCAGAGATGATGATCCTAATATCACCACAACCTTTGAAAACATCATTGCTGTTTTAGCTATTTCCAATGTGGCCATTAACCATGGTGGGAAATATACTTGTCAAGCTGAAAATGAGGCTGGAAAACAAAAATGTGAGGCCACTGTAACAGTTCAAGGTTAGAATTTTAATACTGTTTTATTATGAAATACTTTATCATTATTATTCTTCACTGTTATCTGATTGGCATATTAATGATTTTCATTTTTTTAAAGAACCAGCTAGATTTGTTGAGAAACCCCCATGCATCAGTGTGACTGCAGGTGACTCTGCAACTCTTGAGTGCAAGGTTTCAGGAAGTCCAGATCTCAAAGTTAAATGGTTTAAAGATGGCAAAGAGATGGCAGGGGGTCGAAAGTACAAAATCACTTTCAAAGAGAATGTGGCCGTCTTGAAAATCCTCTCGGCAGAGAGAGGAGATAGCAGTGAATACAAAGTTGAAGTATCCAATCGAGTTGGAAAAGAGCAGTGTTCTTGCTCAATCAATGTTCTTGGTTAGTGCTATTTTTTGAATTGCCTTGACTTTTTTGTGTGTGTCTGTGCATTTTTCTAACAAGAGTGTTTTACTGTTTTGAGCAGATAAAATAATACCTCCAACTTTCACAAAAATGCTTAAAAAGGTAGACGGTAATGTTGGAGCTAGTATTCAAATGGAGTGCAAAGTGTCAGGATCCCAGCCCATAACAATATCTTGGTTCAAAGAGGGAAAGGACATTACAACTGGAACAAAATATCAAACTGAAATGCAGGAAAGCACTGCCTTACTCAAAATAACAAATTTAGAGACATCAGATGCTGGGGTTTTCACATGCCATGCAACTAATGCTGCAGGACACAGTGAAACAAGTGGAACTATTTCTGTTAAAGGTTAGAATACTATATTCTATGTTAGTGTATATATATATATATATATATATATATATATATATATATATATATATATATATACTTTTTTGCTGTCTACTTAAAATTTGACTGAAACTTTAAATGATTTCTGTTCCCCACTTCTTTAAATGAATTTTAGAACCCCCAGTCTTCTCTTTGAAACCTCAAAGCCAAGATGTTATACCTGGAACTACAGTTGTTCTAACAGCTGCATTCACTGGAACAGCACCTTTCATGATTAAGTGGTTCAGAGAAGACAAAGAAATGTTAACTGGAGGAACTTGTTTCATCAAAAAAGAAACCAACTCAAGTTCACTGGAGCTGCACGCTCTGAAGCCATCTCAGTCTGCAAAATACACTTGCCAAGTTTCTAATGATGCTGGAAAGGTCTCATGCACAGCTGCCTTGTTTGTGAAAGGTGCTTTTTCTTACTCTTTATATTTATTTTTTACACAATTGGTATTTTCTTAAATACTTTTTTCATCTTTATGTATCATTCTCTTCTTTAGAACCTCCAAAATTTGTGATGAAACTTGATTTGACTAAACTTGTATTGAATGGAAGTCTTGCAACTTTGGAATGTAAAGTGGCTGGCAGCCCAGAGATCAGTATTAGATGGTATAAGAATGAGACTGAAATTGGCTCAGATGATAAATACCAAATGGCCTTCACCGACTCAGTTGCTACACTAAGGATTTCCAGTTGCTGCATTGAAGACAGTGGAGATTATATATGCCAAGCATCAAGTGATGCTGGCAGTGATAGATGCAGTTGCTTGGTTACAGTCAAAGGTTTGTTAACCATCTTACTTTTCAGGGATCCTACTGTATTTCTTCTTTGTTGAAGTTGCTCGGGTTTAGCTAATTGGTACTTTTTCATCTTAGAACCTCCCGAATTTGTGAAACCTTTTGAATCCAAAGAAATTGTTAAAGGCACAGATGTTGTGCTAGAAGGAACTGTGTCAGGCTCAGCTCCTTTTGAGATTTCCTGTTTCAAAGACTCAAAGCAGATCCGAAATGATAGAAGGCACATCATAAGCCTGACAAAAGATGTTGCAGCTCTTCAGATTCTGAAATTTGAACCAGGAGATGCTGGAAAATATCAATGCACTGTAGGGAATGAAGTAGGGCAGACCTCCTGTGACTTTCTTGTTACCATGAAAGGTTAGTACCAAGCGGTAATTTTTGAATGATTTTTTTTAGGAGTGCCTGTGAACATTGTGCTAACAACACTTTATATGTGACATTCTTCAATTAGAGCCACCATCATTTGTGCAGAAGATGGATAATACAAATGTCCTTCTTGCCAAGGATGTGTCTTTGCAGTGTGTATTGAAGGGGTCAATGCCAATGACCATCTCTTGGATGAAAGATGACCATGAGATCAAAGAATCTGAGCATGTTCAGATATCTTTTGAGAATCAGACTGCAGTGATATATATTTCTAGTGTGCAGTTAAAACATGGTGGAAAGTATACCTGCCATGCTCAGAATGAAGCTGGTAGTCAGAAATGTACAGCAGTACTGACAGTAAAAGGTGCGTAGTAGTAGCTTTTAAGATGAATTGCATATTTATAATGCAACTTGATTTCTTTAAGGGATAGTTCGTCCAAAAATTATTTTATCATTCACTCACCATATACTTGGTTTTGTTCTGTTGTACACAATAAAGGTATTTTGAAAAATGCTGGTTGCTGGTACCCACTGGATTATAATTATTTTCTTATGGAAGTTAGTGGTCTCTACTATGGTTTCAGCTACCAGCATTCTTCAAAATATCTTCTTTTGTGTTCAATAGAAAAAAAAATAAAGCCACATGAGGGAGAGAAAACAGTGAGGTAATTTAGATTTTTGGGTGAACTAACCCTTTAATGACACTTCTGATTAACTTATAGTCATGCCTTTTTCCTCTACATTATTCTTCAGTTATTTTATGAATACACAAGGTATTTTGGTGTTAATGCTGCAGAATTGTAATATATTCACACATATTTTACCATATTTACAGAGCCTGCAAACATCACAGAGCAAGCCAAGTCTGTCAGTGTAACAGTACGTGATCCTGCCACTCTAGAGTGCAGGTATTCTGGTACTAAAGTTCTTAAAGCAAAATGGCTCAAAGATGGCAATGAGCTGACATCAGGCAGAAAATACAAAATACAGAGTTCTGATACAAGCTCCATATTAAAAATTCTTTCGGCTGAGAAGAGTGATGCTGGAGAATATACCTTTGAGGTTTCGAATGATGCTGGAAGGAGCAGTTGTGAGGCCGTTGTAACTGTGTTAGGTATGACAAAAACATAGACATCTCTAATCGAGTTTACAAGGAATTTCAGATCAATACTTAAAGAGTAAAATTGTTTTATTTTCCCTTCACTGTAACAGATCAAATAATCAAGCCTTCCTTCACAAGAAAATTGAAGGAAACGGAGAGTATAAAAGGATCATTCACACAGCTGGAGTGTCTGGTATCTGGGTCTCTTCCTATAAATGTCACTTGGTTCAAGGAAAATAAGGAGATAGAGGCTGATGAAAAGCACAAATGCATATTCTTTGAGAATGCGGCATCTCTGGAAATCAGTCGTCTCGATAGTTCAGACAGTGGCAATTATACTTGTATTGCTAAAAACCAAGCAGGCTCTGATCAGTGTTCGGGCACACTGAAAGTCAAAGGTTTGCTATTACCTCTGACAACTTATAAGTTACTGTATTTTACATTTTACAATACCATCTTGAATTGTGAATTCAACCGTGAATTGTGTCTTCGTTTAATCTTTAATCTCTTTTATAAACAGAACCTCCATCAATCATTGAGAAGCCAGAATCACAAGATGTTATACCTGGATCCAAAGTTCAGTTTAACGTGCTTTTGTCTGGAACACCACCGCTGACCATTAATTGGTTTAAAGATAAGAAAGAAGTTTCATCAGGAATTGACTGTTCAGTTCAGAAAAATGACACGTCCAGCTCTATAGAGCTCTTTTTTGCTAAGCCTTCGGACTCAGGACAGTATGTCTGTGAAGTTAGTAATGACGTTGGATCAGATTCTTGCCAAGCAACTCTCTTCGTGAAAGGTTTTTTTTTAGCAATAATCACATTTAACTTTTTTCCCCATAAACCTTTATTATTTTGCATTGTAAGTGCTTGTTTATTTATTTTTTTCCAGAACCTCCTAAGTTTACCCGCAAGCCTGAAAAAATAACAGTGGTGAAACCAAGCCAACTGGTAGTTTTTGAATGCCAGATTACAGGCACTCCGGAGATAGACACGTACTGGTTCAAAGATGGGAATGATATAAGCCCAAGTGACAAGTATAAAATGACCTTTGTCGATTCTCTTGCACGGCTTGAAATAATTAGCAGTGATATCAAAGACAGTGGTGTGTACTACTGTGAAGCTCGCAATGAGGCAGGCAGTGAGAGTTGTAGTATGGATCTAAGAGTCAAAGGTTAGTATGTATTGAAATATTTAGGCGATTCATTGATTTAGTGTCATTTCTCCCAAAAGGTTTGACCGGAACAATTTTTTTTTTCAGAGCCCCCAGTTCTTGTCAAGCCATTGAGTCCTCTTGAGGTTGTGAATGGCTCAAATGCATATTTTGAATGTCTGGTAAAAGGCACAGCTCCTTTTGAAGTGACCTGGCAAAAAGATTCAAAGGACATCAAATCGAGCCTTAAGCATGTGATTTTGCAGAAAAATGACTCCATAATTACTCTGGATGTACAGAAGTGTGATGCTTTAGATGTTGGAGAATATCAGTGCGTTGTTGCAAATGAAGTTGGAAGTTGTTCGAGTCAGAGTACACTCAGCATAAAAGGTTTAGTATGGAGTTTATTTAGCAAAAGTTTTATTTATAAATGAATTGATCTGTCATTGATCTATCAGCTTTAACATATTTTGCACTTCCTGTCAGAGCCCCCATCATTTGTGGAGAGAATTGAGAATGTTGTCACAGTTCTTGGAAAAATGGTTGAGTTTAAATGTGTTGTAAGAGGATCTCCACCCCTGTCCATACAATGGCAGAAAGATGAGAGCTGGATCTTGGAGGATCCTTCAATTCAGAGGACTTTTGAGAACAATGTTGCTACTTTGACAATCCCTGTGTGTGAGTCCATCCACAGTGGAAAATACACGTGTCAGGCTATGAATGAAGCAGGGCAAGAGAAGTGTTTTTCTACCCTGGTAGTGCAAGGTTGGTTACTTTTTTATGAGTGCTTTTAAAGCTGTTCTTCCTAAAGATTACTGTTATTAAAATAATTGTAATGATATTTCCAGAGCCGCCTCAGATAATTGAAAAGCCTGAGGTGATTAATGTCACTGCCGGAGATCCAGTAAGTTTTGAGTGCAAAGTGTCAGGCACTCCTGAGCTGAAAGTAAAATGGAGTAAAGATGGCAAGGAAGTGATCCCTTCAAGACAGCACAGCCTCAGCTATATCAATAATGTCAGCCAACTTAAACTTCAGTCGGTCCAACTGGAAGATAAAGGGACTTATGTGTTTGAGGTCTCCAATCACATCAGTGCCTGCCAGTGTAAAGTGACACTAAATGTGCTAGGTTTGTACCCATTCGTTATTGGAATACCAATGGAGTACTTGTTATATTATAACTTGATACTCATGATCTTCACTTTGTCTTTGTCAGAGCAAATAATCCCCCCATCCTTCATTAAACCTTTGATGGAGATGGAAGAAATAATTGGTAAAAATGTGCAAATTGGATGTAAAATATCAGGTTCGCTCCCCATAACTGTGGAGTGGGAAAAAGATGGAACTAAACTTTCAGGGAGAACCAAACACAAAATTCTTCAGGATGAGAACAGCATGTCTTTGGATATCGAGTGTTTAGAAAAAGCTGACACTGGAACTTATACTTGCAAACTTGCAAACAAAGCAGGAAGTTGTGAATGCAGTGGTACACTGAGGGTGAAAGGTCAGATGGCTTTTGTAGTATTTAATAGTATATTCTCACATTTATCCTAAGATCTCTGAAGGCTGCCAGTTTCTAAACAGATGTATTTGTCTTTCTGTCCCATTGATGATTTAGAGCCACCAAGCTTTGTGCTGGTTCCAGAATCACAGGCTGTCATACCAAATACCACTGTTCGCTTTAAGGGTTCTTTTAAGGGAACTCCTCCATTCACAGTGAAATGGTTCAAAGATGATACTGAGTTGATTTGTGGACCTTCCTGTTTTACTGGCCTGGAGGGCCTCTCATGCTTCCTAGATCTTTTTGCCGTTGGAATATCACACAGTGGAACTTACTCTTGTCAGATAAGCAATGATGCTGGTACTGCAAAATGCACCACAACCTTGTTGGTAAAAGGTTGGACCTCTTTTCAAGTACTCTTATCAATGCTCTTCATTATCATTCTTTTTTTCATGCTTTACCATCTGCATGTTCTTATTTCGCTTGTGAACATTGTGCATATATACTGTACCTTACATCATCATCTTTCACCATTGCTGCTCATTACGCTTTACTCCCTTTCAGCTATCATCTTCCTCTTGCTATCTTCCATCTTCTTGAAATCATCATCAGCGCTCTATTTTATACATTGCAATAATCATTTCTAACATGTTGTAATTTTGGTTTTACAGAACCTCCAGAGTTTGTACAGAAACTGCCAGCTGCAAAAGTCGTAAAAATGGGGGAGCCGCTGCAGCTTGAATGCAAAGTTACTGGGACAGCTCCTCTGAGAATAAGCTGGTACAAAAACGATGCCATACTCAGTGATGGTGGCAACTTGAGAATGACTTTCGATAACTCTGTGGCAGTCCTCGAAATTTCCACATCAAGCTTTGATGATAATGGTGTCTATACATGTGAAGCACAGAATGATGCTGGGACTAAGAGTTGTAGTACAGCTCTCACAATCAAAGGTTAGATAGTGGAAGAACATTTTATTTACTAGTTTATTATGAGCATTGTCTGACAGGAATTGTGTTTCAATAAATAAAATAAAAAAATTAAATTAATTAAAAAAGTTTTTAATAATTAAGAGTAGATTTCATTGTCAATTGTTTTCATTATACACTTATATTTTGTGTGTGTATATATTTAGTATTAGTCTTATTTTATACATAAATAATTACAAATTTATTTATTTATTTAGTTTTCAAGAAAATGTTTTAAAATTTAAAGTTATTTAATATTTAATTTTATTATTCTATTTTGTTTTCATTTATTTTAACTAGATTAATTGAGAAGATAGTTCATACATAATCCCTGGTCTTTTTGTTTCAATTAGCATATGTTCTCCTGTTATGTTTTTGTAGAACCACCAAGTTTCTACAAACTGCCAACACCAGTTGAGGGGCTGAAAGGCAAAGATGCCAGTCTTAACTGTGAGCTGAAAGGCTCTGCACCATTTGAGATAACATGGTTTAAAGATAAAAAACAGTTAAAGGAGAGCAGGAAGTATAAATTTGTTTCTGAGGGATGTTCAGCAACTCTCCACATTCTCGGACTGGAAGCATCAGATGCTGGAGAATATGAGTGCAAAGCAACAAATAATGTTGGAAGTGATTTGTGCCAAGGCTCTGTAAAGCTACGAGGTCAGTAAGATAGCAGTTCAAAGTATGGAATAATTTTCCAACAAATTTTTTTCATATTAGTTTAACCATTCTCTTCCTAAAATTCAGAACCACCTGCATTTGTGAAGAAATTATCCAATACGACAGCCATCTCTGGTGAGGAGGTAGTTTTGCTGACAACAGTCAAAGGCTCTCAGCCTATGACTGTATCTTGGGTTCAGGATAAAGACCACATACTCAGAGATGGTGAAAACAGAAAAATTACATTTGAGAATAATGAGGTCACCTTGAAGGTCTTTAAAGCTGATTCTACTACTGCTGGAAAGTATACATGTCAGCTAAAAAATGATGCTGGAGTAGCTGAATGCACAGCGAACCTAACTGTCTTAGGTACTTGTAAAAATATATATGCTTTTCACACAAATATATTTCATGTTTATTATGTTTTTTAATTAAATGACTCTTCTAAATTTTTAGAACCTGCAGCAATTGTGGATAAGACAGATTCAATCAGTGTAACTGCTGGTGAAGCCGCAGCCTTAGAATGCACTGTATCTGGAACTCCAGAACTTAAACCAAAATGGTTTAAGGATGGTGTGGAGCTGTCTTCAGGGAAAAAATACAAAATTACCTTTTCAAAGATGATTTCCAGTCTTAAGTTATTGTCAACAGAGAGGAGTGATACTGGAGAATACACTTTCAGTATCAAGAATGAAGTTGGCAGTGACAGCTGTGCAATGCAGCTAACTGTTTTGGGTCAGTAATTTTTTATAAGGTTTCTTACGTTCTTTAAACTGCATGTAATTTCTTATGAAGCTATACATTAAGTATTCTGTTTTTTGTCGAACAGACAAAATTGTCCCGCCTTTGTTCTCACGAAAATTGAAAGATACGCAGAGTATTGTTGGAAAATCTATGGAATTGGACTGTAAAGCTTCGGGGTCTGCACCTCTCACAATCTCTTGGTTTCACAATGAAGTGGAGATCATGAGTGGACCAAATTATGAGATTACTTTCACTGAAAATACCTGCACCCTGAAAGTGCCTACTCTGAAGCTTTCAGACTCGGGTACATACAAATGTAAAGCAGTGAACAGTGCAGGAGCAGCAGAGACATCTGCTTCCTTAGTTGTTAAAGGTTAGTGTTTTGCTGTAATTTGAAATAAGTTAGAAGTATAAATATGTTAGTTAAATCACCTATTACACCCCTTTCCCTGTCGTATTTGCTATAGAACCACCCTCTTTTGTGACAACACCTCAACCAGTGGAAGCCCTTCCAGGCACAACTGTTACTTTTACAGCAACTGTTCAAGGAAGTACCCCAATGAAACTGAAATGGTTTAGAGGCAGTAAGGAAATAGTGTCTGGAAGAAGCTGTGAGATTGCGTTAAGAGGAGATACTGCAATTCTGGAGCTCCACAACATTGACAAATCTCATGCTGGCGAGTACACTTGCCAGATCATTAATGATGCAGGGAAAGAAAACTGCCCTGTGAATCTTTTTGTTAAAGGTTAGTTTTAATTTGTTAATACTATAGAGGCTTAAAGGTTTCTTCATTGCTTGATATAGCAGAACTTTGTGTCTTACATCTTCATACATGCCATCCTTCATTCAGAGGCTGCACACTTTGTCAAGAAGCTAAAGAACCTCTCAGTTGAAATGGGCAAGTCACTGATACTTGAATGCACATATGCGGGGAGCCCAAAGATTCTTGTGAAATGGCATAAAGATGGCCAGGAGATTTACTCTTCATACAAGTACAACATTACGACCACTGAGAGCTCCTGCATACTAGAATGTCTAAACAGCGATAAAGAGGCTGCTGGGAAATACACTTGTGAGGTTTCCAATGATGCTGGACACGACATTTGTGAAGCAGCAGTGTCCATATTAGGTTTGTTAAAGAGCAGAAGCATTTAATATAAGCCATCGGGAGATATGCATGCTTTTGTTCATGATATACATGTATTTTTGTCACTCTTAGAACCACCTTTCTTTATTGAGAGTTTGGAGCCTATGGAGGTCACTGCTGGGGATGCAGTTTGCCTGAAGTGCCAGATTGGTGGCACTCCTGAAATAAAAATATCATGGTTCAAGGCAGACGGCAAAGTTCGTTCTTCTCCGACCTGCAAGATGGAGTTCTTCAAAGGCATCGCCTGCCTGAAACTAGCTAAAGTCGCTAAATCTGACATTGGTGAATACACATGTAAGGCAGAAAACAGCATAGGATCTGCCACTTCCAGCTGTCACTTAACTGTACAAGGTGAAGCTAAATCTTTAAATCTGTTTTTTCAATGTCTCTAAAGTTTTTAATTGCACTGTTTTATCAATGTATTTTGCTAAATGTTTTGCTTTTCAGATGTGAAAACACCCCCGTCTTTCCCCAAAAAGATCACTAGCATCATGCAAATTGAAGGACAGCCTGTCCAGTTTGAGTGTCGTGTTGCAGGATCCTCTCCTATGGAGGTCTCTTGGTTAAAAGATGGTGAAGCTCTTAGGAGCGACTCAGAATACACAATGTCTTTTGATGATAACTCTGCTGTCCTAAACATAGCCAAGGGTGAAATGAGACATTCTGGAGAATACACTTGCGTTGCAACCAATAGTGTTGGAAGTGCTTCTTGTAGAGCCAAACTTACACTTCAAGGTCTGTTTATTTCCTTCATGTTTTTCTTTGAATTAATGTGTTCCCTGTGTTGTGAAACACTCATGAATATGACAATGTCTATACAATTGTGCTGTTATCTCTATTTAACTTTACAGAGCCAAGATATCCACCTGTGTTTGATAAAAAGCTCGTACCTGTGGACGTGTCAGTGGGCGATACTGTCGAACTGGAATGCCATATGACAGGATCAATGCCAATAAAAGTCACTTGGTCCAAGGATCACAAAGACATCCGTACAGGGGGCAATTATAAGATATCATGTGTGGAGAACACCCCCCATTTGACTATTTTGAAGGCTGATAAGGCAGACTCTGGCCGTTATTCATGCCATGCTAGTAATGATGTTGGAAAGGACTCTTGTTCCACTGAGGTTTCTGTGAAAGGTATTTGGTCACTGCTTTGTGGTGTGACTGTCTTCATTGTCTTTGAATTGACAAATTTTTTTTTATGCTTGTCTTCCATTCTTCTCACCTTTGCAGTTCTTATGTTTTTCTTTGCTTGCAATCACTCAACATGTGATAGTGTTGAACATCTTTAACAAACTCTTGTGGTTTCGGCCCATGCATTTAGATCAACAAACCACCTTTTCTGTTTTGTCTGTTTTGTCTAACAGCACCTTTTTTCTTTCTTTAGAACGCAAAATTCCACCTAGTTTTACCAAAAAGCCTTCAACAACTATTGAGGACATTGAGGGCAAAGTGGTGAAGATCGAGGGCCGTGTAGCTGGATCACAGCCCCTGACTGTCAACTGGTATAAAGATGGGAGAGAAATCTTCACTTCTGACTTTTATGATGTAACCTTCAAGAGCAGCCTGGCTGTCCTGTGCATCAAAAAATCTCAGCTGTCAGATAGTGGCACGTATGTGTGCAAAGCCACCAATGAAGCTGGCACTGCCTCTTTTGAAGTGTCAGTTCACATTACAGGTATACTACTGTGTCTGTGGTTCTTATTGTCTTGTGGTCTTATTATTAATTATGAATGTGCTATTCATTTTAAAAAGTGTACTCTGGCAGTGCCATGGTCATTATTCAGTAACACTTTATAACAACTGCACACTATTAATCACTTAAGCATTAGATGAATAGGTAATTGATCATTTGTAAAACATGAACTCTACATTAATAGACATTAGTAAGCAGTTTAAAAGCACAGATACAAATCCTGTATTCTCATAAGCACATGTACAATTTGTTAAGTATTGCATGTTTGGCGGCATGGTAGCTCATTGGTTAGCACTGTTACCTCGCAGCAAAAAGGTCGCTGGTTCAAGTCCCAGCTGGGTCAATAAGCTTTTCTGTCTAGAGTTTGAGTGTTCTCCCATTGTTGGCATGGGTTTCCTCCGGGTGCTCCGGTTTCCCCCACAGTCCAAGGACATGCGCTATAGGTGAATTGAATAAACTAAATTGGCCATAGTGTAAAAGTGTGTGTGTGAATGAGTGTGTATGGATGTTTCCCATGACTGGGTAGTGACTGGAAAGGCATCCGCTGCATAAAACATGTCAGACTAGTTGGTGGTTCATTTCGCCGTGGCAAGCTCAGACATAGAGACTAAGCCAAAGGAAACTGAATGAATGGATTGTATATTCATACGTTGTCAAAGATTCATTTTTCATTACTAAATTAAGTATTGCATTATTTACAAAGCTGTTGTTTAAGAGTAACTCTTTTTTTAAAGATTGTTCAGAGTGAGTAAGTAAATTAATAATCTATTCAAATGAATACTTATATATCTTTTTATTCAGACATATAGTAATAATTACTCTGGGTGTTAATAAATGCAGTAACTTCAAGCAATTTTATGATCTAATCTAATACAGAGTGAAGACTATTTATTCTTGGAAAATCCCTTACCAGCAGTAAGACAACTGTTTACAAATGTCTATTAATATAGTTAATGCTTTACAAATGATTATTTAACTTAACATGATTCATAGTGTGCAGTTATTATAAAGGATTACCCATTATTCCTGTAAGTACCTTGGTAAATATCATGGTAGTTCCATAGTATTTTTTGTCTAAGGTCTTTTTGTAATGTTCTAGTCTTAATGTCTAAGGTCTTTTTAAAATGATCCTTGATATGAAACCATGCATGCATTTTTCAAAAGGACTGAAAATATATGAAACCATGGTCATAATTGATGTTTATTTATTCATTTTAAATACAGCACAAAAGGTTCCACCAAGCTTTGACTTGCCTCTTAAACCTGTGACTGTGAATGAGGGTGAGACACTTACCCTCAGCTGCCATGTACGTGGGTCTCCTCCTTTAAAGATTCAGTGGATGAAGGACAGGCGGGAGCTTTCTTCATCTGCAAACACAAAGATCACATTTGTTGACGGCACTGCCACATTGGAGATGACCCGTGTGTCTAAAACAGATAGCGGGGATTATCTTTGCAAAGCTACCAATGAGGCTGGTAGTGAGTTCTGCAAGTCTAAAGTCACTATCAAAGGTATTTGTTTCTGTATGTAAGGATCAAAGTGTTTTTTTTATCATGCTTTCTCTCTCTCTCTTTTTTTTATTTTTTTGCTGGTTTTAAGTCCTTGGATTTTTTTATTTGCTTTATCTTAACCTTGCCATTCTGATTGCTGTTATTAGTATAATCTAATAATGTATTTATTTTCTTTAATTCTGCTTTCTGGATCTTTCTTGGCCTTTCAACCGGTCTTGGTCTTTCAAACTTTAACAAACTTTTGTCAGGCCAAAAACTTACTTTTTGCTTACAAACAAGCCTTCGCTTCCTTACAAATGTCTAATGGCAACTCTTACTCTTCTTGCAGCTGTGCTTTAAAAAAAAAAAAAAGTGTAACACACTTAAATTTTTATGTCTACCATGGTTTAGCCCTGGATTTGGATTATTTTAAGATCTTAAAAATGCATGTATCTCACTGCAGTATTCTAACAAAATTTCAGATAAACCAGGTGCTCCTGCCCCAGCACAGGCGGCACCATCACCACCACAAGAAGTTAAGAAATTTGACAACTTGTTCTTCATTGAGGTGCCAAAGAGTGTCCACATCGTCGAGAGTAAGTGACTCTTCTTTAAATTTTATTTATTTATTAATATTTATTTATTTTTTGATGGTGGTGGACTCTTTTCAAATGCAAAGTGTAATTGAATTTATGTGTGATTCCTGTTTTTTTATAGAAGGTACAGCTACCTTCATTGCTAAAGTTGGTGGTGATCCCATTCCCAATGTGAAATGGATGAAGGGAAAATGGAGGCAGATGACTCACGGTGGCCGCATCAGTATTGAACAAAAGGGCCAAGAAGCCAAGATGGAGATCAAAGAGGTGACCAAATCTGACTCTGGCCAGTATAGATGTGTCGCCTCCAACAAACATGGAGAAATTGAGTGCAGCACTGACTTGAATGTTGATGAGAAGAAAGAGACGACTGTAGAAATGGTCAAACTGAAGAAGTAAGTTTGTCAAATATGAAACCTTGTTATTGTTATAATGATGTGCCATTTGTGCATGCATGTGAGCAGTATTTATTGAGCTGAGTTGACTTTATTGGTATCCGCAGGTTGATTCTTTTTGAAGCAAGGTTTGTTATTTGAAACAATTAAATCACACATATACAGTTGAAGTCAGAATTATTAGCCCTCCTGAATTATTAGTGCCCCTGTTTATTTTTTTCACCAATTTCTGTTTAATGGAGGGAAGATTGTTTCAGCACATTTCTAAAAATAATAGCTTTAAAAACTTATTTCTAAAAACAGATTTATTTTATCTTTGACATGATGACAGTAAATAATATTTTACGTGATATTTTTCAAGACCCTTCTATACAGCTTAAAGTGACATTTAAAGGCTTAACTAGGTTAATAAGGTGAACTAGGAAGGTTAGGGTAATTAGGCAAGTTATTGTATAACGATGGTTTGTTCAGTAGATTATTGAAAAAAAATTAGCTTAAAGGGGCTAATAATTTTGTCCCAAAAATGTTTTTAGAAAAATTAATAACTGCTTTTAATCAAGCCGAAATAAAACAAATAAGACTTTCTCCAGAAGAAAAAATATTATCAGACATACTGTGAAAATGTCCTTGCTCTGTCAAACAAAATTTGGGAAATATTTTAAAAAATCAAATCAAATAAATAGGGGGCTAATAATTCTGACTTCAACTGTACATACCCACATATACACATACAAAAGTACCTTATAAAATATGACAATTTATTCAGAGCAACAACAGATGTTTTTACAAAGCTGTTCCTGTAATGTTTTGTAATACTAAAAAACATCTGAAACTTCAACCTGAAAGGGAGCAGGATAAACTCAGACAGTGGATGAGAGTTACAGCTACTAATGTTCTGGGCAATCCATGAAAGCTGCCTACTACTACTATACAGGGATTCAATATTCAGCTGTGATTCATCAATCAACCTGCTAGACCACCTAATAACCTGGCTCAGTCTATTCCTGTTTTTAAGGGACATACTTCCAAACCATGCCACCAGAGCAGCGAATGATAGAATAGACTCAGTAAAGCATGATAGAAAAGAATAAGCATATTGGGTCCAATGTGAAAGCTGATGCTTCTTCTTGCACACAGCAGGACAGTTGTCTCAAGGTTTAAAAAATGGTCAATAACGGTACCTAAATCTTATTTTTAGATTGCTTAAAGTGAGTAAAAATTTACTCCAAAATAATTGCTCTATTTATTTTCAGTGATATATTGAAATATCTTGTGTACATTTATTTTAAATATCTTGAACTCATAATTTGTACTCAAACAGGTTTGTAATAAGTATAAAAATAGTAAATATTAAAAGAATGTTTATTTTTTGGTGAACTATTTCTTTAGCGCATAGGTCTCAAACTCATTTCCTGGAGGGCCGCAGCTCTGCACAGTTTTGCTCTAACCCTATCAAACGCAGCTGTGTTTGATCAGGGTTGTAGCAAAACTGTGCAGACCCGTGGCCCTCCAGGAATTGAGTTTGAGACCTATGCTTTAGTGGTTCTAATAGACAGCTTGCAATTATGCCATGGACCACTGCGGGTTTGGATTATACATAATTAAGTTGTTTTGTTTTACAGGACACCATCCAAGCAGAAAAGCCCTAAAGAGGAAAAGGATATTGACATTGTTGAGTTGCTTAGAAATGTTGATCCCAAGGAGTATGAGAAATATGCTCGCATGTATGGCATCACAGATTTCCGGGGTCTCCTACAAGCTATCGAGTTTTTGAAGAAGGAAAAAGAACTAGAAAGTGGAAGACCGGTAAGATTACATCTATTGTTCCTTTGTATTAATTTATGATCAATTTATCAATTTCGGAAACTTTGTGTACATTGAAACTATAAAACATTTCTCCATGTTTTATAAAAAGTTTCTCCATGGGACATTCCAGTGTCTTACCACTTAAGTACACTAACCCAAACTAACCCATTTGTGTGTCAATTAATAAAACTTACATGTATAACCATTTAATGTGGTTTATACTTTAATTTTTTTTCAGTCCCGATCATAACTACCAAAAATTCTGTTATTTTAAGGATTTTAACCCTTCAAAATGCAGTTTGTTTACATAATGCCACTGATTTTAATGAAAATTATTAAATTAAATGTTGAATATTCCAAATACTAAGGTCTTAGCAGATTTAAAAAGAAATATGACACTCTTTGATTAGTCATTGTCTAAATGAGCTCCCTAGCTCCTGAAGTCCTACATAAATTCCTCCACTAGTAAGTCGAGTTAGGATCCTAGCTCTCTACACTCTGATGATGTCAGAACACCCCCATTGTAGAACATTCCTAGTGGTATTCATGAATATTTATGCATTCATTCATTTTCCTTTGGTTTAGTCCCTTATATATCAGTGGTCACCACAGCGGAATGAACGGCACCTATTCTGCCATATGTTGTACGTAGCAGATGCCCTTCCAGCCACAAACCAGTACTGGGAAACATCTATATCTATACACTCTCGCATTCACACACTATTGCCAATTAGTTTATTCAATTCACCTATACTGGATGTCTTTGGCCTGTGGGGGAAACAAGAGCACCTGGAGGACATCCATGCGAACAAGGGGAGAATATGCAAATTCTACAAAGAAATTCCAATTGGCTCTGCCAGGACTCCAACCGGAGACCTTCTTGCTGTAAGGTGACAGTGCTAACCACTGAGCCACCGTGCCGTCCCCATTCATGAACAACAACTTTTTTTTATCATGTTATTTAAAATACATTTTGGAAAAATACTTTTAGAATCCAATTAGTTAATAAATGTTTGCTAGATTGTTCCGTAGCTGTTGAACTATGCTAATTTATGCTTAAATATGTTTTTTTTTTATTCCAAACTCATGTGCCATTATGTTGGGTGAGTTGGTTCATGTGATTTATATTTTGGGATTGCATTTTAGTGCAATGAAAGATTTTTGCAATTTAGGCAGCTATTAAATTTCTTTGAATTGATTTTTATTTATTTTTTACATTTACTATGACCAAGAAAGGTTTGTAGTGACATTAAACTTTAAAGCATGTATCTCAGGAATAAAAGAGAAGTATGTTACTTGTTTGAATGCTTGGATTTGTTACATTTCAGGAAGGGGAAATTGTTGGAAGAGAGTCTGAAGAGGATTTGGCTAAACTTGTTGCTGATTTGCAAAAGAGGATGGAACAAACTGAGGTTTGAATTTTTATTTGTATTTTATAAGACTTCAGCCAGTGCAGTGTAGTGCAGCCTCAAATTTATAATTCATATAAGTTTATGACTTTTATGATCTAATCACTAATATAAAATTTGAAAGAATTATAACGTAAGCATACTTTTCAGACAAAGCATTTCACAAAACCTCTGTTGAGTGCTAAAGGGCATCTATTTTACCCCTTTTACAAAATGTAAGATAACCCTTTGGTCTCTCCAGATTGTGTTTGTAAAGTTTCAGCTTAAAAAACCCATCAGATAATTTAATATACTTTAGCCGTTTTTTGTAGCCTGTGGCTTTAAATGATAACGAACTGCTTCTCCCCGCCCACCATTCCCACATGCATGTCTGGTTCTCATCATGCATTACTTCAGATGAATAGCACAGTGACAGACACAGAATTGCTAAAATACTAATAAGTTTATTCAAGCCTTTTTGAAATGATGAGTCTCACACCAATGCCATTTGCAGCACACACAAACATGTGTGCATTTACTGACACCATGTGGCTGTGGTGATTATATTGGTTAAGAATTACATAGCTATTGTACTGTCTTTATTTCAAACATGCTCTGTTTTAAAAAAAATTTTAAACTTATAAAAATCTGAACAAAAGTTTTAATCCCAGTTTATTTGCAAAAAAAATAATATTAAATTCTGTGGGCATGTGTATGCTTGTTATTATAGAAACATGGCATCTGCCAATCAATTTGGTGGGCAGGGAAATCATACTTCTACGTCCTATTTCGGTGGGCCTGAAAAACGTTTTTTTCATTTTTTTATCTTTTTTTATTTTTTATAGAGATTTCTTGGGTTTATATCAATCCATTATGTCAGTGGTCACCAAACTTGTTCCTGGAGGGCCGGTGTCCTGCAGATTTTTGTTCCAACCCTAATCAAACACACCTGAACAAGCTAATCAAGGTCTTACTTGGTATACTTAAAACATCCAGGCTGGTGCGTTGAGGCAAGTTGGAGCTAAACCCTGCAGGGACACCGGCCCTCCAGGACCGAGATTGGTGACCCCTGCAATATGTGATAGTAATTTACCTATCCTATTAAATTGTTTAAAGATTTGCAAGAATATTAAGGCACTTTTCAGTTGTCAAGTTTGTGTTGTTTAATGATAATATAAAGTAAATAAAAAATGCTAAAACAATATTGAGAACCGTATCCTCAAAACATGTTTTGTTAAATGAGCATACAGTTAAATGAGGCGTGTAAATCATGTTCAATCCACATCATGTGATTTGCAGCATATTAATTTGTCTCTTTGTTTTGCATGCAGCCTGTCACTGTGGCACGTGACATCACAGACCAGACAACTACTGTTAAGAAGGAAGCTGTGTTTGAATGTGAGATCAAGATTAACTACCCCGAAATCACTCTGTCCTGGTATAAAGGAACACAAAAACTTGACAGTGGCGACAAGTATGACATCAAAATTGTGGGTGATCGTCACATTTTAAAAATCAAGGACTGCCAGACAAGAGATGAGGGAAATTACCGTATTGTGTGTGGCCCACATATCTCCAGTGCCAAACTGACAGTGTTGGGTATGTAGAAACATTTTTTGAGGTTTATTTTAGTGAATATGCCTCATGCTATATCAAATATGCGTTTTAAAATAACAACCTTTATTCTTTCTGCAGAAGCTGAGGTGGAAAAGCCTATGCAGGATGTGGCTGGTAAGGAAGGCCAGACATGTACATTGACTTGCCAGTTGTCTGTACCTAATGTAAAAACCCAGTGGTTTAGAAATGGGAAGCTTTTAGAGCCTCACAGCAGATATACATGTGCTGTGGCCAATTACACTCAGAAGCTCTCAATCAAAGATGTTAGGCCAGAAGATCAAGGAGAGTATACCTGCAAATATAAAAATCTTGAAACGACTGCCAATCTTTGGATCGAAGGTTGGTATAGATTAACTGAACTGTCAGATTGTAAAATAGACCATCTACTAACCTCTTCTATCATCATCATCATCTGTGACTTCTTCTTAACCTCTTCTTAACCACACTCTTCTTGTTTTAAATGCCAGGAATGTTTTGTCTTCATATTTTCCTGGCTTTCTTTTATCGCAAAACATAAGAGAGTATGTTAGGCAAATACAAATAGATTCCGCTCCTAATCATCCACCTTGCGTTATTCCTTTCTAGCTGAGCAAATACATTTCACCAAACGCATCCAGAACATTGTGGTGAGAGAACATCAGTCCGCCACTTTTGAGTGTGAGGTGTCTTTCGACAATGCAGTTGTAACATGGTATAAGGACACTTGGGAGCTTAAAGAGAGCCCCAAATATACATTCCGAAGTGAAGGGCGACGCCACTTCATGATCATCCGCAATGTTTCCTCTGCCGATGAAGGTTTGTGGAGTTCCAGTGGGGGACCATTTTTCGTTTTAATACTATTACATCATAAGGCCCGTTTAACCGAATTAATAATTCTTTAGGCGTGTACTCGGTCATTGTCAGATTGGAGCCCAGGGGTGAGGCTAAAAGTACAGCTGAGCTTTACCTGTCAGGCAAAGGTCGGTACAGCTGTCGTGCTCTAGCATTCACTTAACAAACATTCTCTAGTAAATGAAGGCTCCTCACGTTTATTTTTTCTATTTTTTTTCTCAGAAATTGAAATAGAAAGGGTTCCTTATGGTGAGTATGTGACATTTAAAATTTTTAAACACCTACAGTATATCCCATGCTGAAAAAACACCATACGCTGGTATGGAATGTTTTGATGCTGGTCCTTGTTGGTCTATTGCTGATCATGTCTGACCGCGATTAGTCTTAGGCCCAATCCCAATTCTAATTCTTAACCCTTCCCTTTACCTTGCCCTTCATGTGAGGTGGGGTGTCCCAATTATTTTTAGCTTACAGGCGTAGTAGGACTAAGGGCAAGGGCTACAGTAGATAGCCATTGAAACTGAGATTTTTCAGGATCGCACTTGAAACCAAGGGGTACCAAAATTTCTCAGAATACACCCAAAATGCAGGCCTGCACCCGGAAGACATTACAATTTTAAAAACAAACAAGCACATGTTTTAATACAATCATAAACACAGTCTTATTCTTACCGCCATGCTTTGAAAAAAAAAATGCTAAAATAAAAACAGCTAAATTCAGCTATCTATAATCCATAATAATAACTTCTGTATAGCAGTCCCAAAACATGCAGTACTTTCAAATCTGTCACTCTGACACGTGAATACCCTGTCAGAAAAGTCTAGTGTCTGTGAATGACCTTTTTACAGTGTCTGCTATAATTTTAATGTTGTTTTTTTGTTTACATAAATTTATATGGGCACGTTGTAAATGCACAGTACAGTTATAAGCTTATTGCCACATTTTATCATTATAAGTGCCTTCAGTGATTTCCTGAAGATAAATATCAAAAAATAATGCAACAGCAGTAGTGATCCTCAATCTCATATGAAGCAAGAGATCATAATGACAAATGATGAAGTGTACAGGTGCTGTACTGCTCTCCCATGTCTAATGGGTAAAATTTGAAGCCCTTCCCCCGTACACTTTGTTTCAAGGGCCAAAGGGAAGGGGTAGGAGAACAAAAATAAAATTAGCATTGGGCCTTGGCCTCAGACAAGCACTGCCCACAGACTTTTGGCTAAATGTCTGATGGATATGGCACACTTTTCTGATGGATATGGCACACTTCAACCGATCTTCAGCCACCTCAGGATATCCAGAAGTTGAGTGTGCAGCAATCTTTATCAGCCTACCTGGAAACAAGTCTGAGTGCTTATTAAAGTAGTGATGTTTATACCGATGACAGTGCTTATTAATAACTTGACATTGATGAATCAGTGCCTGCAAATCCATCTGTTATTGTTAAGATAATGTTTTGACATTTAGCATTTATCAATGTGACTTTCTTGCTGGATTATTAAAAGTTTGCAATACTCACTCATAGAACCCGTGATGTCAACAAAAATGTGGGTATTCTTATATTCTTGTTTTTTAATGGCTGTGAAAATTTTCAAATAATATGCCATTTTGGTCATAAAGATTAGAGAAAGACATTGTTTAAAACAGTAACTCAGTTTAAAAGTTTAAAACTGCATCTGTCTTCTCAGTCTGCCTGAGCTTTATGTAGAAATCTGTCACCAAAATAATGAATAATGCAGCTTTTAAAGACTTTTGAGAATAAATGATGCATGATTCTGAGGACTTTCCATGCCTCTTAACATGATGCAGCACAAAACAAAATGTGATTACTTGGTTAACCTGTCAGTCATTTAATATAGTGTGCTGTCCTTGACCATTCAAAGCGGCTAAAGTTCCCAGATCTTTAGCTGTCAGTCTGAGGTCTGGTTAGGCGATATTAGACCGGGACCAACATGAACCAGCATAAACAAGCAAACCAGCATTAAAACATACCTTACCAAACCTATTGTGGATTTTTCAGCTGGGTTAGTAGTGCATATTGACAATTTTTCTCACACAAAGAATTAATTTCTGTAAGCAAACTAAAGAATGTTAAATAACACTCACACAGACATCCCAGATACATCAATACAAGTGCCTGAGGCAGCTACATTAACCATTGAAGGTAAGATTGTGATCGTATTTAAGTTTACACAATTACATGATCCAAATCAGTATCTACAGACAGTTACTCATACATTTACTATTTTCAAAACAAGCGGAGTCTTCAATGGAGTACTATCATTATGAGGAAAAAATGGAAACGCAAGGTAAACTGCCTTATTATGAGTATAAAACTAACTTCTCATGTCATCATATTCATATAGTGTCATTCACTAAAACTGCCAAAATATCTTTGTAGATCTATTAACTTCATTTTTTAACCAAGCATCTATTAAGAAACCACACACAAAAACTAATGTAAAAGAATAACACGTTTGTGCGAGTTTTGTCTGTTCCTCAACATCTTGCGTGAAATAACCAAATAACGTCAAATTTGAAAGAACTTATCGTTGGACATGTGTAACAACTTTTTACCCTTTACCAGAGTATGTGAGCTGGGCAGAGGAGAGTGTTGTAGAGGAAATATCATGCACAGGTATTACTGAGAGCTTTTGGGTCAACAAATATAATTCAACATTATGTTCTAACCTTCTTTAATCTTTTGATTGCCCTCATAATGTTATATGTATGTATGTATGTATGTATGTATGTATGTATGTATGTATGTATGTATGTATGTATGTATGTGTGTGTATTTGTTTCATTCATAGTAAAATCTGTATGTATCTCCATGTGTCTTCACCATTCCCTCAAAATACACTATTATTTTGTCCTGTGTGTGTTGTTGTGTGTGCTGTCATAGATTTTCCAGTGTGAGTTGGTTAATGTGTCAACATTTTTTAAGTAATTTATGTTATGTTTTGTCTTTTCATGTTTCTTCAAAGCCAGATACTTATGGCTATTATTCTAAGTACGTTCTTTTTCTCATCAGCTCCAAGGGTCCCGATCGAAGAGTCCGTCACTAGAAAAACCATGGGAATGAGAGAGGAGGCTCGAACCACAGGTAATGAAAGAGTATAAAGTAACTCGCTGCTTTGCTTCTTGTTGTCCAACATGCTTCATCTTCATGTCCTTCATGTTTATATGTCTGTCTGTAAAGAGTTTAATTTTTGTCGTTAGTTATGTTGTGTCATGCCTTATCAATGTTGCGTGTTAGTCATATGTGCTTCTGCAATATAAAACAATGTCAATACACTCATACACATTAAAAATGACATTTTTCTCACAAATATGTACATTAAACTGCACATTTTTTATGTTTGAAAGTTTTTTTGTTATCTTCAACTATGCTTCTATGCTGTCTTGTAATCTGTGGATGTGTCATTTCGTCCATGTATTCAATGATTTTTTCTTAATTGTCTTGATGTTCTTGCATGGTATAGTTGCTTTGAAACTAGCCAGTAGATTTGATATTATAGAGTAATTCTTCTTAATGTTCTCAAAGAATTCGAGGAACCTGAACCATCTAAACCAGTGGAGCTAATACCTGAAGTACCTGAGAAAGGTATGCGAATGTCTGTCCCGTGTTGTCTGTTCCAGTGTTAATATGTTGTTTTACATAATTTTGTGTCTAAAACTTTATAAACATTCTTATAATTCTATATGTTCTGTCTTTATTTTGTCTAAGTTATTCTTACAATTGTAATGAATTTTTGTCCAAAAAAGCCAAAATTCCTGTGGAAGAAATAGTTACTGCAGTTACAGTGCCAGAGCCAATTGAACGCCCCTCAGCAAAAGGTATGGAAAGATCACATGGCATTATGTTCAGTGTTAAATGTCACATTTGCTGGTTATACATATGTGCATAATACACCTCTTAAACTGAAGTCTTTCTATGTTTTCCTGTGAATGCAGGCATTTAAAAGTTTGTTTTTATGTGTTATTGCAACAATGTTGTGTGGCCAAATTGTTTATTTTTTGCTCTTTGGATCTCACACATTACCATCTTAATTTTGTCAGTTTTTTTTACTTATGCTTTGTGTCCTTGTCCTTAATCTTATTAGATGTTAAACCAATTATCAAATCTTTTGTCTGTCATTTCTTATTGTGTTTTTCTGTTTGAGGTATGAATTTAACTGTGTTCTTTCATGTCTTAATTCTTCTGAACTGCGAATGTACTAATATTAAAAATATGTGTTATATGAAAAAGTGCCACAGCCTCCTGTGGCTCCAGCACCTAAACCTGAAGAGCCTAAAGCTGTACCAGTAGCTGAGCCCAAACCAGAACCAAAGCCTAAACCTGAAATTAAGCCAGAGCCTAAGGCTACGCCGGTGAAGAAACCTGAGTCACCTCCATCCAAAGGTATTGTTAAATGCTTCATGTTGTGTAGGATTCTTGTCTGTAAACATTTCATGTACCTGTCTTTGTTGTTGCAATTGTCTATCTTCCACAAGGAAGTGCATGCACTGGGATGCTGTATGTTCTTTGGCATGTGGTAGGGAAAACTGTAATTGTAAACAATACAATGCATGTTCTTTAAAGTTCTTGAAGAGGAAACAAAGCCAAAAACACCCATCCAAGAACCACCAAAGAAAGTGCCAGCTAAACCTGTGGAAGCCATTACAGTTCCAACTGAAGAACCTCCAAAGAAAGGTATAGACTTTGTTTGTTTGTTTGTTTCTGTATGTGTATTTCTTTAATCAACCACACTCTTATACGGACCACATGACTGGTTCTGTCAGTGTTTTTGTTCTGCATGACAAGTTCTTTTTTATTTTTTGTTTTTGCTGTACTCTTATTGTTATATTTTATTCTCGTTGTTTGCATTGTGTGTGTTTCTTGTCTACTTGCAATTTATAAACGTTTTGTTGTTGCATTTGTCCAGCTTCCATTAGGAAGCATGTATGTGTGACACTGTGTGTTCTTTGATGTTTGGTTACAAACCTTGATCTTTAAAAATGCAATATATATCCTTTAAAGTTCTTGTAGAAGAAAAGAAACCAAAACCACCAGTCCAAGAACCACCAAAGACATTGCCTACTAAACCTGATGAAGCCATTGCTGTTCCAATTGCAGTACCTCCAAAGAAAGGTATTGCCTCATTATTTGTAACTTTTTTTTTTGTAACTTTTTATTTGTAACTTCATTATTTGTATTTGTAACAAACTTTCTGTGGCTTTGTTTGTCTTTGTCCTGTAGTATTGTTTGGTTTTAGTGTGTGCTGTGTATCTGTTAAAGTTTACAGCATATGCTTTGTCATTAATTTTTTTAAAGGGTATTCATACATTTGTCTTTATTGGTACAAGTGTCTAGCTTCCATTTGAGTGACACTTTGAGTTCTTTGACGTTCATATAAAAATGAATCTTTCAACAAATAAATGCATGTCCTTTAAAGTTCTTGTGGAGGAAAAGAAACCAAAACCACCAATTCAAGAACCCGCAAAGAAATTGCCAGCTAAGCCTGATGAAACCATTGCAGTTCCCATTGAAGAACCTCCAAAGAAAGGTAAAGGTATAGACTTACTTTTTCAGTGTATCACTGATTGTTGTGTGCTTCTTTATCTTTAACTTGCCACACTCTTAAAAGGAACACGTGTCCTCATTGTGGCCTTTGTGTATGTCATTGTCTTTGTCCTGCCGTATAACTACATTTTAGTGTATGCTTGCTGTGTGCTGTTTATGTGTTGTGTAGCTTTTTAAAGGGATTTTTTATGTTTACGTCTTTTTTGTTGTCTTTTACTGTCTATCTTCCGCTAGGAAGTGTATTATATAGAATTGTTTTGTGTTCTGTGATGTTTGCTTATGAAAATGCATCTTTAAACCATTAAATGCATGTCCTTTAAAGTACTTGTGGACGAAAAGAAACCAAAACCACCCATTCAAGAACCACTAAAGAAATTGGCAACTAAGCCTGATGAACCCATTGCAGTTCCCATTGAAGAACCTCCAAAAAAAGGTATTGACTCACTTTTTGAATCTTTTTTTTTATTTTTATTGTTGTACGGATGTACACACTCTTAAGAGGAACACATTTCCTCATTGTGCCTTTTGTGTATGTCAATGTCTTTGTCCGGCTGTATAATAGTATGTTAGTGTATGCTTGTTGTGTAGTGTGTTTTTCTTATGTGGATTTTAAGAGGATTTTATATACTTGCTTTTATTGTTGTAATTGTCTAGCTTCCGATAGGAAGTGTTTTTTGTGCGACTTTGTGTGTTCTGTGACATTTGCTTATGAAAATTAATCTTTAAACAATTAAAGATGTGGACGAAAAGAAACCAAAACCACCCGTTCAAGAACCACCAAAGAAATTACCAGCTAAGCCTGCTGAACCCATTGCAGTTCCCATTGAAGAACCTTCAAAAAAAGGTATTGACTCACTTTTTGAAAGAAGGGCTGTTTTTGTTGAACAGACGTGTTTCTTCTTTTAGCTTGTCACGCTCTTCTGAGAAACAAATGGCCTTTCAGTGGCTTTTGCTTCTAATTTTCTAACATGTTGTCATCTCTGTTGTAATTGTCCAGCTTTCACTAAGAAGCATATTGTTTGTGACATTGTTCAAATCAAAACAAATCTTAGATAATTAAATGCATGTTCTTTAAAGTTCTTGTGGAGGAAAAGAGACCACAACCAAAAATTCAAGAACCAACAAAGAAATTATCAACTAAGCCTGATGAAACCCATGCAGTTCCAACTGAAGAACCTCCCAAGAAAGGTATAAACTCACTCTTTGTAAGCAGGGCTTTTTTTGTTATACCTTTCATTATTAAATTGTCATACTCAAAGAATTGCCTTAAATGAAAGTTGGTATATGCTTATCAGAATTATTTTTAAAACAATGCATGTTCTTTGAAGTTCTTATGGAAGAAAAGAAACCAAAACCAGCAATACAAGAACCACCAAAGAAAGTGTCTGTGAAACCTGAGCAGGCCTTCACAATAGAAGAACCTCCCAAAAAAGGTATAGACACATACTAGGTTTTTTAAGAAGCACTAGTTTTCTGTTGTTTTTATTAATTCGACACTTCTAAGAAGAACACCAAGTGGATTTGAAGAACTCAAAGTGGATTTTGTTCATTGTATATTCTTGTCTTTGTCTTTTGGGATTGCATGCATTCTTGTTGGTAGCTTCTACCATATCTTTTATCTTACTTCTTGATTTCTTAAATATCTTAAGTATTTAAAATCGGCCTGAATGATCTTTCATTCATCTTGTCTTTTATCTTGTCACTTTTAAAACTGAAGCATTCTTCATAACTTTAATATTCTTTCTAAATACAAGAACCTTCCAAGAAGCCAGGAGCCCCTCTGTTATTGGCTACACAGAGAGAAGATTTGGTTGAGGAAAAACGGCCTAAAAAAGAGACTGTTGCTATGCCTAAAAAGCAGGAAATTGTTTCCCAAATGGAAGAAATGGAACCTCAAAAGAAAGATGTTCCACTATTTCCTAAAAAGGATGAGAAAAGTTTACCTGAAAAGAAAGATGTACATCTTACAAAGGATGAGGAAATTGTTCCTCCAAAGAAAAAGGCAACAATTCCTGATAAAAAGGATGAGGCAGGTGTACCTAAAAAGAAAGATGTTTCTCCTAGAAAGGATGAGAAAATTATTCCTCTAAAAACGGACATCACACTTCCTTCTAAAAAGGATGAGCCAATTGAATATATAAAGAAAGATGTTGTTATTCCTGCTAAACAGAAAGATAAAATTGTTCCTCAAAAGAAAGAGGTCACTCCTCTTTCTAAAAAGGATGAGGCAACTGCACCTAAAAAGACAGAAATGCTTCCTCCTGCTAAACAGGATGAGGAAATTTTTCCTCAAAAGAAAGAAGTTGCTCTTCCTTCTAAAAAGGATGAAGCAGTTGAATCTAAAAAGAAAGATGTTTATTTTTCTGCTAAACAGGATGAGGAAATAATACCTAAAAAGACAGAGGTTCTTCTTCCTCCTAAAAAGGAGGAGGCAATTGAACATAAAAAGAAAGACGTTTCTTATCCTCGTAGAAAGGATGAAGAGCATGAACCTATAAAGAAAGAGGGTCCTCTTCCTTCAAATAAGGAGGAAATTGTAAATCAAAAGAAAGATGTTCCTTTTCCCACTAAACAGAGCGATGAACTGTTGCTTAGAAAGAAAGATGTTCCACCTTCTCCTAAAAAGGATGACATAGTACCTCAAAAGATTCCTAAACAAGATATATCTCAGACTAAGCCTCATATGAAAGAGATGATTCCCACACAAATTCCAGAGAAGACAGAAGAAAAAGAAACTTTCTCCGTACAAGTAGTTACACGTCTACAGAAGGAAGTGGTACTTGCTGCAGAAATTCTTTCAGAAAAAGAAGAAACGGAAGAAATTTTCCTTAAAGAAGAAATTAAACATCTTCAAAAGGAAGCTTCTCTTAAACCAAAGCTGGAAGAAAAAGAAGATATATTGCCTAAAAAGAAGGAAGTAATTGCCATGACTAAAAAAGAGGAGGTCATAATGCCCAAAAAGAAAGAAATTCCTCTTCTTGCTAAAAAGGATGAAGTACCCCAAAAGAAAGAGGTGACCCCTACAAAAGGTACAAAGATATCTGACAACATCTTAGTCTTTTTTATTCCTTGTCTTTATGTTTTAGAAACTCTCTTGAACTTATCTTTAGCTATTTCATTGTACTAATTTCTTTGTGTCTGTTGAGTCACGTATGTTTGTCCATTGTCTTTTATCATTTGTTCTTTGTTTTCTCAATTAACCTCTTACCACTCGCCAGAGTGATCTCTTGATCTTATACAACAGATTTTTTCTCTTAATTATAAACGTGTGCTAACAGAAAATCTTGCTTTCTCAAGATGTTTTGGAGTCACCATGGAAAGAATCTCCTAAAGAAGACCTGCAAAGAAAGTTGGATACAACTCTTTTTCTTTCCCAAAAATTTGAGATAACTGGAGGTACATAAATCAAACTCCATTGTATTCTTTGTTGCCCTTTTATTTTAAATTGTTGCTCTTTTAGCCTGTTTTTCTCTTGGACAACATTGTTCTTTTCATCTTCTGTTTAATTCGAATGGAGACATGGTGAAGCCATTTTTAGGCTCCTTCGCTAAAACTTATTGTTACATCACCCTTGCAAACCTAATGTTTTAATATATACTTTTTTGTACTTTCTTTGTTGGATACAAACTTATATTTACATCCAAAATCTTCAAGATGTCACTTCTGCTCTAAAGAATGATGACGCCATTCAGTCAGACAGTCAAGGAATTGCAGTGAAGCCACTTCTTTTGGAAGAAACCCATAAAGAGGACACCTCTCATTTAGAACTTGTATCACAAACAGAAATACTCCATGGAGCAATAGGTAGCAAAGAGACTGAGAATTTACATATTACAAAACTGGAGGATTCATCAAAAGAAAGTATATTTTCTTCAGAATTTACAAATGAATCATTTTCTCATGAAGGGCTCCCTAGAGAACTTGTAATGACAGGTAAGCTAAACAGTGCTCACAAAAGGATTTTGAAATTGTGGATTGAGAGTTTTGTTTAGCTGCACCTCAAGAGACAATGTTATTTTGCCTTCAGCCTATGAAAAAAATTCCTTTGAATTCCAAGAATCTTCCATGAATCCAGAGGTTGCTCTGTTTATTGCTACAGAGGGAAATTTAATCAAGAAAGATAGAGATGGAAAATTACCTCAAAAAAGAGTGACAGATGCTTTCCCCAAAAAAGAAGAAATGACAGAGATACTTTCTAAAAAAGAGACATTTACTGACCCTAAAACGAAGGAAATTGTGCTTCAAAATGAAGAACGTCTTCAAAAGAGATTTCAAAGCAAACCATTTGCTGATTCTCCCCAAAAGAATGAAGACATTGCTGTAATAGAATTTTCCCAAAGAAAGAATGAAATATTAACTCCTAAAATGAAAGCAGTTCCTCTTCCTCCTAAAAATGAAAAGGCACTTCAAAACAAACATATTTCTCATGATGCTAAACAGAGTGAGGAAATGTTACCCAAAGAGATTGATGATTGGTCTAGAAAAGCTGAGGAAATGTCATGTGAAAAGAAAATTGCACTTCCAAAGAAACGGGTTACTCTTCTTCCTAAACAGGATGATGAAGTGTTACATAAAGAGAAAGATGTTCCTTATCCCCCTAAAAATATTTATCTTCCCTATCAAGAGGAAGATGAAATTGTACTTCAAAAGAAAGAGTTTCCTCCTTCTCCTAAAGAGGATGACAATTTTTTACTTGAAGAGAAAAAAGTTTGTTCCAATATAGAGAAGGAAAGTGCATTTGAAAAGAAAGGTCTTTCTTCTAGAAAGGAAGATAAAATTGTATTTAAACCAAAAGACGTTCTCTGTAAGACAAAAGACAAAATTGGGCTTCAGTTGAAACAAGTTCCTCTTCCTGCTAAACAGGATGAGGAAATATTGCCTAAAAAGAATATTTGTTCACCAAGACAGGATGAGGAAGTAATGGCTAAAGAGAAAGAGGCGCCTTATCTGTCTGAATATGAATATGGAATTGTATTCAAAAAGAGAGACATTTATTTTCCAGATAAAAAGGAAGATAAAACTACACTTCGAAAGAAAGAGGTTGATCTACCTGCTAAACACGATGACGAAATGTTACTTAAAGAGAAAGATCTTGATCTCCGTATGGATGAGGAAATTACATTTGAAGAGAAAAAGATTGTTCTTCCTCTCAGAATGGAGGATGAAATTGAATCTGAAAAGGAAACAAAATCTCTTCATAAAAAAGAAAAGGAAACTGCTCATCTAAAGAAAGAGGTTTTTCTTTCTGTTAAACAGAATGAGAAAAAGTTTCCTAAAGGGAAAAATATTTATCCTAGAAAAGAGGAAGAAAAATTGCGAAAACAGGAGTATTCTTATTTTCCTAAAAATAAAGACAAAATCAAATTTTTAAAGAAACAGGAGCCTCTTTCTGTTAAACAGGATGAGAAAATCTTACCTAGAGAGAAAGAAGTTTTTAGTCAAAAAGGTTTTCAACTTTTGCATGAAGAGAAAGAGGTTCCTTCTCCCCATAAAAATGTTTATCTTTCGTATACAGAGGAAGATGAAGTGCCACCTCAAAAGAAAGACTCTCCTCTTCCTGCCAAAGGACAGAATGGGAAAACATTGGCTAAAGAGAAAGAGGTTCCTTATCCCTCTGAAAAGAAATATGAAATTGTATTCAAAAAGCAAGATATTGATATTCTTGCTAAACAGGATGAAGAAATGGTAAAACCTCTTCATAAAAAAGAAAAGGAAACTGCTGATCAAAACAAAGAGGTTCTTCTTACTATTGAACAAAATAATAATAATACATTTCCTAAATTGAAACATGTTCATTCCAGAAAAGAGGAGGAAATATCTTCTAGATACCAAGATATTTGTCCTAGAAAGGGTGGGGAACAGTTGACTAAAGAAAAAAAGGTTCCTTATTCCACCAAAAAGGAACATGGCATTTTATCGAGAGAGAAAGATTATCTTCCCCATAAAAAGGAAGATGGAATTGAATTTCAAAAGAAAGAGGATGTTCTTCCTGGAGAACAGGATGATGAAATTTTACTTAAAAAGAAAGTTATTCATCAAAGAGAAAAAGCCGAAACTGTATTTGAAAAGAACAAAATTGTTCTTTCTCCCAGAAAGGAAGATACAACTACAGGTCAAATAAAAGAGGTTCCTCTTCCCTCTAAAAAGGAAGAGAAAGTTGCACAAAAGGAAAAGGTTCATTTTCCTGCTAAACAAAATGAAGAAGTTTCTCCTAGAAAGGATGGACAGACAATCTCTAAAGTGAAAGCAGTCCCTTATCCCTTTATAAAGGAAAATGAAACTGCATTTAAAATGAGAGAAAATGATCCTCCATTTAAAAAGGAAAATAACATTTCACTTCAAAAGAAAGAGATTCAACTTCCTGTTAAACAGGATAAGAAAATGCTACTTAATGAAAAAGATCATCCCATAAAGGGTGATGAAATTTTATTAGAAAAAAATGAGATTTCTCCCAGAATGGAAGATGACAAGTCTAAAGCAAAAGATGTTCTTTCTAAAAAAGAAAAGGAAATTGCCTATAAAAAGAAAGAGGCTTCTCTTTCTGCTGATAAGGATCAAGAAATGTTTCCTAAAAAGAAAGAAATTTCTACCAACCAGGATGAGAAAATATGGGATCAAGAGAAAGAGGTTCCTTTTCCCTCTAAAACGGAAGGTGAAACTGTATCTGAAAAGAAAAAGGTGTATCTTCCCTCTGAAAAGGAAGATGAATGTTTGCTTCAAAAGAAAGAGGTTCATCTTCCTGTTATACAGGATGACAGCATGTTACAGAAAGAAATGTTTCACAGAAAAGAGGATGAAATTGTATCTAAAAAGAAAGAAGGTCCTCTTTTTAATAAAAAAATAATAGAAAATGCATTTAAAAACAAAGATGTTCCTCTTCCCATTAAACAGGGATTGACCCCTAAAAGGGAAGATGAAGTAACTGTGTTTGACAAGAAAGAAATGGGTTCTCTTCTCAAAATGGATAAAGGAATTTTACCTAAACTGAAACCAGTTTCTTTTCCTCATGAGGATGAAATATCTGTCAGTCAAAAGAAAGACATTCCTCTTCTTTCTAATATGGATGAAGAAACAGTAACTCAGACTGAAGATATGACTTCCACACCAACAGCAGAAGTTGTAGTTCTACTGAAAACTAAGCAGGCTTCTCAAACAAAAGAAACTGTTCGTCAGAAGAAAGAAATAACCCCCACACATATTTTGAAAGAAAAAGAAGAAAGTGCTCCTAAAAGAACTGGTTATCTCTCTTCCGATTGGGAAGAAATTGCACATCAACATAAGGAAGTGCCCCTAACAATAAAACTGGAAGATAAAGACAATAAGCCAAATAAGGCTGTTGCATTTGCTAAACCAGAGCACCTTGAAGAAAGACCAAAAGACCAAAAGAAAATAGTAATTTCTGAGGCTAAACAAAAGGAGAAAGATGATGTTCAGCCCAAAAAAAAGGAATCGTTTGCTGTCACTAACAAAGCAGATTGTATAGTACATCAAAAGAAAGATGTCATTCTTTCTTCTAAAAAGCTTGAAGAAAATGTGCCTCATAAGAAAGAGGTGACATCTTTGAAAGGTAGATTGACGCCAGACAACATCTCAACAGCCTGTTTCTTGTTAGAGAACAAGATTTCTTAGAAATTATTTTTTTTAAGCTTAAGATTTTTGAAACTTAAATGGTTTTTATATTTTTGTGTGGTCTTGTGTGTCACTTGTCTGTTGTTGATCAAGATAATTAACACAGAAATTTCTTACAACAAGAAGAACATTCATAAAATCTTACTAACCTCTTCTGTGCCTGAAGTCGTAAATAATCTTACAAACGCAGATCTTTGCCATTTTCTCTGTTTTGTGTGTAAACTGTTATATATTGTGCTTGTTAAGTCTAATGATAAAGCTGCCGAATGTGGGGTTATAATGGACAATTTTATCTGTGATGTAAAGTGGCAGAACCAGAGAGGAAACCATCTCCTGATAAGATACCAGAGACACCTGTTTCTGTGAAAGAAGTTGCACCCCCAAAAGGTACTATGGGGAATCTTCAACAAAATCTTCTTATTCCATACAACATTTTATTACAATTAGTCTTATCATTGTGGTACATTTCTGTTGTTTGTCCTGTTTTTGTTTTTATCTTTAACATCTTGTACTCAAAACTTTACCTGTTCATCCTAACTTTGTGTTTTTGTTCTCATCGTAACATTCAAATTTGTAATTTTCACAGTTGAAAAGAAACCATCTCCAGAACCTGAAAGAAAGAAAGAACCTTTGCCAGAGCCTAAGGCAAAGACGGTTTCACCAGAAGGTACTTCTTTGTTTAATATGTTTTTGATATGTTTTGTCTAACAGCAATACTTGTTTCTTTTAGCAAATTTTAACCTCAGTAGAGGCGATAAACTGCAACAAACTGCACATCTGCTGTTTTTTTTTTCTGTTTCATTTGGGCTCTGTGTGTGTTTAGTACCGGAAGGTTCATGCTTAGTGAGCCATTCTTGTCAAGTTATTATGAAAAATCTTTAAAGCACTTAAAAGTTGCTGAAACATGCTCCAAATTTATATGAATGCATGTTTGCATGAATGAGAATGGTCTAATTTTTCAACTACTTCAACTACTTGACATACCTCCACACTTCCTTTTGACCAGACCTTGATGTCCACTTGTATTTATCTTATAGCAGTGTTTAATCTGTAAATAAGTTCTAATCTACAGTTTGGTATCTTATTCTGCCGCATAAAGGTTTTTTACTAAAATGACTGATTCTTTCTATTGATTTGCACATATATAGAGTAGATTTGAGCAGAGCATTTCATGTATGTTATGCATGTAATAACTCTTTGTCAGTTTCTTAGCCTCGATAGAGGTTTGAAATACTTTATTCTTTCATCACTTTTTATCTTAAACATCTTTCAACATCCAACAAAACTCTTTTTTGAAGTTAAAGAGGTCGATAAGAAAGCTGAAGATAAACTCATCTCAAAACCCAAGGAAGAGAAGACAATTCCAACAAAAGGTATTATGTTAACCTCAAGTCTGCACCCCTGTAAGTTCCTGAAAAGGAAAGGTTTACAAATCTTATCATGTCTTTGAAATTCTTTTTGAAGTACCTACACCTAAAGAACCAGAGAAACCAAAACCTGCTTCAAAAGAAGAACCAGTACCAATTGTCCTACCAGCGGAAGGTACTAAAATAGAAACACTTCTTCATAAATATCTTTACTAAAATATATATCTTTGAAAAATGATCTTTAATGAAAAAATGAAAATGCTTCTAAAAAAAGGTAGGTAATAACATGCTTCTATGTATGTCATGTGTCTTGCATGAGAATCTTATATGTGTAAGATGCACACAGCATTCCTATTCCACTCAATAAAGAGGGGTGCCTTTATCTCACACAACCAATTACTCACAAATGATAATATCAAAGTATGCCTAAATAGATTTATGCTGTGCATACTAAATCAAAGCTCTTATTTGTAGATTTTGAATTTTTATATTTTAGACTCTTTTTATTGCACTATTTAAGTAAACATTGTTATTTTTAACTTGTTTTAACTTTTTATGACTACGTTTCTAAACCAGATGGTGAGAAGGAACCAGTTTCTGCACCTGGAGCAGTGAAGAAAGGTAACAATATTTAAAAAAAATAAAATCTCAGAACTCCATTTTTTTTCTCCCAGATTGTTGAGCCATTTCAGATGATATGTTCTTTTCAGTTGTATTATGTGGGATGTTGAAATGTATCTGTTTTGAAAATATGTTGTATATTGTCAGTACCTTTGTCAGTTTGTTTGTTATTGATTGTGTCCTTCCGTCTTGTATTGTGTTTTTTGTCTCGTCATATTTTGTTCTACTGGAATGCCAGTAGATGTTTGTGTCAATATGTTAATTGTGCTGTGTTTATGGTCTGTATGTATGTATTCTATGTCTGTCATGTATGTATTGTTCGCTTTATAATGCGATGCATTTCCAAATCTAAAGGCAAAGTTCTTAAAATTAAGGAAGAAGAAGGAAGATTTGAAATTCCCACATTGAAAAAAGCTAAAAGATTATCTAAAGATAAAGACGAAGATCCAGAAATGGTAAAACTGAAAAAAGTTCTCAAACCAGAAGAAGAGGAATATAAGGAAAGTCCAAAAGTGTATGCTGAGGCTCGCAGAGAAGTTGTGATAACTGAAAGTTATGAGGCAGAAATGCATTTCGAGACTTATGAAGCTACCAAGAGGGATGTGAAAATTCAGCCTGAGATTGACAAAAAGAGATCTGCCGAACCTGACCGAGCACCACCTGAGATAAAACCAGAAAGTGAAGTAGAAGACAAAGCAAAGAAAACAGCAGTTGCGAGGGTTCCAAAAAAAGTCACACCAGAGGAGCCTGGCTTAGCACTAAAAAAGGTTAAAAAGTTACCATTAGACACAGGAGAACCTGAATCTGTCAAATTAAAGCCGTTTGAAAAACCTGTGAAAACGCATCCTGAAACCGAGAAAGACACCAAAAAAGACGAAAAAGGAAGGGAACCTGCAACTTTTGACAAAAGTAGGGAACCGATTACTTTTCAGAAAGGAGAGCTGCCTTTAAAGGATGAGAAGACAAAGGAACCAGATGTGCCTGTGAAAAAAGAAAAGCCTTCTATTCCTGACAAAAAGGAGCCAGATGAAGTCGCTGTTAAAGCTGTAACCAGACCTGCAAAAGATGAAGTCCCTACAGAGCCTAAAGAGAAATTAGTTAAGGGTAAAGGAAAGATTCCATCTAAAGACCAGGACCCTGAGAAAGTTCAACTAAAACCTTTTACGAAGAAGCCTTCAGCTGGATCACCTAAAGAAAAGGAGGCCGCAGAGCCAAAAGACAGAAAACCAATTGAGTTGTCACCGCTAAGTAGGGCACCAAAAGATGATATTAAAAAAGAGCCAAGTATTCCAACCAAAAAAATTGACAGTCAAGAAACTCCAGACAAAGCTAAAGAGGTTGAGAAGATTTCAACTCCAGTCCCTGTAGAAGACAAAACGACACCTCCTAAAAAGGTTACCCCGGTAAAGAAGATTACACCCAAGGAAGATGAGAAGAAGCCTATTGTTATCAAAAAAGGTGTTTTACCCAAGGAGGCTGAGGAGAAAGAAGAAATAAAACTAAAACCAGTTGAACGTACAAAGAGTGGAATAGAGCCTGAAAAGATTCCTTCACCCAAGGTTGAGAAAACAAAGCCAGCTGAATCAGTTCCTGTACAGAGGAAACCTATTGATGATTTAACAAAAACACCAAAGACAATTTCACCAAAAGACTCAACTGAAGCAGTTATCTTGAAAAAAGTACCGCATAAGATTTCACCCAAGCAGGAAAAATCTGAGGAAACTCCTCAGATTTCTGGAGACGACAAGATACCAGTCCTGAAGGAGCTATCTCCGGGAGCTGTAGAGTTAAGAAAAGTCTCAACTCAGTTTGAGGAAGAAGTATTTGAAGAAGAGTTTGAATATGAAGCTGAATATGAAGATGAAGAAGAAGAAGCATGGGGATGGGAGCTTGCTTCTCGAGACAGTTATGGTTCAGAGGGCTCTGAAGAACAATATTTGGAGGAAGGGGCACTTGAGACTCCTGGAATGCCAGGGGGTAGACGAGGTGAGAGGGTCCCTGTAAACTACATCAATGAATGCCTCATTTTCCGTGGTATGGACATCAGCGCCCTGTTGTCATTTTTTTTTCATCCCAGATAATTCCCATGTCTTCATCCATGTCTGTTCACTTACTGTAAATCTTGTGCCTCCCTCTTCATCTTCTTCAGTCTTCATTGTGGCATGTGTTTTGTATTGTATTTAATGTCTTTCATCTTGTTTGTTGTTTGTCTGTGTCTTCATTGAGCTATAAATATAACTACTGGTGGAAAAATTGTCATTTTGTTGGGATCATAATTTGTCATCTAACTTGCCATAAATTGGAAGCATGATTTTATCATCTTCATGACCCTTCATTAATATTTCCCTTTTTTACTTAAGCGTTTCATTACTAGATATTTTAATTTAACTTCAAATATATATTTGTATGTCCATGAACTGGAATTAATTAATTATTGTTTGTCCAGAGGGAAAGCCCAAAGAGGAAGCTGGAAGAGGCAGAGGCTTGAAACGTATGTTAATTGTATTACATTGTCTTTTTATGGTTCTTTCCCAAACATTTTAAGATCTTGTCTGTACATTCACTTTTGAGAGCTCTGGAATTAATGTATCATTATGGCATATGCTTTACTAATTCTGAAGCATTAGGACTAATAAATCTCTTTTCGCATTACAGCAAAACAAACTCCTTCTCCTGGTGAAGGTGGAAAGGGTAGAGGGCTGAAGCCTGGCGCTGGTGGTGACAAACCTCCAGGAGATTCACCATTTGGTTTCCAGCTCAAAGCTGTCCCCTTGAAGTTTGTGAAGGAGCTCAAAGATATTGTGTTGCAGGAGGCTGAGTCGATTGGCTCCTCTGCTGTATTTGAGTGCCAGATCTCTCCGTCTACTGCTATCACCACCTGGATGAAAGATGGAAGCAATCTAAGGGAGAGTCCAAAGCACAAATTCACATCTGATGGCAAAGATCGCAAGCTGCAAATCATTGATGTACAGCTTTCAGACACTGGAGAGTACACGTGTGTTGCAAAGCTTGGCAACAAGGAGAAGACCTCAACTGCTAAGCTTATTGTTGAAGGTTGTGCATTAATCATGAATAAAAATAATGAGTAAGAAGTTAAAATTAAATACAAACAAAAACACTACCCCATGAGATTTAATGAGATTTTCTTCTGTTTATTTGGTTTAATAGAATTACCAGTGAAATTTACTAAGACTCTGGAGGAGGAAATGTCTGTGATTAAGGGACAGCCGATGTACTTAACCTGTGAGTTGAGCAAGGACAGAGATGTGGTCTGGAAGAAGAACGGAAAAGAGCTCAAGCAAATTGCTGGCAAAGTTCAAGTCAATGTTATTGGACTGCAGCGATCAGCAACGATCCAGGACACCAATGATGATGATGCTGGTGTTTATACCTGCGAGTGCGAAGACATCAAAACACAAGCCAATGTCAAAATTATAGGTATGCCTACAGAAATTCTTTATGGTTGTTTAAATAAAATGTAATTCTATACCACAATAAAATCACTAAATATCTATTGCAGAAATAATCAGAGATTGGTTGACAAAACCTTTGAGGGACCAGCATGTAAAACCAAAAGCTACCGCCACATTCAAATGTGAACTCTACAAGGACACTCCCAACTGGAAGTGGTTCAAGGGAGATGAAGAAATTCCCACTGACCCTACGAACAAGACTGATGTCAAAAAAGATGGCAAAGAGATCACACTTACAGTCAAGAATGCTCAACCTGATGATATTGGAGAGTATGCCATAGAAGTTGAGGGCCGCAGATATACAGCAAAACTCACTCTCGGAGGTCTGTTTAAAAGTATTTAAATTAATTTTCTTATTGAAGAAGATTGTTTTTGTTTTCTCTTAAATACTCTTTTTGTCTCAATTATATAGAGCGTGAAGCTGAGATTCTGAAGCCTCTTGCTAGTGTGGAGGTGGTTGAGAAAGGAGAAGCCAACTTTGATACTGAAATTTCAGAAGATGATATTCCTGGAGAATGGAAACTTAGAGGGCAGGTTCTGACAAGATCACCGGTAGGCTTGTATTTTGTTGAAGAGGCTCTGTCACTTTATATAATCTATTTTTTCCTCAGTAATTTTATAATATTTCATCCCCAGACATGTGACATCAGAGCTGAGGGAAATAAAAGATTCCTTACTTTGAAAAATGTTCAACTTGACCAGGCTGGAGAGGTTTCTTACCAAGCTTTGAATGCCGTGACCAGTGCAATGCTAACAGTCAAAGGTAGGTTGATAACGAGTATTAATTGAATGTACAAACAGGAAATGCAGTGCGAACAAATTGTAGAGGGTGAATAATAACTTTTTTTGTGATGACTGTTATTCACACCCTTAGAAATTGAAATGGACTTCACAGTCCCATTGAGGGATGTTACTGTGCATGAAAAGAAACAGGCTAAGTTTGAGTGCACGATCACGAAAGATGTGCCAAAAGTATTGTGGTTGAGAGGATCTGATATTGTAACATCAGACCAAAAATATGATATCATTGATGATGGAAAGAAACACATGTTGGTCATAAACCACTGTGAATTTGAGGATGAGGGAGAATATACTATTGAGGTGTTGGGTAAAACATCAACAGCCAAACTGACAGTTGAGGGTAAGTATTTTTTTATCCAGGCAATGTTTCAGTCAACATGGGGTGCTCTGAAAATTTGTTTTGTTCAGAACATCAACAAGATAAAATGGTTTTGCCCTGGACTAACACATTATAGGTATGCGGCTGAAATTCGTCTCACCAATATCGGATCAAACTGTAAAGGAAGGTAAAACGGCTCGGTTTGAGCTTGAACTATCTCATGATAGTGTACCGGTGACATGGTACAAAAATGAAACAAAACTGCATCCGAGCAGAACTGTACTTACGCATGTTGATGGAAAGAAACATATATTAGAAATCAAGGATGTCACTCTAGATGATACTTGCCAAATAAAAGCAGAAGCTAAAGGAATGTCGACAACAGCAAACTTGACGGTGCTAGGTAACTTTTTTTTTTTTTTGCATTCTGTTTTTGTTTTTATCTTTGTTTTGAAGATAATAATGAAAAATAATGCTGGTGTTTGGGAGTGGTGACAAAATAGGTGGTCTTAATAGTTGTTTTATTCCATAAATGATAACATGCTCTAATTTTTTTACTTTCTAAATTTTATTTTAATATAGAGGGAGATGCCTGCTTCACAGTTAAACTACAAGATTACACTGCAGTTGAGAAAGATGAAGTCATTCTTGACTGCGAGTTAAGCAAAGACGTACCTGTGAAGTGGTTCCACAATGAGACTGAAATTAAAGCCTCCAAGATGGTTGCCATAAAAGTTGAAGGAAAACGAAGAATCCTAAACATCAAGAAGGTTGAGGACAAAGACAAAGGTTTATATGTTTGCGACTGTGGAACAGACAAGACTTCATCCACACTGAACATTGAAGGTCAGTGTTCAAGATTATGTGCATAAAATATTGAAAGGGTTGCTTTTTGCTTTACATTTTCCTACAAACTTTCAGTAAGCAGTGTTATGTTTTAAATAAAATATATGACATTTGTTTCTCAACTGTCATATATTTTAGCCCGTGATATCAAAGTGGTGCGACCAATGTATGGTGTTGAGCTCTTTGATGGTGAGACGGCCCGATTTGAAGTGGAAATTTCTGAAGATGATGTCCATGGCCAATGGAAACTGCAAGGAGAAGTTCTCTCTCCATCACCTGTAAGACTTCTGAAGCTATTCAAAATGGTGGCATGTAATGTTTAAGTCATTGGCATAATTGAATTTTTGATTTTGTGGTGACAGGATGTTGAAATCATCGAAGATGGTGCCAAACACACCTTAACTTTGTACAACTGCAAAGTGTCCCAGTCTGGAGAGGTTTCCTTCCAGGGTGCCAATGCAAAATGTTCTGCAAATCTAAAAGTGAAAGGTACCACATGCCAAAATGTTATGTTCTTACTTAGTAGTCCCAAGCTTTTTTAGATGACTGATCTTATCATCTTTTACCAATAATAAACTCGCATTTTTACAAAGCCAGTGCACTGTCAACCCTAATAAGTTGAAACTACTCAAATGATTTGAGGAAAGTGATTCCCTCAGTTTGTTTGGGTAATGGGAAATCGACAACTCAATTAATTAGGTTGACCAATGTGGTCTCTTCATTGAATTAACTTAAATGTTTAATTAAAGATAGCTTAAATTTTTAAGTACAGATAACTTAAAAGGGCTAAAAGACTAAACTTCCAAAATTTTCTGCTTTTATATTCTTTACTTTCTTACTCCCTGGACCGTTTATATCAAAGTTGATATTTAGCCACACGATGTTGGTGTTTTGCAACATCTAATTTATACGAGTTGTTAGCCCAAAGCTCAACTCCCAAACTGGAGGACCTGGACAAACACTTATACGTTATGGACAATTTAGCTTGCCCAATTCTCCTACAACGCATGTCTTTGGACTGTGGAAAAAATCTATGCCAACACTGAGAGAACATGCAAACTCCACAAAGAAATGCCAACTGACCCAGCCGGGACTCGAACCAGCAACCTTCTTGTCTGAGGCAACATCACTGCCCACTTCACCACCATGTCTCCTCTGCATGTATATCAATTAAGAAAAATCTATATAAGTATTTAAATATCTATTTACTTAACTTTTCTCTTTTATCAGATGGGTTCAGGTAGTGTGTATGTCCTGCTGCGCTTCAGCAAAATTCAGCATCACAAGCAAAATGACCACCTTGTGTCATATAACATATATCGACTAATCAGCGTAGTTGTCAAGGCAGAATTCATTCCAAGCGCAACCAATTATTTTAAACAGACATGGTGAATCACTTAAAGAAATTAAAATGACATCAAAACCTAAACAGGTGTGTTTAGTTTACTCATTTGGCAGCAAAAAAAACTTTTAATATTTTAAGCTTTATGAACTTAACAAGTTTTATTAACTTAATATCTTTAGTAATGACAACAGCGGGGTTTACACTGTGCCATGAATATAAAGGTCAGGAATAAAGATGAATAATTACAAATTTAAAATGCTAAATTCCCAAGAGTCTTAAGAACAAGATTTACACTTATCTATGACTGTTTTTGTGTGTGTGCGTGTGCGTGTGTGTGTGTGTGAATTGCAAAATAAGTGTTTTTGAAGTGACAGATCAGAACAATTAATCACAAAGTAATGTAAGAGCAGTCACAGTTATTAATTGATTTATCTGTTGATTAATTGTTTTTGGGTAATTATTATACTGCAATTTACTTATTGTTAATAATTAAATATTTTTTTCTGATATGCTGTATTTATATATAGTTGCATGTAATATGTTTTGTGAATTTGTGGATTTTTTTTGGTATTTTAAATAACTTTGTCATTTAAATAACGTGATGTTCTTCATATATTTTTTGCAGAGCTTCCAATTTCATTTGTAACACCTCTTGCTGATGTGCATGTATATGAGAAGGATGAAGCACGGTTTGAGTGTGAAATCTCAAGACAAGCGAAGAGCTTCCGCTGGTTGAAAGGATCTCAAGAGATTAAGACTGATGATAAATTTGAGGTACTTCAGGAGGGCAAGAGACACATTCTGGTAGTTAAAGCTGCTGCCTATGAAGATGAAGCGAAGTACATGTTTGAAGCTGAGGACAACAGAACATCTGCCAAACTTGTTATCCAGGGTAAGGGGTGGAAACCAAGAGAAATTATAATAATAATAACACAATTATTTATATTTAGTTACATTTTGTTTACATTTGTTAAATAAAGACAAACTGCTGGTTTAAATCTCATGCTTGCATACTTTACCAGGAATTCGTCTGGAATTTGTCAGACCCATTAAAGATGTCACTGTTAAAGAGCGTGAAACTGCAGAGTTCAGCATTGAACTCTCACACGAGAAGGTTCAAGTCACCTGGTACAAGAACGATGTTCGTCTGCATCCAAGCAAAGTGGTCCACATGTCTGAGGATGGCAAGATTCATACTCTGTCCTTCAAAGAGGTGTCTATTGACGACACATCTCTCATTAAAGTTGAGGCTCTCGGAAAAACCTGTGAGGCAATGCTCACTGTACTTGGTAGGTGTTAAAAAATTGTAAACTCTCTTATTGCACCCTACACTACTGATAAAAATTCACTTAATATTCCCATGAATTCCAACAGAGGGAGAACCTTACTTTACCACCAAGTTGCAGGACTACACCGCAGTCGAGAAGGATGAGGTTGTCCTGATGTGTGAAGTGAGCAAATCATCTGCTCAGGTGAAATGGTTCAAAGATGGCAATGAAATCACTCCCTCCAAGAACGTCCTCATCAAGGCTGATGGAAAGAAACGCATCCTGACAGTAAAGAAGGCAGAAAAGGGAAACATTGGCGAATATGTGTGTGACTGTGGCTCTGACAAAACCGCAGCCAAACTTAACATCGAAGGTTTGTAAGATTATTTATTTATGCTTTAGATATTTTAGATTACCTATAGATTTTCATAACACCTCTTCTGCCCTCCTGTTCTCTTGCAGAACGTGATATTAAGATTGTCCGTCCACTGTACAGTGTGGAGGTCACAGAGACAGAGACTGCTCGCTTTGAGACTGAAATCTCTGAGGAAGATGTTCACGGTCACTGGAAACTCAAAGGAGACGCCCTGCACCAATCACCTGTAATTTCTTTTACCCAAAAACATCACTTTAGCATAACATTGATGAAAGTTCAAAACTTTGATGTTTTGCAGTGTTTTTAGTTATTTTATTTTGAATTATTCAATTGCAAATTCTGTTCTGCAACACTTTATAACTACACAACTATGAATCATTTATTAAGCATTAGCAAATAGTTAAGTCATTGATTGTTAGGCATTAACTCAACATTAACAAACATAATTAAGCAGATTACAGTTACAGCTACAAATGCTGTGTTCAATTATAAGCATGTGTATAATGTGCTTAATGATTGTATTTTCATACTTTGTTAATCCAGCACCTTGGAATTATAAGGTTCTATCTGCGTTCTGAATGATTTTGAGATATTGAGCTTCAAAGTTCTTGCATTCTATAGCAAACAGTATGTGTGTAAAAATTTTTTTTAATAAAAGGTCTTAAAATGTAAACAACTTATAAAAAAATATCCCATAATGTAAATAGGTTACTTATTTAATAAGAATATGTCAATATCTCAATTTTGACAAAAATGTCAGATAGAACCTTATAATTCTAAGGTGATTAATGATTCATTTTTCACCACTAAATTAAGTATGGCATTATTTACAAACAATTTACTTTAGAGTAGTTTGTCTTTTTCAAGATCATACAGAATGAGTAAGTAAATGGTTAATAAACTATTGAAATTAAAATTTATTCATCTTATTTTTCAGGCATACAGTAATTGTAACTTTGTATGCAAATAAATTTTTTATTAATACAACTTAATGTAGTTTTGTGGACTAATCTAGTGATGGCTATTGATGCTTTGTAAATCCCTTATAAGTGACAATTAATGTCTCATTATCAAATAAAAAAATAATCTTATAAAAAAAACTACTGTGCATTTTAAACATTGCAGAATATTGGGAGTTCAAAATATGACATACAATTCGTGCATGTCTATAATATAATATACAATATAATAATTGAACAATATAACAATTTGATACAACTTTCAGTGTTGTTCTGCTATGTTTAAACTAGACAGTCATTTTATTTTAGACAAATTTGCAAAGATTTTTCATTCGATAATGTTTCATTTGTGTACCTTGAAATTATAATTTTTTATTATGGATCACTCTGTCATTTATTTCTATAGATAATAGATAGGCCTTTAATTGTCATTTATAAGAGATTTACAAAGCATAAATAGTCCTTTAGGTTACAAAACTGCATGTAGTTGCGTTAATAAAGCGTTTATTAATATACAAAGTAGCTGTTACTATTTGCCTGAATAATGTGTAAAAATGTTGATTTGAATAGTTTAATAATAATTTATTTACTCATTCTGAATGATCTTAGAAAATGAACTATTTGCTAATGCTTAATAAATGGTTTATGGTGTGCAGTTATTATAGTGTTACTGCAAATGGTATTGAAGCGATACTTCAAGCAAGAAATGCTAATCTGTCGTTTACTCACATTCATGTTGTTTTAAACTTGTTTGAAATATGAAGAGAAATTGTGAACAATGTGTGGGTCACTCTGTTTAATATTAGGCCACAAAAGCACTAACTTGTTAAAAAAATCTGTGAGTAATATTTAAGTCTATATTTGAAGGAAAAAAGAAAGTAATTTGTGACTTAGAAGAAAGATTCTTTAAAAAGCTTGATAAATTCTGGGTTATATTAGGTTGTTTTATCTCATTTTCTGTAAATTATTAGCTAATATGTTAATTCAAATGTGTTTTAATGTCATTTTTCAGGACTGTGAAATTAAGGAGGAAGGCACCAAACACATGCTTATCCTTTACAATGTTCGCATGGACATGGCTGGTGCTGTGGACTTCAGTGCTGCTAATGCTAAATCCAAAGCTCAGCTCAGAGTTAAAGGTAAGTTTGATTATTATATTCTTTCTTGGATAACCTCAAAAAATTCCTGTGGACAGACCAGAAGCAATATTTTTTAAACTACAAAGGCAGATGAAGTGTGTTGCTTTGAATTTAGCATGTGAATTAAAGGCTCTTAACAGTTAATGATTAGCTCATAAATTATTCTGAAAGATGATATGTAGTGATAACAGGGTGTGAAAAGCATTTATTATGACAGGGATTAATGTTATAGATAGCTTTGGCAGCCAAAGAATTTTTTATCATATTGTTTTTTTGAATACCCTTGCTTTAGAAACAAGCAGAATAATTGTTATGACTTAAAATCGGCAACCAGGAGGTGGGAGTTTTTTTTCCTCCTTTTATAAATTAAGTAACACATTGCCTAACATTCTTCTTTTCCTGGAAAATTCCGGCAGGTTGATTGACAGTAACAGATTCCCTCACAGAGTATCATTACAGGGGTGGGCTAGTGGCCAATCAGATGTTGCGGTTATTTTAGAAGCTGCATGCCATATCTAGAGAGGCTCTGTCAGTGATTGGCAGAGGCATAGCAGACCTACCTCCAGTTTTTTTTTCTGACCATATACATCTTAAGAAAACTCAATATGCAAATGAAGTAGGCCCCCAACACAAGTCCATCTCTTGCTGAATCCCACTTGTCCTGGAGGCTTACAGGCTCCAGAGCAGTGGCCTGTCGTCAGGGGGAAAGCGCTATGTGGATTTGTAGTTAAGGGATTACCTGTGTCTCCTGGAACCTGGAGGTGACTAACAATGTCTTCTCCTGAATCCAAAGCACGAGTGATAGGCCTCTTGAGGCCTCTCAAGGATGTAACGGTGACAGCGGGAGAAACTGCAACCTTTGACTGCGAACTGTCTTATGAGGGCATACCTGTGGAATGGTTCCTAGGGGGTACAAAGCTGGAACCAAGTGACAGAGTAAGTGTGCTTGTTGGCCTGTGTCAATGCATGTGCCTTTTGTGGGATTTTTTTAAAGAAGGGTTGATGTCACTTTGTTTTTGTATATCATGATCAAATAATTAATATATTAATCAATTCAAGATGATTGCTCAGACGCTTAAAGTGATACATTGCTAATGTTATTCCAATACAGGGAAATTACTCCTGATTGACATGACTTACAAAATTACTTTTAAACTCTGGGATCAAGCATGCTTTGAAAAATTAACAATTGCAAGAATATTTTTTTGATTTTTAGCATATTGCATGACAGCTCTTCAGATCTGTCAGTTTAAACGCTTTCCTCATATAAGGGCCTGGGGGATCAGGCTACCAGTTGAGCATTTGATCTGGGTTTTGAGATAACACACAGGGCTATTCTGCTCTGCAAGCGTTCCTCTGGTTATTTTTAACTGCTTCAAGACTCATGTACAGTGGCAGGTGGCAAGAGGCCATAGCTTGTGTATATATGTAGTAATGTATGTTTTTTTTATACATTTGGTTAGAAAAGTTGAACTGTGCTTGTTATGGAATATTAGATGGGTGGTAGTTAGATTTTCAGTTATAGCCTCAATAATTAAGTTTTCAGATCTTACTGAATGTTGTGTAACAAATGGTGTTTGTATAAGGCTGTAACAGTTTTGTGACAACAGCTGTGATTCAAGATCAGTTTGTATTATGGAAATGATTGTACGAGATCCTAGTTAATTATAATAAACTAATGTACTGTAAACTTTTCCAGTTTGGAGTTTGTTTGGGCAGATATGTTTTCAGCTTTGGATTTCAGTACAGATTGGTTTTATGATGATATTTAATTGTTAATTGGTTAATGAACGCTGTGTTATTATTCTTACTTTACAATCGAAACAGTGAATATTCAAAATTAAGCCTGTATTAATTTTAATGATGATTTAATGATGATTTTAATTGTAAACAATTAACATAGTGGTTTAGTTTGCTCATTCATCTTTGTTATTTTAGCCTTAGCTTAGCTTTATATCAAGTTAAAGAACACAAGCCAAATGCATGCGTGTCTAAACTCCCAGGGTACATAGTTGGGGCAGTAGAAGTAGAGGTGTGAAATTGAGAATGGTTCCTACTGCTCAGCTGCTGACGTCTATGGCAGTGGGGCAGTAAATAGCCTCCCCCACTCTTGACACGGCAAAGGGCCTTCATTTATCAATTGGTTTGATTTGCACAGGTGGTGACCCGGGCTGAAGGCAGATCTCACACGCTAACCCTTAGGGATGTAAAGCTGACAGAGGCCGGGGAAGTAAAACTCACCGCTAAGGACTTCCTGACACAGGCTCAGCTCATTGTAAATGGTGGGTGCCATTTGTTTATTATTAAAAGCTGATTGATTTGCACCCTGTTGCTAACAAACATCACCCAAATATTTATTTGGACTTAAGCATGATCTTCTAATCTAATGAATGAACAGCACAATGGAGCAGATTATAACAAAAAATACTGTTAGTGTTTGTTAACTTCATTTTAGTCTCATCTTTTTTATTCAACAGTAATGCACTGTACATCCATTAGAAGAACCCACATTTATAGTTTTCCACCATGTTACTAGCACAGAGGACAACAATTATTTTTCACCCTTATTGACAAAATCAACACCGCTCAGATGTATGAAAATAACAACCATTCAAATACAACATTGTACACCAGTGACTGTGCTGGGTATTGTTACTACTCTTATAGGAGCTCATTTGATTGCCACAGACACAAAATTTGATTGAAAGTGTGTGTTACGAAAGTGTCTTTAACTGATTTAAAGTCATATCTGGGTTGAATTATTTGCATTAAAAATATACTGTACATTGCAATAAAACATACATTCATTTTCTAAACAGAACCACCAGTTGAATTCACCAAACCTTTGGAGGACCAGACTGTAGAGGAAGAAGCCACTGCTGAATTGGAGTGTGAAGTCTCCAAAGAGAAAGCAGAGGTCAGGTGGTTTAGAGATGGACAAGAAATTCGCAAAACCAAGAAGTATGACATGGTCGCTGATGGCTGTAAAAGAAAACTCGTTATTCATGACTGCACACTTGACGACTCTAAGACGTACACCTGTGATGCTAAGCATTTCAAGACTTCAGCCTTCTTAAATGTTGAGCGTAAGTTAACTAGATTGGATTGTATGGGTGTAATGAAACAAATAAAACTCTAAATATGATTGTATTTTTATCAACAGCTCCATATGTTGAGTTCACAAAGCCACTCCATGATGTTGAGGTCAAAGAGAAGGAATCTGCCAGATTTGAATGTGAAGTGTCTCGTGAGAGTGCAAAGGTTTGCCTTATATTAATTAGCTTTTTATAATCCAAATTCAAAATCAGTAAATGCATTATGCAAACTAGTGGCATTCTAAAACGATTATTAAAAGCTTATTTGGCTGAAAATTCCTATGTGCATTTTAAATAGGTTCGCTGGTTCAGAGATGGCAATGAAATCAGAAAAGGCAAGAAATACGAGATGATTTCTGAAGGAGTAAAACGCATTCTCATCATAAGCAAGTCTGTCTTTGATGATGAAGCAGAATATGAATGTGATGCCAGGACCTCCAAAAGCTCTGGCATGTTGACTGTCGTTGGTAAGTCCTGTTTATTTTCTGTCTATATATTTTTCAACACATTAGTTTGTACATAATACTGATTGTACGATTTTTGTTACCACAGAGGAGGAGGCTAGATTCACAAAGAACTTGGCTAACATTGAAGGCACTGAAACCGACAGTGTTAAACTGATTTGTGAGGTTTCCAAACCCAGTGCAGAGGTTACATGGTACAAAGGTGACCAAGAATTGCCTGAAGTTGGTAGATATGAGCATATTACAGATGGCAAAAAGAGAATCCTCATTATTAAGGGTCTCCGTATGGATGATGCTGGAGAGTACCACTGTAAACTGCCCACCTCACAAACCACAGGAAACCTGAGGATTAATGGTACGACTTGTCCATGCAAACTGGCTTTATATCTCATAACATTTGTAAACATTGTTTTTATAAACTAACTTCATTTTTTCCCCTTAGAACTTGCCGCTGAGTTCATTGCCAGGCCTCAAAACCAAGAGGTGGTTGAAGGTGAAAAGGCACAATTTGTGTGCTCTGTCTCCAAAGACACATATGAAGTAAAATGGCTTAAAGGGAATACAGAACTTCAATCGGATGACAAGTATGAAATTATTTCTGAGGGCAAAAAGAGAGTTCTTATTGTCAAAAACTGTGAACTCAAAGATGAGGGAGGCTTTGTAGTCCTCATTGGAACCACAAGAGCTTCAGCTGATTTGACTGTTCTTGGTACGTGCAGCATGTTATTATCTAGATTTTCTTATGAAAATATGAAATAGAAATATGACAATTCTGAAGAAATATGACAATTCTGAAGGTTTGCTGTGTTTTATTACAGAAAAGCTGAGGATTATCACTCCTCTCAAAGACACAAAGGCAAATGAAGGGCAAGAGACTGTCCTCAATTGTGAAGTTAACACTGAAGGGGCCAAGGCCAAATGGCTAAAGAATAATGAGACATTATTCGAAAGCAGCAAGTTCATCATGGTTCAGAAGGACAATGTATTCTCTCTGAGAATCAAAGATACCCAAAAGTCAGATGAGGCAAACTACACAATTACACTGACCAACCAGCGTGCTGAACAAGCCAAGAGCTCTGCCAACATCACTGTGCATGGTATGACAAATACTGATTTGCTTAATTTTCTTCAGCATTTAGGGACATTTGTATCGTGAGCCCAACATTCAGTCTCAAATCAATGGTCCAGCTTAAACTGAACTCTACTAAACTATCTAATCCAAAAATACTTTCTTGCAATAATACCTACAACTAACTAACATGAAAATGAATGTGACTCCCTCATTGACTGTCCATTTAGTGGACAGTTTTTTTTGTTTTTTTTAAATGTTAAAATTTTTTGATGCATCTGTTTATTTTATTGTGTTCTGTGAATTTCTGTTGTAATTAATTGCTGAAACTTTTATCAAGGTATACAGTGCTATCAAAGCATTAACCTAAACTCTAAACAAGGTTACTTTAACAAAAAATAATAACAAAAAATACTTAGTGGATTGCTTTATTGTATATAGATGTTCAGAGTAAACAAATGTTTTAACTAAAATAAATTGCAAAACGATGATAAAGTACAAAAGGTAACATTTTACAATAAAGTACCATTCGTAAACAGATTTGCTTATTTACAAAAAGGTAGGTATATTACAGTTATTAGGTTAACACTAGTAAAAGAATACTACTGAATCTTAATAGGGATGCGCAGGCACTGCGGTGGCGCAGTGGGTAGCTTGATCGCCCCACAGAAAGAAGGTCGCTGGTTCGAGCCGAAAGGGCATCCGCTGTGTAAAACATATGCTGAATAAGTTGGCGGTTCATTTCGCTGTGGCGATCCCAAATTAAAAACGGGATTAAGCCGAAAAGAAAATGAATGAGTGAATCTTAATATTTATTTACTCCATTTAATAAAACTCGTTATGATTACTATTGTAACCTCGCTTAAGAGTAATAGAAGGTTATGTATTGTGAGTTTAGTTTAATTAACCTATTGTAACTAATGGAGCCTTATTATTGCACAGTTTTAATGTACAATTGCCCTACGAATAATAGCAAAATTGTATGTCATTTTTTCATTTGGTAGGCAGAACTGAATTGTTTGATCTACTTGGCGGTGTTATGAACACCACTGCAAATAAAATCTGAATATTCTTAGAAAGCACTCAAATAATAATTATTTATCGATGTATTTTAAAGTGCTGACTATCTATATTATGCATGTTCATTAACACAATATATTGAATTATTACTATATAATATATTTGAATATTAAATATACTTTATTACTGTCATATATTACTATTAAATGTGATATTATTTTTCCCTATGACAGTTTATACAACTAACCAACAAAATATCGAGAATGTTTTATGACATGGATTTGAGACTTACTGTAAGCTGCAATCCCAAATGTCACACTATGTACTTATGCACTATGTGCTTATTCACTTACAAACTCAACATTATAGTATATGTATGTAGTGTCTCAAATGGAACACTAACGTTTTTTTAATTAGAGGAAATTCAAACTGTTTCCCTGATGACGTTTGATGGTTGCAAAGTTAGTGAGATAAATAACCAAACTACCAAATAATACTTGCCAAGAGTATAACCGCATTCACCATCGAGAGGTGGTGTAATGACTCTCTAAGGAGAATTTTTTTTCCACAATCCAAAATAAATAAAGTAATTTAACGAGTGCCCCAAACGCTCTGCCCCTTCTGCTGTGCGAGCAAAGCTGCAGTCGTTGAGTGTGTGAAGTGTCCAACAGTTTACACTTCATTTAATTGTAAATAAAGTGCACTTATTATTTTTTTATTATTATTTATTTATTTATTTATTTTTATTTTTTGAGTTTTCACTGTGAACTCACTACTTGCACTATTTCTACTACAAAATGGAGTAGAATAGTGAATAAGTATGCGATTTGGGACGCACCAGTAGACAGTGTTTCAAAGACATTTGCTTTCTTAACTTATAATGCACTTTCATTTCCACAGAGGAAGATCTTAGAATTGTTGTTCCACCTGAGGATGTTGACACGCAGGAGAAAAAGGCCATCAGTTTCACATGCAAGGTGAATAGACAAAACGTAACTGTACAGTGGATGAAAGCAGGCCAGGAAATCACTCTTAGCAAGAGAATTCTGTATCGCGTGGACAAGGAAAAGCACACTTTGACAATCAAAGACTGCAGCCTTGCAGATGAAGGTGAATACACTGTAATTGCTGGTCCTGACAAGGCCACAGCCGAACTGATCATCAGTGAAGCTCCCACTGACTTCACCGCTCAACTCAGTGACCAAACCATCACTGAATTTGAGGATGCTGAATTCAGTTGTGAACTTACTAAAGAGAAGGCTGATATCAAATGGTACAGAGATGGCAGGGAGATCCGAGAAGGGCCCAGGTAAACGACATTTGTGTTGTTTTTGAGTTAGTGTTTTTGTTAATTTATGATTGCATTTATGAATAAATATGCATTTTATGTTTAATTTTAAGGTACCAATTTGAGAGAGATGGCAAAACATGCAGACTGCGTATAAAGGAGTGCAGACCAGATGATGAGTGTGAATATGCATGTGGTGTAGATGACAAGAGAACCAGAGCTCGTCTCTTTGTCGAGGGTAGGTTTGTTTCAGTGTCTATGAGAAAACAGAAATAGCATGGACATTTTAAAAAATGTGTCATTTGCAGGCATAGAAAGTAGTAAAATTTTAAATGGTTTTATTTAACTCTTTAGAGACCCCGGTGGAGATTGTTAGACCACCCACAGATGTGTTTGAGCCACCAGGCTCAGATGTTGTATACGAAGTTGAGCTCAACAAAGACAGAGTTGAGGTCAAATGGCTGAGGAACAACATGACCATTGTTCAAGGTGATAAGTACCAGATGATGAGCGAGGGTAAGATTCACAGGCTTCAAGTGTGTGAAATTAGGCCACGTGATCAAGGCGAGTACAGAGTCATTGCCAAGGACAAAGATGCTAGAGCAAAACTTGAGCTTGCTGGTAAGACACATTATACATATTATGGTATAAAAATAAATCAAATTTCAAGAAAATAACAATCAAACCTAATCATTGTTTACAATATTGTTCCATAGCTGTACCAACAATTAAAACATTGGATCAAGATCTGGTGACAGATGCTGGAAAGCCTTTTGTTATGGGGGTTCCATACAATGCTTACCCCCTTGCAGAGGCTGAGTGGTTCTACAATGACATAAGTCTTCCAAAAGACAATATTCACACCTCTATTGATAGGACAGAATACAGGCTTAAGGACCCTAAGAAATCAGAAGAGGGACGCTATAAGATCATCGTCCAGAACAAACATGGAAAAGGAGAGGCTTTCATAAACCTCAAAGTTATCGGTGGGATATTTTCAGTTTACCATTTTATTTTAGAAATTCATCTTGAGATTATAATAATTCTTACATATATTTCATCTTCCCAGATGTACCTGGGCCTGTGAAGAACCTTCAGGTTGTTGACACTGCTGATGGTGAGATCAGCATTGCTTGGGAGGAGCCAGAAAGTGATGGCGGCAGCAAGATCTTGGCTTATGTGGTAGAGAGACGTGATGTTAAACGCAAGACGTGGACTCTGGCCACTGACTGTGCCGACAGCACAGAATACACTGTAACTGGCTTGCAGAGAGACTCCAAGTACCTGTTCCGTGTCTGTGCACGCAACCGAGTTGGAAGTGGACCTAATGTTGAGACAGACAAAGCTGTTCAAGCAAAGAATAAATTTGGTAAGTCAGAAAAAAGTCAAGAATATCCTGTTTTTTTGCATCCTAGCCAGGGGTTCTAATTGTATGTGTGTTTTTACTCACTCCAGATGTTCCTGATGCACCACAGAATGTTATTGTTGGAAATGTCAACAAGTTTGGTGCTACAGTTTCTTGGGAACCACCACTGTTCGATGGTGGATCTGAAATCACATCATACATTATTGAACTTCGTGACAGAACCTCTGTGGTCTGGGCTCCAGTTATGGTGACCAAGCCACATGAACGTTCAGCCATCATTAATGATGTTATTGAAAACAAAGAGTACATCTTCCGTGTTAAGGCTGAGAACAAGGCTGGAATTGGGAAACCAAGTGCTGCTACTAACCCAGTGAAGATCATGGACCCCATTGGTTTGTAAAATCTCAAATATCTTTATTTTAGCACACATGAAATCTATCATGCCTATTTTAATTATCGCAATGTTTTGATTCACAGAGAGGCCGAGCCCTCCCCTAAATCTGACCCATTCTGAGCAGACTAAGGACTCCTGTTTGTTGACATGGGAGACTCCCTTAAAAAATGGAGGCACAGCTATCACTGGCTACATCATTGAAAGATGTGAAGAAGGTACAGACAAGTGGCTCAGGTGTAATGCCAGGCTTTGTCCAGACCTGCTCTACAGGGTAAATTCAATAACTCACATTTACTAAAGTTTCAAATATGAACTTTACTCGAGGCAGGACTTTGTCCTTGCTTGTAATGTGTATGAGTATTGTTTCTTAATGCTTATTGTGACATCTTTTCCACAGATGTCAGGCCTGAAGTTTGGGAAAAAATACAGCTATAGAGTAATTGCTGAGAATGCAGCAGGGCAGTCTGACCCCTCAAACATAGTTGGACCTGTGCTGGCAGATGATCCACACTGTAAGTGTCTTACTAAATCCCACAGATGCTTCGCTTATATCTGAAACTTTCAAAATGTTCCACTACATGATTTTCTTCCTGTGACACAGATGCACCTACTCTTGACTTGAGTGCTTTTAAGGATGGTCTGGAGGTTTTTGTCCCCAACCCTCTCTCAATCCGCGTCCCTATCACTGGGTACCCAGTTCCAACTGCAAAGTGGACGTTTGGCGAAAATGCACTGACAGCTGGTGATCGTGTATCTATGGTCACAAAGTCAACCTTCACAGAGCTTGTTATAACCCCAAGTGTGCGTGCTGACAAAGGAACATACTCTTTGACCCTGGAAAATGATGTGGCCAGTGTCTCAGGAGAGATTGAAGTTAATGTCATTGGTATGTAGAATATTTTATAGACATATAATTGTCAGTTACCAGTTCAGAAAGAAAAAGTGTTGCTTTATTTTGCTCTTCAGCATCTCCAAGTGCACCCAAAGACTTAAAGGTTGCAGAAGTAACCAGAAAGCATGTCCACTTGATGTGGGAGGCACCTGAACATGACGGAGGCAGTCCTATTACTGGCTACCAGGTTGAGAAGCGTGAAGTGTCCAGGAAGACATGGGTGAAAGTATGTACATTAGAATATCTTTGGCCATTAATGTCCGTGAACTATTGCTGGAACTGCAGTGATAACTTTACTTGTGTGTATGTGATTTTAGGTGATGTCTGGTTTGCAAGACCAGGAATATACAGTCACAGATGTGGTTGAGGGCAAGGAATACTTGTTTAGAGTAATTGCCTGCAACAAATGTGGACCAGGTGAACCTGCCTACATTGAGGATCCAGTGAATGTGTCTTCACCTGCAAGTATGTGTCAATTCTACAAAGAGATCAGACAGTGTTAAACATTCACAATGTTAAATACATGAAAAACTCATCACTTATGTGTGTTCACAGCTGTACCAGACCCACCAGAAAATCTTAAATGGAGAGACAAGTCTGCTAGCAAAATCTTCTTGTCATGGGAGCCACCCAAGTGGGATGGTGGAACTCCTATCAAAGGTTATATTGTTGACAAATGTCAACGAGGCACTGACAAGTGGGAGCCATGTGGAGACCCTATGCCTGAGCTTAAGTGAGTGACCATTTTCAAAGTACTTATTCTGCAAACTTAATTGAGGTGAATGCATTACACCTCTAAATAATTATCTTAATCCTCTCTACAAACAGGTTCGAAGTCACTGGTCTCATTGAAGGACAGTGGTATGCTTATCGTGTGCGGGCTTTGAACAAACTGGGTGCTAGTAAGCCTTGCAAGTCAACAGATGAGATCTTGGCTGTTGATCCTAAAGGTACTTTATCAGATTACGCTTTTACATTTTAGTCCATTTTGCTATTAAATTAGACTCTAAGTGGAACGTGTTATCCTTTTCCCTATTACTTTCACAGAGCCTCCTGAGATTCAGCTGGATGCAAAACTGCTAGCTGGTCTGACTGCTAAAGCTGGCACAAAGATTGAACTTCCAGCTGACATCACTGGTAAACCAGAGCCTAAAGTCAAATGGACCAAGGCTGACCTAGTCCTTAAGCCAGATGACAGAATCACCATTGATACAAAGCCTGGCCATTCAACTTTGTCCATCGCTAAGACCAAGAGGGATGACACAGCCACGTATATCATTGAGGCAGTCAACAGCAGTGGCCGTGCAACTGCAACTGTGGATGTCAACATTTTAGGTAGTGTGACTATAATATTTTATTGTTATATTTTAGAATTAGAGATTTTTTTTGTGATTAGTTTCTGGAAATGATTAATATCCAATCTTTACTAATCCCATGTAGATAAGCCTGGTCCTCCAGCTGCCTTTGACATCTCTGAAATTACCAATGAGTCCTGCGTGTTGGCTTGGAATCCTCCAAGAGATGATGGTGGGTCAAAGGTGACCAACTATATTGTTGAGAGGAAAGCTGTAGACAGTGAAATCTGGTACAAGCTGTCCTCCACTGTGAAGCAGACCACCTACAAGGCCACCAAGCTTGTGGCTTTCAAGGAGTACATCTTTAGGGTGTATGCTGAAAATCAGTTTGGCATTGGTGCCCCAGCTGAACATGCCCCAATAATTGCCAGATACCCTTTCGGTATGTTGTTAAATGCCGTATCAACAATTTATCTATTTATTTTTTCCTAACATTTATTCAACATGAATTAGAAATTAATATGTATCTTCACATTATGATAGATACCCCTGGTCCTCCATACAAATTGGAACCATCGGATATTGCAAAGGATGCCGTAACTCTGTCCTGGTATGAGCCTGATGAGGATGGTGGAAGTCCTATTACTGGATATTGGGTAGAAAGATATGAGCCTGACCATGACAAATGGATCAGATGCAACAAGTTGCCTATCAGGGATACAAACTTTCGGTAATGTGAATTAGCCCTAGTAAGCCATTGCTTGTGTTTCATAAATGAAAATTTGTTAACATTCCTAAATAATCATTCACTTGCAGAGTGAAAGGACTACCCACAAGAAAGAAGTACAAGTTCCGTGTTTTGGCAGAGAATCTTGCTGGACCTGGAAAACCAAGCAAAGAGACAGACCAAATTTTGATTAAAGATCCAATTGGTAGGTTAAACATTGGATAAATATCGTGCTTTGTTTATTTTGACAAAATGATTACGTTATTCTTTATTTGAAGACAGCATACAGTATGAAGCTGATGTAAATCTTTATTTTAGATCCCCCATGGGCTCCTGGGAAGCCCACTGTTAAGGATGTAGCCAAAACCTCTGCTTTCCTGCAATGGACAAAGCCTGAACATGATGGTGGTGCAAAGATCGAGTCTTACATTGTTGAGCTCCTCAAGAGTGGAACTGATGAGTGGGTCCGTGTAGCTGATAATATCCCCTCTCTTGAGCACTTCCTGAAGGGATTGATGGAAAAGCAAGAGTACTCATTCCGTGTCAGAGCTGTCAACGTAGCAGGCGAGAGTGAACCCAGTGAACCAAGTGATCCAGTGCTCTGCAAGGAGAGACTCAGTAAGTCATAAAGCTTGTTTTAGAGCTTAACGGTCACAATTTTTGTTGAAATGAGCACTTGCAATTTTTAATATTCTTTCAAGATATGATGGAAATTTATACAGGTTTAGATTAAATTAAGTTAATATGAAGTGACATTCTGTTATCAATTAGAGTTTAACTATTTGATTAGCATTTAACTGGTCAAGTGCATGATTCATGTATGACTTTTCTCAACAATTATCTTTCTCTTTTAGATCCTCCATCACCACCAAGATGGCTTCTAGTAGTTTCTAGTAGCAGGAACAGCGCTGAACTGAAATGGACTGCACCTGAGAGAGATGGTGGCTCTCCTATCACAAACTACATTGTTGAGAAGAGAGATGTCAGGCGCAAAGGCTGGCAGGCTGTGGACACCACAGTGAAGGAGCTGAAGTACACTGTCACCCCACTAAATGAAGGATCTCTATATGTGTTCCGTGTTGCTGCTGAAAATGCTGTAGGGCCGAGTGAATTTTGTGAACTTGAAGACTCTGTTCTTGCCAAGGATACTTTCGGTGCGTACTTAGTCTTTCTTATTTCTTACATTTTATTTTTTGAAGTGTATTATTGAATTTTTTTCACGTCTGCTTTTTTCCCTACAGGTACCCCTGGACCTCCATATAATCTGACTATCACTGAAGTTTCCAAGACTCATGTTGATCTGAAATGGGAAGCACCTCAGAATGATGGTGGAAGACCTGTTTTGAGGTAAAAAAAATACCGCTGGCTGGTGCAAATCAGTGTCAGCCCTATTCATACATCATAATATAGTATGCATTATATGGTACTAATTAGGGATGCTCATTTCGGTTAATTTTGCTAACCGACAACCGCCGCTCATTAATATATAATGAATAAATATAATATAATAATAAATATCATAATTCACGCACCTTCAGTGTTTAGCACAGAAGAGCAGAATAAAACTAAATAAAATGAATAAAATAAATAGGACTGCCCTAAATAATTTTCACTTAAATAATTAATTTATATTACAAAACAAAAATACTGACTGATTCTTTTTAATAACTGGCATAGGCTGTTTTTTTTCCAATCATGTTTTTTTCTTCCGTCAAATAAAAATCGCAGACTTCCTCAAATTGCTTGCTCCACGGAAAATATGCATTTATTTAATGCCCTGCTGTTATTATTATAAATCACAAAACCTTTTTACATTTTTAATTGAAATCATTATTTTAAAGATTATGTCTTGCTATGTGGTTTTCTCTCTCTCCCTCGCGGTTTAAGTGCGCGCTGCGTGATGAAAAGACAACAACGCGTGCGTATGTTGACTTTTTGTAAACAGTTTTGTTGTGTAAATATGACATTGTATTAATGTGCATGCATGCTTTATAAGCTGTAAAATAAAAGGTAAAGCCTATTTGTTGCGTTTATGACGCAGATCCAGGTCAACATAAGCGCTGTGGTTTGGCATCAACACGTCTGTTAAACAGCAATATTCTTCTTTCATTTTGCTTCTTTGACAAATGTGTCTGTAGGCACGGGTTATACGTTATCGTCCCGCAAGTTAAATATGTCTTGCAGTTGAACAAGGGGCCGAAAATAAGGCGCATCTCACTGCCTTTATGTTGACAAGGAAAAAGAAGAGAAGAAACGCTGTCCTCTTATGAAACGACTGAATCAGCTGGGTATCGATTGTGCAAAAGTGTTGCTGTATGTGTTGTTACAATTGTAATATTTAATAATATCGTGATATTCAAGATTTGTACATTCATACAGCTCTGGATAACTTAAAACAGCGATTAGACCTTCAGAGTGGTGTCAATGCGTCCTGAAGTAAAGCAAAATGGCTATAAACTCCAGCAAGATTGAGTCATTATATACAGAGCCATATAGCCTACCTTTATCTATAAATAAAGTATAACTATAGAAACTGTGTTCATCTTAGCTGAAAGCTTCGTCGTGTTTGCTGGCCTCACGCATCGCACACCTGAAAGTCAGTCAGTCAGCACGTAACGCCAAAGGGTTAAACAGCACTATACGGTTACTGAAGTTTGCGCTGTTATGATTCACTTACCTTTTAATACGTTTTGGTGCGATTATAATCCGCTATTAAAAACAACAACAATGACTGAATGTTTTGAATGGGTGATGTAGCCGTGGGGGGATGCATTTTGGTCCCCGCCATGGAAGAATAATTGTAGCAGAAACCAAGCTCTTTAAAAGTTCTCTGTAGTTGTCTTATCTATCTATCTATCTATCTATCTATCTATCTATCTATCTATCTATCTATCTATCTATCTATCTATCTATCTATCTATCTATCTATCTATCTATCTATCTATCTATCTATCTATCCATCTAAAATGTAAATCCTTAATGTTTTGCATTATGTGCATCTTTCTCAGATATGTCATTGAGAAGAAGGAGAAACTTGGTACCCGTTGGGTGAAATCTGGAAAGACTTCGGGTCCTGACTGCCATTACAGAGTGACTGATGTAATTGAGGGCACTGAAGTGCAGTTCCAGGTCTCTGCTGAAAACGAGGCTGGAGTTGGTCACCCAAGTGAACCTACTGACATTGTAGTCATTGAGGATCCAACAGGTACTGTAGGCTAACAGAAGCTTTTATTTTAAGTGGATGGTCAAATTTTTATGGTGGATGGTGAGATCTGCTTTGTGAATCAACAGAACATGGTTTTGGTGTGGTCAGAGGTTTAAAACATTATTTATTAACAAATAGTGATGTTTCTAGAGTTTTTACATGAATAACTAATTAAGAAAAACTTGTGGATTTTCTAGTTATTGAACAATAATCATGACGATCACTTTATCTTGCAGGCCCACCATCACCACCACAGGAATTGCATATCACAGAGGCAGCAAGAGATCATATCTGTATTGCCTGGAAGGCACCAGAAAAGAATGGAGGAAGTCCCATTATTGGTTACCATATTGAACTATGCGAGGCTGGAACAGAGAAGTGGATGAGAGTCAACTCTCGTCCTGTCAAAGAGTTAAAATACAGAGCAGGAGATGAAGAGGGAATTGTTCCTGAAAAGGAGTATACCTTCAGAGTTCGTGCTGTTAACTCTGTGGGTGCCAGTGAGCCCTCTGACATTTCTGAGAATGTATTTGCCATAGACTCTGACTGTAAGCTACTTTTGTGGTTGAAACTATTAGAAGCAATGATTTGCTAGACATGAAACATATTGGTAACTGACTCCTCTGTGTAAATTACATCACTGCAGGTAGCCCAACACTAGACTTCCAGACCAAGGATCTTGTTGTTGTAGAAGGTGAAAAGATGCACCTCCCAATTCCATTTAGGGCTGTGCCATCACCTAAGATTACATGGCACAAAGATGGAAATGAAATGAAGGCTGATGACAGAACCTTCTTCAGAGCTGAGTACACATCCTGCCATCTGGAAGTTCCAAGCTGCTTACACGCTGATGCTGGCCAATACAAAGTTACCTTGGAAAACAGAAATGGTGCCACTAGTGGAACGATCAATGTTAAAGTTATTGGTATGTTTTAGTTTTCTGTATATCAGCTTCTTTATTGCAATATTTTATCTGTGTGTAATGACTGATTATGCTGACAAAACAGTGAAAATGTGTACATTTTAAACCAATGCTACATTTGCTTTGATTATAATTATAATGTTTTCTGCAATTGTCAGGTCTTCCTGGACCATGTAAAGATATTGTTGCTAGTGAAATTACCAAGAGCTCCTGCAAGGTGTCCTGGGAACCTCCAGACTATGATGGTGGTAGCCCTATTCTCCACTACGTGCTGCAACGCAGAGAAGCAGGCAGGAGAACCTATGTCAAAGTTATGTCTGGCGAAAACAAATTGAGTTGGCCTGTAAAGGATCTCATTCAGAATGGAGAGTACTACTTCCGTGTCAGAGCTGTCAACAAGATTGGTGGTGGTGAATTTATTGAGCTTCGCAACCCTGTAATTGCAGAAGATCAGAAACGTATGTATAGTGGGATTCTGTGAAAGCATGTTGTATCTACTTTTCATTTTACATAACTTTTTTTTATCACATTCTTTTCTTCAAAAATACAGAACGTCCTGATCCACCAGTTGATGTGGAAACCCATAACCCAACATCTGAGAGTGTTACCCTTACTTGGAAGCCTCCCATGTATGATGGTGGAAGCAAAATTATGGGTTACATTCTTGAGAAGATGATGAAAGGGGAAGAGAACTTCCAGAGATGCAATGACTTCCTTGTGCCGGTGTTGTCTTATACTGTTAAGGGGTTGACACATGAAAAACAATATCAGTTCCGGGTTCGTGCAGAGAATGCAGCTGGTGTCAGTGATCCTTCTCGCAGCACACCTTTGATCAAAGCCACAGATGCAACTGGTATGAACTTTTGTTACTTTTTAGCAAATCTTAAGTCCCTCTGAAGCAAATCGTTGGTATATTTAAACATTCTTTGGTATTTTGCTTCCAGATCGTCCTAAGGTATTCCTTAGCGGTAGTCTACAATCAGGCTTGGCTGTGAAACGAGGTGAAGAAATCAGATTGGATGCCAACATCTCTGGATTTCCCTACCCCCAAATTACATGGATGAGGAACAATGCAACAATTTGGCCAGAACCACTAAAGAAGAGGCCAGAAAGGCCCATTAAGAAGAAGAAGGAAAAGGAGGAAAAGAAGGAGGAGGGAGCAGAAAAGAAAGAGGCAGATGCAGAAAAGAAGGAGGAAGACAAAGAGGCAAAGGAGGAGGACAAAGAAAAGAAAGAGGAAAAGAAGGAGGAAGAAAAGGAAAAAGAAAAGGAGGTGGAGGAACCCGAAGAGCCTGAAGAAGAATACCATCCAAGCTTAAATGAACGTCTTACCATTGAATCAAAGAGAAAGGGTGAATCCTATATTATTATAAAAGATACTATCAGAGGCGATCATGGTGTTTTCACAATAAAAGTGGAAAATGATCATGGAACTGCCTCTGCCTCCTGTGAAGTTAATATCCTTGGTGAGTGTTTTTCTTATTGAGATATGGTTACAACACTTGTTGAGGTTTTCATGTGATGTATAAAATTCATAAAAACTGTCCATATTTACATCCACAATGCATGTACAACTGAAAAGGGAGTGTTCATAATTATTTGTTCGTATTTCAGATACTCCTGGACCTCCAGTAAATTTCAAATTTGAAGAGATAAGGAAGAACTCCATCCTCTGTAAGTGGGATCCTCCTCTGGATGATGGTGGTAGTGAAATCCTTAACTACATATTGGAGAGAAAAGATAACTCCAAGGCTGAGCTTGGATGGATCACTGTAACATCCATCCTTAGAGGATGTAAATTTCTTGTGCCAAAACTTATTGAGGGCAAAGAGTACCTCTTCCGTGTCACTGCAGAAAACAAATATGGTCCTGGAAAACCATGCATCACCAAACCAGTCATTGCAAGGAATCCATTCGGTATTATGGTTTTCACCTGTTTGCTTCAGCACATAACATATGTTGTTTTTCACAGTTAATCTAAGAATTGAATTTGGCTTTTAAATTTAGATCCTCCAGATGCACCGGAGAAACCTGAAATTAAGGATGTCACTGCCAGCAGCATGTGTGTTACCTGGTTAGAACCCAATGACAATGGCAGCGCCATTGAGGGATACTGGGTAGAGAAACGAGAAATCAACAGCACACACTGGGCAAGAGTCAACCGCACTATGGTTCCTGACTTGGAAATAAATGTTGAAGGCCTTCTTGAAGGTCTGACATATATTTTCAGAGTATGTGCAGAAAATATAGCTGGACCTGGAAAGTTCAGCCCCCCGTCAGAACCAAAAACAGCACAGGCACCAATCAGTAAGTTTGTTGATTTGGACTATATAAACCACTAACTTTTCATAAATAAAGGTAATTTCAAATGAATGTCACACTTAATGTTTGCCATATAACTTTTTATTTTTATTTTAGTGCCTCCTGGTCCACCAATTCCAAGAATTGTTGACACCTCAGACTATTCAATTGACATTGAATGGGATCCTCCTGCGGACAATGGTGGCGCAGAGGTCTTTGGTTATCATGTTGACAAACTTGTTGCTGGTACCAAGGACTGGTCACGGGCTACAGAGAGACCTCACAAAACCCGCACATTTACTGTATATGGTGTTAGAGAAGGGGCTAAATACATAGTCCGTGTTGTGGCAATCAATTGTGCTGGTGAAGGAGAACCTGGTTTGACTGATGCAGTAATTGTGAGAAACCCTGCAGGTATAAATCTGAAATTGATGCTCATGAATACAAACTATTGTTTAATTTTGAAGCAATTTAAGTGTATTCTACATAGCTAAGTAAATGATTCTGTTTATTTGCAAAAACAGAGGTTCCAGTCATCGAGCTTGATATCTCTGTGAGAAATGGTGTTGTCGTTAGAGCTGGAGAAATGCTGAGAATTCCAGCACATGTGACTGGTAGACCCCCTCCATCTTTGAAATGGACAAAGGATGATGGTGACTTAGAAAAAGATCGTATGGAGGTTGAAGAAGCTGGACAGGACAGCACCGTTGTCATTAAAACCACAAAGAGAAGTGACCATGGCAAATACCAAATCCAAGCAGCAAATCCAAGTGGTATTAAATCTGCATGGACCAGGGTTGAAGTCATGGGTAAGATTTTTAAAACTGTTATCCGAATTTGAAGTGTAAGCTCCTTTTTAAACATGCATAACATATATACTCTCAAATCTGTCCTCAGATGTTCCTGGACCAGTTCTTGACCTGAAACCTGTTGTGGTTACCAGGAAACTTATGATGTTAAATTGGTCAGATCCTGACGATGATGGTGGTAGTGATGTGACAGGGTTTATCATTGAAAGGAGGGAACCAAAGATGCACACATGGAGACAGCCCATTGAGACGCCTTCATCCAAATGTGAGATTGTAGGTATTATTGAAGGACAGGAATACATTTTCCGTGTTGTGGCTAAGAACAAGTATGGATGTGGACCTCCAGTCGATCTTGGACCCATCCGTGCTGTGGATCCACAAGGTAAGCTTTACATACACAATTTGTTTTGCTGTATTAAAAGCACTCAGTATTATGACTGTTCCCATGTGCTCACTGCCAAATGTTTATTGAATGACAGGTCCACCAACTTCTCCTGAAAAGTTCCACTATACAGAGAGAACCAAGTCCTCTGTTACAATTGAATGGAGGCCTCCCCGTAATGATGGTGGTAGTCCAATCATTGGCTACATCATTGAGAAAAAGCGACAAGATCAACCGGCCTTCCAGCGGGTCAACCCAGAGCTGTGCACTGTTCAAATTATGACAGTTGACAATCTAGATGAGCTTCATATGTATGAGTTCCGTGCAAAGGCTGTCAATGCATTTGGTGAAAGTGAGCCTTCAATAACCATGACTGTTGTCATTCAGGATGATGAAGGTATGTCCTTGTTGAACACCACTATTCCTCACACAGTTTTCAGATGTCTTACTACATGCATTTCATGTGTCTTTTAATGAATATAGTGGCTCCAAGTTTGCGTATGCTGAAACACTTCAAGGGTGATTTGATTCGAGTAAGGAAAAATGAGCCTATTGAGATGCCTGCAGAAGTCACTGGTTTGCCAATGCCAAAGATTGAATGGCTGAAGGATGATGTTGTTATTGAAAAGCCTACTGAGAAACTTCTATTTGAAACCAAAGAGATTGACAGAGTGACGTCACATACAAAACTGTCCATTCCTGGTGTTACAAGACTAGACAAGGGCACATACACTGTTACTGCCTCCAATCGTTTGGGAACGCTGAGTCATTCGGTCACAGTGGAAGTGTTGGGTAAGTTATGATATACTGTACAACAATAAGTATTATAACTCACATTTAAAACCATTTTAAATGATGACATAATATTTTCTTAATCAATGTCTTGCTGTAAGTTTAGAGTGTTTGCTTATTTTACATTGTCTTAATCACTTGATCATGTCTCTTTTCCTAGATCGCCCAACGCCACCAAGAAATGTTGCTGTTTCAAGCATCAAAGCTGAGTCTTGCAACCTTAGTTGGGATGCCCCATTGGATATAGGTGGCAGTGAGCTTACCAACTACATTGTTGAGATGAAAGACCTTAATGTTGAAGATCCTGAAAAGGCTGAGTGGGTGCAAGTTACTAAGTCTATTATTGAAAAGAGATATGGGGTAAGAAAAAGATATATTTCAAATCCTTTTTGTATTTTGTCATTCAAATTATATCAAAATGGATATTTATTGTACAACACAAGTTGTGCTATGGTGTTGTTTATATTTTAAGTTACATAAAAATTGTGGTTTTTGCAGGTGTGGAACCTGGTAACTGGTGGCAACTATAAGTTCAGAGTTAAAGCTGAGAACAAGTATGGAATAAGTGAGGCATGTGAAACAGAGGAGGTTGAGATTAAAGATCCTTCTGCTCTGCCTGGCCCGCCTGAGAAGGTCACAATTGCAGAGCGCTCCAAGACACATATGCTATTGACATGGGAACCACCTAAGGACAGTGGTGGTTCTATGATTACTGGCTACTGGCTTGAGAAGCGTGAAAAAGGCACTTCGTATTGGTCTCGTGTGAATAAGATCCTGGTTTCAAAACGTGGCATGAAAGGCTGGGAATACCAGGTTACACGTCTCTTTGAGGGAGTAGAGTATGAATTCCGTGCAATGGCTTGCAATTCTGCTGGTATTGGGCCACCTAGTGCCATCTCTGAGTCTGCTGTTGCTGACGATCCCCTGAGTAAGAGCATAATTTAAATGCATTTTTTAAATTTTGTATTGAAGGCTTTTTTTAATTGTACATCATGGTCTATGTTTGTGTGTGTACAGCTCCACCTAGCATGCCTGCAGCTCCTGAGATTGCTGACAAAACCAAGCATAGTGTCACCCTTGCATGGACCCCACCAGCTAAAGATGGTGGCCGCCCCATCAAGGGTTACATTATTGAGATTCAAGATGAAGGTACTTCTGAGTGGGCCAGGGTCAATGATGCTGAAAATCTACATCCTTCTACTGTGTTCACCATTCCAAACCTCCCAGAACTTAAGAAATACAGATTCAGAATCATTGCAGTCAATGAAATTGGAGAGTCTGAGCCTAGTCCCAGAACCAGCGAAGTTCGCATAGAAGATATTAAAAGTAAATGTCTCACTTTTTTTTAAAACGTAAATGTAATTAAGCATCTTCCAGAGTCATTTTCTTGACCTTATGCTCTCTCTTAAATTCACAGCTGCACCAAAGATCTTCATGGATATCAGTGCTGATGAACTGCTGTGTGTTCGGGCTGGAACTCCATTTAAGATTCCAGCTACCATCACAGGACGTCCCGCTCCTAAAGTTACATGGGAATTTGATGGAAAAGCAAAGACAGAAAAGAAGGATCGTCTCCATATTTTACCAGTAGATTCACAGGTAACATATTTCCCTAATTTTAGACACAAATAAATAGATTTTAATCTTTGATTTCATTTATGACTATGATTTTTCTTGGCCAACAGGTTGAATCTACAGATACCACTTCAGTTGTTACAGTTCCTGTGAGTTTGAGAAGTCATTCTGGCAGGTATACAATTACAGCAAAGAACAAATCAGGACAGAAACATGTCAACGTCAGAGTAAATGTGCTAGGTGAGTCTGCACCTTAAATGCTTAAAACATAAATTATACATAAAAAATGTATTTTGCATTTTTCCTCTCTTATTTAATTACTCTCTGAACTGGCTCTATGCTTGTTAGAATGCATAAATATACAAAAAAAAAATGCATAAACAGCTAAATCATGGCAAATGGTAAATATCAAGTGTTTTTCATTGTGATGCATCTTAAAGTAAAACATCTTATTCCTGCTGTCTGGGTTTTTAATATTTATCAAACAACATAATAATGAAATCACTCACTCTCCTCTTGACTAAGTAGCTATATAAGCTACTATAGCTCAGGAATAATCATTAACCTTTAATTTAATTCATACATTGAAGATACAGTATGCTGTGTTATAATTGATTATATTTTCCAGTTTATTTAACTGAAAACTACTGTTAGATACATGTAAAAACTGAAAAGTGCTGTTTATCTCAGTGATATCTTTTCTATATTGTATTCATTTTGTGTTGTATCTTGCTTGTAAAGTTTTTTTTTTTATATATATTTGACAGTGATGTGATATTAGAGTTCAGAGAGTAATAAATGGCAATTACATATGCCTATTGAACTGCTGAGGTCAAACCGAATGGTTCGGTATTGTTTTGAGTATTGTGGTATACATAATAATTAATACACACACGTTTGTCATTGTGGCATATAACATGGTCTATTTATTTAAACTTTACACAAAACACGATATATGATATGATAAAATATATGATTTAAACTGATAATGTCATTTCAGATGTTCCTGGAGCACCTAAAGAGCTTAAAGTTACTGATGTCACCAGAACCACAATGAGACTCATTTGGAAGTTGCCGGATAACGATGGTGGTGAGAGAATCAAGAGTTACTTTATTGAGAAGAAGGCTGTTAATGGAAAGGCTTGGACGGTTGCCAATGCTACTTGTGCCAGCATGGCCTTTGTCGTGTCCAACCTCCTTGAGGGACAGGACTACTTTTTCCGTGTTCGTGCGGAGAATCGCCTTGGATTTGGACCATTTACAGAGACTACAGAACCTGTTCGGGCTAGGGATCCTATTTGTAAGTTGGTTTACCCAATGTTTTCAACATTTTTACACATGCATTTTTGTTTAATTTTATAATTAAATTTGTTATTAACAATATATATTTTTTCTTTTGAAATAAAGATCCTCCCGATCCTCCAACCAAAGTTAAAATTAACCTTGTTACCAAAAATACTGTTACCCTTACATGGGTGCCTCCCAAGAATGATGGTGGTGCACCAGTAAAGCATTACATTATTGAACGTCTGAGCTGGGACACAAGTGGTCCACAGAAAGAGACTTGGAAACAGTGCAACAAGAGAGATGTTGAAGAGACTACCTTCATCATTGAAGACCTTAAAGAGGGTGGCGAGTATGAGTTCCGTGTTAAAGCTGTAAATGAAGCTGGTGCAAGCAGACCTTCTGTTACCGCTGGACCAATTGTCATTAAGGACCAGACATGTGAGTAAATGGGTCATGTTATTGTTTTGCTATTTTAAAAAAGTTATGTTTTATTTATTTGCTTTTTCTTTGAAACGTTTTAGGTGCTCCAAGTATTGATCTCAGAGAGGCTTTGGAAGGCGCAGAAGGATTTGATGTCAACATTGTTGCCAGGATTCAAGGCTGTCCATTCCCATCTCTTGTCTGGCACAAAGCTCCACAAGACAAGCCTGATGACAAAGTTCCTGTACAGTATGACAAACATGTCAATAAACTTGTCTCTGATGAAAAATGCAGCCTGTTTATCCAGCAGTCAAAGAGAGATGACAGCGCAATGTACACACTCACAGCAACCAACAGCTTGGGCACAGCCACCAAGAGCATTAAGCTCAGCATTTTGGGTAAGTTCTTAATTGTCATGGGTTTCATTTTCCCCTAATTTCTTAATTAATCTATTTCAAAGGTCAAAATAAATAATATTCTGTTTTTCTTTTCTTAGGACGTCCTGGTGTACCTGTAGGACCAATTAAGATTGGGGAAGTTTTTGCTGAAAGGATTGGCCTCTCCTGGAATCCACCAGCAGATGATGGTGGTTCCAAGATCACAAACTATGTTGTTGAAAAGCGTGAGGAAAACAGAAAAACATGGGTCCATGTCTCTAGTGATCCAAAGGAATGCCAGTACATAGTACAAAGGCTAACAGAGGGCCATGAATATGAGTTCCGTGTTATGGCTCAGAATAAATATGGAGTTGGACCACCTTTGTACAGTGAACCCGAGAAAGCACGAAATCTCTTCAGTAAGTTTTATTCACCAAAACCTCTAAATTTGCCTTGTGGACCGTGTGTTTATGCATGTATGATATAAATGGTTCATTGTATACAGTGCGAGGAGACCATTAAGCTTGAAAAATCATACAATAATTGTTTATGGACCAGCTCAGTGGTTAGTACTGCGCTTTGGGTTTTAGAAAAGCGCGTTATAAATAAAATATATTATTATTATTATTATTAATATTATTATTATTATTGCTGTTGCCTCACAGCAAAAAAAGTTACTGGTTTGAATTCAGGCTGGGCCAGATTGCATGTTCTCCCTGTTCGTGTGGGTTTCCTCTAGTTTCCCCCACAGTCCAAAGACATGTGACATAGGTAAATTGGATGGTCTAAATTGTAATTAAAAAGTGTGTGTGTGTGTGAGTGTGAATGAGAGAGTGTATGGGTGTTTCCTAGCGTGGTGCTGGGTTGCGACTGGAATTGTATTGGTTGCGTAAAACATATGGGTTAGTTTCACTATATCAGTTAATTGCACTGTGGCGACACTTGATCATTCAGGTACTAAGCCAAAGGAAAATGAATGAATAATACGTAGTTATATTTTCTTAGTCAACAAGTAATTTTTTTATTAGGGTTGTTTATTAAGTTAATTTAATTTTGCCTCAAAAAATATGGGGAAACGGTTTGAGTTTGAGGGCTGAGAATGTAATTTTGTTTTACAATTGTCAATTGTTTTACATTGTACAGAAATACCATAATTAATATTCAATATTAAGAACTTGACAGTACATAAAATGGCATAGACAAATTATATAATTATGTGTGGGGGAAAACAGCATAGAGCTTTACTAAATTTTTATTATTTGTTAATAAAATAAAAGGATAACATTCACACAAGTTAGAACTTATGAACTTGCTAACAACAAAACACAGAAACCAAAACAAATAAATATATCACAAAGTGTAACTTTGATAGACTACTAGGTCTACAGGTAAAGTCATCTAAAAACAACGTTGGCAAAATCTTAAAGTCTTTCTCTAGCTCTTACATATTTATGTAGGTCAAATATATAAAGGGGCTAGAGGAATATACTGCAAATTGAAAAGACTAAAGAAAATAACGTTGAAAACTGCAAACACAGCCCGAAGAACGAAACTTAAAATGAAACACTGAAAACAAAATAACAACACTCGTTATGGACAATAATACCTGCAACTCGGCCTAAGCATGATCCTGCAAATGAAACATCAAATTAAAAATAAGTTATAGTTTTAATAAGTTGCCAAACAAAACAAAAAAAATCATAAATCATATACGTTAAATAAAATATAGGCTATCAGGACACTGAAATATTGCAAAAATTAATAACTATTAATTATTACTGACTGTCTCTCTTGATCTCATTGTTTCATATTATGAGATGCAACACACATTTGCATATACAGTAAATGCTTGTGAATAAGGCCTTTTTGCAGTGCACACTGGCTGTGCCACTCAATATGTAGTTATTTTTTAACTAAATAAAACTTGGTCAATCAAGCCTGTCCTGGTTGACTATCGACTAGTTGACAATTAGGGGGCAGTCCTAATTAAATGATTTCTGATTTCCAGACTTTGGAAAGTGGAATGAAACCATAACAATGTCAAATTCTGTAATTATGCTTATTAAACACCCTGAGTTCCTTAAAAAAGTATTGTTTTAATCTATTCTGACTTTACTCTTCCCCTAACAGCTGTGCCTGGCCAATGTGAGAAGCCAACTGTAACAGATGTTTCAGCTGAATCAATGACAGTTAACTGGGATGAGCCTGAATATGATGGTGGCTCTCCTGTAACTGGCTACTGGCTAGAGCGCAAGGAAACTACAGGCAAGCGCTGGACAAGAGTGAATCGTGAGCCTATCCGAATTAGGACTCTAGGTGTTTCACATATTGTGACAGGACTCTTGGAGGGAGCGATCTACCAGTTCCGTGTTATTGCAATTAATGCAGCTGGATGTGGCCTACCTAGTTTGCCTTCAGATATTGTTGCATGTAGAGACCCCATAGGTATGTTGTGCTTTATTCAATCACTATAGGAATGCTTTGTTCTCTTTTTGTTGCCTATGTCTTTTTATTAACATTTTATATTGTTAATTAACATTTTTATTAACATTTCCTAACAGCACCTCCAGGTCCTCCAACGCCAAAAGTAACAGACTGTACCAAGTCAACTGTTGATCTTGAATGGATTCCTCCTCTTAATGATGGTGGATCTATGATCACCGGTTATTTTGTAGAGTACAAACAAGAGGGGCAAGAGGAATGGGAGAAGGTATTTCCATAAGTGTGTGTCTGCAATTGTTTGTTTATTTTTTTTTGTAGTTTGTTTCAACTTCATTTTTATTTTTTTAGGTTAAAGACAAGGAAATCAGAGGCACCAAATTTGTTGTTCCTGGACTTAAAGAGCTTGGACTTTATAGATTTAGAGTGAGAGCTGTAAATGCTGCCGGTGTTGGAGAACCTGGTGAAGTTGCTGATGTGATTGAAGTCAAGGACAGGACAAGTAAGCATCAGTTCACATTTTCAATTCCTTTTATCTGCTTCTTTTTAAATTTTTAGCAAATGTTTTCACGTTTTTATTTAATTTATCATCTGTTTTAGTCCCCCCAGAGGTAGACCTGGATGCAACTGTCAAGGAAAAGATAGTTGTTCATGCTGGTGGGGTAATCCGCATCCTAGCTTATGTTTCTGGAAAGCCTGCACCAGAGATTATTTGGAATAGAGATGATGCCGAATTGCCAAAGGAGGCTGCTGTTGAGACAACTTCTATAAGTTCAGCTTTAGTTATCAAAAGTTGCCTGAGACAACACCAAGGCATTTATACATTAACTGCTAAGAATGCAGGTGGAGAAAGGAAAAAAGCAGTCATTGTTGAAGTATTGGGTGAGTGTTTTATTTATCGATAGGCCAATAATATGTTGGCTGATTAATATGTGTATATATCAATAAAATATTTAAAATTGCCTCTTTTATTTATTCACAGATGTTCCTGGTCCTGTTGGTCTACCCTTCTCTGGTGAGAATCTTACCAATGACTCTTGTAAATTGACATGGTACTCCCCTGAAGATGATGGTGGCTCAGCTATCACCAACTATATAATTGAGAAGAGAGAAGCTGACCGCAGAGGCTGGACTTCAGTGACATATACTGTCACAAGACATAATGCTGTTGTCCAGGGTCTCATTGATGGAAAGGGTTACTTCTTCAGAATTGCAGCTGAAAATATAATTGGAATGGGTCCATTCACTGAGACTGCAGCTCCAGTCGTCATCAAGGATCCACTCTGTAAGCCTTTTTTGTTTTGTTTTTGAACAGTTTTTTTTTATTTTATTTCGAAATATCATTACCTTATATCATATCTTATGTTTTTTAACTCAAGCTGTACCCGAGCGCCCTGAGGATGTTGAGGTGACAGCCATCACAAATGATTCAATCAGTGTCGCATGGAGATCTCCAAAATATGATGGAGGGTCAGACATTACAAGCTATGTTCTTGAGGTTCGTCTAATCGGGCAGGACAACTTCAGCCGCATTGCCAAAGAGGACAAACTCATGGATCGTAAATTCACCCATGCTGGTCTTAAAGAGGGTTCTTCTTATGAATTCCGTGTTAGTGCTGTTAATCAAATTGGTCAAGGCAAACCGTCATTCAGCACAAAACCAGTTACATGCAAAAAAGAGTTTGGTAAGTAATTACTTTAAAGCAGAAGTGATTTCATAAAATTAAAGCACATTTTTATTAACTGTGATCGAGATCATATATTGTATACTATAATCTTTACTAGAACCACCAAACCTTGATTTGGAGTTCCGTGACAAGCTTGTTGTTCGTGTTGGGGAAACTTGCATCATTCAAAGCCGATACACAGGCAAACCGGAACCAACTATTAAGTGGTTCAAAAATGATGAAGAGCTTCAGGCAAATGAAGAAATTGCTCTTACCACTGCAAAGAACAGATTGAGCCTGACTATCGAAAAGGCAAAACGTGATCACAGTGGAAAATACATGGTGGTTTTGGAAAACTCTATTGGGACACGCAAGGGAATATGTACTGTCAATGTTGTCGGTAAGTGAAACTATGCGTTTTGTCAAAAACTTTATTTTGTTTTCTAACTAATATTTTTTTCAAACTTAATAACATATCATTATTTATTTTATTTTTCACCTTTTTTAGACCGTCCACAACCTCCAGAAGGCCCTGTTATCTTTGATGAAATCTACAGGAATTATATGGTCATTTCTTGGAATCCTCCACTAGATGATGGTGGAGCTGCTATTTCTAACTACATTGTTGAAAAGAGAGACACCAACAGGGATCTGTGGATGCCTGTTACAGAATCTTGCACAAGGACATCATGCAAAGTTCCAAAACTGATTGAGGGAAGAGAATACATTATTAGAATCTGTGCTCAGAATATTCATGGTATTAGTGATCCATTGCTCTCTGCTGAGACAAAGGCAAAGGATGTTTTCAGTAAGAACATTTTTATTTGTAATGTTATAAAATAGTAAAGAAATTATTTGAACTAGAATCATTTAATTAAAGATAAGAAATGTGACTCATGTTCTCAATTTTTTAACACATTTCTGTCACACAGAGGTTCCAGATGCTCCACAGGCACCTGTAGTAAAAGAAATCTATAAAGATACAGCTCTGATTTCATGGCTTCAACCAGCTGATGGTGGCAAACCAATCACAAACTACATTGTAGAAAAGAAGGAAACCAAGGCCAACATGTGGGCTAGAGCTGGAAAAGATCGCATTTTCCCCAACACAGAATACTGGGTTCCTGATCTTCTCAAGGGTTGCGAATATGAATTCCGTGTCATGGCAGAGAATGTGATTGGCATTGGGGACCCCAGTCCATCTTCAAAGCCAATCTATGCTAAAGATCCTATAGGTATGTGTTTAATGAGGATTCTCATTGAAGAATAACAATTTCTGCTAAGTTAAAATATTAATCCTCTTTTTTTCTCTTTTCATGTCACAGTGATTCCAAGCCCACCTGTACTTCCAGTTGCAATTGATAAGACAAAAGAGTCTGTTACTCTTTCTTGGCAGCCTCCAAAAGACTGTGGCAGAGGCAAAATCTTTGGTTATCTGCTAGAGTATCAGAAAGCTGGTGATGAGGAATGGCTTCAAGTTAATCAGACACCTGACTCCTGCCCGAGCACTACATTTAAGGTTATCAACCTTGAGGATGGTGCACTTTATAGATTTAGAGTGAAGGCAGTGAATGCTGCTGGTGAATCAGAGCCTGCATATGTTCCAGAGCCTGTTCGAGCACAAGACAGATTTGGTACTTTGTGTACTCATATATCTATCGTTATAATTATTTATGCATGCTTTTGCAATTAACCAAGAATGTGTAAAATGTAACAATATTTTTTGTACATTTGACCATAGAGCCCCCAGAACTTCAACTGGATTTGGGCATGCCTCGTGAGTTGAAAGCAATGGCTGGAACCCATATTAATATCATGGCTGGAATCAAAGGGATGCCTTTCCCTAAAGTCACCTGGAAGAAAAATGAGGCGGATGTTCCCACAAGAGCAGAGATTGAGACATCTGGAACTACAACTAAACTAGAGATGCGCTATTGCAACCGTACTGATTGTGGAGATTACACACTTACTGTTGAAAATCCAGCTGGGTCAAAGATAGCCACATGCACTGTTCTTGTACTTGGTATGAATATCTCAAGGACTTTGAGCAATGAGACATTGTTGTGTTTTAAACCATTAATAACAAATAACATAAAAAATATGAATATGCCATTCTTTTTAAGCCAGTATTAAGTTGGTGGTACCTTTGTTTATTTTTATAGACAAGCCTGGACCAGTTCAGCACCTCAGAGTATCTGATGTCAGAAGTGATTCTGCCCAACTGTCTTGGAAAGATCCAGAAGACAATGGTGGTGCACGCATCACCAATTTTGTTGTTGAGAAAAAGGATGCAGCATCTCCTCAATGGGTGCCAATCTGCTCATCATCTAAAAAACGTAGCATGATGGCTAAACATTTGATTGAAGGAACGTCGTACATGTTCCGCGTGGCAGCTGAAAATCAGTTTGGAAGGAGTGAATATGTCGAGACAACAAAAGCTATCAAAGCAATGAATCCACTGTGTATGTATGGTCTATTAAAAATTATATATATATATATATATATATATATATATATATATATATATATATATATATATATATATATATATATATTGATAATGTTTAATTTATAAAAAGGATCATAATAAAAAAAACTAATAATAATATTTATTATTCACTTACAAATTTCAGTCCCACCTGGTCCACCAAAAGACCTTCATCATGTAGATGCTGACAAGACTGAGGTGTGGCTTCAGTGGAACTGGCCTGATCGCACAGGAGGAAGTGACATCACAGGGTTCTTGGTTGAGTATCAGGAAGAAGGTGAAAAGGATTGGATAGTTTTTAAGACTGTCAGCATTCCTGAGTGCCATGTGACAGGACTGGAAGAGGGAAAGACCTACAGGTTCCGTGTTAAGACGGAAAATGCAATTGGTCTAAGTAGACCAGACACCACTGTGCCAGTTCTTTGTCAGGAAAAACTAGGTGACATTCACATTTTAACATCTAATATGTTTATTTAAAGGAAATATGATTATGATTTGTATGTGTTAAACCTTTTTTTTATTGTCTGTTTTAATTCTTTTTAGTACCGCCCATTGTTGAGGTGGATGTTAAGTTGATTGAGGGAATCATTGTGAAAGCTGGAAGCACAATTAGATTGCCTGCTTTAATGAGAGGCCTTCCTGTTCCCACTGCTAAATGGGTCATTGATGGAGAGGAAATCAAGAGTGAAGGCAATACCAAAATTGACACTGACAACTTCTCCACTGTTTTGAGCATTGCAGACTGCACAAGAAATCACACTGGAATATATATACTCACAGTATCTAACTCTGCAGGAAGTAAAACTGTTTCTCTGAACGTCACTGTGCTTGACGTACCAGCTGCACCTATAGGCCCTGTTAATATTCTTGAGGTAACTCCTGACTCCATGGTTATTGACTGGCGCCCTCCCAAAGATGATGGTGGAAGTCCTGTCATGAATTATATTGTTGAGAAGAGGGAATCAAATAAGGAAACTTGGGGAGGAGTAAGTTCTGGCAGCACTTCTACAAGGCTGAAGATTTCTCGTCTGCAGCAGGGAGTTGAATATGTTGTGAGAATTCGTGCTGAAAATAAAATGGGAATTGGTGCAGCTCTTGAAAGTGCACCAACTGTAGCTCGGCACCAGTTTGAGGCCCCTGGCCATCCTGGAAAACCTGTAGCTTCTGATTTGTCTGAAGATGCGCTTACACTTGGATGGACAATGCCTCTGTTTGATGGTGGCAGTCCAATCAGTGGTTACATTATTGAGCGAAGACATAAAGGTGGCAAATGGATTAGAGTGAATAAAACTCCTTGCAAAGAACTTAGATATAGAGTGCTTGGTCTTTTTGAAGGTAATGAATATGAGTTCAGAGTATTTGCTGAAAATATTGCTGGCTTTAGTGGACCTTCACCTGTCTCAGATCCTGCCAAACCTTGCAGACCAATAACTGTTCCAGGACCTCCAGTTAACCCTAAGGTAAAAGACTACAGCTGCACATATGCTGACTTAGTCTGGATCAAACCCACAAAAGATGGAGGCAGTCCAGTCTTGGGATATATTGTTGAATGCCAGAAAGGAGGTGCTGAGTGGGAGAAAGTCAATAAGGATGATCTGATTAAACAGTGTGCTTATAGGGTGAAAGGACTGACTGAAGACACTGAGTACAGGTTCCGTGTTAAAGCTGTGAACATGATTGGAGAAGGTGAGACCAGAGAAATCCCAGAGTCCGTTATTGCTAAGGATATCATCATTCCTCCGGAAATTGAGATGGATGCCACATGCCATGAACGTGTGACTGTTCGTGTTGGTCATAACATTAATGTTGTAGGATATGTAAAAGCAAGACCTGATCCAGAAATCACTTGGAGCAAAGGTGAAAGCATTTTGGAAAGGGACAAGCGCACCATGCTTACAAACAACTTCCCAGTCGTGCAAATGCGTATCAAGGAAGCAACCAGAGCAGACCATGGAAAGTATGTACTAAAGGCTGTTAATGAAGCTGGAGAGGCCTCAGCAACTATTACAGTAAATGTTCTGGATAGACCTGGTCACTGCCAGAATCTAAAGATGACATATGTAACTAAGAATTCTTGCATGGTGTCCTGGGATGCTCCTGAGGATAATGGAGGTAGTGAGATAACAAATTACATTGTGGAATGCCGAGAGCCAAGTATACGAACCTGGGCAATGATCTCATCTGACTGCACAAATCGCATGGTAAAAGCCAAGCTCATGGAAAACCATGAATATTTATTCCGTGTGTCTGCTGAGAACAAGTGCGGTCCAGGACCAGCTACAGAAACCAAAACTCCTATCCTTGCAATTGACCCACTTCAGAAGCCAGGCGAGCCAGAGAATTTCCATGTCGGTGATATTGGTAAAAACTTTGTTTTCCTTAAATGGAGAAAACCAGATTATGATGGTGGCAGTCCTAACCTTGGCTACTATCTGGAGAGAAAAGCAAAAGACGCTGAAGCATGGGAGAAGTTACATGAAGGAGTTCTGAAAGAGACATTCTTCATGGTAGACAAATGTGTTGAGAACCACATCTATCAATTTAGAGTCCAGTCAACCAATGATGGAGGAGAAAGTGCATGGGTTAGCACTTCTGATATTGTCGTCAAAGAAGAAATTCAGAAACCAGTTCTTGACATGAAATTTGTTGGCACTATTGTGGTCAAAGCAGGTGAATCAGTTAGACTTGAAGCTGGACTTAGAGGAAAACCACAGCCCACGGTTACTTGGGTGAAGGACAAGGCTACGGGTGATAATCCAAGGATCAGCATTGACACCGGACATGATTACTCCAAATTCCTTCTGACTAAAACCAAGCGTAGTGACACTGGAAAATATGTAGTTACTGCTACAAACCCAGCTGGTTCATTCACAGCATATGCCAACGTTACAGTGCTAGATATACCAGGACCTGTCAGAGATATGAAAATTTCTGGCATTTCCACAGACAAGTGCAGAGTTGCATGGGATCCTCCAGAGGATGATGGTGGTTGTGAAGTGGACAGCTATATAATAGAAAAATGTGAGACCAGAAGAATGGTTTGGTCCACTTACTCTGCATCTCTCGTCACAAACTACTGTAATGTAACACGCCTTGTTGAAGGAAATGAGTACATATTCAGGGTCAGAGCAGAAAACAAGATGGGAACTGGGCCACCAATGGAGAGCAGGCCTATTATTGCTAAGACACAATACAACAGGCCTGGTCCACCTGATGCACCTGAGGTAACCAAAATTGGTAAGGATGAGATGACAGTGGTATGGGCTCCACCTGAAAATGATGGTGGAAAGTCTATTACTGGTTACATTCTGGAAAGAAAAGAAAAACGTGCCGTTCGCTGGGTCCCAGTCACAAAGAGCCCTATTTCTGAGAGACGTATGAAGGTTACTAATCTGATCCCTAACCACGATTATCAGTTCCGTGTCAAAGCTGAAAATGAAGTTGGATTGGGAGAACCAAGCAAAGCATCTAGACCCATCACTGCAAAAGATCCAATTGGTATGTGTAGGTTGGGTTATATATATGTATGTATTTTGTTTTATTAGATAATAATTTTATTGTGTTTTAAACTAAAACAACATTTTGTTTCATTTTTAGAGCCTCCTGGCCCTCCTGGTAGCCTTAAAGTAGTTGACAGCACAAAGACATCGATTACACTTAGCTGGGCAAAGCCTGTGTATGATGGTGGAGCTCCAGTTATTGGATATTTGGTTGAAATGAGGGATAAGGTGGAAATGGAAGGTGAACAAGTACGTGATCCAGAGGAAGGCTGGAAGAAATGCAATACTTCTGGACAGCTTGTCTTAACTGAATACACAATCAGTAACTTGGATGAGAGACAGGAATATGAATTCCGTGTGTCTGCTCAAAACCAAGTTGGTATGGGCCGTCCTGCAAATGTCAAGGATGCTGTATCTCCAAAGGAGGTCCATGGTAAGTTTTGACAAGAGTCACATGTATGACTGCCCTTGAAGTTCAGTACATATATTCTTTTTTTCTTCTTTTACAACAGAACATCCAGAGATTGATCTTGATGCCAGTCTAAGAAAGGGTCTTAGTGTCAGAGCAGGATGTCCTATCAGACTTTTTGCTACAATAAGAGGAAGGCCAGCACCTAAAGTTACTTGGAAGCGCATTGGTGTTGACAATGTCATAAGGAGGGGTCACGTGGATCAGATTGATACAATGACCTTCCTCGTCATTCCCGAATCCTCACGAGAAGACTCTGGCAAATACTCTTTGACTCTTTCAAATCCCTCTGGAGAGAAGGCTGTGTTTGTCCGTGTCAAAGTCTTAGGTAATCTTCAAATTAAAATGCATTTTACAATTAAGATAGACATTGTGTGTATCTTCTACAAAGTTGTTTCTGAAATTAATCAACAGATACTCCTGGACCTGTTGGTGGACTGGACGCAACTGATATCACAAAGACATCCTGCCAGCTTGCATGGTTGCCTCCAGAAAATGATGGTGGTAGTCCAATCCTAAACTATATTGTTGAGAAGCGTGAAGTTGACAGGAAAACATGGACAAATTGCACAAACGATTTGAAGAAGACAAGTTTCAAAATCACAAATCTGACTCCAGGAATAGAGTACTACTTCCGAGTCATGGCAGTTAACAAGTATGGTATTGGGTTACCTCAAGACTCACCGAAATCATACTTGGCTACAGATCCTAAGAGTAAGTCCACCACAGTATTGTAATATATTGCATTGGATTATAATACTTTCAGTAAATAATGCATATATTTCTACTCTTCAAAGGTGAGCCTGATCCTCCAAAGAAGATGGATGTATTAGAAATTACTAAAAACAGCGCAACCCTTGGGTGGTTGAAACCACTCAGAGATGGTGGATCAAAAATTAATGGCTACATTGTTGAATACCAGCAGGATGGCCAACCTGAAGACAAGTGGACATCATACTCTGTTGTGAAAGACTTAACAATTGTTGTTGCTGGACTGAAAGAAAACACTAAATACAGGTTCAGGGTTGCAGCAAGAAATGCAATAGGATGCAGTTTGGCAAGAGAAGCTGAAGGCATATTTGAGGTCAAGGAACAGCTAAGTATGTATATATTTTTTTCATAAAATTTCAGTTCATGCTGTGAATTCCACTCTAAATCCTTTTTTTTTTTTTGTAGTGGCTCCAAAGATTATCGTGTCTGATGTGGTTACTGCAAGAGCAGGATCAAAACTTATTGTTGATGCTCTTGTGTCTGGAAAACCTGCACCAGTAACAAAATGGAAAAGAGGAAGTGATGACATAGTTACTTCTGATCGTGTCGTCATACAAAAGACACCAACCACAAGTTTACTCATGGTCAAAGATGTCACAAGGAAGGATAGTGGTTATTACAGTTTGTCTGCTGAAAACAGCACAGCTAAGGTCAACCAGATCATCAGAATAATCATTATGGGTGAGTTTGTTAAATATATTACCATACATCACATGCATGATTATTTTATATTGTAATGCTAAATAAAACATTTTATCTCTTTTTAGACATTCCTGGTCCCCCACAGGGTCCTCTACAAATTCTTGAGGTGGATGTAGATGCCTGCACACTTGCATGGGATACACCTGCTGAAGATGGTGGCAGCAACATTACAAACTACATTGTTGAGAAGTGTGATGTGACCAGAGGTGATTGGGTCACAGCTGTATCTTGCACCAAGACCAGCTGCAGAGTTGGGAAGCTCACATGTGGCAAGGAGTATGGGTTCCGTGTCCGTGCTGAAAACCGTTTTGGCATTTCAGAACCAATTTACTCAGAGAAAATGATTGCAAGACATCCATTTGGTAAGTATTATAAATTAACATGGTTGATCTGTCAAGCAAAATAATTAGGCTTATGTTATACTAATACAAATGTTATGATTTCAGATCCACCCAGTGAACCATTGAACTGTTGTGTTAACAAAGTCAGCAAGGAGTTTGTTGTGTTGTCATGGGAGAAACCTGTAAATGATGGTGGCAGTGCCCTCACTGGATACTTCATAGAACGTAAAGAAAGAAATAGCCTCCTGTGGGTCAGGACAAATGAAGTTCTTGTTCGGTCAACTGAATACACATGCTCTGGTCTCATTGAGGGTCTGGAGTACACATTCAGAGTGTCTGCTGTCAACAAGGCAGGACAAGGAAAACCAAGCAAGCAGACAGATTTTATCACTGCAAGAAGTCCAGTTGGTATGTGTTCTGGGAGGAAACAAAGTACTGCTGTCACTTATAATGGAAGTTAAAATAAAATCAAACATTAAAAATTACATTATTATAATGTTTTTTCAGATCCACCTGGAAAACCGGAAATTATTGATGTGACCAAAAGTTCTGTCTCCCTTGTCTGGAGCCGTCCAAAACATGATGGTGGAAGCAAACTCATTGGTTATTATGTTGAATTTCTCAAGCTTAAAGAAGACAAATGGGTGCGTGTCAACTCAAACAGCCAAAATGTACCAAAGGAAGAATACATTGTTCCTGGACTTGAGGAGGGAGCCCAGTACAAGTTCAGAATAATTGCAAAGACAGCAATTAATGTTAGTGTGCCATCAGAGGAATCTGATGTTATCCCAATTATTGCAGAGCATGGTAAGTCTAATGATCCAATGTCAATAAAATTATTTCCTACTAGGTGGATTTTAAATCTTATTTAATGTTTCTCTTTTGGGTTTTTTTCAGTTCCACCCAGAGTGGAGATTAGTCTTGAAATGAAAAACTTAATTGTTGTCAAAGCTGGAGCAAATGTCTGCCTGGAGGCTGAGGTTTATGGCAAACCAATGCCAAAGGTTGTTTGGAAAAAAGATGGTGCTCCACTGAAATTGGCTGAAGGTATGAAAATGACTCAAAAGGTGCATCACCTCTCCCTGGAACTTTTCTCTGTTACAAGAAAGGAGTCTGGAGAGTACACAATTACTGCTGAGAACCCAAGTGGATCAAAGTCTGCCAACATAAAATTAAAGGTTCTGGGTAAGTAAATATGCCAAAAACAAGACTTATCATGGCTTGTATTTAAAACATTTTACAAAGTGTATTTGTTTTGTGAAAAATTCATGATTTGTTTTGCAGACAAACCTGGACCCCCAGCATCAGTGAGGATAAGCCATGTGTTTGCTGACAGAGTGAAACTTAGGTGGGAGCCACCTCTTGCGGATGGTGGTTCTGAAATCACAAATTACATCGTTGACAAACGTGAAACAAGCAGAGCAAACTGGGCACAAGTTACTGCTAATATTAATGGTCAGATAACTGACTGTTCTGTGGAGAAATTGATTGAAGGCCATGAATATGAGTTTCGCATCAGTGCTGAGAACAAGTATGGTGTTGGAGACCCAATTGTGACTAGCTCTGTGATGGCCAAGAATCCATTTGGTAACCTTTTTCTTCATTCTTTTGCATTTATGTATCATAGCAGTACTGATATTCTTTATTTTTAAATCAACAATATAGAATTTAAAAAATATTGATTTATTTATTTGAATTTTCTTTCCTAATGCCAGTGCTTAGTGAAATAACAGAAGAAACCAGAATTCCTAAATTAAGGCTAAAGCTTGCTTTGCTAGATAAAAACACTGTTCTAGCATGTAATGACCAATAGTTTAATTGTTAATATTCTTTTTATATATATATATATATATATATATATATATATATATATATATATATATATATATATATATATATATATATATATAATAAAGTGTTGCCCTTCACTGATTTCCTTTTTGTTTTTGCTTATTATATTTCAGATCATCAAACAAATGTAAATATTAGTCAAAGATAACACAAGTTAACACATCATGCAATTTTAAAATGCAGGTTTTTATTATTAAGGGAAAACAAAATACAAAACTACTAGCCATGTGTAAAAAGGTGTTTGCTTGCAAAAGGTGCAAGGTGAAAAGATGTTTGTTTGCATTGAGATACTGTGTCATGACCCTAAAAATATGGTTCATGCTCAAAAACCCTCCAATAGGGCTGAATTACAACACTTCTGCAAAAATGACTGGTCCAAAATTCCTCCATAACACCGTTATAGACTCATTGCAAGTTATTGAAAACACTTGATTGTAGTTTAAAAGTAAAAAAAAATTCAAGCAGGGCTATGTAGTTTTGTATTTAGTTTTCCCTTAATAAACTTACTTCTAAATAAATAAGACTTTATTTCAAAACTGCATAATGTGTTTACTTGTGTTATCTTACTAATATGTAAACTGGTTTGATGATCTTTGATAATTTGATGATGATTAAAGTCAAAAACATGCAAAAGAAAATAAGAAATCAGTAAGGGGATAATTACTTTTTTACACCATTGTATATATCAATGTATAATATTTTTAAATCCATGTATATCAATTGTTATTAAAAACTCTGCCCTGTATCTTACAATTTAGATGTCCCAGGACCATGTGAACCTCCAGTTATCACCAATGTCACCAGAGATCACATGACTGTTACTTGGAAAGCTCCTGCTAATGATGGCAAAGCCACTATTCTTGGATACATGGTTGAGAAGCGTGAAACTCAAGACCTCAATTGGGTTAAAGTGAATAGAAGACCAGTTATTGACAGAACAATTAAAGCCGGAGGCCTCACTGAGGGAACAGAGTATGAATTCAGAGTCATTGCACTAAATAAAGCTGGTCTTGGTAAACCAAGTGATCCATCATCTGGTGTTCTTGCTTTAGACCCAGTGTGTAAGTACTAACATTACTCCATTAATTATTATTAACAACCTGTTTGACAAAAAATAATGGCGTTTTACAGTTTGTGCATTGTAATCCATGCATTTCTGTGCTTTCATCATAGATCCTCCTGGACCACCTGCTTTTCCAAAGGTTGTTGACTCTACACACAGTTCAATCAGTTTGTCCTGGACCAAGCCCGCATATGACGGTGGATGTGAAATTCTGGGCTACCTTGTTGAATTCAAGCGAGCAGATGCAGAAGAATGGATGAAGTGCAATGTGCCAAAGAATCTCCAGGCAACAAAATTTAATGTTACTGGTCTAATAGATAATACTGAGTACCAGTTCCGTGTTAGTGCCGTAAACAAGATAGGATTTGGTGAGCCAAGTGAAGTTCCTGAAAAACATTTGGCAAAGGATATCTTACGTAAGTAAATCTAACAACTGATTTTTTTTATTTTTATTAAAAGGAGTACAATGTAGATTACACTTACATTATTTTAATGTTAATTTTCTTTTAGTTGCCCCTGAGGCTGAACTTGATGCTGATCTCAGAAAAGCACTTGTTTTACGTGCTGGAGTAACAATGAGAATTTACGTGCCTCTAAGAGGGCGTCCTGCTCCAAAGGCAACATGGACTAAGGTCAATGCAAATTTGAAAGAGAGGCAAGGTCTTATGATTAAGACAACTGAATGGGATACCTTCCTTTATTGTGAGGATATCAACAGATATGATGCTGGCAAATATGTTCTAACTTTAGAAAACAGTAGTGGTACCAAGTCATACACCATTGTTGTCAAAGTACTAGGTAAGACTCTCTTCTCTTAAAAAACATGCCATTTGAGTTTTAATCTTTGCTGTACCTAACTGTATTCAATAATGTGCACAGACACACCTGGACCTCCAGTCAATCTGATTGTTAAGGAGACCTCAAAGGACCATGTATCCATTACTTGGGATGCTCCATTAATTGATGGTGGAAGTCCAGTGAAGAGCTATGTGGTTGAAAAACGTCTGGCTGAGAGAAAGGCATGGACTTGTGTTGCTCCTGAGTGTCCCAAGACATCTTTTAGGATTACTAATCTTGAAGCTGGTCAAGCTTACTGCTTCAGAGTCCTTGCTGAAAATATATATGGAATTGGGGAAGGTTGTGAGACAGCTGGGCCAGTCAAAGCCTCAGGTGGGACTTCTTTAATAATGTTATAATTTAGCTAAACGTTTAAATATGCATATAGCCATATTCTAACTTTGATGTCTATTGCAGAACAACCTGGACCAGTTGCAGAATTTAAATCAATGGAGATCACCAAGAATTCCTGCACTCTTGGCTGGAAGAAACCAATTAGTGATGGTGGAAGCCATGTTGTTGCATATGCTTTAGAGATCTGTGAAGGGGAGGACAAATGGAAGTTGCTAATGAAGTCTAAGGTCACACAGTACACAATTGGTGATCTAGTAGAAGGAAAGGAGTACAGCTTCAGGGTCAAGGCCATTAATGAATCAGCTGAAGGACCCCCGACTGAGCTCACTATCTTGGCTAAAGATCAAATAGGTATTCATATAGTCTCCCGCAGATGTTTTCAAAATGCTTTTCATTTTCTGATTCACTTACATTTTTATCATCACTTTAACATGTCATTGTAAGCAATTCTATATTCAATGATTACATTTATATAACATGATATTAAGCATTCCATTCCAAGTTTCCATGAATTGTTTCTACAATAACTCTATGCTCTGTTTACCTTGATAATACCTGGTCTACCCAATAGTTGCATTTGTGTCCTAGTGGTTATACATCATATGGAAGTACAGTAAAAAGTCTATTTTTCTTATCTTTTTACAGTCCCTCCAAACTGTGACCTTAAAGGCTTGCCAGATTCTAGCTATGTGGCAAAAGAGGGGACCACTGTTCGTCTTAATATCCCTATTACTGGAATCCCAGCTCCAGCAGTCATATGGAAAAAGGGTGATGTTACTTTATCAGACAGTGGAAGAATCTCAGTTGAATCAACCACAACAAACACAGTCTTGCTGATTCGGGATTGCCATAGAGGAGATGCTGGCAAGTTTACTATCATTTTAAGAAATAGTGCTGGAACTAAAGAAGCAGCCATTGACATTAAAGTGGTTGGAAAGCCTGGAATCTGCTCTGGGCCAATCAAATTTGATGAAATCACAGCCGAAGCAATTACTGTAGAATGGGGTCCACCCAAAGATGATGGTGGATCAGAAGTTACCAACTACTTTTTGGAGAAAAGACATTCTACTGCTAACAAGTGGGTCACAGTTGCCTCTGCAATTCAGAAGAACTCTATGAGAGTTACCAGACTTCATGATGGAACAGAATACATCTTCAGAGTTTGTGCTGAAAATAAATATGGAATTGGAGAGTTTCTCAGATCTGATCCAGTGCTTGCTAAACATCCATTCAGTAAGTTTTTACTAGTAACTTGTATTTGTATTATTGCATTGTATTATATTAAATATACATTTATTTTATGAAATAAAACAGTCCAGGGGAATAAATATGCTGGAAAAAAAATAAATCTTGGATTGAAATAAATATGCTAAAAATATGGTTAAAAGTACTTCTTTACATTTTTTCACATTAAATCTGCTCTTTTCTCCATTACAAGATGCACCGGGGGCTCCAGCACCACCTGTAGTTGTGAGCATACGTCACGAGTGTGCTATGTTAACATGGTCTGATCCAAATGATACTGGAGGCTCACCCATCACAGGTTAAACATTTCTACCACCATTAATTATAATGATTGTTTCTGTTGGATCACATCAAAAATATATATATTTTTTATCTGTTAAAAAATGCTCACAGGATATTACGTGGAATTCAAAGATAGAAATAGCTTGATGTGGAAAAGAGCCAGCAAAACCCAGTTGAGAGTGAAGGAATGCAGAGTGACTGGCTTGGTTGAAGGCCTTGAATATGAATTTAGGGTCATAGCTATAAATGTGGCTGGACTTGGAAAACCAAGCCGAACAACTGAATCACTTGTTGCTCTTGATCCAATTGGTGAGTCTAAATGTACTTTTTGTCATTTTGATATATATATTATATATATATATATATATATATATATATATATATATATATATATATATATATATATATATATATATATATATATATATATGTATGTGTGTGTGTGTATATATACATACATATACAAGAAGGAGATAACGATTTTAGAGATAACAAATCATTATTGTTATTATTATTTTGTAGATCCACCTGGCAAACCTGATGTGATCAATGTCACAAGGAACAGTGTGACACTTATGTGGACTGCACCAAAGTATGACGGTGGCCACAAACTTACTGGCTACATGGTAGAGAAATTAGAGCACCCTGGAAAGACATGGATGAAGGCCAACCATGTGAATGTCCAAAGCTGTGCCTACACTGTTACAGATCTACAGGAGGGATGCACTTGTGAATTCAGAATCAGGGCTAAAAATGCAGCTGGAGCTATCAGTGCTCCCTCAGAGACAACTGAGCCTCTTGTTTGCAAAGATGAATATGGTAAGCTTTAAAGCTTTGGTGTCAAGTTTTTGTGAACTTTTTTGTTTTTGGCAAACATTGTCAAGGTTTATATCGCAACCTTTTTTTCTACAGAACCACCAACAATCACAATTGACCCAGAAATGAAGGATGGAGTGACTGTGAAAGCTGGTGGAACAATTGTCATCACAGCATCTAGTATTCTAGGAAAACCTCCTCCCACTGCTGTGTGGTCTAAGGCTGGAAGAGAATTCAAGTCCTCAGATATTGTCCAAATTAGTAGCACTCCGACATCTTCAACTTTGTCGATCAAATATGCCAGCCGAAAGAATACTGGAGAGTACACAATTACAGCAAGCAATCCATTTGGTATCAAAGACGAAAAAGTTAAAGTGAAAGTTCTGGATGTTCCAGGACCTCCAGGTCCTATTGAAGCCAGCAGTGTCTCAGCTGAAAAATGCACATTGACATGGTTGCCACCTGAAGAAGATGGTGGTTGCAGTATAAAATCATATATCTTAGAAAAGAGAGAAACCAGCCGCCTTCTCTGGACAAAGCTTGCTGAAAATGTTATGGATTGCCGCTATGTTGCCAGCAAGCTGATAAAGGGAAATGAATACATATTCCGTGTTTCAGCTGTCAATCAGTATGGCACTGGCGATGTGACACAGTCTGGACCAGTCAAAATGGTTGATAGCTTTGGTGAGGTTATCTTTATATTTTATTATATTAATTTACTTTCAAGCAGTTTTTATTGTGAAATCTAACACACAAATGTGAAAATATATTATTATTATTATTATTTCTAACTTTTTAACATTCTTTGCAGGACCCCCAGGGCCGCCATCAAAACCAGAAATTGATAATGTCAGCAAAAATGCTGTAACAATTTCCTGGAAAAGACCAACTGTAGATGGAGGAAGTGACATTAGAGGCTATATTGTTGAGAGAAAAGAGAGAAGAGGAATGAGATGGGTCAGAGCTTCAAAGAAGACTGTTTCTGATCTACGTTTTAAGGTCTCAGGCTTGTCAGAGGAAATTGAATATGAATTCAGAGTGACTGCAGAGAATAAAGCTGGTTTTGGTGAACCCAGTGAGCCATCACAACCTGTAATGACAAAGGATATTGCATGTAAGATGATCATTGCCAACATTTCCAGATAGTAATTCACACACATTTTTGTTTGAAAATTTTTAGCTACTCATTATTTTCTGTTACATTTTATATTTAGATAACAGTATTATTTGATTGTTTTTCAGATCCACCAGGGCCTCCATCAAACCCACGGATTACTGACACCACTAAAACAACAGCAACATTTAACTGGGGTAGACCCTTTTATGATGGTGGACTTGATGTGACAGGATACATTGTTGAGCATAAAAAGGAAGGTGATGATGACTGGGTTCAAGACACAACTATTCCCTTGAGAATAACAGAATTTGTGGTATCAAATCTACAGTCAGGAGGAAAATATCACTTCAGAGTCAGTGCGCTTAATTCTGAAGGGCTTGGTGAACCATCTGAAGTAGAGCAAGTTGTTGAACTGGTGGATCGAGAGGAGGTTCCTGACTTTGAGCTTGATGCAGAGCTGAGAAAAACACTTGTTGTGAAGTCGGGTGCTTCAATCCGTATATTTGTGCCAATTAAGGGCCGGCCAGCTCCTGAAGTAGTATGGTATAAGGAAAATGTACCTCTTAAAGGGCGTGCTCACATTGATACTACGGAATCATACACTTTAGTAGTCATCCCGGAATGTACACGATATGATGCAGGTAAATATGTCTTAACATTAGAAAATGTTGCTGGAAAGAAGACAGGATTTGTCAATGTCCGTGTTGTGGACACCCCAGGACCTCCAGTAAATTTAAAACCAAGAGAAATCACAAAGCATAGCATTACTCTCCAGTGGGAAATTCCTCTTATTGATGGTGGCTCAAAGATAAAAAATTATATTATTGAGAAGCGTGAGGCAACGCGAAAAGCCTACTCAGTTATCACAACAAACTGGCAGAAATGCTCATACAAGATTCCAGACTTAGAAGAGGCTGCTGAATATTACTTTAGAGTTTCAGCTGAAAATGAAATGGGCATCGGTGAACCAGCAGAGACACCTGATCCAATAAGAGCTTCCCAGGCTCCTTCTGCACCAGATGATCTTATTGTCACTGATGTTTCCAAGGACACTGCAACTCTTGCATGGACAAAACCTAAACATGATGGTGGTAGTCGAATCACTGGGTATGTAATTGAGGCTCAACTGAAAGACTCTGATCAATGGGCCCATGTGACAACAATAAAAGCTTTGGACTACATTGCAACAGAATTGGTGGAAAATGCAGAATATGTGTTCCGCATATTTGCTGTAAATAGCTCAGGCAGAAGTGAACCTCGAGAAAGTCGACCAGTTGTAATAAAGGAGCAAACCACAGCTCCAGAATTTGACCTCAGAAGTATATATCAAAAGACAGTGGTAGCTAAAGCAGGTGATAATCTTAAAGTTGAGATCCCTGTTCTTGGTCGTCCTAGACCACTTGTTGTATGGAAGAAAGAAGATCAGGAACTGAAGCAAACTCAGAGGATAAACATTGAAAATACTGCAAGTTCTACAATTCTTAACATTAATGAAATTAAGAGAAAAGATGGTGGACAGTATTCTATGACAGGAAAGAATATCTTAGGAACTGTGACTGAAAACATTACTGTTCAAGTACATGATATCCCAGGACCTCCAACTGGACCAATTAAGCTGGATGAAGTTTCTTGTGACTATGTTCTCATATCATGGGAAGCTCCTGAAAATGATGGAGGAGTACCTATTAATAACTACATTGTTGAGATGCGTGAGACCACGGGTACTTCCTGGATGGAACTGGCAGCTACTGTTATCCGTACAACATTCAAAGCTGCTCGTCTTACAACTGGTATCGAATATCAATTCCGAGTTAAAGCTCAAAACAGATATGGTGTTGGTCCCTACATAACATCAGGACCAGTGGTGGCTGCTTATCCATTTGATGTTCCAGGACAGCCTGGAATTCCACAGATAGTTGCCTTTACCAAGGATGCAATGACAATCAGCTGGAATGAACCCTCTTCAGATGGAGGAAGCCCAATTTTAGGATACCACATTGAGAGGAAAGAGAAGAACAGCATACTCTGGCAGAGGATAAGCAAAGCTGTGGTTGTTGGCAATATGTTTAAATCATCAGGTCTAATGGATGGTATAGCATATGAATTCCGTGTTATTGCAGAAAATTTGGCTGGTCTCAGCAAAGCAAGCAAGCCATCTGAGATGACATATGCACTTGATCCTGTAGACCCTCCAAGTCAACCAGTAGCACTTAACATAACTAGACATGAAGTTACACTTCAGTGGACAAAACCAGAAGGTGATGGTGGTTTCTCTATAACCGGATATACAGTTGAAAAAAGAGAACTACCTAATGGTCGTTGGCTCAAGGCCAACTTCAGCAACATTCTTGAAACAAATTTTACTGTGAGTGGTCTCACAGAAGATGTTTCTTATGAATTCCGTGTGTTAGCAAGAAACTCAGCTGGAGCTGTCAGCAAACCATCTAAACCTTCAGAAGTTATTGTGTGCAGAGATGACATTGAAGAACCAAAGATTGATGCAGATGCAAGTTTCAGTAGTGTTGTGGTTGTGAAAGCAGGAGATATCTTTAAGCTAGATGCACATGTTACAGGCCGACCAATACCTTCCATAGTTTGGACAAAAGATGGCAAGGAACTCGAGGACACTGCAAAAATGGAGATCAAAACATTAGATTTCTACAGTTGTTTGATCAACAAAGATTCTTTGCGTAGAGATGGTGGTGCATACACTCTAACTGCTAGCAATCCTGGAGGATTTGCTAAATTTGTCTTCAATGTTAAAGTTCTTGACAGACCTGGTCCTCCTGAGGGCCCATTGCATGTCACAGACATGACAGTAGAGAAATGCGTTCTGTCATGGCTACCACCACTTCATGATGGAGGAGGAAAGATTGAATATTACATCATTCAAAGACGTGAAACAAGTAGACTTACATGGACAAATGTAGCTACAGATTTACAAGTAAACCGCTATAAAGTTACCAAATTGCTGAAGGGAAATGAATATATCTTCAGAGTCATGGCTGTGAACAAGTATGGAGTGGGAGAACCTCTTGAATCTGAACCTGCTGTTGCTACTAATCCGTATGTGCCATCTGATCCTCCACAGGCACCAGAAGTAACTGCTATCACAAAGGATTCAATGGTGGTATGTTGGGGACATCCTGAGTACAATGGTGGAAGTAGCATTAATACCTACATCATTGAGAGGAGAGATAAAACTGGTCTTCGTTGGGTAAAATGCAACAAAAGGACTGTTACTGATCTGCGCTTCAAAGTGTCAGGATTAACACCTGGACATGAGTATGAATACAGAATCCTAGCTGAAAATGCTGCTGGCTTAAGTGCTCCAAGCCCTTCAAGTCCATTCTACAAAGCCTGTGACACGATATTCCAACCTGGACCACCTGGAAACCCCAGGGTTTTGGATACAACTAAATCATCTATTACTATTGCTTGGAATAAACCAGTTTATGATGGTGGCTCAGATATTACAGGCTATATTGTTGAGACATGCCTCCCAGAGGAAGATGAATGGACAATTGTTACCCCAATGGCGGGACTGACAGCAACATCATTCACCATAACCAACCTTACTGAAAACCAGGAATATAAGATAAACATTTCAGCACTTAACTGTGAAGGTGTTGGAGAGCCAGCTTCTGTGCCTGGTTCGCCTAAAGCAGAGGACAGACTCCTTCCACCTGAAATTGAGCTTGACTCAGACCTTCGCAAAGTTGTGAACATCAGAGCATGCAGTACCTTAAGATTATTTGTACCAGTTAAAGGAAGACCTGCGCCAGAAATCAGATGGTCAAGGGAGAAAGGAGAACCCCTTGATAGAGCATCCATTGAAATTACACCTTCTTTTACCACACTGCTCATTGAAAATGTAGATAGATTTGATGGTGGAAAATATATGTTAACAGTGGAAAACAGTTCAGGAACAAAAACAGCATTTATCAATGTCCGAGTTCTTGACACTCCTGGTGCACCACAAAACCTTACCATCAAAGAAATCACAAAAGATTCTGTTTCACTCATCTGGGACCCTCCAGTCATTGATGGTGGATCAAGAATCAGGCATTACATTGTGGAAAAACGTGAATCTACAAGAAAAGCATATTCCATTGTCAATGCCTCTTGTCCTAAAACAAGTTGGAGAATTGGAGATTTACAAGAAGGAAATTTGTATTTCTTCAGAATTTTGGCAGAAAATGAGTATGGTGTAGGTCTTCCAGTAGAGACAATGGAAGCTATAAAAATCTCTGAGAGACCTCTTCCTCCAGGAAAAGTTACTCTAAAAGAAGTAACTAGCAACAGTGTTACACTTTCTTGGGAGAAGCCAGACCATGATGGAGGAAGCAGAATTACCGGTTATATTGTTGAAATGCAAGGAAAAAACAGTGACAAATGGACCCAGGTAATGACTGTTAAAGTAACAGAAGCAGTTGTTGTTGGCCTTACACAAGGTGAAGAATACTCCTTCCGCATTTCTGCAACCAATGAAAAAGGAATAAGTGATCCGCGTCCACTTAGCGTCCCTGTCATTGCTAAGGATGTTGTTATTGCCCCTGCCTTCAAACTGTTATTTAGCACATTCAGTGTTCTGGCAGGTGATGATCTGAAAATTGACGTGCCTTATGTTGCTCAGCCCAAGGCAGCAGTTGTTTGGCAAAAAGATGGCATTTCTTTGAAGGAGACAACAAGAGTAAATACTGAAGTAGCAGAGAGACATCTTTACCTTTTATTAAAGGAGGCAACAAGGGATGATGTGGGTAAATATACTATTAAAATTACAAACTCAGCTGGTGAAGCAACAGCAGACATCAATGTTATTGTACTTGATAAACCTGGACCACCAACTGGCCCAATCAAAATAGAGGAGGTAACTGCAGACAGTGTTACATTGTCATGGCAGCCTCCAGAGTATGAAGGAGGATGCAGCATTAATAACTACATTGTTGAAAAGCGAGACACATCCACCACAAATTGGCAGATTGTTTCTGCAACAGTGGCAAGAACAACAACTAAAGCGGCAAGACTCAAGACTGGCTGTGAGTATCAATTTAGGATTGCTGCGGAAAACAGATATGGAAAGAGTTCAGTTATTGTGTCTGAGCATGTTGTGGCGCAGTATCCCTTTGAAATTCCACATCCACCCGGAATTCCAGCTGTTCAGTCTGCTACTAAAGAAAGCATGGTTGTTGTATGGAACAAACCCAGCAGTGATGGTGGAAGCAAGATTTTGGGATATCACATTGAAAGTAAAGAAAAAAACAGCTTGCTGTGGGTGAAACAAAACAAAACAATCATTCCAGACACACGATTCAAGATAGGTGGTCTTGAAGAAGGCATTGAATATGAATTTAGAGTGTATGCTGAGAATATAGTTGGTCTAAGCAAAGCAAGCAAAGTGTCTGAAATTCAAGTGGCTAGAGATCCATGTGATCCTCCAGGCAAACCTGAAGCAGTTATCGTGAAAAGAAGCTCTGTAACACTCAGGTGGACACCCCCACAGTTTGATGGTGGAATCAAAATTACTGGATATGTTGTTGAAAAGAAAGAACTGCCTAATGGTCGATGGATGAAAGCCTCTTTTGCTAACATTATTGAGACTGAATTTGTTGTCAGTGGGTTGGTAGAGGAGCAACAATATGAGTTCCGTGTCATTGCAAGAAATGCTGCAGGTGTCTCTAGTGTTCCATCAGACAGCACTGGTGCAATAACAGCAAAGGATGAAGTTGATCCACCCCAAATTGACTTGGATGCCAAATACTCTCAAAATGTTGTTGTTAATGCTGGTGAATCATTCAGAATTGATGCAGGGATACTTGGCAAACCTATTCCTTCAGTGCACTGGATAAAATCTGGCGAAGAACTTACAAATACTGCAAGGCTTGAAATCAAGAATACTGACTTCACGACAACTTTAAGTGTCAAGGAGGCTATCCGTGTTGATGGAGGCCAGTATACATTATTACTGAAAAATGTTGGTGGAGAGAAATCAGTAATCATCAATGTCAAGGTTCTGGACAGGCCTGGGCCTCCAGATGGTCCAATTTCAATCTATGGAGTTACAAGTGAAAAGTGTTGCATTTCCTGGAAAACTCCATTGCATGATGGAGGTGCAGAGGTGTCTCATTACATTGTGGAAAGAAGAGAAACCAGTCGATTGGTTTGGACTGTTGTAGAATTAAAGGTACAAACCCTTAATCTCAAAATTACAAAACTTCTTCCTGGAAATGAGTATATTTTTAGAGTAATACCTGTGAACAAATATGGAATTGGTGAGCCTTTGGAATCTGATCCAGTGATTGCAGCAAATCCGTTTGTCACACCTGAAGCACCAAGTAATGTTGAAGTGTCAAACATAACAAAGGATTCCATGGTTATCACATGGGAAAGACCCACTAATGATGGTGGCAGTGCAATTACGGGATATATTGTTGAAAAAAGAGACAAAGAAGGTGTTAGGTGGACAAGGTGCAACAAACGTGTAGTGAGTGAACTACGATTTAGAGTAACAGGACTTCTTGAAATGAGAAGTTATGAATTCCGTGTGTCTGCTGAAAACGCAGCTGGAGTTGGTAAGCCAAGTCCACCCACAGTGTACTTCAAAGCAGCGGATCCAGTCTTTAAGCCTGGCCCACCCAACAACCCTAAAGTAGCTTATGTGTCAAGAGCATCTGTTGTACTGCATTGGAGCAAGCCAATTTACGATGGTGGCTGTGAGATTCAAAGTTATATTGTTGAGGCATGTGAAGTCACTTCAGATGAATGGGTGATGTGTACACCACCATCAGGAATAACTGAAACAAGATTTGAAGCTAAAAAACTGCTTGAAAAGCATGAGTACAAATTCCGAATTTGTGCTGTTAATAAGATTGGCGTCGGAGAAACTGCTGATATCCCAGGATCTGTTATCATTGAGGATAAACTTGAGGCACCAGATATTGATCTTGATGCTGACCTGAGAAAGATGATCACTGTCAGAGCTGGAGGTTCTCTTAGATTGTTTGTTCCTATCCGGGGACGACCAACTCCTGAAGTCAAATGGGGAAAAACTGAAGGTGAAATCAATGAGGCAGCACAGATTGATATTACAAGCAGTTTTACCTCACTTGTAATTGAAAATGTTAACAGGTTTGACAGTGGAAAATACACTTTGACCCTGGAAAATGCTAGTGGAACAAAATCTGCATTTATTAGCGTCAGAGTATTAGATACTCCTGATATGCCTGCGAACTTCCGTGTGAAGGAAATAACAAAGAACTCGGTTACTCTTACCTGGGAGCCTCCTTTGCTGGATGGTGGTGCTAAAATAAAAAGCTACATTGTTGAAAAACGAGAGAGTACACGAAAGGTATATTCTGCTGTTACTACTTGCAACAAGATGACATGGAAAATTGAACCACTTGAAGAGGGAAGTATCTACTTCTTCAGAGTTCTTGCTGAAAATGAGCATGGCATTGGATTGCCCGCAGAGACTCCAGAACCACTGAAAATTTCAGAGGTGCCACAACCCCCTGGCAAAGTTTCTGTAGTGGATGTAACACGGAAGAGTGTTTCTCTAAAATGGGAAAAGCCAGAGCATGATGGAGGCAGCAGAATCACTTATTATGAAGTTGAAATGCAAGCAAAGGATCAAGATAAATGGTCTCTTTGTGCTCAAGTAAAAGCCCTTGATACTGTTGTAACTAATTTAGCACAGGGTGGGGAGTACATCTTCAGAGTCATTGCTGTCAATGACAAAGGAAAGAGTGATCCCAGACTTCTGGCAAGTCCTGTTGTTGCAAAGGACCTCGCTATTGAGCCCACAGTAAGAACAAAACTAAGTACATACAGTGTACAGGTTGGATATGATTTGAAAATTGAAGCACGAATTTCTGGTCATCCAAAACCAACTATTACATGGAACAAAGATGGTTCAGCTTTGAAACAGACCACAAGAGTAAATGTTGCTGACACTGCACATCATACCACTCTTACCATAAAAGATGCAACAAGAGAAGATGGTGGTATGTATAACATTGTTGTGGCTAATGTACTTGGACAACAAGAAGCTACTGTTGAAATAATCATCCTGGAAAAACCTGGCCCACCAACAGGCCCAGTAAGAATTGATGAAGTAAGTGCAGAGAGTATTACATTGTCTTGGGATCCACCAACATACACTGGAGGCTGCCAGATTTCAAATTATATTGTTCAAAAGAGAGACACAACCACCACAAACTGGGTAGTTGTTTCTGCCACAGTAGCAAGAACTACACTCAAAGTTGGTAATTTAAAAACTGGAGCTGAATACCAGTTTAGAATCTTTGCTGAAAATAGATATGGTAAAAGCTATGGCATTGACTCTGATCCAGTTCTTGCCCAGTATCCTTTCAAAGAGCCCGGGCCTCCAGGAACTCCATTTGTGTCTGCTTTCAATAAAGAGTCTATGGTTGTTGAATGGCACAAACCAGTCTCAGATGGTGGAAGTGCTATTCTCGGATATCATCTTGAGAGAAAAGAGAAAAATAGCATTCTTTGGACAAAGATTAACAAAATACTCATTCAAGACACACGATATAAAACATCTCCATTGGAAGAGGGCATTGAATATGAGTTTAGGGTATATGCTGAAAACATAGTTGGAATTGGAAAATGCAGCAAAACCTCTGAGGGTTGCATTGCACGTGATCCCTGTGACCCACCAGGTACCCCTGTGCCAGTCATTGTGACAAGACACTCAGTGAAACTTAGATGGACACCACCAGAATATGATGGAGGCAGCCTTGTAACTGGATATGTTGTAGAGAAACGAGACCTGCCAGAGGGCCGTTGGATGAAAGCCAGTTTTGCAAACATTCTTGAAACTGAATTTACAGTCACAGGTCTTATAGAAGACTGCAAATATGATTTCAGAGTAATAGCAAGAAATGGAGCTGGATCGGTCAGTAGACCCTCTGAGAGCACAGGCTCAGTTACAGCTAAGGATGAAGTTGAACCACCAACCTATGAGGTTGCTTCAGAGTATAGTCAGATTTTGACAGTGAATGCTGGAGACACATTTTCCCTTGAAGCATCTGTGCTGGGAAAGCCAATTCCAGCAATGCAGTGGTTTAAGGGTGACGTGGAGGTTGAAAACTCAGCAAGAGCTGAGATCAAGAACACTGACTTTAAAGCAGTTCTTGTTGTCAAAGATGCCATTCGAATTGATGGAGGACAATACACATTGCACCTTTCCAATGTGGCTGGATCAAAATCTGTTTCCTTCAATGTGAGAGTGCTTGATAGACCTGGACCTCCAGAAGGTCCATTGACTGTTTCTGGTGTGACAAATGAAAAATGTTCATTGTCATGGCTGCCTCCCAGACATGATGGTGGCAGTAGCATTTCTTATTATGTTATACAAAAGAGAGAAACAAGTCGTCTTGCTTGGACTGTAGTTTCAGGTGATTGTGGAGCAACCATGTTCAAAGTTACAAAGCTTCTAAAAGGAAATGAATATATATTCCGTGTCATGGCTGTCAACAAATATGGAGTTGGTGAACCACTTGAATCTAGAGCAGTGATTATGAGAAATCCTTTTGTTGCACCTGGCCCACCTCAAGATCTAGAAATAACAAATATTTCAAGAGACTCTATGACTGTATGCTGGACTCGTCCTGAGAGTGATGGCGGAAATGAGATTGTTGGTTACATTGTAGAGAAAAGAGACAGAGCTGGAATTCGATGGACAAAATGTAACAAACGCAGAGTCACAGACCTACGTTTCAGAGTCACAGGTTTGACAGAGGATCATGAATATGAATTCAGGTTATCAGCAGAAAATGCTGCTGGAGTTGGACAACCAAGTCAACCAACAGTTTATTACAAAGCCTGCGATCCAACATTCAAGCCTGGCCAGCCAACTAATGCACACCTTGTTGACACTACAAAGAATTCAGTCACAGTTGCATGGAGTAGGCCAATATATGATGGTGGCTTAGATATTCAAGGCTACGTTGTTGAGATATCTAAAGCTGATGAAGAAGAATGGATCACATGTACTCCACCAACTGGATTAAATGATACTAAATTTTCGATAACTAAACTCACTGAACACCAAGAATACAAAGTCCGCATATGTGCCTTAAATAAACTAGGTGTTGGTGAGCCAGTGCCCATCCAAGGCAGTGTCAAACCAGTGGATAAAATGGATGCACCTGAAATTGAACTTGACTCTGAGTTAAGGAAAGGCATTGTTGTGCATGCTGGAGGATCTATGAGAATCAACATACCATTCAAAGGACGGCCTATTCCTGAGATAAACTGGACCAAGGATGACGGAGATTTACCAGATAAAGCCCAAATAGACAAGGGACCAGATTTCACCCATCTGACAATTAATATATGCGACCGAAATGATGCTGGAAAATATACATTGACTTTGCAAAATAGTGCTGGCACCAAATCAGCATTTGTCTCAGTAAAAGTACTTGACACACCAGGTGCTCCACAGAACCTTTTTGTAAAGGATATAACAAGAAACTATGTTACACTTGTTTGGGAACCTCCACTTATTGATGGTGGTTCAAAAATCAAAAATTACATTATTGACAAGAGGGAATCAACTAGACAAGGATTTACAAACATTACTACTAAGTGCTCGAAGACCAGCTTCCGTGTTGGTGATCTGACAGAGGGTGGTATTTATTACTTCAGAGTCATGGCAGAAAATGAATTTGGAATTGGCCTGCCTGTAGAAACAGAAGAATCTGTTAAGACAGCAGACCCCCCTTTATCAGTTGGCAAGGTCACTTTGACTGATGTCACAAAAACCACAGCATCACTATCCTGGGATAAACCAGATCATGATGGTGGCAGCAGAATATTGGGTTATTACATTGAAATGCAGCCAAAAGGATCAGAGGAATGGATTGTTGCCACAGTCTGCAAAACATGTGAGGGTACAGTGGCTGGACTTAGTTCAGGACAAGAATATCTCTTAAGAGTTTTAGCTTACAATGAGAAGGGAAAAAGTGATCCCAGGCCATTAGCTTCTCCTGTCATTGCCAAAGATGTTACTATTGAACCAAGCTTCAAACTAACTTTCAACACATACAGTGTTCAATCTGGCGAAGATCTCAAAGTGGAAATACCATTTAAAGGGCGTCCAACTCCAAAGATTGGATGGATGAAAGATGGACAAGCACTTAAAGAGACAACCAGATTAAATGTCTCAAGCACTGCAACGTCAACGGTTCTTAAAATTAAAGAAGCAAATAGAGAGGACTCTGGCAAGTACACAATCACAGCTACAAACAATATAGGTACAGTCACAGAAGAGGTTGCCATAATCATTCTTGATAAACCAGGTCCACCAACTGGACCAGTCAAAATCGATGAAGTAAGTGCCACCTATGTTGTCATTTCCTGGGAGCCACCAGTTTACACAGGAGGTTGTCAGATAAACAACTATGTAGTGGAAAAACGTGATACAACCACGACTAACTGGCAGACCGTTTCTGCAACAATTGCTCGAACCACAATCAAAATCTCAAAGCTGAAGACTGGTTCTGAATATCAGTTTAGAGTGTTTGCTGAGAACAGATATGGAAAGAGCGGATCAATAGATTCAACGCCAGTTGTGGTCAGTTATCCTTTCACTGAGCCTGCAGCTCCTGGTGCACCATTTGTTTCATCAGTCACAAAAGACCACATGACAATTGAATGGAAACCCCCCAGCAATAATGGAGGCAGCCCTATTATTGGATATCACCTGGAGCGTAAAGAAAAGAACAGCATCTTATGGACCAAACTTAACAAACTTCTTATCACTGACACTCGATTGAGAACAAATGGTCTGGAGGAGGGAATTGAATATGAATATAGGGTTTTTGCTGAAAATATTGCAGGAATCAGTCCATCAAGCAAAGTGTCAGAAAGTGTTGTTGCACGTGACCCATGTGATCCACCTGGAACTCCTGAAGCTATTGTTATCACAAGAAACCTCATAACTCTTCAATGGACTAAACCACAGTATGATGGTGGCAGTGTAATTACAGGATACATAATTGAAAGGAAGAAGTTGCCTGATGGTCGTTGGATGAAGGCCAGTTTTACAAATATTATAGACACACAATTTACAATAACTGGATTACATGAAGAACAAAGATATGAATTCAGGGTAATAGCCAGAAATGCAGCTGGTATTTTAAGTGTTCCATCTGAAAGTACTGGACCAATTACTGCTCAGGATGAGATTGAAGCTCCATCTGTCTCCATGGATTCAAGATTTAAAGATGTTATTATTGTAAAGGCTGGTGACTCCTTTAGTATTGACTCTGACATTGCTGGCAAACCTCTACCTGATATTGTGTGGCTTAAGGATGGAAAGGAAATTGATAGTGCTACACCCAGAATGGAGATTAAATCCACCATTACCCGAACAGTTTTGACTGTTAAAGACTGCATCAGAGTAGATGGTGGTCATTTTGTCTTAAGTCTCAGTAACGTTGGTGGAACAAAGCAGGTACCCATTAATGTCAAGGTTCTTGATAGACCTGGTCCGCCTGATGGCCCTCTAAAAGTAACTGGTGTCGCTGCAGAAAAATGTTATTTGCACTGGAGCCACCCTTCACATGATGGTGGAGCTAGTATTTCACATTACATTATTGAAAAAAGAGAAACTAGCAGGCTGTCTTGGACAGTAGTGGAACCTAAAATTCAAGCAATCAGTTACAAAGTTACTAAACTCCTACCTGGTAATGAGTATATTTTCAGAGTAATGGCAGTGAACAAGTATGGTATTGGTGAACCACTTGAATCTGAACCCGTTCTTGCAAAAAATCCTTTTAATAAACCGGGACCCCCTTCAACTCCAGAAGCAAGTGCAATCACCAGAGACTCCATAGTCCTCACATGGGAACGACCAGAGGATGATGGTGGATCACAAATTGATGGCTTTGTTCTTGAAAAACGTGATAAAGAGGGTATTCGATGGACAAAGTGTAACAAGAAAAGACTAAATGACCTGAGATTCAGAGCCACTGGGCTTACAGAGGGACACTTCTATGAATTCAGAGTATCTGCTGAAAATGCTGCTGGTGTGGGCACACCAAGTGAACCATCTGAATATTACAAAGCTTGTGATGCAACCTATCCTCCTGGTCCTCCTAATAATCCTAAAGTGACAGATCATTCCAGCACAACTGTTTCTTTGGCATGGAGTAGACCAATTTATGATGGTGGAGCACCTGTCTCAGGATACATTGTTGAGGCAAAGGACATTAACGAAGATGAATGGACTGTGTGTACACCTCCAACTGGTGTCCAAGCAACTCACTTCACCGTTAAAAAATTAAAGGAAAATGCAGAATACAACTTCCGTATTTGTGCAGTTAATATAGAGGGGGCTGGAGAACATGTTGATGTTCCAGGATCTGTAATTGCAGCTGAAAAACTTGAAGCTCCTGAAATAGAACTTGATGCAGATCTTAGAAAATGTGTTACTGTGCGTGCCAGTGCAACACTTCGGTTATTTGTCACAATAAGGGGTAGACCAGAGCCTGAGGTAAAGTGGAAAAAGGCAGATGGCACCTTACCAGAGCGTGCTCAAATTGAGGTTACAGGCTCTTACACTGGGCTTGTTATTGACAATGTTAACCGGTTTGACACTGGCAAGTATGTTTTAACACTTGAAAACAATATTGGCTCAAAATCTGCATTTGTTAATGTCAAAGTTCTTGACTCTCCAAGTGCTCCAGTCAACTTTGAAGTTAAGGATGTAAAGAGAGATTCTGTCCAGCTACAATGGGAGCCTCCACAAATTGATGGTGGAGCCAAGATAACCCATTACATTGTAGAAAAGCGTGAATCCAAGAGACTAGCATTCACATCTATAACAAACAACTGTGTCAGAAATTCAATCAGGGTTGATGATCTCCAAGAAGGAGGTCTTTACCACTTCCGTGTATTGGCTGTCAATGAACTTGGTGTTGGTTTGCCTGCAGAGACTACAGAGGCTGTCAAAATTTCCCAAGCACCCTTACCACCTGGTAAAATTACAGTTATTGATGTAACTCGACACACTGTTACTTTGTCATGGGAAAAGCCAGATCATGATGGTGGCAGCAAAATCACAGGCTATATGGTGGAAATGATGACTAAGGGATCAGATAAATGGACTGCATGTGTCACAATAAAGGCACTGGAAGCCACAATTGAAGGACTTACAACAGGAGAGGAATACAGCTTCAGAATTACAGCAATTAATGACAAAGGAAAGAGCGATCCTAAACCACTGGGAGCACCTGTTGTGGCAAGAGATATTACTATTGAACCCATTATTGATTTGATGTTCAATACCTACAGTGTAAAAGCTGGAGATGATCTCAAAATAGATGTTCCGTTCAGAGGCAGACCTTCTCCAGAGGTTACATGGAAGAAGGATGGTCACTCGCTAAAGCAAACAACCAGAGTTAATGTTTTGACATCAAAGACATTATCCAAGATCACCATCAAGGATGCTACACGAGAAGATGCTGGAAAATATGAAATTACTTTAACCAATACATTTGGGGTCAAGTCTGCAGAAATATCGGTCATCGTTCTTGATAAACCAGGCCCACCAGGTGCAATCAAGGTAGAGGAAATAAGCGCTGATTTTATTTCACTTTCATGGGACCCTCCGATATATGATGGTGGCTGTCAAATTAATAATTATGTAGTTGAAAAAAGAGATACGACTACTACAGCATGGCAAATTGTTTCAGCAACAGTTGCAAGAACATCAATCAAAGTATCTCGTTTGACACAAGGAACAGAATATCAGTTCCGTATTGCAGCAGAGAATCGTTATGGTAAAAGCCATGCTATTGACTCAGCCCCAATTGTAGCACAATACCCCTTTACACCTCCAGGCCCTCCAACCAGTCTTCAGGTTTCTCATGCCACTAAATCAGGAATGTTAGTTACATGGAACAGACCAGCAAGTGATGGTGGGAGTCCTATTGTTGGATATCACATAGAGTGCAAAGATCAGAGCAGCATTCTTTGGACAAAGATGAACAGAGGACTTATAACAGAAACTCAGTTCAAAGTAACTGGCTTGGAAGAAGGCCTACAGTATCAGTATAGAGTATATGCAGAAAATATAGCTGGCATTGGACCATGCACAAAGGCATGTGATCCTGTTTCTGCCCGAGATCCATGTGCACCACCCAGTCAGCCACGCGTTATGAACATCACAAGAACATCTGTTTCTCTTTCTTGGACAAAACCGGAGTTTGACGGTGGAGCTAAGGTTACTGGCTATATTGTTGAGCGTAGTGAACTTCCAGATGGACGTTGGTTAAAGTGTAATTTCACCAATCTTCAAGAAACATATTTTGATGTGACTGGTCTGATTGAAGATCAAAGATATGATTTCCGAATCATTGCTAAAAATGCAGCTGGCTTATTCAGTGAACCATCAGAAAGCACTGGACCTGTAACAGTAAAAGATGATGTTGATCCACCACGCATAACAATTGAGGACAAGCTAAGACAACTTGTTGTAATAAAAGCTGGTGAAATACTGAGAATTGATGCTGAAATATCAGGACGTCCAATTCCTGTGATTTCATGGGCAAAGGATGGAAAAGAAATTGAAGCCAAGGCCAGATTTGAGATTTCTTCAACACTTACTAGTACAACGCTAATTGTGAGAGATGCCATTAGACGTGATTCAGGACAGTATGTTCTAACGTTACAGAATGTTGCAGGCACCAGATCTTTGGCAGTAAATTGTAAGGTCCTGGACAGGCCTGGTCCATCATCTGGACCATTGGATATAACTGGTTTGACTGCAGAAAAATGTACATTGACCTGGGGACCACCTCAGGAAAATGGAGGCGCTGAAATTCAACACTACATTGTTGAGAAACGTGAGACTAGCCGGCTTGCCTGGACTCTGGTCTATGCAGACATGAAGGCCACAACATGTAAAGTAACAAAATTGCTCAAAGGTAATGAGTATATATTTAGAGTTCGAGGAGTTAATAAGTATGGAACTGGTGAAGCTCTGGAGAGTGATCCAGCAAAGGCAATGGATCCGTTCACAGTCCCTGCTGCACCAACAGATGTTGAAGTCACAAGTGTTACAAGTGAAGCAATGACAATTTGCTGGGAAAGACCCATCTCTGATGGAGGCAGTAGTATTTCTGGTTATGTAATTGAGAAACGTGAGAAATCTGGTCTTCGTTGGGTACGTGTGAACAAAAAGCCTGTGTATGACCTAAGAGTAAAAGCTTCTAATCTCCGTGAAGGCTGTGAGTATGAATACAGAGTATTTGCTGAAAATGCTGCTGGTTTGAGTGCACCAAGTGTGCCTTGCCCACTGACAAAGGCAGAGGATCCATTGTTCCTGCCATCACCTCCAGCTAAACCTAAAATAATTGATTCTACTAAAACATCAGTAACACTGTCTTGGAACAAGCCATTATTTGATGGTGGTTCACCAGTAACTGGATACATGGTGGAATACAGAAATACCAATGATGATGATTGGACAGTTGGTGTCAATAACACCAAGAGCACAGAGTTCACTGTTGTGGGACTCACATCAGGAACAGAGTATGTCTTTGTAGTCAGATCAATTAACAAAATTGGCCCAAGTGAGCCAAGCCCTGAAACTGATCCACAGGTAGCAAAGGAAAGAGAAGATGAGCCAGTTTTCTTAATCAGTAATGAAATGAGGAAGACACTGGTTGTGAAAGACGGAAGCTCATTTACCCTTAGAGTCCCATTCAAAGGGAAGCCTGTCCCACATGTAATGTGGAACAAACCAGATGTTGATCTGAGAGTGAGGGCATCTATTGACACAACTGATACCTGCACATCGGTCACAATTGAGCAAGCTACAAGAGATGACTCTGGGAAATACACTGTAACTCTCCAAAATGTTGCTGGAACTGCTACACTGACGCTGAGTGTAAAGGTCCTTGATTCTCCAGGCCCACCAGCTCACATTGAAGTAAAAGAAGTCACCAAGAGTTCAGCAACTATTACATGGGATACTCCTGACAACGAAGGTGGTGCTCCAGTCAAAAACTACCTTGTTGATCTCCGCGAGGCAACTAAGATGGGCTGGAGCAGGATTTCAAACAGTTGTCCCAGATTGACTTATAAAGTGACTAATCTACAAGAGGGGGGTGTATATTATTTCAGAGTTACTGGTGAGAATGAGTATGGCGTAGGAGTGCCACTTGAGACCAAGGAAGGAACAAAGATTACAGGTAAAATTAAATAATTATATTAACTGAGCCTTTACTACAGCACAAATATCTGTTGATTTCCTCAAACCTTTAATGAATATTTTTTTCCTCATATGCTACTTTTACTTTTAGAAAAACCAAGCCCACCACCCAAGCTTGGGGTAACTGATGTCACAAAAGAAAGTGTCTCACTAGCATGGCTTAAACCAGAACATGATGGAGGAAGCAGAATAACAAACTACCTGGTTGAGGCCCTTGAAAAAGGACAACAAAAGTGGATAAAGTGTGGTTCCACCAAATCCACTCATTTCGTTGTTGATGGTTTGAGAGAAAATGCTGAATACTACTTCAGAGTTCGTGCTGAAAACCATGCTGGGCTAAGCGACCCCAAAGACATGGTTTTACCTGTGCTTGTTAAAGACCAGCTGGGCAAGTTATTTATTATGGATTGTTTTTTATTTTTGAACATATGTAATATTTAAATACCACTTGTTGAATTATTATCTAATGCTGTTGCTTTCTGTAATCAACAGAGGCGCCAGAAATTAATATGAAGGACTTCCAACACAATACTGCCTATGTTAAGGCAGGTTCAAATCTCAAGATTGAGATCCCCCTTACTGGTAAACCTTTACCAAAAGTTTCCCTGTCTAAAGATGGACAGGTTCTAAAGTCTACCATGAGATTCAACTTTGATGTGACAACTGACTCCCTTATAATTTATTTGCGTGAGAGTGTTGCTTCAGATGCAGGCAGATATGATATCACAGCCTCTAACTCTAATGGAACCACAAAATCTTTTGTGAATGTTGTGGTTCTTGATAGACCAGGTCCAGCGGTTGGGCCTGTTGAAATGTGTGATATCACAGAGGACAGTGTGAGTCTGAAGTGGTTGCCTCCTGCATATGATGGTGGAAGCCCAATCACCAACTACATTGTTCTCAAACGTGAGACCACTACTGCCAACTGGATAGAAGTTTCATCTGCTGTTGCAAGGTGCACAATCAAGATCATGAAGCTGAATACTGGCGTTGAGTACCAGTTCAGAATCAAGGCTGAGAATCGCTTTGGCATCAGTGAGCACATTGATTCACAAACTGTGACAGTCAGTCTTCCATACAGTGAGTAAAATATATATCTTCATATACAAACTGACAAGTACAAATTCATGGCTATTAAGCACTAATGAAAAACTACTCCATTTTGTTTCAGCACTTCCTGTGGCACCTTCACAACCATGGGTGTCAGCTGTAACAAAGGAAAGTATCGTTGTAAACTGGAAGGAGCCATCCTCAGATGGTGGAAGCCATGTCTTCGGATATCACCTTCAAATGAAAGACAGAAACAGTATTCTTTGGCAGAAAGTTAACACAACTGTTATTCGTGCTACACACTTTAAAGTAACAAATGTGAATGCTGGTTTGATCTACGAGTTCAAGGTTGCAGCTGAAAATGCTGCTGGTATTGGTCCAATTAGCAAGTCCTCAGATCCTGTGCTTGCAATCGATGCTTGTGGTAAGTATTTTTGCATATTAATTTGAATTAATATTGTTATATAATTAATTTTAGTTTATATATATATATATATATATATATATATATATATATATATATATATATATGTATATGTATAAAATACAAATTATTCTTAACCATTTTTTTTTTCTTTACAGAACCTCCCAACAGTGTTAGAGTCACTGATATCACAAAGAACTCTATTAGTCTAGCCTGGCAGAAACCTTCATATGATGGTGGAAGTAAAATTACTGGATATTTAATTGAAATGAAAGATGGTCCAAAAGGCAGATGGTCAAAAGCTAATTTGACAAATGTTACTGACACCAAGTTTACTGTATCAGGCTTGACTCAGAATGAATCTTATGAATTCCGAGTCATGGCTAAAAATGCAGTTGGTTCAGTCAGTAACCCATCTGAAATTGTTGGACCAGTCACATGTGTGGACACTTATGGTGCCCCTGAGGTTGATCTTCCTCAGGAATATCTCGATGTTGTGAAATACAAAGCTGGTGCTACGGTTCAGCTTAAAATTGGTATTGTTGCTAAACCTCAACCAACAATTGAATGGTACAAGGACGGAAAAGAACTTGAGTCTGGAGCACAGATTTCTATTTCCAACACCACTGAGTTTACATGCATTTCAGTCAGGGAAGCCACTCGTCTGAATACTGGAACATACGAACTCAAGATCAAGAACTCTTTAGGCTCTGCATATGCTGCGGTTAGAGTACTTGTTCAAGGTAAGTTTAAATTTTTACTGCTAAATAACTTTTCATAACTTGCATCATATTTATCATCACATCTAATAATAATTCTGTTTTTTGAATAACATGTTTTTAATTTAATTAAAAAGTGGATGTATAAAACATTTAATAAATTGTATGCCTCGATGCATCAACTTTAAAAGCCCTAATCTGAATTACTCTGACTTTTTGCTCACTTTTTCAGACAAACCTGGACCCCCTGCTGGAGAGATACAGTTTAAGAAAATCACAGCTGATACTATGACCATCATGTGGGATCCTCCAGCTGATGAAGGTGGCGCAATGGTCACCCACTACATTGTGGAGAAACGTGAGACAAGCAGAATTATGTGGTCCATAATCTCAGAAAAATTACAAGACTGCATTGTCACAGTCCCAAGGCTAATTAAGGGCAATGAATACATCTTCCGTGTTCGTGGCGTAAACAAACATGGAGTTGGTGATCCTTTGGAATCTAGACCAGTAATTGCACAGAATTCCTTTGGTAAGAAGTTTTTTTTTTACTGTTTATTTATTTATTTATTATTACATTTGTTATCTATTGTGATTTAATGTATTTTTTTTTTCTTTTCACAGTTCATCCTAGTCAGCCTTCTAAACCTCAAGTCACCATGATTACAAGGTCAACAATGACTGTGGTGTGGGAAAGACCAAGTTTGGATGGTGGCAGTGACATTGATGGATATTACTTAGAGAAACGAGAGAAGAAAAGTCTACAGTGGTTCAAGGTTATAAAAGATCCAATCCGTGATACCAGACAAAAAGTCCACAACCTCACAGAAGGAAATGAATATCAGTATCGTGTCTGTGCAATCAACAAAGCTGGTGCAGGTCCATATTCTGATGTCTCCATCTTCTACAAAGCTTATGACCCAATTGGTATGTTTTTTTTTTCTCTAGACTGTTTTTAAGAATGTGAATATAAATGAGTATAATGTATGCAATCATAAACATATAAATTGCTGTTTTAGATCCACCAAGTGAGCCTACCAAGCTCAGAGTTGTTGATTCAACAAAGACATCAATTACTCTTGGATGGGTGAAGCCTGTTTATGATGGTGGGAGCGAAATCACAAGCTACGTTATTGAACAAAGAATAGCTGATGAGACAGAATGGGTCACTATAAGTTCTAAAGGAGAAGTAAGAACTACTGAGTTTGTTGTGTCCCATTTAAAACCTGGAGTTTACTACTACTACCGTGTCTCTGCTGTGAATTGTGTTGGAACTGGACGTTCGATTGAGATTGTGCAGCCAGTGCAGGCCAAAGATATTCTGGGTTTGTACTTTTTAACGGTCAAAATTATAAAATGTTTTACTGATTTTTCTTACAATAGCCTAATCAAATATGTTTCTTTTTCAATTTAACAGAGGAAGCTGATGTGGATCTTGACATCTCAATGTCAACTCAGTACATAGCTAAGGCTGGTAGAGATGTTGAAATTGTAATTCCTCTTAAGGGTAGACCTGCCCCAAATGTTACATGGCGAAAGGGAGACAAAAACATTAGTGGTGATGCAAGATATGCCATCAGAAACACAGAATACTCAACTACACTGATCATTCCAAAAGTCACAAGGGATGACACTGGCAAATATCTTCTTGAAATTGAAAATGGAGTTGGGGAGCCAAAAACCATCACAGTTTCTGTTAAAGTATTGGACACACCATCTGCCTGTAACAGGTTGATAGTGAAGAATGTGACAAGAGGTAAACTTACTCTAAGCTGGGAACCACCTTATATTGATGGTGGCTCTCCAATCACAAATTACGTTGTTGAAAAGAAGGATGCTAAAATGAAGGCATTCACTATTGTGACAAATGAATGTGCCAATACAACCTATAAAGTTGATGGACTGTCTGAAGAAATTTCTTATTTCTTCCGTGTTTCTGCTGAAAATGAATATGGTGTTGGCGATCCTTGTGAGACTGAGCAGCCTGTGAGAGCAACAGAGATGCCTGGTGCTATAAAAGATCTTGTACTGGTGGACTCAACTAATACATCTGTATCACTGGCATGGACAAAGCCAGATCATGATGGTGGAAGTCACATTAATGAGTACATTATTGAGAAAAAAACAAAGGATGAAGAAACATGGAGCTCTGGTGGCACATGCAGACGTTGCCAGTGTGAAGTAACTGAACTTAAAGAGCTTTCTGAAGTTTACTTTAGAGTTTTTGCAAAAAATGAGAAGGGTCGCAGTGACTTCTCTCAAATCGGGCCAATCACTGTAAAGGAATTCCTTATACCTCCTGAGGCAAACCTTATTGATTATCCTAATGGAGAATTAAGTGTTCGCATTGGACAAAATGTGAATATTGACTTACCCTACAAAGGTAAACCCAAACCAATTATTCAGTGGATGAAAGACGATGTTATACTCAAGGAAAGTGAACAAGTTCGTTTCAGGCAAACAGAGAACAAGGCAAGTCTCATTGTAAGAAATGCAAGAAAGGAAAATGCAGGAAAATACACCTTGGTACTTGATAACAAACTTGTCAAGAACTTCTTTGACATCAAAGTCATTACACTTGGGCCACCATCTCAGCCCATAGGCCCAATCCGTTTTGATGAAATTAAAGCCCAGAGTATTATTATCTCATGGGATGTACCCCAAGAAGATGGCGGAGGAGAGATCACCTGCTACAGTGTAGAAAAGCGAGAGACATCTCAAGCAGCATGGAAGATAGTTTGCTCTAGTGTGGTCAGGACAACATTCAAGATACCAAATTTAGTTAAGGGTACAGAATACCAATTTAGGGTGCGTGCAGAGAACAAATATGGAGTAAGTGATCCTCTAACCTCACCAGATGTGGTCGCTCAACACCAATATAAGCCACCAGGTCCACCAGGAAAACCTGTAGTATTCAATGTTACAAGTGATGGCATGACTGTTCAGTGGGATGCCCCAGGTTTTGATGGTGGTTCTCCAATCACTGGATACCACCTTGAGAAGAAAGACAGGAACAGCTTATTGTGGATGAAAGTGAATACCAGTGTTATTTCTGGAAGAGAATACAGAGTCATTGGACTTATTGAAGGTCTGGAATATTCATTCAGAGTGTATGCACAAAACAATGCTGGAATGAGTCCAGTCAGTGAACAGAGCAAACACAAACTGGCAATTTCTCCTGTTGGTAAGTTTTAATAATTTTTATTGTCACATCAATCCGTGATGATATTTTACAATGTTTAGGTTTGTAATTGTGCCATTTTTCTCTTATTAGATCCTCCTGGCACACCTAACTGCATTGATGTTACAAGAGACTCTGTAACACTTCAATGGGAACCACCAAAACGTGATGGAGGCAGTAGGATTGTAGCATACAGTGTTGAAAGACGTCAAGGAAGAGCACGTTGGTTGAGATGCAATTTCATTGATGTTAGCGAATGTCAGTTTACAGTAACAGGCCTTGCTGCTGGAGATCGCTTCGAATTCAGGGTAATTGCCAGAAATGCTGTTGGAACAGTTAGTCCACCATCCCAGTCCTCTGGCTACATCATGACCAAGGATGAAAGTGGTATGTACTGGCAAAGGCATCGAGTGCATATTGATCAACATTTTTATTGCAATTCATCAATGTAGATTTTGTCAAAGCGGCTTAACATAGATGAAGTTCTAGTAAATTGAAACTGCTTCTGTCCAGTTTTCACAGTTGAATTTCAGTTTAGTTCAGTTCTGTATAATGTAAAGGACTGCTAAAAGTTGTGAATGTTCTGATTGTTAAGAATTAAACATATTCTAATAAGTGCGAATTTTCCCAAAGGAGTTATTTAGTAATAAATAAATAACTTTTAATTTCTTTTTAGTCATCCCTCAGATTGAATTTGAAGCTGAGAAATCCCTCACCATCAAGGCAGGAGAAAATATTAAACTCAGCTGCAGTATAAGTGGACGTCCTGTACCTCAAGTTACTTGGTATAAAGATGGAAAGGAAGTTGACAAAATGCTTGTTGACATCACAACTGTTATTGGATCAAGCTCACTGTTCATCAGAGATGCTGACCGTAACCATCGTGGTATCTACACAGTTGAGGCCAAGAACAGTTCCGGCACAACAAAAGTGGATGTTCTTGTTAGAGTACAAGGTATGGTCTGAAAAAAGTTTGGATTTATAAAAATTACAAAGAAAGGTCTTCATCTTTTTCATTGCTTATATGTATTCTGTGTTCTTCAGATACTCCTGGACCACCCGAAGGCCCACTTCGCTTTACAAATATTTCTGCAGAGAAAGCAACTCTTTGGTGGAGCCCACCTGAAAATGATGGCTGTGCAGCCATCAGTAATTATGTGATTGAGAAGCGTGAGACTTCCAGAATTTCATGGGCACTTGTAACATCCAAGTGTGAAGCCTGCTCCTTCAATGCCACAAAACTGATTAAAGGAAATGAATATCAGTTCCGTGTATCCGCTGTCAATAAATTTGGAGTTGGCAAGCCACTAGAGTCTGATCCAATCATTGCTCAGATGCAGTACAGTAAGTAAAGTTGTTCTTGATCTAGTTCTTTGCTTATTTAGTATTGATTGTTCTTTTCTTTAACACATTTTTATATCTCACAGCTGTGCCAGATGCACCTGGAACACCTGACTGTACTCATGTGACAGGAAACAGTATTACTCTGTGCTGGACAAGACCAAGACATGATGGTGGAAATGAAATTAAACAATACATCCTTGAAAGACGGGAAAAGAAGAGTTTAAGATGGGTGAAGGTTTCAGCTAAAAGACCAATAACTGAGCTTAGGCACAGAGTAACAAACCTTACAGAAGGGAATGAATATGAATTCCGTGTTATGGCTGAAAATGGTGCTGGAATTGGACCTGCAAGTGGTATATCCAGATTGTTCAAGTGCAGAGAGCCAACAAGTGCACCCAGTGCACCAACTTTGGTGAAGGTCATTGATTCCACCAAGACGTCTGTTACCCTGGCATGGACCAAACCAGTGTTTGACGGTGGTTTGGAAATCATTGGTTACATTATAGAGATGTGCAAGGCAAGCCTTGAGGAATGGCACCGAGTCAACAATCAGACGTGCATCCAGACACATTACAGAGTAACAGAGTTAGAATCAGGTGAAGAATATAAATTCCGTGTTTGTGCTGTCAATGGTGCTGGCAAGGGAGAATTCTCTGAGACTCCACATATAGTACAAGCAGTTGACAGACTGACCTCGCCAGAAATTGATATAGATGCAGACTTCAAGCAAACACATATTGTAAAGAATGGTGGAACTGTCAAACTTCATATTCCTTTCCGTGGAAAACCAGTTCCACTTGCCACATGGACAAAGGCAGATGGAGATCTTGGTGTAATGGTGGATATAAATACAACCGATACATTCAGCACCTTGACAATTGAAAATTGCACTAGATATGATGCTGGCAAATATACACTCTCTCTTGAAAACAACAGTGGCCGTAAAACCATTACACTAACAGTCAAAGTGTTGGACACACCTGGACCTCCAGGACCTCTTTCATTCAAGGATGTGACAAGGGGTGCTCTGACACTTATGTGGGATGCACCATCAAATGATGGAGGGGCACGTGTTCATCACTACATTGTTGAAAAGCGAGAGGCAAGTCGATTAAGTTGGCAGGAGGTCAGTGAAAGGTGCACACGTCAAATCCTGCGAGTCATCAACCTTGATATTGGTGTGGCATACTTTTTTAGAGTTACAGCTGAAAATCAATACGGCAAAGGTGAGCCATATGAAATGACAGAGCCTATTATAGCCACAGAAGAGCCTGCATCTCCCAAGCGACTGGATGTCATTGATACAACATCCACAACAGCTAGCCTAGTGTGGATGAAACCTGAGCATGATGGCGGAAGCCGAATTACTGGATACATTGTTGAGACTAGAAAGAAGGGCTCTGCTAACTGGGTTTTTGGAGGTCAAACTAAATCTCTGAAAATGGTTCTTGAAGGCCTGGTTGAGAACACTGAATATGAGTTCCGTGTAAAGGCTCAGAATGATGCTGGCATAAGTCAACCACGAGATGCACTAGCCTCTGTCATTATAAAGGAGCCACGTATAGAGCCAACCGCAGATCTGAGTAGTATAGATAAACAACTCATTACTTGCAAAACTGGAAATTCTTTTGCCATTGATATTCCAATAAGTGGCAGACCAGCCCCCAAGGTAACATGGAAGCTTGAAGAAATGAAACTTAAAGAAACAGACAGAGTCTCGATTAAGATCTCTAAAGACAGAACCACTCTGCTGGTTAAGGATGCCAAGAGGGGCGACAGTGGAAAGTATTATCTCACGCTTGAAAATGCAGCTGGATCAAAGACATTCACTGTTACGGTTATTGTCATTGGTAGACCAACCCCACCAACTGGACCTGTTGAAATTTCAGGAGTATCATCAGAATCCTGTGTGTTGACTTGGGGAGAACCTAGTGATGATGGTGGAACAGACATAACCAACTATATTGTTGAGAAACGTGAGTCTGGCTCCACAACATGGCAGGTTGTGAATTCAAGTGTGAAACGGACCACCATCAAAGTAACTCATCTCACCAAGTACATGGAGTACACTTTCAGAGTCTCTGCTGAGAACAAGTTTGGTGTTAGCAAGTCCATTGAATCTCAAGCTATTGTTGCTGAACATCCATTCAGTGAGTATTTAGCATGATATAATATTAGCTGACTTTTAACTGATTTTTTTTTATTATTCTCTTGTTTTTATTCTAATACATGTAACATTTCTAATGTGTTTTCAGTCTCACCAAGCCCACCAACTCGTCCTGATGTAGTTTCTGTGTGTGCTAATGCAATTTCTATTCGTTGGGATGTGCCATATCATGATGGTGGAAGCCAAGTAACTGGATACTGGATTGAAAAGAAAGAGCGTAATACCATTCTTTGGGTGAGGGAGAACAAGATTCCTTGTGTTGAGTGCCATTACAAGGTCTCCACCCTTATTGAGGGTCTTGAGTATCAGTTCAGAGTATATGCAATGAATATTGCTGGTTTGAGTAAAGCAAGTGAACCATCAAGACCAGTATTGGCTCTAAATCCAGTTGGTAAGTTTTTGTTTTACTTTCTCCTATAATTTATATATTTGTTTGTGGCTTAATATTTATCCAGTGCTTTTATGTGCATTTTAGATCCACCTGGCACACCAGAAGTTTATGATGTAACCAAGACCTCAGTGTCTATTAGATGGTCTGTGCCATTTAATGATGGTGGCAGCAAGATTGTTGGATATGTGGTTGAACGCAAGGCATCCAGTGATGACGAAGAAGCTCGCTGGTTGAAGTGCAACTACACCACAATCACAGAAAACTTCTTCACTGTTACATCGCTCGTCGAGGGAGAGCAGTATGAATTCCGTGTTATTGCCAGAAATGGTGCTGGAGTTCACAGTATGCCATCTGCATCATCAGGACTTATAACATGCAAAGATGAATATAGTAAGATGGGATTTCTTAATATTTACAGTTGTGTACAACATAAATATGTGCTGATACGAATATTTATTAATACATTTTATTAATTAATTGCAGCACCACCAAAGGCCGAGCTGGACAGTAAACTTGTGGGTGAGACAATCTCCATTAGAGCTGGATCAGACCTTGTTCTTGATGCTGCTGTTGGTGGAAAACCAGAACCTAAAGTCTTTTGGGCTAAGGGCGACAAGGAGCTGGATCCTGGAGAGAAATACTCTCTGACATACACAAGCACAAGAGCGATGGCAATCATTAAATCATGTGACAGAAACGATACTGGAAGATACATCCTTACTGTAAAGAATGCAAGTGGAATCAAAACATCTGCTGTCAATGTTAAAGTACTTGGTAAGAACATAATAAATAACAGTCTTCATAGTGTTTTATTAAAAAATAAATTTTTACTGCATATTTCATGATAATATATTTTTTGTTTAAGATACACCTGGTCCACCTGCGGGTACAATAACAATCAGCAGGGTCACAGACGAGAAATGCACAGTTTCCTGGAAGATTCCTTTAGAGGATGGTGGAGATCATGTCAGTCACTATATTGTTGAAAGACGCGAGACAAGCAGACTCAACTGGGTCATTATGGAAACTGAATGCAAGACTCTGTCTTGTGTCAGCACAAAACTGATCAAGAACAATGAGTACATTTTCCGTGTCAGAGGTGTAAATAAATATGGGCCTGGTGTACCCCTGGAGTCTGAACCAGTTATTGCAAGAAATGCATACAGTAAGTATGGTTAAAATTATTATAACATATAAAATTATAAAATTATTATTATAATATTATTATTAACATTTCTGTTAATAATCTAGAATTTTAAAATCTAAGTATTAATATTTGTTTATAATTTAAATTATAGCTGTTCCAACACCTCCGGGAACTCCAGATATTACTGCTATTGGAAAAGAACACGTTATTATTGAGTGGTTTAAGCCAGAGAATGATGGTGGAAGTGAAATCAAAAACTACCTTGTGGATAAACGTGAGAAGAGCAGTGTTAGATGGACAAGAGTAAACAAAACCTACACCATTTATGATACACGCCTGAAAATCACTGGTCTCCTTGAGGGTAGTGATTATCAGTTCCGCGTTTCAGCCGTCAATGCTGCTGGCACCAGTGCTCCAAGTGACGCATCTCAGTATGCTCACTGTAAAGACCCAACATGTGAGTAAAACTGACCAGCGTGGTTTCAAATATTTAAAGGCTTAGATATTTTGGAAACATGCTAATAACCTGCCATTTTATTTTACAGATACCCCAGCACCACCATCAGTTCCTCGTATTACAGATACCACAAAGCACAGTATTAGTATGACATGGACCCGACCAATGTATGATGGTGGATCTGATGTCACAGGCTATATTGTTGAGATTCTGGAGGAGGGAACAGAGCAGTGGTATAGAGCCACACAGAAGACATTGACCAGTACTCAGTACACAGTAACTGGTCTGGCAAGTAATAAAAAATACAGCTTTAGAGTGGCTGCTGTCAATGCTATGGGTACTGGGGAATTCAGTGAAGGCAGTATGGAAACTGCACCTTCTGAAAGAGTTGGTAAGTTCTTATATATGGATCCACATGGTTAAAAGCCATCATCAAGCTAATTCTTGCTCCTAAACACTATTTTTTGCATATAGAAATTCTGCATAATTTTTTATTGCTATGTTCTCAGAAATCCCTGATATTGAGCTACCTGATGAACTTAAGAAGACTGTTTGCATCAGAGCTGGCAACACTTTACGTCTTAATGTAACTGTATCTGGAAGACCTGCACCAGTTATAACCTGGAGAAAGACTGGAATTGACCTACAGTCCCGTGGTTTCATAGATACCACAGAAAACTCTACATCATTAATAGTGGAGAAGGTACATCGCTATGATGCTGGAAAATACACAATTGAGGCAGAAAATCCCTCTGGCAAGAAAACTATTACCATTCTCGTCAAGATTTATGGTAAGTAATTGAGTACTATTAATAATGAATACTGTATTCTTAACATTACTGTATTCGAAATATAATTTTAATGTATTCTTGTCTCCTGTAGATACTCCTGGACCATGTGGTGCAGTAAATGTTAAAGATTACACTAAAGAGTCAGTTGTCATCACATGGGATGTGCCTACTATTGATGGTGGTGCTCACATCAACAACTACATAATTGAGAAGCGTGAAGCTTCAATGAAATCTTACAAAACAGTGACAACAGAGTGCAAAAAGACATTATACAGAATCACTGGACTAGAAGAGGGAACACAGTACTTCTTTAGAGTGTTGCCTGAGAATATATATGGTGTCGGAGAACCTTGTGAAACACCTGAACCAGTACTGGTTTGTGAAGTTCCATCTGTTCCTCAAGATCTATATCTCATTGATACAACAAAGTCTACTGTCATTCTTGGATGGGAAAAACCACTTCATGATGGTGGTAGCAGACTTTCAGGCTTTGTCATTGAAGCTTGCAAAACTGGAACTGATCGATGGATGAATGTTGCACATGTGAAATCATCTGTGCTGCAACACACAATTGTCTCACTGACTGAAAATGAGCAATATCTCTTCAGAATCAGAGCTGAAAATAGCAGAGGTGTCAGTGAGCCCAGAGATCTCATGACACCTGTAACAATTCAAGAACAGAGAGGTAAGGTATTAGAAACTTAAATGACACAAGAAAGTCAAAATGAAAGTTTCACATAATGTGTTGCTTGTTTGAATGTTTGAATATGAGTATTTCTATTGTCATTACAGAAATGCCAAAGATTGACTTGACTGGTATCCCACAAAAGATTGTCAATGTGCCAGCTGGTAAGCCAATTGTGCTCAACATTCCCATTAAAGGAAGACCTGCACCAGTCTGTTCATGGTCATTTGGTGGAGTTAAAATGAAAGACAAGCTTGACCGCATTAAGATTGAAACAACTGCGAAATTCACCAAACTGACAGTCCGTGAAACCACAATTGATGATACTGGTGACTACACTCTTAATGTGAAAAATGTGTCCGGAACAGCAACGGAGGTCATCAGAGTTATCATTCTTGGTAAGAAACATTTTATTTTTTTATCCCAGTTTTATAGGTCCACAGCTATAAGCTATGTTTTTTATTATATATATATATATATATATATATATATATATATATATATATATATATATAAATATATGAGCAATTCCAGCGTTATGGATGTGACATTTGCGGTAAAAACTCAAAACATAATTTCACACAGAAAGTATATGTTGACATTATATTGAAATTTCTGTTTATATTTTCCAAAATAGCTCACCACAGAGTTATGGGAGCAGAAAAATATCAATATGTAAACATGTTTTATATTTTAAATTAGAAAAATAAACATGCGTTATGGATATGACAAAAAAAGTTTGCGAATTTATAGTCGACAACAGATTATTTAGGAATTCTGACAGTTAAACTGCACAACCCAAAAGAAACAATGCTCATCAAACAGGTATGAGTCGGCTCACTATAAAATTAAAATGATTGATTTTATTTTATTTGAGATTTTTGCATTTATGAAGAAAAAGTGTCGTTATGGATGTGACACATTTCCGTTATGGATGTGACAGCTGTAAAATAGCCACTTGTGTGATTTTGGCAAATTAAATATAATAGTTTGAAATACTGACAGATACATTTACGAGTATTTTTAAAGTACTGTAAAATACTTGCTAACACAAAAAATGTAGAAACGGTTTGTCTATTTTGGTGAAAACTAAATTATTTTTTATATGTATTTCTTCTCAAGATAAACCTGGAGTACCTGTTGGGCCTATGAAAATTGAAGAGGTTGATGCCACATCTGTGACATGCAGCTGGGAACCACCACAAAAAGACGGAGGTGCAAATGTCAGTGGCTACATTGTTGAGCAACGTGACGCACATCGACCAGGATGGATGTCTGTTTCTGAATCGGTCACAAGACCCGTGTTCAAATTTACAAGACTTGTGGAGGGAACTGAATATGTATTCCGTGTTGCAGCAACAAATCGCTTTGGTATCGGCGGGTTCTTGCAATCTGAGGTCGTTGAGTGCAAGAGTGTCAAAAGTATGTTTTTTTTTTCATAATCCAAATGCTTTCTATTTTCATTTATTCAAATTTACCTTTAAAATATTCAAATATTCAAATTCAAATAAAATTGTTATCAATCCTCTTTTTAAAGCTGTACCTGGAGCACCCAGCACACCTGAAATACTTGATGTGTCTCATGATGGCATGACTCTTACTTGGACACCACCCGAGGATAATGGTGGTTCTACTATTGCTGGCTATATTATTGAACGCAAAGAGGCTGGATCTGACAGGTGGCTTAGCATCAATAAGAATCCAGTGACTATGACAAGATACAGAGCCACAGGACTTATCGAGGGTCTTGAATATGAGTATAGAGTGACAGCTATAAACTCTAGAGGCACTGGAAAACCAAGTGCAAATTCTAAACCAACTATTGCAATGGATCCTATTGGTACGTACAAAGGAGTAAAAATGTACAAATTTATAAAAATTTTATAGAAGGAACTGTTTTGTTAGTAGACTAAACATGTGGTTGTGATTTTCTTTCTTTTTCTTTTAACAGAGCCTCCTGGTATTCCACTAAATCCGAGAGTTACAGATACCACAAGAACATCAGTTTCTCTTGCTTGGTCTCCTCCAGAAGAGGAGGGAGGTGCTGCTGTAACTGGTTATCTCATTGAGATGCAAAAAGTTGACCAGGTTGAATGGACAAAATGCAATACAACCCCAACAAAGATTTGTGAATACACTTTGACACATATGCCCCAAGGAGCTGAATACAAGTTCCGTGTTATGGCTTGCAATGCTGGTGGAGCTGGTGAGCCAGCTGAGATTCCAGGAGTGGTAAAAGTTACAGAAATGCTTGGTAAGCTAAAATTCAGAGAAAAATTCTAAATCCCGAGAATAAGAATGTAAACTTATATTAGTATGTCGTATACATTGCATTATCTGTTTGTTATGCAACAAATGTATTTTCTTTTCAGAATACCCTGACTATGAGCTGGAAAAAATCTACCAGGAAGGCTATGTTGTCAGACAAGGTGGCGTCATCAGGCTATCAGTGCCCATCAAAGGCAAACCCTTACCAACATGCAAGTGGACAAAAGAAGGTCGTGACATTTCTCACAGAGCTATGATTGCAACCAGTGAAGAACGTACTGAGCTTGTAATCAAGGAAGCCCATAGAGATGACACCGGTACCTACGATCTTGTGTTGGAAAATAAATGTGGAAGGAAGGCTGTCTATATTAAAGTAAAAGTTATAGGTCGCCCAGATCCACCTGAGGGTCCTCTTGAATTTGATGATATTCAGGCACGTTCAGTCAGAGTAAGCTGGAGACCCCCATCAGATGATGGTGGCTCTGATATATTTGGTTACATTGTGGAGAGGCGTGAAGTACCTAAAGCAGCTTGGTACACTGTGGACTCACGTGTGGTTGATACATCACTTGTGGTGAAGGGACTGAAGGAAAATGTTGAATATCACTTCAAGATCACAGCAGAGAACCAGTTCGGCATTAGCAAATCTCTCAAATCTGATGAATCTGTCACACCAAAGACACCTCTTTGTAAGCATTTTATCATTTGTATTTTTTATAGTTTTACAATAATTATTTTTAAATAATTGCATGAATATTATTTTGTTGCTTGCTTTTCAAGGTCCACCAGAACCTCCTAGTTTCCCTCCAGAAATTATGGATGTTACAAAGACAACGATTGGTCTGTCCTGGTCAAGACCAAAGGATGATGGAGGCTCTCGTGTCACTGGATACTATGTTGAAAGAAGAGAGATTTCCACTGAAAAGTGGGTGCGTCATAATAAGACTCATATCACAACAACAATGTATACTCTCACTGGCCTAATCCCAGATGCAGAGTACCAGTTCCGTGTGGTTGCTCAAAACGATATTGGTCAAAGTGAGCCTGGTCCTGTGTCCGAGTCAGTTGTTTGCAAAGATCCATTTGGTATGTACACCCCCCCCCCCCATATATATATATAATGTTCTTTTTGTTTGCATCCTTAACTTATTCTTTGTGTTCAACAGATAAACCAGGGCAGCCTGGTGAGTTTGATATTATCTCTATAACCAAGGACAGCATAACCATTCACTGGTTGCGTCCTGAATCTGATGGTGGAAAAGAGATCCTTGGGTACTGGATTGAATTCAGGCAAGCAGGTGAAAGTGCCTGGAAAAAGTGCAATAAAGAACGTTCAAAGGACAGGCAGTTTACCATAGGTGGACTCATGGAAGCAACAGAGTATGAGTTCAGAGTGTTTGCTGAGAATGAAACTGGACTGAGTAGACCAAGAAGAACAGCAATGGGCATTAAAACCAAACTGAGTGGTAAGTTAATGCAATGCCACTTAGATTTTTTTTTTTCTGAAACAAATTCACAAATGCGAAGTAACTAACATGTTTAAATTGTCTTCTAGTTGGAGAGGCTCCATGCCTGAAGGAGGATATCAAAGATACTACCACTAAATTAGGAGAGTCTGGAATATTAACATGCCAGATTATTGGAAGACCTCTTCCTGAAATTAAGTGGTATAGGTATGGAAAGGAGTTGATCCAGAGCCGAAAATACAAGATGAGCTCTGATGGCCGAAACCACTCTTTATCAGTAATGACAGATGAACAAGAGGATGAAGGCTTGTATACTTGTAGAGCCGTCAATGAGGCAGGTGAAATTGAGACCAGTGGAAAACTTTTATTGCAGGCTGCACCACAATTCCATCCAGGATTCCCATTGAAAGAAAAATACTATGCAGGCTGTGGAACTAGCCTACGTCTTCATGTTGTTTACATTGGTCGCCCTATTCCACAAATCATGTGGTTCTATGGCAAGAAGCCCCTCAATCCATCAGAGAATGTTATCATTGAAAACACGGAAAGTTACACTCACTTAGTTATCAGAAATGTCCAGCGTAAAACAAATGCTGGAAGATATAAGGTGCAACTCAGCAACAAATTTGGCACAGTTGACACTGTCCTCCGTGTTGAAATCCAAGGTAAATCAGAGTCTGTTTTAATGAAAAACAAAAAAAACCTGAACTGGCATTACAAATGTTTATTATGCATACAATGTGTTTACAAATGTTACAAAGTTTAAAAACTCCTTGTCTTTTAGATAAACCTCTCTTGCCTGAAGGACCAGTCGTTGTTGATGCTCTATTGAAGAGTTCTGTGATCATTAGTTGGAAACCACCAAAGGATGATGGTGGATCAATGATCACAAATTACATTGTAGAGAAACGTGAAGCGAAAGAGGGTGAGCAATGGCATCTTGTATCATCGGCTGTCTCAGGAACCACATGTCGTGTTCCAAACCTCATTGAAAGCTCTGGATATTACTTCCGGGTTTCTGCACAGAATCAGTACGGAATTAGTGAATCTCTTGAGATTCCATCTGTTGTCATTATCAAGAGTCCATTCGGTGAGTGTCATGCATTAATTTGTTTTACACTGTATATATGTTTGTGTGTGTGTGTGTGTGTGTGTTTCAACATAACCAAATCCATTATTTAATTCAACAGAGAAACCTGGAGTCCCACAACGGCCATTTGTTTCATCTGTAACCAAGGATTCATGTGTTGTTTCTTGGAAACCACCAACAAGTGATGGAGGTGCCAAAATTAAGAACTATTTCCTTGAAAAAAGAGAGAAGAAACAGAACAAATGGATTGCAGTTACTACAGGAGAAATCCATGAGACATCTTATACTGCTAAAGGTCTTCTTGAAGGATTTGAATATGAATTCCGTGTCAAGTGTGAAAATATTGGCGGAGAGAGTGACTGGAGTGAGATTTCAGAACCAGTCATTCCAAAATCAGATACAGCTCTCCGTGCCCCATTCTTCAAGGATGAATTGAGAGACATGTGTGTAAAATACAAGGCAAACGCAACCTTTGTCACAAAGGTTGTCGGGCATCCCAAGCCAGTGGTTAAATGGTACAAAAATGGCAAAGAAATTTTAGCTGATGGAGCGAAAATAAAGGTCCAAGAATTCAAAGGAGGTTACTTCCAACTAGTTATCAGCAACGCTGATGAAAATGATGCAGCTGCTTACCAAATTAGAGCTACTAACCAGCTTGGATCAATCTCGACAAGTATGAACCTAGATGTTGAAGGTAAATGTTTCTGATGGTTTATGGTTTTCCTAGCCTTCTTTTCCTTTTCCAAACTATTGTTTTTTTTCTATTTGATATCATGACTTGTCTAATCAGCATTTTTTTCTTCCAGTTCCTGCCAAGATTTACTTACCATTACACCTCCAAGGCATGGGAGCTGTTCATGCCATTCGTGGTGAAGTGGTTACCATCAAGATTCCAATTAGTGGCAAACCTGATCCGGTAGTCACGTGGCAAAAGGGACAAGAGATTATTAACAACACAGCTTACCATCAGGTTATTATCACAAGGTCATTCACCTCCCTGGTGTTCCTAAAGGGAGTACAAAGGAAGGATTCTGGCTACTACATTATTTGTGCCAAAAATCGCTTTGGCATGGATAAGCAGACAGTTGAACTCGATGTTGCAGATGTGCCTGATCCACCAAAAGATGTTAAAGTCAGTGATATTGGCAGAGATACACTCACTCTCACTTGGAGTCCTGGCAATGATGGTGGAAGTGAAATTATTAATTACATTATTGAAAAGTGTCCTACCACTGGAGACCGATGGATTCGTGTTGCACAGACATCTGAATCCCAATATACCGTCATGAGTCTCTTTGGCAAAACAAAGTACCAGTTTAGAGTGATTGCAGAAAACAGGTTTGGGGTGAGTGATCCATCTGCACCAACTGACCCTGTGACTACCAAAGAAGACAAGTTAGCAATTCGAAACTATGATGAAGAAGTGGACGAAACAAGAGAAGTTACAAAGGAAGAGGCACCACATTCAAAAGTCAAACACGTACCATCACTGTACACAGTTTCTGAGGAACTTGCACGTAATGGACAGTTTGGCATTGTCCATCGCAGTATTGAAATTAGCTCTAAGAAAACATTCTTGGCAAAATTCATCAAAGTTAAAGGTGCTGATCGAGAGCTGGTTGCAAGAGAAATTGAGACACTCAATATTGCAAGACATAAAAACTTTCTGTATCTTCATGAATCCTTTGATAGCTTGGAAGAATACGTTCTTATTTATGAATTCCTTTCTGGTATGGACATCTTTGAGCGTCTTGGTATAAACTTTGACCTCACTGAGCAAGAAATTGTTCAGTATCTGAGACAAGTCTGTGGAGCCCTGAAGTTCTTGCATAGCAAAAACTATTGTCATTTTGATATCAGACCTGACAACATTATTTATTCCACAAGGAAAAGCAATACAATCAAGATCATTGAAATGGGCCAGGCTCGGTTGCTTACACCTGGAGAAAACATTAGGATTCAGTTTACTGCCCCAGAGTACTATGCACCTGAAATCCACACCAGTGATTTTGTAACAACTGCCACTGACATGTGGTCTGTAGGTGTTCTTGCTTACGTCCTCTTAAGTGGACTTAATCCGTTTGCTTCTGAATCAAACCAGAAAATGATTGAGCACATTTCAAATGCAGAGTATATGTTTGATAGTGAAGCCTTTAAAGAGACCAGCCTTGAGGCTATGGACTTTGTTGACAGACTGTTAACTAAAGACTCCAAGCTACGTATGACTGCCTCAGAAGCTTTGGAGCACCCTTGGCTCAGGATGAAATTGGAACATGTTAGTTCAAAAGTCATCAAGACTTTGAGACACAAAAGATACTACCAGTCACTTGTGAAAAAGGAATGGAGCACTGTTGTTTCATCAGCACGTGTTGCCTATGGTGGTGGCTACAGAAACCAGAAAAATGTTTCCATTGGAAGAGTGAAAATTGGACATCCTCAACAAGGCTTGAGAGCAGGACCTATCATGCATGGATCTGCTGAAGAGGGAGGACATGTCAGGTTTGTGTGCTGCATTGAAAACTATGATCGAAACACTGAAGTGACCTGGTACTTTGGTTCCCGCAAATTAACTGCAAGCCACAAATATGAAATTACATATGCTAATGGTGTTGCTAGCATCTATGTTAAAGACATTGAAGAATGTGATGATGGATTATATAGATGCAAGGTTGTCAGTGAAGACAGGGAGGACAATGCATATGCTGAGTTATTTGTTGAGACTGTCAGGTCCTTCCGTGAGTACTACCTTGGACGCTCGCTGAAGAAACCCAGGCGTAGAATTGACAAAAGCAAAATTTTGCAGAGGCCACCAGAGTTTACTTTGCCTTTATTCAATCGTTCAGCATACATTGGTGAAGATGTGCGCTTTGGTGTGACCATAACTGTCCATCCAGAGCCAAGTGTTACATGGTTAAAGGCTGGGCACAGAATCAAGCCAGATCCTAAAAAATACACATTCACAAGTGACAAGGGTCTTTATCAGCTCATGATACACAATGTTGACCTCAGTGATGATGCTGAATACACTGTTGTAGCAAACAACAAGTTTGGCGAAGACAGTTGCAAAGCCCGTCTCAATGTAGCACCACATGCTGTTGCTGAGGATACTATGAGACCAATGTTTAAACGTCTCTTAGCCAATATTGATTGTGTTGAGGGGCAGAGCGTCCGCTTTGACTTGAGAGTATCAGGAACCCCAGCACCAACTTTGAAATGGGAGAAAAATGGCAAACCTCTTGAGTTCAGACCACAAGTTGAAGTTGTTCAAGAGGATGTAGACTATTTCATTCTACATATTAGAGAAACTCTCATAGAGGATTCAGGAACATACAGAGTCACTGCAACAAATACAGCTGGATCAGCAAGCTGTCAAGCTACTCTCAAAGTTGAACGACTAACATACACAAGGAGGGAGTTCAAGAGCGAGGAAGAAAGACATATATATGTAAGAAACCAAATAGAAAAGACACTGAAAATGGCACAAGAGTTCTCAAAAGCTGAAGTTGTTGCACTCAATCCTGTAGCACAAGAGGCTTTGAAAGAAGCTGCGGAATTATATAAACCGGCAGTTAGCACCAAGCATGTGCAGGGTGAGTTTGATATCTCTGATAAAGAGGATCAAGAAATAAAGAAAATTATAGAGGAAGAGAAGAAGATACGTATGCCTTATGAAATCCCTGAAGCCCGTGCACATGATCCAACAGTTCTTGATGAAGATAAAATGATTAAACACTTTGTGCCCCTATCTGACATGAAATGGTATAAAAAGTTGCGTGACCAGTATGAAATTCCTGAGAGAATGGAAAGAATAGTTCAGAAGAGACAAAGGCGGATTCGTCTTTCCAGATGGGAGCAATTTTATGTTATGCCACTGCCTAGAATAACTGATCAGTACAGACCGAAATGGCGCATTCCAAAACTTACACAAGATGATTTGGAGACTGTTCGACCAGCCAGGCGTTCACCATCCCCTGAATCAGAGGCATCATTCAGACTGAGAAGACGCTCACTTGGTGATATTTCAGATGAGGAGCTGCTTAAGGAAGAGGAGTATCTGGCAACAAAATTATCAGAAAAAGAAAGACGAGAGCTTGAAGAAGAACTAGAACTGGGCTTCTCTGCCTCCCCACCTAGTGGAAGCCCTGTGCGCTTTGAGTTGTCTGCACTGCGACGTGCCTCACCAAGACCTGTTCACAGAGCTGAAGTGAGACGTGTAGAAGAGACAAAACATGTAACAACGGAGCAAGCTCGAGGCTCTCCTCCTCCTATATCACATTTCTTGAGAAGGAGAAGATCCTTGTCTCCAACATACATTGAACTGATGCGCCCTGTCTCTGAACTCATCAGGCAACCTCGTGCACGCATCCCAACAGAGGCTGAAGTTGAAATAATTGAAAGAAGATCACCCACCCCTGAGAGAACTCGTCCTCGATCACCAAGTCCTGTATCCCCAGAAAGAAGATCCTCCAGATCCTCTTCTAGATTTGAAAGGTCTGCAAGATTTGACATCATGTCTAGATATGAAGCAAGGAAAGCTGCTCTTAAATCTGAGCGCAAATACCAGGTTGTAACACAGCAACCATTCAGTCTTGACCATGCTCCACGTATCACTGTAAGAATGCGCTCTCACCGTGTACCATGTGGTCAAAACACTAAATTCACTTTGAATGTTCAGTCCAAGCCTGATGCCAATATCCAGTGGTTCCACAATGGACAACAAATACAAGAGAGCCACAAATACCAGTTTACAAATATGAGTGGAGTCCTATCTCTCCAGATTAATGACTGTCAGGCTGAGGACACTGGCACATACCGTGCTCTTTGCACAAATTCAAAGGGTGAGGCATCAGACTATGCAACTCTTGATGTTTCAGGTGGAGCATTTACTACATACTCTTCAAGACGTCGAGATGAGGAGGCCCCGACACAAATTGTACCTGATATAACAAAAACAGATTATTATCATTCAACAACAATCAGAGCTTCCTCTGCCTCAAGAACTCACTTGGAGATTCAAGAATTCAAAACAAAGTTAACCGAGAGACATGAAGTTTCTTCCTTTGAAAAGTATGAATCTCAGAGGCTTGCATCATCTCCAATTAGATATGCATCAACTGAATACCTATCATCAGCTTCATATTCATCCTCTGAGAGACATACAACATCAGAAAAGCATGTGTCATCTGAATCAAAGTTAAAAGAATCAGAAACATCTGCTGAAGTATCGGTAAAGAAAATTAAAGCTACCCTTTCAGCCAAAATACTCACAAAACCACATTCTCTGATTGTGTCTGAGGGTGACTCTGCACGATTCGTGTGTGATATTGATGGAGAGCCAGCACCAACTGTCACATGGATGCATGAGGGAAGAACAGTTGTCTCTTCACATCGTATTCATGTGTCTACCACACAGTATAAGTCTACTTTGGAAATTTCATCAGTTGAATATTCAGATGAGGGCAACTATACTGTAGTTGTGGAAAATTCAGAAGGAAAGCAAGAGGCAAGATGTACCTTGGCTATTAATAAACCAATACTTAAAGAGGAAGTAACACCAACACAAGTGAAGTCACCAGAGCCCTCAGTGGCATCTCCGGTGCCACCAATTAAATCTCCAGAGTCATCAGTTACTTCTCCAGTGCCATCTGTAAAGTCCCCAGAGCCCTCTGTGAAATCTCCAGTGCCATCGGTAAAGTCTCCAGAACCTTTGGTAAAATCCCCTGTACCATCACTGAAATCTCCAGAGCCTTCAGTCAAATCCCCTGTGCCTTCCGTAAAGTCTCCAGAACCCCAAATTAAATCACCAGAACCCACTGGCATTAAGTCTCCTGAACCTCGAATTAAATCTCCAGAGGGCATCAAGTCACCATTCAGAGTAAAATCACCAGAGCCAGCCACCTCTCTTCAGAGAGTTAAATCTCCACCTCCTCTTAAATCTCCAGAACCAACCACACCTCAAGGAGTGAAGTCTCCAATAGCTTCACCTCCCAGGGTAAAATCTCCTCCTCCTATTAAGTCTCCTGAGCCAATTGCTTCGCCTCTGAGAGTAAAATCCCCTACAGGACTTAAGTCTCCTGAACCTCAAAGAGCCAAATCCCCACCAACAGTCAAATCTCCTGAACCAATTATGTCACCTAAAAGAATGAAATCACCACTTACAGTGAAGTCCCCAACCCCATCAAAGGAAGCACCACCAAAGATCATTCAGCAACTCAAAGCTGAGGCTTTTGAAGACAAAATTAGGATGATCTTTGTTGCTGAGAGCTCACTGAGAGAAGTTGTGTGGTACAAAGACAGCAGAAAACTAAGCCAAAGCAGTCACTACCAGATTCATTCATCTGCAGATGGAACTTGCTGTCTCTATATATCCGATGTTTCAGAGGACGATCAAGGTGAATATTCATGTGAAATCATAAGTGAGGGAGGAGCAGTGTCAAGAACATCATTCTCTTTTGTTGGGCAAGTGTTTCAAGCAATTTACACAAAAGTTACTGCATTCGTCGCTGCACATAAGGCTGTTCAAGGTAACGTTTTATCTGACCTAAATTAGATTAGTTTTCCTTTTGTTTTCTGCTCTTCTTAATGTCAGTACTTTAAATATTTTTTCTTCCAGAATCCGTGTCTTCCAAAATCCAAGGAGGAAGTGAAATGGTTATTAAGAGGGAAAGTGCTGCAGTTAGCAGCATGCATGAAAGTTTTACCTCAAAATCCATCCACATGGAGAGCACAATGCAAGAGGCATCATTCAGCAGTTCAGCAATGGCTGAGATGAAATTTGAAACTATGTCAATGTCTAGCATGTCATCCATGACATCAGAGTCAGTGTATGCAATGAGCTCAAGCAGTATAATGTCAAGTCATTCACATGCTGAAGAAACTTCAGTCAGAGCAGCCCTTCACAGTGCTCAAGGTAAGAACCAATTTGACTCTAAACAAATATGCACAATTATTACATGATGGCTTATTATCATTTCAAACTAATTTATATTTTATAGGCTTAGCTCCGAGAATTGAAGCTCTTCCTGAAGATATCAGCGTTGAAACTGGAAAGGTTCTTACCGTGGCTTGTGCCTTCTCCGGAGAACCAGCACCTCATATTGAGTGGTCTCGAGGTGGAAAGAAACTGCCTGGAGAAGAAGATAGCAGTAGGTTCCATATTGAGACAACCGAGGACCTCACCACACTCATTATCACTGGTGTGAAAGAGACCGATGCTGGGGCATACACACTCAAACTTTCTAATGAGCATGGATCTGACTTGGCAACTGTTACCATCAGTATTCGATCAAAGTAAAGCCATAATTTATACCCCACCCCTTCCTACGTTAAGCAACTTTGTTTTTATTAAATGAGAGAGAGAAAAGAAAATCTTGATACGTACCTGGATATCTGTTCCTGTAAATATAAACTATTTTTATACCAAACTTGACATTAATTTATGCCAAACTAGACTAAAGTCTAAAGTTATTATAAAATGTGCCATATTGGATAATTATGACTTAGGATTTTTGATCCATTTTTCTGTGACGTGTACATAATGTATATAGCCGAAGTTAACGGTTATGGAAAATGTATGAATTGTTATTTATAACAATATTAACTGAAACAAAAGGAACTAAATATTTATCAGGAGAAAGTTTCACATGGAACGAATACCCTGATGAATCTGAAACTAAACTCTGTGCCTCAACAATAAGTTGAAGTCTTTAAGATTGCCTCAACAGGTAGAGAGGCTCCCTGTTGACGTTACTTTAACTCTGAGAGACTAAGTTATACCTGCATGTTTACATGTGCAGCGATATTACAACCATACTCTTATGCATTGTTACTTGAATGTAAGGCCCTGAGCGCTGTTTGCATTTACCCTCATGTAAGCTGGGCAACTAGGCCTTGTGTTCAGACTGACTATGTCATACCACCATTTTAATGACATGCTCAAGGTGCGAGCGGCCTGCACAATATGAGCAAAAAATGTTTAATGTGCTCTCTTTCTGGCAAGGGACTGCTTGAATAAACTTGAAAAATTAACATCTCCTGGCCAATAAGGAAAGTATGTCTTGCACTCCCTTGCAGAAACAGAGCCTCCTCTTGGAGGATTGCTTTGATGCATTGCGTGTTTGTGTGTTAGTTTAGAATTCATCTTGTAAGTTGTTGGGCAAACATCAAGACAGTGTGCCGCAGCAACACCACCTGCTGTGCAATGGGAAGAAACGGTTTAGATGCCCTGCACTTTGGTTTGATTTTATGTAGAATTGTAGTCTTATCTATATATGCAACCTCCTCGAGTATTAATGATTCAATAAAGCATGTTCTCAGCACAAAAGATTGTTGTCTTGCTTTCATTTAACGTTCCCTGTGTGTGTCATTTATGGATGACACAGTGATAATTTTTCTTACAAATGTACAGTTGACAGAGACGGAACAGTACTGAAATGCATTTCTGACTAAATCCTGTGGGCATGTGCACACTTTATTCAAGAATATATGACAAGTGTTGGGGAAAGTTACTTTTGAAAGTAATGCATTACAATGTTAAAATACTCCCTAAAAAGTAACTAGTTACATTAGTTAGTTACTTAAAGTAATGCATTACATTACTTTTTATTTATTTTTTTACTTTTTACCTGGCTGAGGCTTAATCTCTTTCAGAACTTTTTTTTCTTTCTTTTTTGACAGAGTTTTGCAATTAACAACGCACTGTATAACCTACACCTACATTTACCTTTAAAAAGACATTTTGGATAATGTTATTTGAGAACTTTCTGACCCCAGAGCGGTACATGCCGTATATACAGATTATTGAAAGTTTAAAGCAATGTGTTTGCTACCATTGTGCTATTTTCCCTAGGTAAAATCACTGTCCATTGAGACAATCCCTTTTTCCTCTTCTTCGATACGTTCAAAATAATGAACACATTCTCTCATTGACTGCGTGATTCATCATGACTAATTTTAAATGCAAATATTATCACCTATTTTTGAAATGTAAAAAAAAAAAGTTTACTTGTTACTTAGAAAAGTAATATTACGTAACTTGTGTTACTTGTTACTTGACTATCATATACAGGGCTCAATTTGAATGCCAGCCCCTGTATCCCCTTTTTTGAAGGAAAAAAGACATAAATCATTCTCCCTGTATAACCACAATCTACATTTGGGATAAAGTGGTAATGTTAAGTGAGCATACTTTTCAGAAATTACCACCTTTTTTGTGAAATGAACCTGACTAATGTCCAAACTCTGAAATAGTCTGTATTAGGGCTGGGCGGTGTGACGGTATATATCGTAACCGCAGAACAAAATGTCTACCATAAAAATAATATGTAAAAAAGTGGCCCTGGCCAACAAACCTTTCACTAATGGGGCACATGCAGCATGCGAGAGGCTGAGTGAGAAAATATATATTTTCATATTTGTTTTATTTTCCTGTTACTTGAAATATATAATTTATGACTGTAAGAAAATTATACTTTTACAATTATAAGGTATGTCCACAAAAAACTGTGATCTGGGACATACAGAGTTTTTTCCATGTTTAACAGAGATATTTATGTTTAACAGAGATATTTTTTCAACACATTTCTAAACATAATAGTTTTAATAACTCATCTCTAATAACTGATTTATTTTATCTTTGCCATGATGACAGTACATAATATTTTACTTTATTTTTCAAGACACTTCTATACAGCTTAAAGGGACATTTAAAGGCTTAACTAAGTTAATTAGGTTAACTAATCAGGTTATAACAATGGTTTGTTCTGTAGACTATCAAAAAATATATAGCTTAAAGGGGCTAATAATTTTGACCTTAAAATGGTTCATACATTTAAAAAAAAAACTTTTTATTCTAGCTGAAATAAATCAAATAAGACTTTCTCCAGAAGAAAAAATATTATCAGACATACTGTGAAAATTTCCTTGATCTGTTAAACATCATTTGGGAAATATTTTAAAAAAAAAGAAAAAATTCAAAGGGGGCTAATAATTCTGACTTCAGCTGTGTGTGTGTGTGTGTGTGTGTGTGTGTGAGATCATTGGCTGATCAAATTCCTGTTTCTATTCACATGTATTAACCCTAGAAAGCCCACTGTTGCAGATTTACAACATCACTTTAAACAATTCCAAACAAATGCAAGCATTTTTTTAACATGATTAATGTGGCTTATTCTATGTCCTCACAGTGACCGGCCCAGACGACACACACACAATTTATTCTTACTTGGAACCTTCTATGTTAGCAATAACAACTTATCCCTAGCACAGACACTACCATTGTCACGGCATTACTACATAAGCTTGAATAATATTTTGGTCTACTCTGACAGCTGTTGCACACAGAAAAAAAAATATCGTGGTAAGTAAATTACAATAGTAACTGTATTGTATATGGGTCCTTTTAAAAATGTTCATTTATATTCCCTCTGATTAAATGTATGCCTCTGGTTTGGGTACAGATTTTAGGACATGAGAAAAGAATCGTCACTAGCACAGATTGTGCAGAACACACAATGAAGCATTTAGCAGCACATATACTTTTGATCATTATTATTAAAATGCATTTGATACAGAATAACTACATTGTTTCAGCAAGAAGTAGGAAGTTTTGATTTAGCTTAACTAACAGCCTCATTGTTTGTTGTTACACAAGCAGCCTAGCGATTAGAGACAAAAAGTGCCTCTCAAATTACATCAGCATACATTTTCATTTAGATTTGTTGTTCTTTCCCAGACTGGAAGTGTCTAAATTTCCACACTGATTCCAAGCAAACACCCTGCAAATATACTTCAATCAGCCCAAACCACAGTCACTGCTCTTCCACTGAGTGATCACAATTTACTATAAAAACCATGCTTTATAGAAACAACCCACAATATAACGATTAATAAAAATTTTTTTAAAAAGTCTGGAAATATGTCTTTATTGTTTAAACTTTTGATATTTTACTCCAAATGTTAAACAAAAAAACTAAAGATGCTTGAGTTTGTTTTTGGATGAGTATTTTTCTTTCTTTTTCTTTCCCAGTAAAACAACGTGTGGTGATGTAGGTGATATCAGATATTAGAAATTTTAATATGAAGAGGCCGTTAACAATAAAATGAAAAACATGATATAAGGAACTGCCTATTTTCATTTTGATATTAGCAACTTAACAGACATCAAAAATGTTGAGGCATCGTGTAGCTGCACATTTATATGACCGTCATCTTCATGCATATTTACAACAAAGCAGAGCCTAAAACATTACTGCCTCCTTTAATTTTCATTGAAAATGCAAAACATAGCCTACCCCTTCTCTTTCATTGAATATCAGTTTAATAATCAATATGGCCATTATAAAAGAGTAATGTACAATAAGTTTATACAATATAGGAAATACAGGCAAGCAAAGTTAATATGCAGAGTCAGTGTCCGCGGTTACATTAATTAATATATTAACTTCACTTATCTTTGCGCTCAGCCAAAACACGTTACCTGAGAACAAGCAATGGATTCAAAAGCCCAAAGTCTGGGAATATGTCGTTAGATATAGACAACACGATGAATTAAATATCATCTTTAACAAATAAAGTGAGATTAGATCCAGCAGTAGACGTGTAGTCCAACATGCACAGCTCTCATATGGGTAGATGTGCTTAAAGCACGCTGCAGTGCATGCCGTTGTGTGTGTGTGTGTGCGTGCGTGTGTGGTCACGTGATGCAAGTTTTCTGCTGTGTAATGTAGACACAGAGTTGTTTAGAAACGTGGATCGTTCATTTATTCATTTTCTTTTCAGCCTATTCCCTTTATTAATCTGGGGTCGCCATAGCGGAATGAACCGCCAACTTATCCAGCATATGTTTTAAGCAGCGGATGCCCTTCCAGCTGCAACCCATCTCTGGGTAACATCCATTCACACTCATACACTACAGACAATTTAGCCTAACCAATTCACCTGTACCACATGTCTTTGACTGTGGGGGAAACCGGAGCACCCAGAGGAAACCTACATGAACACGGGGAGAACATGCAAACTCCACACAGGAGCTGATCCAGCAAAAGCTCAAACCAGCAACCTTCCTGCTGTGAGGCGACAGCACTACCTACTGCGCACTGCGTCGCCTGGACATGGATCGTTTTAACCAAACTAACTACAAACTTTCAACCAAAAACTAAAATGTATTAGTGTGAACGCCACGGGGCCTAAAACGCTCCTTTTTCAGCACGTGAAAACTCCAGCATAGAGTGGAGGGATAGCGTAACCGTAGCAAAACTTGCATTATAAAACTATAACGTATTAGTGTATTCGGGGCCTCAGATAGTTTTAGTTTCCAGTTGTGGAAATTATTACATTTTAAAACATCATCCAT